GGGATAACCTCCAGTGGGTTGTGGGATAACCTCCAGTGGGTTGTGGGATAACCTCCAGTGGGTTGTGGGATAACCTCTTCCGGGATAACCTCTCGTGGGACCATAAATAAAGTTGGTCCGACTGCTCAACATGTCCATGCCCCTCATGCCATCACATGTCGCAGAAATCCTCCTTGGAAGATTCTGCGCCTAGATGACAGGTCTATCTGGTCTATCAGTTAACCATAATCCCACACCCGCGTCAAATCCTGGCCAGACCAGGTGGACCCTTGCAGCCTCGAGGGGCCTTCTGCAGGGGCACCACCTCCTCCTCGACCTGCATGGGCCTAGCGACCTTGGTTTGCCGCCGCCAACAGTAAGAATAAACAACTCTCATCGTCTTGTTTTCTCCGTAGCTGCCACTTTGCCAGCAGGATGGCCTGGGCCTTTTTTTTTCTGTAATCCCCCCTGCCGCCTGCATCTGCACCTAGGCGAGCCTTCGCGCTGCCGCCCCGCCCACCATGTACATGTAAACCTCAACACCAAGGCCCCGGTGGCTTGGGGCCCAGCATCTCTTCTATATTACCCTGTTGTCCCTCACCTGGGCATATTTTCTGCTGCCAGGTTGTTCCTGTCCTTTTCTCTCTCTGCTCTGTCCTATCCCGCCCTGTTTCCTTCACTTTGACTTGACTGCCCTTGTGTCAGTCTCTTCCTGGTTTTGTTCTCACCCAGTCCACTCATTGTGCAATACACACCACTCTCATTTGAAAAGCTGCTGCGCACTTTCGTTCTTTGACGCGCCAATTACCCAACCCTCGACACTTGTGTCCGTTTCAATCCTTCAGAATCAGTCGTTGCCAGATCGCACCCCTAGCATCACAACAAAGCCTCAACTTCCCAAGTGGATAGTAAATTTTGTCCCTGTGGCAATTCTTCATTCATTTTGCTTGCCTTAGTTCAAGCGTCACCAATTAAACAGTCCCAGTGGCAGTTACCTTCTCTTGAAACCATATATACAACCAGTCTTGAAAGTACCCACACCCAAGGGTCATCTCACAAGATATCAAAATGAGGTACTCAGCTTCTGTCCTGGCTGCGCTTGCAGTCACTGTGCAGGCAGCAAAGGACTCCAGAACTTTTGCCGTCCTGCGATTCTATGGAGATGGGCCCCTGCTGCAAGACCGTGTTGATCCTATCGTGTCACCCGGCCAGGCTTCCGCCCATATGCACACTCTCATGGGGGGGAGTAACATAGGCATCTCGGCCACCGGCGAGACGATGATGGAGTCGAATTGCAGCAACGCTCTCATCGTGGGAGATTTCAGCGGGTACTGGGTGCCTTCGTTGTACTTCCACGACAAGGCAGCCGGCACCGTGGAGCCGGTCGACATGTTCTACATGAATGTGTATTACTTCTTCGAGCCCACCGATGACGAGATCAAGGCCTTCCCTGTTGGTCTGCAGATGGTCGCAGGGGACGCCTCCCTCCGCACTTGCCCAGACTTTGGCGGAGAGCTTCAGCTGGACGGCTCCAGTGCTGCCCAGCCAGTCCAGTTCACCTGTCCCCGTTCAGACTACAACATCCCCGGCTGGCCCTCGGCCTCCGAGTCCGACGGCAGCAAGGCTGGAATCCAGGACCCCAACAACCAGGGCGCCGGCCAGGGCTTCCCCTTCGCCGAGTGCGACGGCTATGCCTCCCCACTGCGCCAGGATGTGCACTTGCCGTCATGCTACGACCCTTCAAAGGGCCTGACCGACTTCAAGAACAACATGGTCTACCCAACCACCAACAAGGCAACGGGCAAGCAGAACTGCCCCGAGGGCTTTATCCACACGCCGCACCTCTTCTATGAGATGTACTGGAACACGCCTACATTCAAGGACAGGTGGACGCCCGGTCAGGGGTACCAGCCCTTTGTACTTGCCAACGGCGACCTCACGGGGTGCTCCTCCCACGCGGACTTCCTGGCGGCCTGGGAGCCCGATGTGCTGCAGCATATCATTGACACCTGCAACGCTGGTGATGATGGTATGGACAAGTGTGGGGGTGTCACCGTCAGGGACAGGACTACGACCTGCGATGCTGCTGTGCCGGCCCAGAACAAGATCGCCGGCACCTCGAACGCCCTACCGGGGAACAACCCTCTGGCCGGGTGGGGAGTAGGCAGTTCGGCAAGCGTGCCGTCGACTGGATCTGGATCTGGATCTGGATCTGGATCTGGATCGGCCACTGGCACTGGCTCTGACACTGGCTCCGACACTGGCTCCGACACTGGGTCTTCTGGCGGTAGCGACAGCGCCGCCAGCAGTGCTGAGCAACCCGTCGCCTCCTCTTCTTCATCATCTCCCATCGTCCTCGCAACCGGCAACACCGGGAACGAGGAAGTCGCGGCCACGCCCAAGGAGAACAGCCCACCGGCGGCACAGGTCACTCCCGCTCCGGACTCCGCTCCCCCAGCCGCCAACGCCGCCGCGAACCCACCGGCCGTCTCGTCCGCCATTGTCAACCTTCCAAACGGAGATTGTTCGACCGTCTGGGAGACGCTCTGGATCACGACCACCTCGACGGTGTACGAGGGACAGGAGACGGACACGCCGTCCGCACGCAAGAGGGATGTGGGGCACGCTCACGCACATGCCCATGCTCACGAGCACCTGCTTAGGCAGCGCTCGCCACACGCCAGGCGGGTCAGACGGTAGACGGCGAGGGAAGCTGTTGCAGTCTTCCAGAATTTGCACACCATTTCACTTCATACTGGGCACGCGCGGAAGCCTTGCCATTAGACGATTAGGGCGGATACTTCACTTCTTGTACACGCGGAGCGACTTAGGGTAGAAATAGAACATGGAATCTGACTTCGCTGGAAGGCGGGTTGGTGGTGAGCGATGGGAAAAGTGCACGGCGCTGGGACTGAACATCTAGGGTAGGTGTAGCGAGGAGAAAGGAGGGCATTTTCATCATGATGACTTTATGATTGACGCTTTTGTCCTTGTCTAAGTGACACTTGCGAGTGTGTATACATTACAACAATATAAACAATTTCCCATTGGCATGAATTGATACAAGTGCTCAGACTGTATGTGGCTTGTAAGTCGGGACAAGCTGTGCACGATATCTATCCAGGTGATAAAACCTTTTCTTATGGATAGTCTCTTCTGGGATAACCTCCCCTGGGATAACCTCCCCTGGGATACTAGGTTAAACTCCCCTGGGATAATCTCCCCTAGGATAACCTCCCCTGGGATAAACTCCCCTGGGATAAACTCCCCTGGGATAACCTGCCCTAGGATACTGGGTTAAATTTCTCTGGGATAACCTCCCCTGGGATAACCTGCCCTGGGATAACCTCCTCTGGGATACCGGGTTAAACTCCCCTGGGATAACCTTTAATGGGATAAACTCTGATGGGATGTACTGTCCTGGAATCAATTGCCCTTCAATTGGGATAACTTTCATACAGTGAATCAAAAAATTGATACTTTGCAGCAGAGCCTCTTCCTAGTTCGTGAATTCACAAGGGAGGCAAGCTACCCTGCTAAACAAGCTCTCCTCCATGTTGGCAGCCCTCCGTTGTGAGTCACTTGCCAGAAGGCAGCGGGTGTGCATAAGATGATATAGCAGGTCTTTCCCTTTCCGAAATCTAAAAGAAAGAACTTCTGACAAGAGAAATAGCTTCAAGAGCAAGTCACGTTGTTTTGGTTTACACTTCGATAGGTGTTGGTTTGCCTGGATGGTTAGGCGGTGGACCCCTGCCAGACTTAGAGTTTTTAGCGTAATTTGTGGCGCGGCAGCTGCCGTTTTCTCTGGCCGGGGTCAATCTCGGTATCAAATTTGCTGCATCACTTCACCATGCTCTTAGGTCAACAACCATCAATGCTCGTTTCAAGGTCCCAGTCCTGCGAGCCAGTACTATTTGATTTTGAGAGTCTACCTTGACCCTCAAAATGTCTCTCTATCATGAGGCTGCATCTGTCTTGCAGCAAGACTCGTCATCGGGAGGGAATCTGCGATCCCGAGTTTTCAACAGGAAAGACCTGAAGTCTCCTCCGAACCAGGTTTATGCGCTGGCTCTGGAGACATGCAAATGGTCTGCAGTTCTAGCCGAAGTCATTGATCACTCACAGCTATTAAAACACGAGAAAAAGGTAAGAATCCCCCCTTGATTGGTCTTTGCATCTGCTAACCTGTTCTCACAGCTCACACCAATTCTGTCACTCCTCCTGGTGCATGATTTTCTTCTTGCCAAGGGTGGCATCGCCCTGCCAGCTTCACATGGCCTTAATGCCGCGATTGGCCGACACAAATCCCGGTTGAGCGCTGAGTTGACGCGGGCCAAGGTACGCAGAAAGTGCTCGTCCGTCGGTGCTCTCAGGGAACAGGTGGAAGCAAGCCTGCACGCCAACAGCCAGCATCCTCGCTGGATACGGGTCAATACCCTCAAGACAACACTCGAGAAACAACTGTCGACAACGTTTCAGGACCACCAGAAGGCAGATTCTGTACAAGAGGTACTAAGCAGTGCCAGCAAGCTCATCTACATCGACGAGCACATTCCCAATCTCGTGGCTGTGTCGCCTAGATTTGACTTTGCAAGATGCCCTGCCTACAAATCCGGTCAGATCATACTGCAAGACAAGGCGTCTTGCTTTCCAGCTTACCTGCTTGATCCAAGACCTTCCGAGGGGGATGTCATCGATGGATGCGCGGCCCCTGGCAACAAGACGACACACGTTGCCGCGATCGTCGGATCGCAAGTTGATGGTCAGGCACAGCCGGACAGTGGCATTCATGCCTTTGAGAAAGATGCCAGACGGGCAAAAACGCTCGAAAAGATGGTCAACATAGCCGGTTCCGACAGCTTTACTCAAATCCACCAGGGTCAGGACTTTCTGAAGGTTGAGCCCTTGGATCAAAGATTTACCAACACCAGAGCAATACTTCTCGACCCAAGCTGTTCAGGAAGTGGTATTGTTGGGCGAGATGACATGCCAGAATTACATCTACCTTCAGCTGATGGCGCCACCACCGCTGGTAAACCATCAAATAGATCAACAATATCTTCCAAGAAGAGAAAACGCCCAGTCGATGATCCGGATCCAGAACACGTCATCATCGACGATGATGGCAACACCACCGTCGTCTCTTCCGAGAAGGACCTCGAAGCCCGGCTCGAAGCGCTGTCCTCTTTTCAGCTGACGCTGCTACTACACGCATTCAGTTTTCCGGCGGCACACAAGATCACATACTCAACATGCTCCATCCATGCCGAGGAGAACGAGCAAGTTGTCCTGAAAGCATTACAGTCTGACGTTGGACAAAAGCGCGGATGGCGTGTCTTGCCTCGTGAGGAGCAAGTCAGCGGGATGCAAGCATGGCCCGTCCGGGGGCAGATTGAAGCTTGCGATGGTGACAAGCAGGTGGCCGAGTCCTGCATACGCGCTTACAAAGATGATGGGCGAGGTGTCATGGGATTCTTTGTGGCGGCTTTTGTACGCGATCCAGATTTCGACGCGCCCTCTTCACCCCCTACCAAGAAAAAGAAGCCCAAAAAGGGGAAAGCTCCTGTGGACAGCCAGAGTGCCCAACAGGAAGACAAGACCCACAACAATCTTCCGTTGGAAAATGCCCAAAGTCCGAATGCCAACGGCCACGGGATTGACGTAGCGAATACCGGAGATGATGAGTCGGACTCCTGGAGTGGTTTCGACGACTAAGCCGGAATCCGGCCGTGCCACCACTTGACCATCGGCGCTTCGTTCGGAGCCGGGTCTAGTGGCTCAAGGCGAAAATCGCCCAGCCTTAGCCATGTGGCAGAATCAAGACCACAGCGGCGCTGCTTACGACAGGATAATACAATTTGAACAGCGCGATGTCCGTGTTATGCCTCTGCAAGTCAATGATCGACCCTGCTGGCAAAATCTTCCTTGGGACCCGGAGTCTCACATGAGCTCATCGGCGGACAATGTGGACTGGACTTTGACATGATGATGAGCTGTCGAGGGCTGTGTCGGGAAGATGGGGCCTCGTTATCGGGAGGATTGTAAGCTGAGTGCCACCAGGATCAGGTATCATCTGATGATCCTTGGAGTTCGTCTGACGCATCCTGCTTAGCTAAACAGTGTCAGTTGGGTAACCAAACATCGCGAACAAAGACGCTAGGGAACTGCTTCATCAAACCGTTACATCCGAATCTGGTTCATCCGGCCCCGAGATCTTCACCTGGGTATCATCAGACACGATTGAGTTGCAAATCCATCCGTGCTCACAAATGATGAATCTGTCAGCCGTGGCGAGGCAGCCAGGATACCCCACGGACTCAAAATAACAAAGCTTCTGGACTCCCGAGCGGGTGGGACGAGATTATGAATTACTCGTCTGGAACGAGTAGTGAGCCGAGGCACCGCAACCGGCCGAGCTTGGCGTTGATCGTCTTGAGCTTAGAGCAGGGCGGTGGTGGGACCCGCAGAGCCGCTTTATCGCAAAGATACGCAGCAAGCCCTGGTCCGGCCCGAATTTTCTGGGCAGAACTTGCAAGGAATTTGCCGCGCTGCCATGTTGTGCCATTGGGTAGTCGTTTCCCTCCAAGTCAGGACCTCGGCATCCCACTTTCATCGCTCTGCCTTACCAATCACTGCACTCGGGTGGAGACATCTCGGCTGCTGCCCCTTAATCGCGAACCGACCAAATGGGTGTGTGTGGAGCTCTGGAAGCAGGCCACCCGAAGAGGGATGCGAGACGAATTTTGTCGAATGGCCGGCCGCTTCTACCTCATATGGACGCAGTCCTCCTCTTTCCGTCCCATTCCCGTCTCCTGGTGCACCGTCGAACAACACCATAGGTCCCAGATTCCAAAATGACGAACTCACCGTCGAGCACGTCCTTGGAGAGCTCAGTTACCGCGACTGAGGCCGATGTCCAGTCGCAGCACGCAGGTATGACTAGCGTGAACCACTTCAAGATCGTCTTCGACCGGGCGGGCGTTACAAGGGAGGCGCTGCAGTGGAGATATCCCGGCCAGGGAACCGAGGAGAGCCCCTACGCTGTCGACTTCACGCCGTGCGACCCCTACAACCCCCAGGAATGGACCAACACCAAGAAATGGTGCATGACGATCCTTACGGCCATTTCTACCCTCGCAGTCGCCTTCGTGAGCAGTGCCTTCTCCGGCGGACTGGCATACATCATCGCCGAGTTCAAGGTGTCCCAGGAGCTCTCCATCCTCGGCCTGTCCCTCTTCGTCGTCGGTTTCGCTGTCGGACCTCTGCTATGGGCACCAGCGAGTGAATTCTACGGCCGGCAGATACTGTTTACCATCACGTATGCGGCTCTAACAGCATTCAATGCCGGCGCTGCTGGTGTTAAGTCCTTCGCTGGCCTTGTCGTTCTCCGCTTCTTTGCAGGCGCTTTCGGCTCGTCGCCCCTGACCAACTCGGGAGGTGTCATTGCGGATATGTTCTCGCAAAAGGAAAGAGGATTCGCCACGGCTTGCTTCGCTGCTGCCCCTTTCTTGGGCCCGTCACTAGGTATGTCTTCCTGCATTATTGACTAATTGCCACGCCGATAGCTAACATCTTGTGGGAAGGCCCGATCGTCAGCGGTTTCCTTGGCGAGGCTGAGGGCTGGAGATGGATCGAGGGGCTCATGGCCATATTCACGGGTGTCCTGTGGATTACCTGCTCCCTCCTCGTTCCTGAGACCTACGCCCCCGTGCTCCTGCGGATTCGTGCCGCCAAGCTCTCCAAGCTCACCGGCAAGGTCTACGTCTCGAAAATGGACGTCAACAAGAAACACCACACCATGGCGCAGCAATTCAAGATCGCCCTTTCCCGGCCGTGGATGCTGCTCTTTAGGGAGCCTATCGTCCTTTTAACGTCGATCTACATGGCAATCGTGTATGGAACGCTGTATATGATGTTCCCGGCGTTTCCCATCGTGTTCCAGTTGTCCAAGGGCTGGGGTCCGGGCCAGGCTGGTCTGGCTTTCCTGGGTATCACCGTGGGCATGGTGTTTGCAGTCGCATATGCCATGTTTGACAACGTGAGATATGCGAGAATCGCTGAGGAACACAACGGCATGGCTCCTCCAGAGGCCCGTCTGCCAATGGCGATCGTTGGCTCGGCTTTCATTCCTGTCGGTCTCTTCTGGTTCGCTTGGACCAACGGCAACAGTGTTCACTGGATCGTTCCTATCATCGGCAGTGCATTCTTCGCCGTAGGCATCGTGCTGGTATTCTTGTCACTGCTGAACTACCTGATCGATTCTTGTAAGCTTCACCGTCCAACCCTTGATATTTGTCATTCTATCGTCCGGAAGTATACTGACATTGTCCCCAATAGACGTCGTCTTCGCAGCCTCAGTCCTGGCAGCAAACTCAGTCTTGCGGTCCCTCTTCGGCGCCGCCTTCCCTCTTTTCACGGAGCAAATGTACACAAACCTGGGTCTTCACTGGGCGGCTTCGATACCTGCCTTCCTCTCGGTGGCCTGCATCCCCTTCCCGATCATCTTCTACATCTACGGACCTAAGATCCGCGCCAAGTGCAAGTTCGCCGCCGAGGCGGCCCGGGTCTTGGACGAGATGCGTGGCCGCGTTGATATCGAGGACCCAGAGGCCGCAGAGGACGAGGCCATGGAGGAGGTCGAGCGCGAGGTCAGGATGGAGAAGCTGGTCAAGAAGATGAGCCGTGCCTCGGGTAAGAGCCGTACGCGTGGCCTCAGCAGGGTCGAGAGCGGTGCGGCAGGCCCTGGTCCCGCGACGCAGGCTATGCCCAAGGAGGTCGATGACGAGAAGGTGGATGCTTGAAGAGCTACAGTTGTGAAGCGTCGTGTTGCAACATAGCGTGGTGGGATCGACGATATACCCTCTCAACCCCTTACCCTCTTCACCACTTCACGCATCCGCGAATTTTTGGCTTTAATGTTTAGATACCTCAGCATTGTTAGGCGTTGCATATAGAAAGGGAGGGAAGAAGGGATGTACGTGATGACTTCCTGAGGATTCGATGATTTACCGAGCATGAGCCATGGCATAACCAGGTCAGCGGGACGATGCCCCGAAGAGTGGGTTGTTTTTAAGATTTAATGTTTAGGGGCTCTTTTTTAGAATTAGGAATTACCTGATACCCATCAATCAGACTTTGGCGATCCCACCTCCTGAACCGAGTTTATCTGACATGATGGACGTGCCAAGTCGATCTCCCGAAACTATGGGCCCTAAGCAGGGTTTCCCTTGCCGCCCCTGTGTGCTCAGGAAGATATTGCAGAATGACACGGTATAATAAGTGTTCTTGATTAAAGTCTTAAGACTCTTGCAATATTAATTATAATTATAACAAATATGTAGATGAGAGTCAAAAAACGATTGTATTGTTATTGTTGAATCGAAACTTTACGCTGTGATGTTGTAAAACCCGTCTCATGTAAGTGGGATATACAGTATTGGGTCTGAGTGTGGGTCTATGGGCAAAGGTAAGTATCCGATGAGGAACGGTAGCTATGACGATCAATACCCTCGATAACTAATACCTGCTTTTCAAGGTTGGTTTCCCCCCCCCCCCCCTTTTTCACTTACCTCACCATAACTCAATGTATAAACCGGCAATGATTACCCACCCAGCCCTCCTAAGTCGAGATCCAGCTAATATGTGTCACTGTCCCCATTATCCAATCCGAATGTCACTTCTCCCTCTTGCTGACTCACGAGAGTGTCCTGTCGACTCGAAGCGCCCACGATACTGCCGGCGATAGACGGGGTTTTCCGCCGAGAGCACTGCCGACGAATAACTATTGACTTCTTGCCCGCTGTGCGCCTTCATTTCGAAAAGATGGCCCTCTGCTTTCCTGTTGCCGGCGATCGTCGTCCGGTGTTCCACATGAACTCTTCGGTAGCACTTCTCGCAGAGAAACGTATTAACCATCTTCACACGGCAGACAAGTCCAAAGACACCCCAGATTTGCTGTATTCTCAGTGACAAGAAGTTCCCTCCAGTAGGGAGCTTGTTTGGAACGAGGCAGGAATGACGGTGCGAAGTAGGAGATTTTGGATGAAACGTGTACCAATCTCGCTACATGATTTAAGACTTGGTTTCTAACATGGGTAGGAAGCGCCTTGTAGAGAGATTTAGACACTATGAAGCCCTTCACACAAATGCAAGTCCTGTTGCAGCAGACACGGGGGTTAAAGCACGTCAGATCTATAATCCTGCAACGCTGTGGTGTAATTGAAACTTCACATGGTACACAAATAACTATGAACCTTTTTCGATTATGGTGTCATCGATTAGGCAATGGTACTTATTTCAAATTGTAGTCATTTGAAGAATCGTCATTGATTTTGAATTATAAAATACCCATTAGGCTGTGTCATTCCGTTGTCTAACACTGCTCTTTGCAATAGATAATGCAGATATCGAGATGGAAACTTTTCCCACAGTGATCATCCTACAGGAGGTTATGCCATAGTAGGTTATCCCACGTTTTGTTGTGCCGGTGCAGGTATCCAACTAGAAATTTCCCACGGGTATTTTCGCAGCGCAGGTCATATCATGGAGGTTGTGTCGTTGAAGGTTGAACTAATTATGGATAGAATGTTGGTTTCCCTGCCAGTTATAATGGCGGTGACTGTTGTGGAGGCCATTTGGTCTTGGTGTCGATTTATTTGGGAGTCAGAGGAAAGGATGTTTCGATGACCTTGCTGAATATTTCTGCTTCCTGACACGCGGATTGGCATACAGCTTCCGCTCACACTGGCGAATCGTTGCTTTCTCTGGCGCCAGAGGACGTTTTGCATGACGCGCCGCCCTGGTCCTGCCGCACTCTGAACACGTCCTTAGCAGCACAGAGTCGAGGATGTTGTTGGTGGCTGCCAAGTCGAGTTGGACTTTTGAGCTTGCCCGGGGAAAATCGATGTCGATGACCGGGCCGTGGTGGGGTTTACCCTCGACCACATCGCTCGAGCATATTCGGCTCGACTTTCAGGCAGTCTCGTTGCTCCCTCTACCTACTCATCGGAAGCCTATCAATCCACTAGCAGGAGCAATACAGCACAAGCAAGGATTGCTGCAATCTGGGATGATGGCGCTAGTAGGATATCTCCACGAGAGGCGGATGTGTTCCCGGCCACCGCTGTCTGCGTCACGGATCCGGTCCCGGTCCCAGTTCCAGTGCTATTCCCAGCCGACGAAGAAGCCGCATCGCCTGGCACCCCGGTCGCAGTTGGGCTCGGGCTTGGGATAAACGGCACCCCGTTCATCATAGCCTGCACAGCCATGCCATCGCCAACACTCATCCAGTCAAGCTGTGTACACGGGATGTTAGCCGGTCACTCAAGCATTAGGGAGGGAATACAAAAAGAGAAGTAGTTCGCATTCCGGCATAACCCACCAGTATGAAATTCGGGTTGCTTCCGTAGAGTCCGACGCAGATGTTCGCCTGCGCAGTGATGGACGCGGCCGAGTTGGTCACGTTGGCGGCCCCGCGGTTGGGGATGAGAATTCCTGAGATGTTGGTATCGAGAAAGTGATTCACGAGAATCATACGTCCTTGTGGGGACGCCCCCGGTGGCCGGTCGATGGAACATTGCGCGAATGCTGGGTCAGTGAAACTGCCGGGGAGAAACGTGTTAGTCAGGTGGTTTGGTGGCTCGATGCCGCATCATCCAGGGATGATGCTATGTCTGGCACACGTACTCAAACGGACTTTCACTGTCCGCAGCGGCGAGGTTAGCTTTTGATGTGGCAGATACTGTGCAGACATTACCATGTCCGCATTTTGGTGGTTGCTCGAGGCTTACATGATGTACGGGTCGAACTCGTTGAGAATGTAAGGCACCGGATCTCCGGCTGGGAAGTCTGTCGCTTCAAGTTAGCCCACAGCGCCGGCATATCTTCCCTATCCTCGCCTTCCTTTGGAAATACCCACGCACCCATGAAGACAACCAGCCGCTGTCCATTGTCGATCATCTGCCCCAAGGTAGGCCATTGATCCAGAGTCAGATTTCTCCCCGGCGCAAATGCATAGGACTGAATCCCTGCACCCCTAAATACGGCATCGAACGCCGCACCGGTCATGCCATCCTGGTTGGTGAGCAGCAACGTGACGACCTCGCGCGGGTTGGCATCCAGGAACGTCTTGACATCGCCGAGGTACGTGGCCAGCGGCCCCGCGTCTTCGAGAACGCAAAGCGTGTGACACAACTTGATGGTGTTGTTGTCCAAGTGCGTCTGGGCCTGCAGGAAGCGCACGCCCTGCGCCAGCTGCGCGGCGACGGTCGTCTCCTGGTTGTCAGCCACGCCGGTACCCACGAAGGCACTGTCGTGCGAGCCCACCAGCGTGAGGTTGCTGTAGCGCCGGTCGCAGAGCTCACTGTGCCCGTTGCATGGCGCTGCCTGTTGCTGCGCGAGGGCGAGGCCCAGGCTCAGGAGCACGGGTGGGAGGAGCCTCATCGTCGGCGTCGCGGCGATATCAAGAAGATCGGGGGCTCAAATCATGAGGTATATTTGCACTCGCCGACTGATAATGGAATTAACTGCTTTTTGATCGCTGCAATAATTCAGCAGACTTTTCCGGCTTTTTCTGATGGATGGGAGTGTCATGTTTAAGAGCCGTTCAACGTGGCTCTGCTCCTGGGCCGAGCCGGTTGAAACGTCGTCCCGCTATCTTGAAACATGGCGAGCCTTAACCCCAAGCGGAAGTCCATGGCCACTCATCGACGTTGGAGAGAGTCCGTGGCGAAAACATTTGATCATCCTAAGACTCCAACACTAAATATAAAGTTCAAGCTACCCAGATGGACTATCTGAAGATCTCTTCCCGAACCACTAGCCGCATGTGGTCCGAACATATACGGTGCGCAGGGATCCTAATGTTCTGTATACACTTAACAAGCGTATAGTAATGACTAGTGGGATGACCTCTAGTAGGATAATATATAGCTAAATAGCCACTAATTGGCAGGGCTATTCTCGGCAAGATAACCATTTGTGGATGACTCCAAAGGATGAGGATTGCGCCTCGTTACTTGATCCATACTTGGTTCCAGTTGTGCTTTTGTTGAATTTGGTCCTTGCTATATTTTCTGAGCATCTAGCTGAGCCCACAACTTGTGAGACGTCGGAATGTTCCACCCAAGTCTCTAATCGAGTCAACGTTCTCTTGGCCGTCCCACTGGCTCTAGATTTAAGCACTGAGCAGGACTGGATTCAGCTCGTCGCCCGAGGCGAGACGCAGCTGTGTCAAAAGCAACGGTATCTCTGAACAAGTCCATGAAGACAGAGAACACCAAGGGCAGACTCTGACTTTTCAGGCATATTCAAGTGTGATTGGAAAAGCTCCATCAAAATTTTCATTCCGACGTTGCGGAGAATTTTGATTTTGTCAACGAGAGCAAGCCGACACACAGCAAGACCTAATATGCCAAGAAGAATGTGTCCATTATCCCTTTCGATCGCCCCATGGTTGTTAACCAACACAGGTTCCTGATTTCTTTCCTCTGTTTGCTTGTAATGCACACTCATGAGCCTCCTTTGCCACAAGAACCTTGCTACAGCAGTATTCCAATGAATTCGCGGTTTTCAAATTTTCTATCGCCTCTGGTGCTCAAATCGACCCCATAGTGCTATAAAAATATGATCTAGGCTTCGTTCAGAGGTCTATGTTCAAAGACTGCATTTGCCTGTGGCACTTGAACATCTAAATTTCTATCTTTCCTATTTGTATACGCTCTATGTTAGGATTCTCATGCATTCTAATCAACATGATTTCTGCACCAAAATCAGCGATATTGTGTCCTAATAAGTGTGTGTGTGTGTCCTAAGTGCCTTCTAACTGTGAAATTGTGGAAGGACGCTGAATCGTTTGAATAGACCCCGCTATAACGCCGGGGAAGACCACGAAAAACGAGCTGCTCTATGGCTTGACGTTTGGTTCGCGGCAGACAGACTAATTAAGTGGCTCGCTGCAATATCGTGAGACTTTATAACTCCTGTCAGGTATCAATCCAGATACCTTCCCTGATTGTGTACATCCAAACAACACTCTAGGAAAGCACCGACAGGTCGTCCGCATCAAGGAATGCTCCGTTACGTGCACGCACTTCATTTTGGCACCTACAGCCGTCATTGAGCACTATAAATGTTCGTACCAACATGATCTTCTTGAGAATCACGCGACACTGGCAACGGCTTTCTCTGTCTATCCAGATATCACCGATGAGATCGTGCATGGTGACTTTTGAGATATGTTCCTATCAGGCACAAAGGAGTATTTTCACCCAGAGATAGAAGGGCCACTGTGAGGGTGCCATAGCATTTCTCAAAGAACTTGGCCCCTCGGTTCTCATCCTTACATCTGACAGTGCATCAGCGGTAGAACCCGGCTGTGGTTAACCAAAATCCACTCGCTCATGATCTCAGTGCACACATGAGCCCGTCTTCTTCGAAAATATTGAGGGCCAAGACATCTGTCGACAGTATGAATTTCGAGGTGAAAGACTCGATTTCCAGAAACGACGAAGTTATACTGGGATTCATTGGATTCATGTGATACGAATACCTGACTCCAGTACGATTCTCAGCAACAGAAACCTTTCAAATGGCCAAAGAGTGGAATCTGCAGTAACCAATGTATCCCACCTTTGCTCTGGACATTCATGACGACCAGAAGTATCAAGAAATATCGTGAATCCTGATTTGGCAGACCATATGAAAAATTTGAGAGCGGGAAGAAGAGACCAACGTCCCAGATGTATCTACAATGAACAGACTGGAAGTAAGCAACGAAGAGGGTCTGCCTTTGATATTGTACGAGAATCTGCAGCCTTCGTGTCAGATGCCTTGCTTGAGCAATTTTCAGTCCTTGGCTCCATCAACAAGAACAGAATGAAGGGGTTATGCTTCCTTGAATCCGTGTGGCCTTCCCCTGTTGAGACCATTGCTGCATGGCTTGTGGCTGAATCCTTTGCCTCATCTGATCTGCCACTACACGCCCACAGCCAATGGTAAGCAAATTAAACAAAAACTAAACATTACGCCTCAAGCCCTCCAATTCACATTTGCAAGCAACCATCTGATCTGGTCAAAAACACTCGGCGTGGCATTGAAGATCTGTGAGACTGACTAGCTGTTGGTCTGGAAGCAGTCGCAACGCGGAAGAAGAACTGCCTCGCCCGTGAGAAATATCAATCGTTTCTTTACTCTAGCTTCCGTATTTCCCCCCACAAAAGCATCTGGGCCCCATAAATTGGTTGAACAAGGAGTAGAGGCTATCCTCATTGGAAAATCAGTGATCATCTTACCTGAGTTTGGGACACAACAGGTCGCCCTGAAAGCTAATTATGTCATATTATGCGCCAATTTTCTCCTTTTTTGTGATAATTGCAGTTCAATTTGCATTCAAACCAATTGAGAAGACTTGATTTAGGCCGATGGCATCCTCATAAGTCAATGATTCACAGAGCAAGGGCAAACGTGAAGAAAACAGTGGTCCCGCTATGCGCCTAGGTGATGGCCACACCAAAGTTTTGACTCTTGTTGTCCAATACAGACTTGAATCTGTAAGTCTGCAGAAGCATACAAGACTCCATACTACATGATCCTTGGAGCAAAGTTCATTTTCCTGTTTATTATATGTTGTACAAACCAGGAAAGAAGTTTCTTTTTCAGATCCACAATTGAGTTATCCCACGGTCAGGGTATCCCAAGATGGGCTGCCCCAAAAGAAGTAATGTCAACAGAGTTGTATTGATAGACTTTATTTTGACTAAATCCACTCGAATAGAAATTTGCCCTAGATGTTGATGCATGCAAGTCATACGTGCCCACCATGTACGTACCTGGACGTGGGGTGCACGGTTCACCACATGTAGCTGGGAAGGCGCGCTCCTCACAATGTGCACCTCCTGCACGTCACGACAATCTCTGTCAATCGATCAACGCGTCGTCCCCTTTCTACCGTGCGACCTCGAAGACCGTAAATCAACCGCTAGTAGGATAATTGAGATTGCGCTCGACACGAGTTTTTACTTTTTCTTTTTGCCCCGTCGATGAGGTCGGGGTAATCATTCCTACCGCAGAAGGCCAGGGGCATCACACACATCATCATCTCAAGACCATGCCCCTTTCGAGGATCCTCAGGGCACAGCTAGGCTCAAGACGGATGAGTGCCCGTCATTTGTCCCAGCGATCGACTGGCGCTCCGCGCGAGAGGCCATTATGGCTACAGACAGCCCTCGACGACACATCGAGCCCACCCAGGCCTTTCGCCTGGACCTTGGAGAACCTGGAGGGCAATGCGATACCGAAGTCACCTAAGAACCAGCGGATCCACAGTCGAAGCGACCATGAGCGTCGCATCTATGTGTTAGGTGTGGGGAATCTTGGGCGACTTTACGCGGCATGTCTTGCGCAGCTTGACAACCCCCCTCCCATCACGCTTGTCGTCCACCGACGTGGCCTCCTTGAGCACTGGGCCTCCAATCCAGGGATCGAGATTACCCGGTATGGAACGCCAGAGCGTGTGTCGAATCTCGACATAGAATGGTGGACTACGGAAAAGCCGACCATTGGTCCCGTGAGAGAAATTGCCGACGGAGACCGGCTCGGCAATCTGATTGTCGCTACCAAGGCTTCAGATGCCATGCCGCAGCTTGATTCCCTGCGTCGATATTTGGACAGTTCATCTACCGTCCTTTTTGTCCAGAACGGTATGAATCGACTATGGCCTCCGCATGGCCCTGTTTACAATGAACACCGATATCCGGGCAGTCAGCATCCAAATTGGTTGCATGGAGTAACTATGCACGGTGTCTATTCTGAAGGAGCGTTCAAAAGCGTTCACGCTGCTCCGGCTGACATAACGATCGGTCCTGTGTGCTCGAGCAAGAAGCACCCAGAAAACGCCAGCTATCTCACTGAGATGATCACCAAGGCACCACACCTTGCTGCTCGAGCGGTATTACGACCCCAACTCTGGATCCTCCAGTTGGAGAAAATCGTCATAAATATGATTATAAATCCACTCAGTGCGATCCTACGCGTCAAGAATGGCGTTCTATTTGCCGACGAGGACGGCGAGGTTGTCCAGGTGATGGATGCACTCCTGAACGAAACGAGCAATGTGCTCCAGGCCCTAGTGCGACATGAGAGCAGCACACAGATCCTGCAGGGTGACGAGTCGTCTGAGAAGGCGTTGATACAGCGTCTTTCTGCCACGAGGTTGCGCGAAATGTTACATCAGGTTGGAGAAAAAGTAAAGTACAACAAAAGCTCTATGTTTCAAGACATCGAAGCCGGCAAGCAGACAGAAATCGGAGAATTCAACGGCTGGTTGGTTGAAACAGCCGAAATGCTAGACCAGGGCCTAGACGTGAGCAGTCACAAGATCGTGATTGATCTAGTAGAACGAAAGGTGAAGCTCGATAAGGCAGAGCTCGGCAGACGTGTGCTTCTGTGCCGTTGATAAAGAATTATTAATACAGCCGCATTAATCGAGACGTGTCAAGGTCGAGACGGGAGACAAGGCATTGGCAACGGCTTCAGGGATGAAGCTACTTGACTTGGACAGTTCATCGCAGCATTTGCTATCCGGCCGAATCTCACCCGGCCAACTCTTCGACTTTGTAACGACGATGCCATAATACTGATGAAACTCAACTCTGCTCGGAAAGGATCCGGAAGGCGTACCGATATTACGGCTGGAAAGCAAAGACTGACAGGGCCAGCTTTGCAGCTCTGTGCGCATAGCCGCGAGCCTTGTCCCAGAGAGGCGACTAGCATATCGGTACCAACAGTTTGGTGAAGAAGCGGTCCGCTTCCAATTTCAACATTTGCTCCGATTGATCCTTCTTGAAAGACTTGAGCATCTCACGCAGATGCTGGCACACCGCTCTCCCGTCCCGCGTCTGATGGGCTGCAATTCATAAATGCTTACATCGGACCCCCACAAGCCGTCAATGCACATCATCGAGGCCCATGGAGGAGATGAGGTCGGCGTGGATTGTTCGTATTACAGAGGCTGCTGGGGTTTCGGCACTGTGTCCAGTTTCCCAGGTCCTCGGCGTGCCTTAGGGAGCGACGTATAGCCCCTATAAGTCGCCGTCTTATACACGTATAAAGCAACTGTTATTGCAGCGCGCAAGCTGCAACCAGCTGCAACTATTCGTCCCGGCCTCCACAATTGGAAAGTCTGATCCACTGGCGCGGTCGGAACAGGAATCAAGGCCCCACAATGGCTTCCCACACATCATCTTGGTCGCCTTGGTGGTGGTTGGCGCATATCGCGCACCAAGCCGGTCGCAGCCCAAGCCTAAGGCGTGCCTTCACAATGTACTGTTGATTGGACACCTTCTACCACTCGCACGTCTTGGGAACTACGGCATGTTTCAGGCGCGTCTTCAAGAAACTGCGTGATAAATGGTCAGCATTGGTCCTCTCATGCAATATCGGTGGGATGGCAAATCGCGCCTTCGTCACCTCTCGCTGAAACTGGGTTTTGAGCCAATCGAAAGACAACGACACCGCCGCGCTTAAAACGATGATGGAAATTGCAGTTAACAAGCGGCGCGAGCTCTAGCAATTTCTTAGACCGTCTGAACTGTTGAAAGGCTCCAGCTTGCATGATTTACCGGTATGGACCTTGTCCGCGCTGAAGGTTGTTGTCGGGGCTTGGGGTAAAAGTACAAAGCCGAGACAGCAATCCTTTGTACCCAGGGCAGAATCCGCTGAGTCGAATCAGGGTCCGTCTGATGATCCGAAGAACTCAAGAGCCTAGCAACTCATCTCCGTCTCCAGCGGCAATCTACCCATGTCGAGTTGTTCAGACCGACAAGTTTCGCTTCGAGACTGCGTAGCGTTGCATTCCTGCATACTTGCATCCCTCTGTCAGGATCCCGAGCGCGACCTCAGCAGAAGTACCTCAAAGCTGGCCAGGTACAAGACCGGTACAAGAGCCAAGCACAGAGTACTTGGATAGCCTGGCTAGCATGTGTCTGGAGCTGGGCTCCAACAAAAAGCTGGGTCGCTGGAGCCAGGCAGATGGGCACAAATCCCCGATTGGCCGGCCAGTGAGCACCAGGCACACGTAGGGATGTTGCGACCCGTTTTCGCTTGAGCAGGCTTGACAGACGGTCACTTTGTGGGCCGCTTGACCCCAGGCCTGAGCCGGCCGCGTCGGAGATTTCCCACCTTCGATATTTCGGAGGATTGCAGTCGATAAGAATGGGACAAATGACCAAAAGCTTCCGACCTTGGCGGGGCGACAGGCTCAATCTTGATGCTGGCCAGCCAGCGTATCACAAGTTCCGGCCAAGACAAGCAAAAACTGACTCCACGGCGGAAGGTCTGGCACAAGCATCCGCCGGTTAGCTGGCAGATGATCCCGGAAGGCTCCTGCGGATCGCGGCAATGGCCGTGGGGAATTAACTTCAGCCAGTTGGTACTAACCAATCTGTCTACACGAAATCGGGAACCATAACAGAATCTTGCAAATATGGAGCTGTGAATTGGACAAATTTCTCCTGATCAAGTCACGATGTTGGCGACCAAGAAAAATAGGATGGGAGCAAAGAGACAAATTGAGCAAGATCCCTCGATCACGGCGCATCACGCTGAGGAAGGGAGAGGTGCCTTGCAATGGCCAAGATGCAGTCTAATACACACATGGAGCACACCGAGATTTGGAAGCTGATCAAGTAGGTAAGGCGCAGATAAGCTTCAATGTCCCCGTCAGTGCAACATCCCGCACCGACTATGACCGACCGGGGTTTAGTACCAACGGCGGATCGACTGGGTGAAGAAGGTCCATCCGCTGGCAGCTGGAACCGACCACTTGCTTCTTCTTCCTCACCTTGCAGTCGGATGAGACCCCGTCACCATCAACTTTGAAATCACGACGCATATGCCCTATCAACCGGGTTGAGAGCTGACTCGCGTTCTCAGCCTGTCGGCCTGTTCGATGACCGATCTCACACATCTCCCGAGGCAATCTTGGCTCTGCAGCTCCTCCTGCAGCTCCCCCCGCAGCTGCGAGCTCGTGGCCTATTGTGCAGTGCGCCGCGTCTAGATGGCTGCAGGAGCTCCTGCTGATACTCGACTTAAGCAAGCCTTATCACACGTACTCAGGTGACCAGAGGAGAGCCACTGGTGAGGACCTGTCTGCAGTTGTATCGCAGGCGCAGACCGGCGTGGCTTCAGGAGCGCAGCGAGCGATGTATCCAAGCTGCCACTGTCATTCCCGTGGGCGGGTTCCCAGTCGAACCCTCGTGTAGCAGGGCAACGACAAGGAGATCCTGACTGCATCGAAACCCCGCGACTTGTTGTCGAACCACGCACGGCAGTTGCAGACGCAACCAAGCAACCATCAACAGAGTCCCACCCACCACAGGGGGGCTCGGCAGGTCTGGACCGCTCATGTAGCTGTGCATGCGTGTTTCATGTTGAGGGCTGTCGAGCTGTAGCACAGCTCTGTCAGCTGTGGTGCGGCAACGCAACACCACGTGGGCAAGCTTCGAGAGTCATGTCTTGACAACACATGGCTCTGGAGCTCATTGGAGGGGCCGTACCACACCTGGACTCGGGACTTGGGGCAGCGAAAGGAAGCTAGCACGTCTTGACGCCGCGAGCTGCAGCATTTGGAAACTGCCATCAGGCCTCACATCTTGTCTTTTCATGCGGCGCGTACGCCCGCCGCGCCAGTGGTTGAGTTACTTAGTGACTTCTCCAACGTCCTGCAGGACAAGAAACCCGGCGGCGCCGGAGACCGGGCACAAATAAAAATCCCCGGCGTGGGCATCGACAAGCAAAACCGCACCCGGCTCTACTTTTGCTGTCTCTGTCTATCCCTGCCGCTAATCATACCTACCCGATTGCTGGTGCCGTCAGGTTGACATGCCAGAAGCAGCCGGCCTGTCCTACTGTGTGAGCAATACCACATAGGGTGTTCCTCGACACCGTCGCGACCGAAGCGGAGACTTTCTACATCACATTCCATGTATGATTGCCTGTGCCTACGGTAGCCTTCGATGTACCAACCCTTCGCTGATACACCGCGCATCGAGGCGTCAAGGGTTCGCTGCCCCATTGCATCGATGGATGGGCGAAGGTAGCGCGCAGCTGCATATGCACGATGTCTCTCACGCACGCACCGCACGCACGCACACTCATACCATGTACAGTGGTATGCGCACATCACCACGGGAATGGCGAGGGTCCCGCGCTTGCGCACAAAGGGTTGTAGCTGCTCATGAGACGCAACAGATCAGATGAGCGGTGGCAGCAGACGTGCGCCCTTCGTCCCAAGCTTCGGCATGTTTTCTGTGCTGTCGCGGTGAGCAGCGGTCGATCGGCAATCTCTCCCGTGAAGATACGCTTTGAACCGTGGGTCGCAGCGGATCTGGTATCTGCAATTGACTTCGACATGGCGAACTCCGTGCTCTTTTCTTATTTCACATCCTCTAAGCATCTCTTTGGTAACAGATCTTGTCCCTCTGTGTGTGCGTTCCTCAAGGCAGAGGAGGAAAAGAAATCACCCCCCGCCCTCCCCATAGAAAGCGCGCCGCCTGAGAATATGGTAGCATTGCTCGGATGTACTGTTGCCACCTCGGAACCAGTTCGCCCTGGTACCGAAAAAGTATCCGTCCTCACCTGATGACTGCGCAATACCCCCTCCCCCCCATCTGTGCGTCAAAATCTTCTTTCCTCCTTTCCGAGTAACGTTGTCGCATCCATGCCACGGTAGATAGATAAAGTAGGCCAGAAAGGCGGCCGGACCAGCTTCTCGGCAACTATCAGGATTGTTAAGCTACATTGCATTTCAAAGCGACAAAAACCGGACGGTGGCGGTGGTGGCAAGGCCCGACGGTTCGGTTCGGCACTCTCTGACCATTCCTGTGGAAGAGGATTTTTGGGAGGGAGGGGGGGGGGACACGGGTAGGCGGACGAGGGTGTGTGTGGGCGGGGTGGCGGGAGTGAGTGGCAGAAAGTCAGAAAGAGAGAGAGAGCCTTGGTTTGACCAAGTTTGGTACCTGGTATGTGTCACCTCATTTTGACGGCATGGCATGGTGGCATGGCCCTTGGGTGTTCGATGGGACGGACGGCTGGGAAGAGGGAACCCGGCCGAAAGAGGACGGGGAAGAGGGCCGACGATCAGTCCACGCGCCTCCCGCCCACCCCTGCGGAAATGGTTTGTAGAATTGCTGCGAAAAGCAAGGCTTTCCACGCTGCTTCTTTCTTTTTTTTGTGATTTCACACGAGGTGATCGGCAGCACTCCGCACCTGATTAGTCGCTTGCCACATGCAGCTGCAGCCCTGCCTGTTGGTTACATATTTGGTGGGTGCTAGGCGGACTACGATGTACCAGAATCTTCCATAAACGGCAAATTGATCTGCTCGTATTTTCAGAATCTGTGTGGACGAAAGAACAAGGTGAGTATTGCGCTTCGGTTGATATGTCTACAATCTATGCAGAAACAGACGGGCTGGAAACAGTGGCAACTTCATGGCTGCGGGATTAGACCAGTTTTTTTAGGATTATGTACTCATCGATTGAGTGTAAATATGTATCTGGTAGAAGCAGAGGGAGCTTTGACAAAGAAGACACACGGTGATGATGATATGTCCAAGTATATGCCTTGCGAAGATGCCAATCTCCAGGCCAACAATGGTGCTGCTCTTGCAATCCCTGTCCCGACCTTTATGATTTTCCTGACGCCTTACAAGATGTGCAAAAATGGTATTTTAACCGAAAAGGACTCCCCCCTGCTCAGGTCGTCAAACCTTATCCCTGCTCGGCCGCATGATTCCCCCCATTCCAAACATTACTGACGACCAGGGGAGGATGAGGTCCAACCCGGCGCCAGGCCCGGATCAGCGTGTCGTCGATGCGTCGCTGTTGCTGAAGAATCGTAGTGGGGCCCGAGAGAGCTTCCGAGTGTATCGTTAAATGGGCCGTGACGCGTATACCAGAACGACCCTCCCTCCATGTATACGTATCTGCCGTAAAAGGCCCAAAGGGACCGTGCAAGCTGCCAGTCTATCGTGGTGGTGAAGTGGGAAAGTCATAACAAAGAAAACCCCCACAATCGAAGGGTGTAGGGCAAGAATCCACAAGGATCGGGTATCTCTTAACATTATATTCCATCTGGGCTTACTCCTCCTAGTTGATTTGAAGACATGGGAAAAGCGTTGGCGATGTAAAAGAAGCCCTTCGCCGTCGCTGGAACCACAGGACAAGGTACAATTCGGAAGAACGACAGTGGTACGGTACTCGTCTCGACAGTCAAGAGCCCTTCTGTGGGGTGTGATTGAAAGACACCTGTAACGTGTAACGCGCGCCGACAAGGCACCGGTATGATAAGAGATAACGCTCTTGTCACGCTGATTGTCGCAAGACGCGTGGGAATCCAGCCAACAGTCGGCTGACGACAGATGCGTTGTGATGGTTGCTTGGTCTCTGTCGCTTTTTTAAGCAGCCGGTCTCCTGCTACTGCTGGAGATGCTGCGTGTAGACCGTATTCGAGGGCTGGGAGGGCTGATGCGTGTAGACAGGGTTCGAAGACTCAGCGTGTGGCTGAGAATAGACGCTTGTGTCCCCTTCAGGAGCAGAGACTCCTGGAGAGGACGCTGATTGCTATAAGTTCTCGTCAATGAGCTGGGCAGCCCTTTCCCGACAAGCAGCGGGCGTAAAGCCTGTGCCAACTTTGTTCGCAACAATGCGCCATTTTTCGTTTTCATAGTCCTGAAGAGCGGTGCGTAGCTTTAAGTCCTGTATGTAAGTAAATCAGCATTGTTGACCCTGAAGATTTACTGCAGTCTCCCTGAAAAGGAAGTAAATTGGCGGAGATGTTGTCCAGACGCGAGCTGAAGGAAATCGGACACTCACCGTCTCGTCTGTCCACTGTGTTGTCTTTGCCTTGAGTTTTGTACAGTATCGAACCTGAAGGGTGCCACTGGAGCGCCCAGGAAAGAAGTCCGCAATTTGCTTCCACGTGAGGCTCTTGTTCTCCTTCAAATCTATGAGCAGCTGATCATCCTCCGGTGTAAACTTAAGTTTAGGTCCCCTGGGCCTCGGCGCTGGTTCCGGCATTCCCTCTTGTCCCACAACACTCGGTGCTCCTCCCCCGAGATTTTCGTCCCGCCGCATCAGCTTCGATGGTGGCCCTGTGTCCGGGAGACGGTGGTGATGATGAGTCGGGTGGGATGACCCGCCGGCAGCTTGGGCATACGCGGCGCCAAGCGGGGTTTGCTGCATCGAATCCATGTCCCCTTGTTCAAGGTCCGGCATGCCATGTACCGAAAGATCAAGGTCGTCTGGCCTGGACCGCTTGACGCCAGGGCTTGGACCCGGCGCCATAGAGGGATAGAGAGGAGCGACTACTGAGTGCGGAGACGGACCGGGCCCACCAAAATGTGAAGGTCCAGGATAGGACTGCCGATGCGCTCCCGGGTGTCCGCCCAGCTGCCCCGGGTCCATGAGGACCGGGAGCGGCCGGTGTGCGGACTGGTGGTGATGCTGCTGCTGCTGCATGGTTGTGTAGTGAGGCTCTGTGGGACTGTCATGGAGAATCGAGGGCCCCGTGTGATGGATGGAGGGTCGGTGATGTTGCGAGCTGTACCCATGAGGCTGTTGGCCCTGATCGCCCGGATGCGAGTCCTGTGGTGAGTAGTCGACATTGTAGTCCCCTCCTATTCGGTAGTTGCCCGCCAGCGTGTCTCCGCCGCATGGGGTCCGCCAGAGCGAACCGCCCTGGCCGGGAGCCGGAATCTGAATGGAAAGAATTTGACTGACTGGAGCCCCGTAGGGCTGCCTCGGGTACTTGGGGGGAGAGTCTGCTGCTTAGTAGGCGCAGATGACGCCTCGCCGTCGATGATGCTCTTCGCGGACTGTAGAGTAGTTGCGCCGTTGCTGGTAATACAGCAACCGAGTTCATGTGTCGACGACAGAGTGGCGGAGGAGGAGTGGCGGTTTGTTACCGAAAGGTGTGGTTGAGTACAAATCGGTAATTGACGTGGTTGGCTATTATTGCTTCCTTGGAGTTTGGCGTCAGATACTTCGGCGGTGGTGGCAGAGACTCGATTCCCTCAACAACTCATAGCCACCAAGCCAACATCCTTCGACGAGGCTGTCTGATTATTTCCCAGTGGCGATGTGGTACTTATACTTCACGGAAAAATGTGTCGGGCTAGGAAGAGACGATATTGACACGATGGTGAGGACTGTTATGTCGTCTGATGTTTGGTGTCGTGTGGAAGGGTAAAAGTCTAGCAAGGTGTGGATGCCGAGGGGAGGTACCTTCTTTAAGGCTCTCTGCTGGCCAACAGTAAAGCAGACATGCGGTCCGCCAGCCATGTGCGAAACAGGTACTGTTCCTGAGATGGTGCGGAGACTTGATTTACCTCTGCTGAGCAGGGACGGTAGCATAATTTGGGGATCTTATGCCATGGCCTACCCACTGGGTATAGAAACGAGACCCCGGCTTCGAGGCGTGATGCAACGGGAATACAATGGTACTCCGTCGACAGGCTCCAGACTGATGGACAGGGGGCCCCTTCCCTCGAAGTTCTCCAGCACACTAGGCCAAAACAAGGGGAGAGTGGTATTGTGGTGAGATGGTGTGGGAAGTTGCCAATGCTCTCTCTCCAAGTGGGAGAGAGAGCCGCGAACAAAGGACGCCAGCAGGACGGCCAGTGCACGCGAGCGCGAGGATCAAGCTCCAGACAACGATGGGGCCTGCTTGGAGAGGCTGTGAATGTGGAAAATGGCCCCCGAACCCGCGAGGGAGGCGAGAGCCGACAGGGGACTTCGCTGCTCTTTGCTGTGCGTGGGAGGGGATGAACAACGGGGCGTGAAGGTACTCCAGGGTACGGCAGAGAGCCCAAGGTACTTTGCTGGCACCCTGTTCCAAGGCGAAGCGGGGTCCCTGATGATGGAGAAACAGGGCAGCGGCGATTGTGGAAGCCAGAGCTTCCGTTGTTCTGCCCCGGAGGATGGGGTATAATGTGACTGGGGGACCTATATCAGACATCAGAGAAAGCGCGGTTCTCAAACGCCATAGGGCGAGGTGCACTGCAGGGTCGTTGCAACCGAAGAATTAGTGACCCAGATTGCCGAAGCGCAATTGTCAGGGAACTGGCCGAGTCGAGGGTGACACGGGTCACATAGGCGCGCGTAGTCGTAGCTCTGAGCGGCCTCATGTCGTTTCTGTGGGGATTTGTAAATAGTCAACCACATGCGTACAAGCAACAGGAACTTCGAGCTTGCCTACTGAGAAGGCAGGCCCAAAAGTTGCGCCGCACTGCTCAGGCCCGCAGTCTCAGAAGCCGGTGCCGTAATCATGTGCCGGAAGACACCGACAGGTCCAGAAGTGGGAAGAGACGACATCTCGAGGCCCTGGAGTGCTGGGTATGGAGCAAGCTTGACAGAACCGCGATCAAGGATGGGTCGGCCCTACCTTGCCGGTGGTCTGGATGGAATGAAGCCGCTGAGCAGAGAGGATGCGCCGATTGACGACCAGGTAGTAAGGAGTAGGTCCCGCAACATCTGAGCGTTGTTTACTGTGTGCCCAATATGGGATGACACGGCGCTCGGTCGCACCTATCCGTTCATCCCCCCCTTTCGGTGCTTTTTTTTTTTTTTTTTTTTTTTTTTGCCAATGATACTTGATGGGGATTCAAATGTCATTTCCATCCACTGCAAAGCGCCGTGCGTTCCTGCGTGCCTCGAACACTTGTTTTCATGACGCGGAAGTGTTCGTCCTCACACGGGCAGCAGCGATGGCAGTCACAATCGCAGTGGTGGTAAAAGCAGCAACCTTGAGGTTCCTAGCACAGCACAATGCTCCGGCAAACAGAGTTCTGGCCGAGCAGCCCGGGGGGGTCTCATTTGAGTACTGCAGGGGGCATCGTCACCCCTGCTTGTCGGCATCTCCAAGATTGCGCGATTCAATGCTGTCAGATCCGCAGTGGACGGTTTGATCCTCCATGGACCCATTTTGTGAACAGCCGATGGCAGCGTCTTGCGGGAGGAGAGATAGCCCCTTCGCGCGCTTGCAAGCTTGGGATTGGCATTGGCCATCATGGCGACTGGGCGACTGGGCGAGTGCGGCGCGGGCTGAGGCAAGGAGCGGTTTGGGGTCGTAGGCAGGGATCTGCATGAAGGAAACGCGTTTCACGGGACCTGGCAATTAAAAGCTGGATTATGCGGGACTGCAAATAGTGGTGTGCTGGTTCTTCTGGAAGGCGAGGCAGCTTCTAGCGTCATCCAGGGGAGCAGCAGCTGGGGCTGTGGGCAGGGTGCAGTTCCACCTGATACCGGCCTGCTGGATTATCATCGTCAGTTTTGCCGACATGTGCATGAGGACATGGTGGTGGACGAACCATGGGATGCCCTCAAAGGGGAAGTTGGCCCGGTATTGGCATCCGTTGCACCCTCGCCAGGAGAGAGGGAGAGGGCGAGGGAGAAAGAGGGTCCGGCCGAGGCGTCTGACTGTGGTCCCAAGGGGGCATTCTGCTGCTGTTGAAGGGGAAAGATGATGGCAAAAGGAGGCGTTGCCAGGGACTGGGACTGGGACTGGGACTGGGCCCGGTGGGATATGTTTCAGAAGAAGGAAGAATGGGACAGAATAGTCAACGGGAGGAAGGTTTTGGGACTTGGCCAACACGGCAGTCGTCCGAGGAAACGGGCAGCCAGCCAGAGCCAGACGGCGTGACTTTGTTTGCCCACCTAGACTATCTAGTACAGAAGAGACGTTACGTATGGATGTGTTGGGAAGTCGGGAAGCTGTTCCGTTTCGCGAGGCAGCAACCCCCGAAAAGGGCAATATCAGTCACGAATGCAGCTGCAGCAGCACCTGCACCTGCACCTTTACCTTTGTGTCTTGCAAGGTTGGAGGCCATGTCATGTATCTAGACTACCAAGGTAACCCGCCAGCGTGGGGCCAATGTGTAGACGGGCAGGGTACCTATCTAGGTAGGCAGGTACCCACGCAAGAGTAGGAGTGAGTAAGTGCAAGTGCAAGTGCAAGCGCAAGCGCAAGTGCAGAACAGAACAGGGCAGGGCAAGTACACGATCACGATGTGCATGACGCAACCTGCTGTGTACATACATACATACAAACTTAGAACTTACCGTATCTGCACCTTTACCCTACCGTATTCCTCGACCAAATAGGAAGCCGCGCGAGAACATGCACCAAAACAAGAGGACGGGCACACGGTAGAACAGAGCTACCGACCACCGAGCACCAAGCACCAAGCATGAACCACAGAGCTGTCATCTGTTTACTCATCACTGACTAGCAACTGATTGACCCGGCTGTGCAGAAGACCAATTACTCCGGAGACACGGCAATATGCAATGCTACCTCAGCCTGAACCGCCTGGTGGGATAACTTACATGGATCACAAAATCTGGGTGACAGGTCCAACTCGACGACAGTGGCATCATGGGCCGTAGTGGGCAAGGGATCATCGCAAGATCCAACTCTATCTGGCACCAGCTCCCGTGTGCTATTGGAAGCCCCATGAGCATGGACATCAGGCGTCTGCCGTATTTCGCCTGGACACGAGGGCTGCGCTGGACATTGCCGATACTCTGGGCGAGCTATCGTCTGCATCTGCATCCATCTGCATCTGCATCGTCATCGTCACTTAACCCCCACTCTCAACCTCAGCCAGCTGTGGCGGCATCCCCGCGGTCTAGCAGGTCAACGCAATGTAGGTCTGCCCGTTGATGGGGTCCCGCCAGTCGATAGTCGATGATCCCACACTATGGGTCGGTCCCCTGTTCGCAACCAAAGAGGGGCCCGGAAGAGCTGATCACCGACCACCAAAAATAGTTCGAGCAAGGGGAATGATGCATCATCCTTTCAACGTTAAACAGATGCGTCACGCACTGCTACTGCCACCCCGACAGCAGAAATCGCAAGGGCAGAGCAAGCCAAGCCAGGGGAGGTCAACTTTCTTCAGCCCTACCGCCGAACCGCCCCCCCCGACCACAACGGGATTCATGCAGACCCCCTGCGATCTGCCCGCCTAGATTCAACAGCTTGCTTTGGCGATAGCATCAGCTGCCAAAAGGCAAAGAGAAAAGGGAAAGCAGGACGGAGGATCCCCACCAAAACCTTTTCTCACGGACTGATCCCCGTCGTCTCAGTCACTTGCTCGCCCACCGCAGTGCTTGCCGACTTGTGTCGACATTCTGACACATGCACCAGCGCATCAAACACAATCCAAATACTCTGCAGATCATCCGAGATGGTCCAACCCTGTTCAGAGAGCAAGCGCCGCTGTGGACGGGGTGAACGGGGTGAACCCACCAAGCCGTCACCTGGTCAATTCCCCGGAGCCCCCGTCCCAGCACCCAACAGCTCAGCACCCAGGAGCTCATCACCCAGGCGCAAGACAGGCCAGCCCGAGGAATTGGGCAATTGGTCCGGCATTTAGGCCGCGCCGGACTCTCTCCAACATCACCAGCATCGCTGGACTGACTTACCACCCTTGAACAATGGACGCTCAGAGAAGCGGATAAATTTTCTGAAAGCTATTCAACGTGGCGGCTGGCCGGGTTCATCGCCCCTAAGAAGGCAGGTTGGCTCTGAGGGTAATCAATCTTCCACATGCCTCGAGAACGGTGCGCTGGCAAGTAAGCTTAAATCTTCAAACCATATCGATTGCCTCTTATTGTCCCAATTCAACAATGGACCCCAGGAGAAGAGATGACCCCCCCTTTTTTGGTCTCTTTCGCGTCTAGGGGCAATGCACCATTCACACAACTTCGGAAGCAGCGAGGAGTCTGTACTGCCGAAACTCCGGCCGCGCCTCTACCAACCAAGGGCGCCCGCTGTGTCTCCTGATCGTCAGCAACACACCTTCGCCGCCCAGATCACTCGGCTCTTTGGAGCTAATCGAAAATTATCTGCCCATATTTGCCTTGCCATGGAGGCTTGACAAGACAAGGTTTGCCTTCGAAACCAAATACAAGCCCTTTTGACACGCACGTGGTGCAGAAACCTTGAGGAGGACCGGCGCCTAGAGGTTGAATTGTAGAAATACCGTGCACTGCGTCGCGGAATTGGCCCCTTGCATAAGTGCCTTACCCAGAATACTGCGTACTCGCATCCTCAGGATCTCGCCGACTTCCTTCTAGAAGGCAGATCAGAATCAAAATTGCACAATTAGAGTGTCCTGGGCGGTACTCAGCCCGATCCGCGTGCGCCCAAATGGCATGCATCCGTGCGGATCGCTACCGAATTGCAGCTGCCAGCTAATGAGGCAAGGATATTCAGGCACCGAGGCAGGGGGTCAGGGCGAAATAAACTTTCGAATCTGACCGAAACGACCGAAATGCACAGATGCCTCCCATGCCCGGTAGACTTTGTGTCTGTCTGGACGTCAAGCGGGTACCGGCAAGGGGAACCACAGTAAGGTTGTATCGCTTGGCTGACGGCTGCGGGACGATCTCGACGGCCTCCCACAGTAACGGCGACAAAAAGATCACACGCCGCCACCACTCTCGACATCATTCACCATCACCAACATGGCAACAACCACCGCAGGGGTGGAAATTGCCCGCAGGCCTTGTAATTCGAGATGGTCTATGCAAAATAACTGCGAGATGGATATTGAGCCACCCAGCGTACCTGCGCCCGCTGGTCCGTAACCATAACGCAATCCTCCCAAGTAGGGTGCGCTGCGGCTGTGAGTTTGGGGCGTGGGGAAATTTGGCGACGATCACTTCCTCAGCCACACCGACGCATGCATGCATGCTATGTATGTATGTATGATGTACGTGTGTACGTGTGTACGTGTGTACATACACGCACTCCCGATAACGCGGCGCAAGGTGATATCCACTCAGCCGCGCAGCCTGGTGTTCAGTCCCCAGCCCTGTGGAAAGAGAGCTGCGGTCCTGGCGGGACGGTCACGGGTACGGCGGATGCCCACCTCCCACCTCCCACTGTTACGCGCGCCGATGTTCCCCTTTTTAGGTTCAGCCTCACAGAAACAGCCGTTGCGGCTAACACAGGAACCCGCTGACGCCGTTGTTGCTGCTAGAAGCCGCCACCGCCGCCGAGTGGGAGGGTCGAGACCAGAATACATGGGCACCCTCCCTCTACGCTGATCTTGGACCTCGAAGCACGGCTTGCGACTGGACAGCCAAGTTCATCCTAAAGCCAATTACAAATTTCCAGGTAATGGGAGCTAAGTCTTGACAGCTCCCACCAGGTGAGCTACCAAGAAATGCTTGACCCTGAGCGTGCAACGTTGTCCCCCGGAATAGCAGCAGAAACTCCAGGGAGCTACATCAGGTACAACAGCCATGCTAGCCGGATGAGGCATCGTCAACGTCGACCGCCATCCTTAACCCAAACGAGAACGGTCTACTGGAGACTAGGCTACTGTACTATGTGGAGAGCTAGGACTCCAACTACTGCACGGTACACACATTTGCGCATCTAGACTACGGACTGTCAGAGGAACATTAGAAAAATGCCCGACGAGGCATTGATGCATGAAGCTCTGCAATTTCAAATCAACCACGACAAATGATTACATACGCCAGACAGCTTCTTTTCTGGGGAGAGCTCTCCTACTGCTAGCCATGTGTCCCCTCCACCCCCCTCTCCGGCTCAAGTCTGCGCCCGGTGTACTTATCAATCCCCACCGGGAGGGCCAATCGTTCCCTCGACGGTAAGGCCGCCTTCCCCGGCGCCTGTTCAGCCTTGACAAGGTGACAACTCAACAGAGCCAATAGCTCTCGGAAAAAGCAAGCAGCAGAGCAGAAAGGGGACACCGACCCGGAGTGCCACAGCTTGGAAGGAAAGACCAAAAAACAAGGTAAGAAAATACGCGGGCCCATTTGGCGCATGCGCCGGTGCGACGGGAGCGAGCACGTGCCCACCGACGGGCCTGCTTGACTGCTTCTGGAAGGCTCATGCGGCCTCCGCGGTCGCTTATTCCTGTGCGATCGTCCCAAGCCCCACGCCACGCCAATGCAGGTACAAGTACAAAAAAGCTCGTTCTTTTACTACGGGGTCGGGTTGCAGGCTTGGAGGCGCTGGATCCAACGTCATGCCAGGGCACGGAAGAAACGCTGCCCTGGCAGCCGGGGCTGGCGCGCATGGCGATGGCTGGAACACGAGTAGGCGACGGTGCTCAGCGCACGCTTTTTGAATGGCAGGATCATGGCTAACGATCTAGACATAGACACGGTCAACATGAAATATTGAATGGCTTTCGCAGGCTGCTTGTTCTCCTTTTTTGAGTATATCACATCACATACATCTTGTACAGTACAATCTCGGCTCTTCATCCTCGAGACAAGGGAAACAAAACACAGCCTCGCCGATGCCCTCGGAAACGCCGCGTCACCAACTACCCCTATTACCAAAGGGTGACCGTAAAACCACACCCCGTGCCCCAGAATTCTGCCTCCAAAACAGCAAAGGAGGCGATCGGCAGCATGGGAACGCAAGGCCGGCCAGACTCAACCTCGCGCATTGTGTTCTCTCCTTCGATCCCAAATTCGCCTGTCTGGCGGAGCTTCCCTCTCCGCGTTTCTTCCCCTTGGGAGACTGGCCAGCTCAGCCATTTGCTCCCTCCTTTTCTCATCCACGGGCCCGGAGGGCCGACGGTCCAGACCCAGCCGTATGCGTGATTCAGACCATCTGCAAAATGCCCATGAAAACTTGTCCACACAAGACAAATGATAGTCAGCTCGCTTAGGCAAAGTTGTCGCTCCTGTCCACCCCGATGTCCTCCAGCTCAGCAAAGCTCTGGAAGTGGACTGGCCGGTGCGCATCGCTGTAGAACGGCAGCGGGGTATCGAGCTTGACACGGACAGGTTTCTTCTCTAGGCCGGAGAACGCCGAGCCCATGAAGCTGTAGTTCCACTGACTGGTCTCGGGAACCAGGAAGAAACCTCGGTATCGCGGGCTCAGCAGCAGCTTGCGCTTCTCGCCCATCGTCGTGGTGAAGCCCTGCGGCTGGTCGCTTTGCAGGTCCTTGTTATCCACACCCCACTTGTAGCCTTGGGGACTCAGTGCCCATGCGGACAGAGACACACTGCCCGGCGTGAAGGATACTGACACCGTAAGCGTCTTGTTCTCGTGCCATTCGCTGTGAGCGTCAAGCAGCTTAGCGTGTTCTGTGACATCTGCTGCAGACATGTAGGGCAACTCGTTGCCTGACATGGTATGGATCAAGCCGAGGGGTTCCAAGTCCTTCAACAGCTCGTGCTGAGGAAGCTGCTGAGGCAGTTGAACGTTCCGCAGGCCACCAATCTGAGGAACCAAGACGATACACTTGATTTCCTTCACCTGGTCGTACTTGGGTGGTGAAGACCCGTATAAATACCCAGCCACCTGAACACGCAGATCCGCAATCTGGATGAATCGCTTGAGGATATTGTTCGGCATGACGTACGTGATCTCCTCTGCATCATTGTCCACGGGAGAGACGTAGATGTTATTGGAGCGAGTACGCAGGTTGGAGCTTGCAATGGCTCGTGTGCGCCATTCGGTCTTGGATGCGAATGTTTGCTGCTCGAACTGAGACGTCGTCGTGACAATGATCTCCTCCCCGTGGACATTTTGCGTCTTCGTAGTGACAGCAGTAAGTTGTTGTTGCTCCTGTTGCTGCTTCTCGATTTCCGCAGCTTGCTGTCTCTGCAGTGATGGAGCAGAAATCTCCATACCAAGGATAATGTCACGAACCTCACTGCTTGTCAAGCTGGAGACATTGACATTGTTCTTCTTTCCGTAGTCGTTCAAGATCAGGTCTCTGAGTTGCGTCTCGACCTTGATCCAGTCCTCGTCGGACAGAGTTGGCCAGATGTGATGCTCCTGTGTAACGACTGTCTTGTCAGGACGCAAGACAAGCTTTGTCTTGTCCATATTGACATGCAGAGCACGCAGGATCAGGATCAGACGTGAGAAGGCGGTATAAGACGAGATGCTCTTGAGCCACTCATCGTAGAGGTTAAACAGCACCATCTGGGGTTCCGTCGCTCTGAGGATCATGTCGCCCAGCTTTTCGACCTTCATCGCAGCCTGGAACGGCAATTGCAATTCAGACGCCCGAATGGAAATGTTGGGGAAGTCGAGTAGATTCACTTCCAGAGGATCAAGAAGGCCTTTGCGAGTGACGATGAGCTGTTTCGGCTGCTCTTCTACCGGCAGCGATCGGATAAGAGCAGCAACTTCTTCAGCTGTCTTCCATTTCGCCAATTGGCCCAGACGCTTCTGTCCAGCCCAGACGCTCGTGTGGATGATCTTCAAGAACAATTGCCCGGTCCTCGGGTTGAAAATAAAGATGGCTCCGTTGATCGGCTTGGTCGTTAAGTTGCCTTCAAAGGTCTTGTGGATGGTAACACGATACACGTTGGTATCGTCAATGAACAGCTGGGTCTGGTTGCTGAACAGCTCGGAGTAGTTCTGCGAGTTCAGGAACTCCTGATTGCTCTCAGAAGCGTACAGCTGAAGACCCTTCCGAATACGCTCACGGAGAACATAAAGGGCAGGGTTCGCCTTCATGATCTTGGCCATGGCTTGTTGAATGAGCATCTTCAGACCCGGGAAGTAGTGGCCGTACGCGGAGTACAGGTTATATGCTAAATCTATCCCGATCATAAGGCCAGTTGCAGAAGGGTATAGACTCATGCTGTCCGTTGTGTAGTCGAGGTATTTGGCACGGACATATCGCTCAATGTCGTGGGAGTCGTAGTCGCCGTATCTCAGTTGGACATCAACCCAGAACTTGTTCGTCGTGTGTGGCTCAATGACATCTTTGGTGTCGAACAGCATTGAAGGCCGGGTCACGTTCCATTTGTGACTCGCAAAAAGCTGGATATCAGCGCAAGAACTGTTCATCTTGTACGACTTTCGAGGGTGGATCGTCTCTTTCTGAACCGATTCAATGGACAGTGACTCGAGCTCCTGATCGAAAACTTGGCACTGTGCATGGGTTAATAACTATAGATCGCAAATGGAGGAGAAATGAACTTACCAAGTCCATAACGACACTCTCATGAATCTTCTGCCACAGATGGGCTCGGAAGATCTGGATCAAGGAGATCTTGAGCGTCGGGATTTTACCGTGGAGGAAGATGCCGGTCAAATCGAGTTGCACTTGGAAACCAACATAGACGTTTGCCCTGTTAATGGTCTACAGTAAGAGTCAGCATAATGTACGTTCATTGCCATTGGGAGGTTATCCTTATGAAGATTATCCTCATGGAGATTATCCCCATGGAGATTATCCCACTGGAAGGTTATCTCATGACAGGTTATCTCATGACAGGTTATCCGAAAGGAAAGATGATGGCTTGTGGGCGACAGGAAGAGGTGCGACTTACAGGTGACCACCACAAGGTAAACCGACGATTCGGAATCTGGTTAAGACCGGACCGCTGGGCGTTCGTCAATTTCTTGAATTTCATACTTTCTTCGAAGCCTGAAGCCTTCTCCCAAAAGAGACCCTCCCAAGAGGGGAATCCTGTTGCCTTGAAGAGTGTGTGCTCCAAAATGGTCTCGACACCGCCCAGAGCCTGGATCACGTCTGTGCGGTACGCGTTCAGATTCCAAAGCTTTCCATCATGCCTTTGGGAGGTCCACCAGAACGGATTACTCTTCATCTGTTGATAGATTTTGAATTCTGCTCTTGCACGGAATCCCTTGTCGAAACTGAGGGTGCTTCGATCCTTCTGGAAAAGCGTGTTGATTCTGGGTAGTCCTCGATCCCAAGAGTCCTCTAGATCCTCCAAGGTCAGGCGGCGATTCTGCTGATTCGCTTCGAGTCGCTTCTGAGAATACTCAGTCCATACCCGCTGCGAGTCGATGAACTCTGACTCCCACGGAATGATGTATCGGAAGATATTTGGAATCAGAGTCTCTTCGTCATGTGTCATACCAGCGCGGTAGTGCGTCACGCCAGTGTCAGTCTGCTTCGACCACCGCTTGTCGCTCGCTGGAATCAGGATATGTGATCCTGAAATCATACCTAGACCTCCAAGTTCCTTCGGTGTATAGAAGACAGCTGGTGGAAATCGCGATGGCATCTTCGAGTTGAGACCAATCTTCACACGGGTCTGGATCTTGGTCTCGCACTTGACAATGGTGTCGAGAAGGGTAATTGTCGACACCGCTGCCTCGCGATAATAAGTGAAAAGGGCAATAAGCGCGGTGTTCCACTTGTTGGCAATCTTGGTGAACGTTGTCGATCCAGACGACATAAGAATCTGCCTGATACGGTTGTTGAACTTCTGAACATCTTCCTCAGTCACCTGCAAGAAGGCGTGCGCTGTTCTCTCTTTGCTTTCATTATCGACCAGAGACCAGACACTGTCCTTGACCGGGAATTCTTCGTTCTGATTCCGAATCTTTGGCAAGATGCGAACCTCGAATCCAGACATCGAGAAGAGCAAATTGGGATTGTCTCGGCTGTAGACACTGGCAAATGTGTCATCCCATTCAATGGTCGTGATAGAGCGCGGCAGCCGGTTCTTCAGATCCCAGAAAACTGCTCGCCCAAGGTTAACGTCGTGCCGCATGAGTCTCATACGCGAGTCTTTAGGCCAGCACTTTTTGCTCTTGTAGCCGATGACATTCTCAAAATTGGGATCAGGCTGCTCGGTCAAGAATCTCTGGATCAAATCCCTCGATTCGTCCGCTGTGAATCTCAAGAACATCCAGATCTTGTCAATGTAGCGGGTATAAAGACGAATGGGGTGCTTTGTCTCAGTCTCGCGATCACTGAACTGGAGGAAGTCGTTGGGCTTTTGAGGAGGACCAGCAATCTCGGTCGCTCGCTGAGGCCCCAAGAGTAAAAGATCGAGGACCAGGCCGTAGTATTGGAAGACAAACGCGGAGAACTGAAGACCACGAATCATGCCGTAGCTGTTGACGTGGTTCATGTCCTTGTAGGTCAGCGTGACGTTGTTCTTTGCGGTGATGTAGTCTGCCAGGTTGTGGTCCATGATCAGCCGAAGCAGAGAGTTTAGAAGAGTCAGCTCAATCTTCTCATAGATCTTTGACAGTTGCGTCTCGATCATGACGTTGCATTCGCCATCCTCGGTGACCCAGACACTTTGCAGGTTGTTGATGCCTTGAGCCCACTTATAAGTCAGAAGGGGCGGGACTTCTGAATCTGATGGCTTGATCCACGCGGGGAACAAATGCCGCTGATCGGCCTGGTACCAGAGGTATTGGTCCAAATACGCATCACTGATCTTCTCGATGGGCTCGATATCGTAGACGGGATTGATCGTGCTGTAATTGTCGTTCATGTCGATGCCGACCTCCTTGAAAGCTCTTTGAGTAAGCAAGAACCGCTTGATGCGTTCCAAAGTCGTGCCAGGGCTATCATATGCCTGCTCAATGAGGGCCAGCTCCTCACGCTGACTCTGGTTGAGACGGCCCTTGGTTGAGTATGCCTCGCGTAGTCGTTCGAGAGCCAAAATCAGGATCTTGGTGTCATGCTTATAGGAAACACTGGGGAAAGGTATGGGAGAGAACTTGCGAGATTCCAACCAGTGCACCATGGTTGTGTAAATCGCCACAGCTTCTTCAGAAGAGACGTAAGGGCCGTCCTTCATATGGTTATGCTGACGTTCTTGCTCCGCCTTGAGCCAGAGACGCGTGAGACGGCCAACGTTCTTCTTGGCTACCGTCTTGTCGACCGTAGCACCTCTCCTGATTCGCTCACGATTGTAATGCGCAACTGAAATCCACCAGTCCGCCTTTGACTTGACGTAGCGCAAGATGATATTCTCAATGGCGGCAGGTAAGCCAGGGACCTTCCACGGGATGTTGCTCTTCCAGCACCTCCATGCTTCAGAAAGATGTTGCAGCACCGTGTTCACCTTATTCTGCTTGATACCCTCAGGCATCATGTCCATGAGGTCAGCCATGACGGACGCTCGGAGCTCCAAGTCGAAGTGAGACTCAACACGCTGCTTCGTCACTGTCTTGGCGACACCCTTGGAGTGGCGACCCTCAAACTGACGCGAAAGCAGGTTGCCTAGCCAGCGCTCGAGCAGAGGAATGATGCCACGCATGAAGAAGAGCCAGACTCTCCAAGCAGGGGCCCAGAAACCACAACCAGGCCCCTTTCCGACGGGGCCGGCATTGAAGCGGTAGTAGATCAAATGCTTCAAATCTTTGCAGGTTCGGATTTGATGCATCAACTTGTACTTGTAGCGGTACATTCCCGTGAGCTGACCAACGTGATTGAAGGCGTAAAGGATACCGTCAGCGAGCTGGAACGCATCGATGTTACCCAAACGGTACTGCACTTGAGCATCGACAATAAGTTTAGTAAGACGCAGAATCTCACGCATGAGATGGAATGCATTGCCAAAACGAGACTTCTTCCGCTCCTTCGTCGTGAGGGTCTTGACAGGCTTGAGGTTGAAGTTGTAGTCCAAATGAAGATATGTGAGGTTCTTGCGGTGGATGAGAAGGTTGAGCATGTTGAAACCTTGTCGGCAGACCTGAAGACCTGCTTCAACCCAGTCGATGGTTGTCTGCTGGAAGAACTTGGTAGCCTTGAGCGTCCTAAGGAGGTTCTGCCTCTGGAGCGCCTTCGGCTTCTTTTTGTGGAGCTCATTCAGGACATAGGTCTTCAGCATCTTTTGGTATGACACTCGAACCTTTACAGGTTGCTTCTGCGGGCAATGCTCAAGATACCACTGCTTAATGAGTGGGACATCTTGCGCACGAACCATGCGACCAGAACGACGGTCGAAGGGGAACGGGGCCCACCACAGCTCGATCGCGGAGGCGGTGTCATCGTTGTAAAGTTCCTCATCAACAAGGAAAGGTTCCACGCTGGCCGGCAGGGTGAAGGCCTCATCCTCATCCTCTTCGATGTTACCTTTGCCAAACAGCTCATCCTCATGGCTGAGGCTGAGGTTCTTCGGAGCAACATCACGCGACGAGATCGGGTTGATGGTCTTGTCGAAGTAGAACGCAGGCAAGCTCGGGTCATCCGTCCTGCTGTAGACAGTCTGGGGGTAAGAATGCCAAGATAAATGCACACTTCGCGGCAGAGAGTTGTACAGGTATGGATATGAAACTCTGTCCTCGGTGCGAACGGGGTTTCTGAAGATGATTCGATCAATCGCATTGAACTCGCCAAAGTCCTCGTCGTTGGGATCAATATCCTTGTACAGGGGCTCGAACCGCGGGCCACCCGGAAGGGCAACATTGAGCGCCTTTGCCGACAACAAGCTCTTCAGGTCGAAGAGATAGAAGTAGTTCTTGTCGAAGACATCTGATATGAGTGGCCGGCTGAGACGGTACAAGTTGGCCATCTGCTGTAACGTGAGATTCCACGTTTTGTAACTGGGGCCGTTCACGTGTGGCGTATCATCGAGCGGCCTATGGTCGTAGAACCACTCCAAGATGGCTTCATCATCCTCATCGTCCAGTTCCATCTGGACTGGCTCCAGTGGATCAACGTCTTCGAGATTTTCGGACCACGACAAAGGAGGCTCCTCGTCATCAAATGGGGGAAATCTCATCCGCTTGAACAGCCGCCGGTCACTCTTCTCTTTCCGCATGATCACCCACATCGCACCCCACTGTGCAACGAAGACGGGTTCGATCACACGGGGTATCTCATTGACAAGCGTCAAGCAACCGTTCACATGGTAGAGAACCTTCACCTCTCTTGCGGACTCCCAAGGCATCGGCATGTTTTCCAACAGCTTCATGACGGCATGTGGCATGAACTTCAAAGCTCCGAGGTAACTTCGCTTGTCGGCGGTGTATTTCTTCTGTGACACATCGCCGATGTCCTTGACGATCTTTCGTAGATGCTCAGGGGGCATATCAGCCTTCTGCGTTTCCACGAACCCTCCCTTGCGCTTCTCGCCGAAACGATTCCGTTGTAGCCGGAGCCATTCCTTCTTCTTCTGCTCAAACTTCGCGGTGTGGGGGTCCGCACTTGGTCGAAAGCCTGGAGGGGGCGGCGGTGGTGGCGCACCAGGAGGAGGAGGTAGCTGTGAAGGCGGAGGGGGCATCGCCGAGTCGGGAGGGGGAGGCGGCGGGCCCCAGCCGGGAGGGGGAGGCGGAGGAAGCTGAGACATCTCGAGATGATCAAACCGCGGCGACAGGTGTCAAGGCGGGCTCGAAGAGACTCAGACTCGCGTATGTTCGCGGTCCGCGGTCGCGAACGCGGGACAAGGTTCTCCTACGCGCGTGTCTTTAGCAGTGGGTTCGCAGGCTGTCGTATTAATGTTGTGGTTCGTACAGCCGTCTGTGAGAAATTGCATGTATCCAGGGTCCTGCCGGCGACGACCAGAACTCAGTTGCTGATGGGATGGGGATGGTGTCGCTGGTGTCGCAGCTCGTTGCTGTACCTGGACGGACGGGACGCCTGTCGTTGACGAGGCGATAAAAAAGTTCCCGCCCAAAATGCACCATGCTGTAGCTCGAACGGGGGGAGCACGGGCCACCTCTAAGTCGGATGGGTCCTCCCTCACCTAATCCCAGGCAGCTCAAGCTGTACCTTCTCACTCTGGCCCCGTTGTCCTCACTCAGTGCGCGAACAATCGTTGCCCTGGAGCACTTTGGCCTCATTGCTGGTCAGGATCTCAACTTCTGACGTATCGAATGACCAAAGTACCTCGATCAATCATTTTTAGGCACCAGTCCTGAGTGACTCACAGATTGGCGGACAAAACCAGTTGACAGCTGGCCTGGGCCGTCACTCGACGATTTGCCGGCCCGTCTTTTTTCCCCCACTTCTTCAAAGGCCTGCCTCTCGAAAATTCATCTCTCTCACCCTTCAGGGACCCCTCCATCAGGAAGGAACTACTGCCAACCCGCGAAGCGACTCGGCTGCACCCCCATCAAGCTGGTCGAGATCTCCCACCAACGGACACTTGATCAAAACAGTCAACAATAAAGACATCATGTCTCGCTTCTTCCGCGGCGGCAACGACAGCTCTTCGGAGAGCAGCTCCGACGAGGAGGACCTCTACGAATCCGAGGAGGAACAACAGCAGGAGGAGCAGGAGGAGTCTGAAGAGGAAGAAGAGGAGGAGGAGGAGGACGCATCCGATGCCGAGTCCAGCGACAGCGATGCAGGCAAAGCTAAAGGTGCTTCCCGTTTCTTGGAGGGATGGTCCGAAAGCGAAGAGAGCGACACCGAGCAGACGACAAAGGTCAAGTCCGCCAAGGACAAGCGACACGACGAGCTCGAAGCCACCATAACCGCCATCACAAATGCCCAAAAGATCAACGACTGGAACATCATCTCCAATGGTATGTCTTGGGCTGCTCAGGTTATCCGCCCTCATCAGTCCGTCTGTGATGCTAACTGGCCACAGAGTTCGATAAGCTTAACCGCCAGGCTGAGAAGCTTAAGGCGGCCGGTAAGGCTCCCAAGCCTTATGTCAAATGTATCGCCGAGCTTGAGGACTACTTGAATGAGTCGATCGCCAAGCAAAAGGTCACCCCAAAGAAGATGAGCAAGCAGAACGCCCAAGGTCTCAACGCTGTCAAGCAAAAGATCAAGAAGACGAACAAGGAGTACCAGGCCCAGATCGAGGAGTACAAAGAGGACAAGGATGGTTACCTGTGGGAATCCGAGGAGGAGGAACCGGCACCCAAGCCCAAGAAGGTCCGACTTGCTGACGCCATCGCTGCATCCACTGACGACCTTGACGATGAGGGTTTCGCGACTGTTGGCAAAGGCGGCAAGACTCTCGTGTTTACACCCGAGAGCATCCTGAAGCACCTGCGCACGATCATGGAATCCCGTGGAAAGAAGAACACCGACAAGCAGGAGCAGATCAAGATCATGGAGAAGCTTCAGGAGATTGCCAACACTCCCTACCAACGAATCCGCGTCCTCCTCACACTTATTTCCACACGTTTCGATCTCGGCTCTGGTGCGACTACGTCGATGCCCCTGGAGCACTGGAAGGCGGCCGAGAAGGAGATTGGTCTGCTGTTGACGGTTCTGCACGAGAATCGCGACTACGTCGTGATCGAAAATGCCGAGGAGTGGGAGGATGATGAGAAGCCCCCCACTCTGGAGAAGGACCAGAAGTACATCAAGGTTCCCGGCAGCATCGTGTCCTACATTGAGCGCCTCGACGATGAGATGACGAGATCTCTGCAAAACATCGACCCTCACACGTCAGAGTACATCGAACGTCTAACGGATGCGGCCGCTCTTTACAACCTCATCTTCCGGGCCCTTCTTTACTACGAGATGCTGCAGAAGGACGAGGCTCTGGCCATCGAACAGGATAACATCAACCGAATTGTCAGCCGTCGTCTCGAGCACGTCTATTTCAAGCCCGCACAAGTCGTTAAGACCCTCGAGGAGAACTCGTGGAAGTCCGTTGCCGCGGACGTTGATTCAGCAATCACACCACGAGCCAAGACCGTCGAGGCCCTGGAACTCGTCACCATCCTCAGCACCTATCTCTTTGCCAACAGCGAGGGCATCCACAGAGCGCGTGCCATGCTTTGCCAGATCTACTTCCTCGCCCTCCACGACGACTACTACAAGGCTCGCGATATGATGCTCATGTCCCACTTGCAAGAGACAATCAGCAGCTTCAACGTTTCGACGCAGATCTTGTTCAACCGCACGCTTGTTCAAGTGGGTCTTTGCGCATTCCGCAAGGGCCTTGTGTACGATGCCCAAAACACGCTCCAAGAGATCTGTGGAAGTGGTCGGCAAAAGGAACTCTTGGCCCAGGGTGTTATGATCCAGCGTTACAGCCAAGTCACACCAGAGCAAGAGCGTCTGGAGAGGCAACGACAGCTGCCTTTCCACCTGCACATCAACCTCGAGCTCCTCGAGTGCGTGTATCTCACCTGCAGCATGCTTCTGGAGATTCCCCTCTTGGCTCAGATTGGGTCTTCGCCTGACGTCAAGAAGAGAGTTATCAGCAAGACCTACCGCCGTATGTTGGAGTACCATGAGCGACAAATTTTCACCGGACCCCCAGAGAACACTAGGGACCACGTCATGCAGGCTTCTAAGGCACTGGCTGCTGGCGAGTGGAAGAAGGCGACAGAGTTCATCCACGCCATCAAGATCTGGGAGCTGATGCCAGACACCGAGAGCATCAAGGAGATGCTCGCTAAGCAGATCCAAGAGGAGGGCCTGCGGACATATCTATTCACATACGCACCATTCTACGACACATTGGCCGTCGAGACTCTCAGCAGCATGTTTGAGTTGGATGCGACCAAGACCGCTGCTATTGTAAGCAAGATGATCAGCCACGAGGAGCTGGCTGCTGCTCTCGACCAGGTCACCAAGACCGTCATCTTCCGCAAGGGCGTTGAGCTCAGCAGGCTCCAAAGTCTGGCTCTGGCCCTGTCCGACAAAGCCAGCGCACTTATGGAGTCGAACGAGAGGACGCTGGAGCACCGGACACAAGGCACAGCCAATGCATTCGAGAGGACAGCGCGACATGGCGGCCGAGGGGGTCGTGGCGGACGTGGCGGTGGAGGCAGGGGTCGTGGCGGAGCAAGAACGGATGCTGGTCCAAGACAGTCGCAAGGCTTCACAGGTGGCGCCCTGGGAGTTCGCGGTTAAAAGGTCGATGTGTTCTGCCCTGGGTGACTTATTTTATTCGGCCTTAATTGCATGGTACCGGTCCTGCTTGTATGAATGAGTGGAAAAAGGGATAGGCAGCAGACTCGCGTCAGTAGAAATAGCGAGTATAGACGGCTGGAATTGATGACCTGATTTTTACGAGATCAAATACCCTATGCTGCACAGCTTGAAGCGGAATTCTAGTAACCCTCAAAGAAGTCTCATTCGGGTCCTCCGCCTACCGCTATTACTGCTTTGGCTGTTCATTGCTGGTGGGTGAGTGAGCCGATGTATGCCTCGTTCTGTCCCGAGCAGGGGGACTGATTAGATAAGACCCTTGACTAGCACTGGCAGCTTCAAATTTGTAGGAGCTTCTGGAGCGCCGTCGCAATATTAAGCCATATCCTCCCCACAGAGACACTCACAATGCCTCCCAGAATACCAATCACGCAGGTCGCACGATGCTGCCGGACGTCAATTGAGCGAACGTCCGTCTCAGGGACTGCGAGCATCCCTCTCGCGTCACTGTTCGCTGCGCTGTCCATACAACAACCGCCTACACTACCAGCGGGGTCGCAAACGAGGAGCGCATCCATCCTAGCGAATCTTCGCGACAATAAGGGGGCCTACAACAAGCGTATCCGGAAAGGCCGTGGTGCATCCTCCGGCTACGGCAAGACATCCGGTCGCGGTCACAAGGGCCAGGGGCAGCACGGCCATGTGAAGCCTTGGTTCCAGGGTGGACAGACGCCCTTGATCTTCAAGCATGGTTCTCGGGGCTTCGTGAACCAGTACGTATATGCTCTCCTGCCGCAAAGCCCTAGAACATAAGGCATGGCCGGAAATGCTAACCATCGCCGCGTCACTCCAGCCGCAAAGAAGTCATGTCCGAAGTGAACCTCGACCGCCTGCAAGCCTGGATCGACGCGGGCCGCATCGACCCGACGAAGCCGATCACGCCCAAGGAGATCGTCCAGTCGGGCCTGCTGGGGCGCGCAAAGGACGGCGTCAAGCTCCTGGCGCGGGGGTCGACGGAGCTCCGGGCGCCCATCGAGATCGTGGTGTCGCGCGCGTCCGCGGCCGCGATCGAGGCTGTCGAGCGCGCGGGCGGCAAGATCGTGACGCGGTACTACACCAAGGACTCGATCAAGCGCCTCCTCAAGGGCGAGAGTGTCAACACGGTGGAGCCGCTGCCCGTGGGCCAGCACCACGTCAACGCGGTGCTGGAGAAGGCGAGGGCGAGCCCTTTCACTTACAGGCTGCCGGACCCGACGAGCAGATGGGATATTGAGTACTACCGTGATCCGGCACACCGAGGTTACCTGAGCCATCTCTTGAAGCCGGGTGAGAGTCCTTCGTTGTATTTCAAGGTGCCTGGTGAGCAGGTTGCCAAAAAGGCTGCCAGGGCTAAGAAGGAGGAGGAGGGTGACCCGAAGCTGTTTTGATCGCGAGTGGCCGGTTGAGGTTGTCTGTCTAGAGCATATGTGCTATAGAAGTCGAATGTACAAATGCATGCATGTTCTAATGTACAGAGTTTATTGCTACGACAGGTTCAAGAACAGGAGCAGTGTGTCATTGGCTTGGCCGTGTGAGCTCGGAGAAGAGCTCTCTCGCCCATCCGCTGTTCACGGGATGGTCCAGAATTATACTGCCTACTGCTTGTTTTTCCACCCAAGTGACAGGATGTTATGGAGGTGTCGAGTCCCTGCAGCGTGTTGCAACGCAAGCGCACATCTCAGTTTTGTTCTTTTATCTACGGACATGGGGCGGTAAGCCCAATATTGGAGAGGAGCCTTGAGTGTTCATGCCCAACTGGGTCACTTTCGGCCAAGTATATCTATCTCGGATTTCCTCATTAATATGTGCACTGAGATGGGTCTCTCATGCCATCACGAAAACCACACACGAACGTAACACTGCAGAACAATATTTTCAGGGATACGCATATAAGCAAGAACCCCAGACACGCACTCCTAGGCTGGGCAAGGGCCTCCTGTCGCTGAGCCGGGCGGTCGCTTAGCGCTGTGCCTCCCATTGGGTGGGGAATCGCATCCTGGAGCTTCCCATGCGCATGTTCCAGGTTGGAGCTTCGATACTACTGTTCCGGACAGTGTCACTTCTCGTGGTTATCTAGATCACTCTTCCGAGCCGGCGGCGACAGTCACGACTCGTCTTGCTGAAGAACATCTCGCTACATTCTGGCTTGTGTCGTCGCATCGGCTTGCACTCATTCCCGGACCCTCAGCGTCTGTTGCTTTTGCCCCAGAGTCCTCGGCGCAATTCACCTGTTACGAGTCGATTACGTCGCGTGCGATTGATCCTACTCGTGCTTCTCTGCGGATCAGAACTCGAGACTGCATTGCGCAACGTCGCCCTGAAACCTGTCTCGACTCCAGCCTAGGACGTTTGACCCCGAATAAAAAGAAGAAGAAATGTCCCTATTCGGAGAGCCCGAGGCGGACGAAAGCCCGTCGATGACCTCGTCGTTTGCCCGGTCTCGGCAGTCGCTGTTCGACGAGGACGATTCGAACTCGAACTCTCTGTTCCAAGACGACGATGCAGCCGGCAGCGGGACAGCCTCGCCGTGGGACATGCCCACGCCGCGCAAGCAGCACTCGAGGGCCGATATCCTCCGCAACCTTCTCCCCGCCTCTGACGTCCCGGATAGCTACATCGAGACATTCGACAGCGTCGTGCGGGAGAATGGCAGCGGGGGCAAGGTCACGTCTGGGGGCGTTATGCGCGTCCTCGCGGCTGCCAAGATCGGCGCAGACGATCAAGCCAGAATAACGGGTATAATTGCGCCGGGCGGCGGAGAGATCGCTCTGGGGAGGAACGAGTTCAACGTCCTCCTGGGCCTCATTGGCCTTGCCCAGGACCGCGAGACGATCAGTCTGGATGGCATTGACGAACGCCGAAGAAGTAAGTATCCTCCAAGCCTGCTCTGTCTGCCCTATTTGCCAACCCATCAATCCATCAACCCACACATGCCCACCTCGTCGACGCAAGCGCCAGTACCGCGGTCCGCAGCATCCATCATAAGCCCTTTATCTCTTATCTGTGACCGCCATTGGCACCTTGTCCTGCAGGTGGATGCGCTGTTCGCCCGGCTGTGTTGTCAATTGGCCCGCCCAGCTCCAATACCCATCTCAAAAGTCTCAGAGCTCCTGTGGGGCTGCTAGGCCCCTGCCGTGCCCTGCTTTACCCTACCTGACGACACGCATCTTACGTGCTTGATTGTTTATAGCCTGCTGCGTCCTTTCCATCGTCATACCAGCTAACGATTTCTATCTCTTCGTACTAGACCTCCCAATCCCAAACCTCCCTGGCATTTCAGGAACGCCTGCTGCAGAACCCTTTGCTCGTACCAGTGTACTTGCGGCGAAACCTCCACAGAGGCCGATAACTCCACCAGCCAAGGATACCGCGCCCACACAGCCGTCGATGGAATACTCAGATGATCCCTGGAACACCCCAGATGTTCACAAAAACCATAAACACGCACCAGAACCCGCGCCTCCTAAGACCCATGTCCCTGAAGAGCATGCTGCAGAGAGCCCACCAGTGAACGGCCATGACGATAGCAATGGCACTTTCACTGCCGCACCGCCTGTACGCACAACCTCGACCTTTACTACAGCTTCAGTAGAGTCTTTAGGACAGCCCAACCCTGCCGCGACGCGTCAGAACACGTTTCCGCAAGCAACTTCTCCCGGGGCCGGCTGGGGAACCGGCGATTTCTTCGGTGGCACACCAGTGGGCAATCCGGCAACCTCCAATCCGGTGACAAGTCCTTTCGGAGGGCCGGCTGGTAGCAATGTGGGCAGAGACCCCGGCGAGCAACGGCCTGGCCCCTTATCGAGCAGGACGATAGGAAGCGGCAGGACCGGCAGCGGCGTCGAGGAGCATATCGTTGTGAACCTACTGCCGGAGAAAGAGGGCATGTTCATGTTCCAGCACCATAACTATGAAGTAGGAAGTGCCAGGAGAGGCAGCAAAGTAATTCGGAGATACAGTGATTTCGTGTGGTTGCTGGATTGCTTGCACAAGAGATATCCTTTCAGGGTATTGCCTCTTCTCCCTCCAAAGCGGGTTGCTGGTAAGTCTTGGGTGTAATTTGCTATTCAAGAATCAGAAGCTGATCACTCACAGTCAATGGGAACCATCTGTCAAACGATGGTGCCTTTATTGAAAAGCGTCGTCGCGGCCTCGCCCGCTTCCTGAATGCAGTGATCAGGCATCCCATCCTGAGCCAAGAGCAACTGGTCATTATGTTCCTGACGGTACCCACCGAGCTCGCCGTCTGGCGGAAACAAGCCACCATTTCGGTACAGGACGAGTTCGCCGGCCGTGCTCTCCCACCGGGCCTCGAGGACTCTCTCTCACCGGAGCTCGAGGAACTGTTCCAGCGTACGCGCGCTGGCGTGCGGCGAAGCGCCGAGCTGTACATTGGCGTCTGTAGCATTATGGACCGGCTCGTCAAGCGCAGCGAGGGTGTCGCGGCCGACCATGCCAGGATCGCTCTCTCGCTCACATCCCTAACTGAGGCGACCGCCGAAACATACGCCACCGACACGAATGAGGTGCCCCTAGTCAACGACGGCCTGATCGCCATGAGCAAGCACCTGCGTACGTCGCAGACTCTCATGGAGGATGAAGCGCGCGCGTGGGACGAGGGCGTGCTGGAGGACCTCAAGAGGCAGCGGGACGCCCTCGTCAGCGTGCGGGACCTGTTTGAGCGGCGGGAGCGCTTGGACCGGGACAACATTCCCGCCCTGGAGAGGCGCATCGACAACAACGAGACGAAGCTTGCGAACCTGCGTGCCAAGCCCGATGGCTTGATCAAGCCAGGCGAGATCGAGAGGGTTGTAGAGGCTATCATCAAGGTAAGCTTGGAAATGTTCAATCGCCATCCAGCGTTCTGGATTTGTATATTTCGCTAGCGTTTACTGACATGTAATCCACCCACGATAGGATAAGGAGTCGATCGTCAACCAGCACAACCGCTCCGTCTTCGTCAAGGAGTGCATCCGCGACGAGCTCATCACCTTCCAGTCCACGCAGTACCACATTTCACGCTGGAACCAGGACTGGGCCCAGGAGCGCGTCAAGTACGCGGAAATGCTGGCGGATAACTGGCGCCGGCTCCTCGACGAGCTCGAAGGCATGCCCCTGGGTGACTAGACACGGGCTGGTGGTTAGCCAACCGCGTGCGTGGTGATTTAGATGTGAGGCTGGGATGGGTGGGTAGGGGCGCTTGAAGTATGCCTTATACTTCAACCAGAAAATATATAACGCGGTGAGGGCCGGGTTGTGAGTGGACGCGCTGAAACGATCACGAGAATGAGATCCAATGGAAGAACGAACGGACGTGTGACGCATTTCACTGCATTGGGTTTGAGGAAGACAGGGGAGGGGGAGAATGTGTCTTGAATGTACTGTATATTTCGTTGCTGCAGAAGCGTATAACATAGCAGAGAGTGTGCCGATTCCATAGCTATACCCATTCATTGTGTTGCTTCTGGAACAAGTCTCGTGGCGTGGTTGCGATCGTTCATTGAGTGTCGACACCTCGAGCTAAGTTTCCACAATATGAAAGGCCACTACAGACTTGCAGTGCAAGGGTTTCACATCGGCACGTTGCAAACATAGCATTTGGTATTCCCTGTGGCATTTGTGGCCAGGTCCTTCATGACTCTAAGAAGGTGGGGATGAGAAGGAGGCGGTACACAGACCCATAACATCACTTTGTCCATCCACTTATCACCAGCCAGTCCTGTCCCTCCCAAAAACCCGGGCCACTGCGAAGCATGCCTCACATACCCCTTGATAAAGCACAATCTGCGATGCGGCTCAGCTCTTCAGATGTCGATCAAGCCGCTCACAGCCGTGATCCGTATTACGCCGTCGCTCAATGAGATCAAATCTTCCCCTTCTGCAGGATAGCTGCTGCTTTTTCCATGCCTCTGCCTAAAGTCTGTTTGCTCGATCACTGTTCTGAGAGCCTTCATGCAGGTCCCTTCGCGTCCAGAATGAAACGCCCTGCTCAGATGCAGCACCGATGCCAATGGTTGCTAAAATCGAGTGATTTTCCATCTTTATCGCCTCAGCCCTCTGAGAGACCCGCCATAAGCTTGTCAGGGCCACTGAATTAGTTTACCTCCATGGCCTCCGCCTGCTCCTGCTTGCGGTGCCAGGCCACAAAGTCGTCAACGACGGCTGGCCACGAGTCTTCCTCGCTATAGAAGCTCAGAGCCTCGTCCTCCATCGACTTGTTGGCGAACTCCAGCGTCATGTTCCACATATCCTTGTTGACGGAGCGCGTCCACTTCTCGGTTAGGAACTGCTCCCACAACTTGGCCCAGTCGCGGTTGGCAGACTTCCAGGGGCGGCCGGGGGGCGCGAAAAGCAGCTGCCAGTAGACAAGGGCGTGCTCGAGGGGAATTGATTTCTGGCTAGCCTCCTTGCCTGCGATGAAGGAGTGGCGGTAGACCTTCTTGAAGAGGGCGGGGTCAGAAGACAGCTGGTTGATGAGGCGGCGAACGTGGTTCTTCTGGGCGGTCTTGCCGAAGGTGGAGAGGTCGGTAGCAGCCCATCCGCTAACGAAACCATTGCGGGTGATCTCGCCGATGCTGGGCGACTGGACAAGCTCCATCACCACGAACTGCTCGGCATCCTCCATGTTGACACCTAGAGCCTCGAGGTACTCTTGGGTGGTCTCGGCAGAGAGGGACTCCTTGCTGTCGCCGCGTGCTGGGGTGACGAGGTCATCGTACGCCTTCTCAATGGCCGCGACACGTCCACTATCCGCACCGCCACCACTGCTGAGGTAACTGTAAACACCCAAAGATTAGTTGCCATTCGCCATTCGGAAGAATCAAGAGCAAGCGGACTGTGCAAACATCTTGGAGCTGGAGCCCGCCGTTTTTGTAGCTGTGTGGGGATTGATCATGTGAACTGATCGTGTCAGGTGCGAAGAGGGGATGTGTGAGTGCGTCAGATGGTTTTCTGACGAGTCCATTGGCATACCGTGCAGTGTTTCTTGCGCCTTGCGCAGCCTGCTTTCGCTTGGGCATGGCCTCCGGGGTTATTGAGTGCACCGGGGTCGGGGTTTGATGTTCTGCGATAGGTATCGTGGACCGGGGGGGTGGTGGCGAGGATGTCGGGGGGTCACTCCCACTCTGCTTGGAGTCCCGACGCGTGATCTTGACCAAGAGCTTTTTGAGCATATTGACGCGCGCCAGAACACAATGCACAAGCTTGGCTGCTCCCACGCCCGATGTTCTTTTGTCCACAACTTTCAGGATTTGGCAGGAAGCTTTGGAGCATCTAGTGCCAGCAAGATCGCCTGTACAAGCGCCGAAGGTGCACTAGGGCCAACCCCTTGGGCTTCCACTCCAGGCTGCCTTGGATTGTGGTTTGCTCCACATATAATAGGCAATGCTGACTCCTGTTCATACAGCAAACACCTGTCCAGGTCTGTCTCGAGCGAGGGTTCGATTCGATCGGTAGGGCTTCCGGAATGAACGGTCGGGGTCCCCACGGTAGGCAGCAGTCTCGTACAGCGCGGCAGGGCAAGGGAACAATAGGAACAGTGTCGTGTAAGGCAAAGCAACCTAGAACTTACGTATCGGCGGCGACTTCCAGTCTGTAATTGGCATTCTTGAGGAACTGTTGAAAGCGAGAAATCAGCACGAAGTCCAGTGGGAACAGTTAGGGCAGTAAATGGTGCGTAGATAGTTCCGGGCTTAGGAAGACGGGAGTATTCCTAGCCACGATAGTTGGATAGAAGCCAAGTCAAGCGGAGGGAGTTGATAGGCAGGCGTCCCGGAACACAAACACCTTCTCGAAGCGGCATTGGGGATGGGATGAAATAGAACAACAGGACATGACAGAGTAGTGCGTGATTGGGCATTGCACGCGAGGCAACGTTCACATACCCTTTGTGCAGTCTTCTCGTTGGCTCCCGTAGCTGCAACAAACTGCGCAACGAGCGCCTTCTGAGCGCTGTTGAGAGGAGGCATCTCGGAGAGGCAGAGGTGGTCAAGTGGTCACAATAATGGTGTCGTCGTGTGCCAGGGTCGGGCCGACTGTTTCGGAGCCGTCTCCCGCGTTGATGTGACGAGGGTGTCGATCAGAGTCAGAAAGGGAGGACAGGCTCTGCAGGGCCGGCAGAACGGAAGAGAGACAGGCAGAGAGTTCTCCGTAGACAGATGCTGCCCAGGTCGCCGGAGGGCACAGTGTGGTGTTGTGTAGGGGAGACGGATAGCGAAGAGGCCTAAAGTGTGAAGCCGGAGCTGAGTCTATTGGACTTATGGTCTTGGGCACGCAATGGGAAGTGACGACAAGGCTGATGCGGGTCGTCAAGTCTGGTGGGGTACCCTGGGAGCCCAGGTGGGGGGCGCCACGGCACGGCGAGCCTCCAAGCAATGCTGCAAGCGGCCTCGATCTTACATGCGAGCCATCTGCAGAGCAACAATATATTACATTGGTTCATATATAGCTATATTTCATAGACTCGTTTGACTGCCCTGAGTAACAACGGTACAACGTTTTCCAAGACCCAGTTTTACCTTCTAGAAGTTCGAGAAGCCTCGCGCATTCGACAAACTGGGCAATATCTTGATGCCGGAATTAATCAAATACGTACAGCCATTTTGCGAAGACACCGCACGATAGTGATAGGAAAATACATGACAAGAATCCGGCTAACATGATTTTCCAATGTCACTATCATACCACCCCTCTACTGAAAATCTGGGCTCAAAATTGAATGCCTCCGGAGAGCAAGATTCAAATTGGAGTAGACGAAGCATCATTGAGTAGCACCAGGAATAGGAGCATCTGCTCTGTAAGAGTCTCTTAACGGTCAGCTACCACCCAAAACCGCTCTTGCATATATCAACGTAGCATTTCAAGACATAAATCACGGTCCATTGAAGCAGTACTTCTTGATTTTACTACCTTCTTGCACCTCTATCCCGCGCAGTTGCATGGCTATGCCTGGTCGCCAACCTGTCTATCCGCGATGCATACAAGTAGAGCTTTTGTGATATCGATCATCGTACACCGGCCAAACAGGGTATTCCACATCGACTTGGCCTTCTGACCGCCATCTTATCCGTGTGTCCCTTTCCACGTTGTCGTCTCGTACACCCATTCTTCTGCCATTTCCTCTCGACACGCATATCGAGTCGGTCCTCGTTCGGGGTTCGCATCATTCGGATCCAACATCGTCGTCACCACTGAATCTACACTTTAACCCCCCTTCCATAGTTTCGTACAAAGGCCCTCATCCAATCAGACTCCGGCCTATTTCGCAGAGTTGGCCCAGCTGATCTGGCCGAAGCGGCTGAGGGACTCGAGCTTGCCGTCGCCGAGCTTGACGCTGGTGGAGCGGATGACGCGCGGGTCGAGGTTCATGGTGTTGCGGACGACGCCCTGCGCCTCGGTCGACGCGTCGTACCGCATCGCGAAGTAGTGCCCGTTGTGGTGCAGCTGCTGCGCCTTGGACACGGCCCGCGGCAGCGCGAACACGCCCCAGTTGTCCACCGACCGTATCACCCCGCCGTTGCGGAGCACCAGCTGGCCTGCGGCGAGGACGATCCTGTTTTTGCTTTTGTTAGGCGCACGTTGCCTTCTCTATCTCTCGTTGGCGCTGTGGGAATTGTGCATTCGTTTGGGGGAGGGAAAAGTGAAGGCGTACTCTTTTACCTCGGCGAGGTTGCCGGGCCGGACCTGCAGCAGCGCGGGCGGGTCAGCGATCGTCCGTAGACTTCCAGTAGAGCTTCTTCATGGGCGTGACTCACTATTCCAATCATCTCGTACAGCATTGTGGCGGTTTGCGATGCGGCGACATCGACGAAGGGGACAGCTGCAGAGTAGAAGTTGCGTCTTGGATGCTGTCGCAAAGCCGCCCAACGAACGGCGAATGAGCTAAGGCGGAACTTGCCGCTGGGAATTTTTGAGTGGGCCCGCTCTGCGGAAACCGACTGCTACTTGCCCACTTTGGGGACCCTGGTCCGTGAGTACCACCTCCCTTCACAGCACCCTACCTCGAGCCTACCCATCCGCGGTTGTTTTGGTTGTTTTGGAGAAGAGGCTGGAAATGATTATCACGACTTTTGGACGGCACGTGGCAGAATCTTGAACGACTCACAAATCCTCCATAAATAATTCAGGTCGGCATACAGTCCAACCACAGCCAGGTTGCCTCCGTAGACCGCGGCACACTCTCTCACCAAGCAAGTAGACGCGACAAGATTATTTGAATATGATAATAATGCTTTCTTTTTTCTTTCTCTTCATTCATGTAGTATTAATGGATCTATGACGACCAACTAGAGCCAATATGAACCGAAACCCCCAAAGAATTCGCGACCAATATCCCAGCGCAAGAATCCTCAGGCAAAAGCAAGATGCCGACGCAGAGCCAGAAAATGCAAGTCCATCGCCATACGAAAAAGAAAAAAAAATGGGTTTGGGTAATTGGTGGTCTTTGGGAAGAGAAAGGTAGAGGCACAGAATTGAAAAATGCACCCGCCTCCAAACTCCTGTCCGTCGGGTAATGCCTTTGTCTCCCACCGCATATATGAGCTTCCTTTCCGTAACGCCGTATCCGTCCCAGTAATCCCCTTTCCCCCTTTTCTACTTTGGATGCTTGCTGTCGGGAGGGAACAAGGGTCATTATGAGCCTGAAGGGCCACCCATGTGTGACTCTTTCAAAGAGATATTTCCGGGAATGTTGTCCGTGCCACCTCTGCCAGGCGGTAGGTATTAAAACACTTTTCGAAAAATGTACGCAAAGCTCGCCAGCTCGCCGCCCTGTATGGAAGGTGACAGGGTCGATTGGAGTGGTGCTTTCCTCTGAGACTGGAATTTGCCCAACCCAGCCACTCAAAGTATCATGCCGGCAAGAACAAGATCTCCTGGTGGAGCTCCGAAATCATTCACAACGTTCCAAGATCAACGCTATGAGGTGATGAAAAAGGGCGCTGCATCAAACCGCTTGATGAGCGAGTTTGAGGGCGCCTACTCGTCGTCTTCGCTGCGAGGAAGCACGGCCGACTCAATGCTAATCCACTGCTTCTCTATGTACTCACTATCGCCACAGATCAGCACCTTGTCATTTAAACTCAAGGTCATTCAAATGAGAAAAGTCCACTTACGCAGGTCGCTTCACTAGGGTGACGCCCTTCTTCTCCAGGAAGCCCAAGAACCGCTTCAGGGTCCTCTGCCGCTTGAAGAACGCCATCAAGATGCCGCGGTGCTCGACCTTGGCGACGGGCCTCGTGTGCACGACGATCTTGGTGCAGTCGGTGCCGCTGTCGAGGCAGTACTCGACCAGGTCGAGCTCGTGCAGCCGCAGGTGGAAGTCGAGCGGCTCCTTGTACACGCCCCACGAGGCCGAGGGCTCGACCGTGCGCAGGACCTGGTGCTCGAAGTGGGGGCTCGTCTTATCGCTGATCCAGTGCCAGTACTGCGTGTGGCTCATGTTGGTGGTGTGTTGTGCCGTTTTGAGCTGCATCACGCGGAAGTCGATCGACATGATGCTGTCGCCACTATACGAGTCTGTCGACGTGTAGCCGTCGTGAGCGAACTCGTCTTGATCCGCGCCGTTAAAAATTCCCCGTGTATGGTAGGGGAGAGAAGGGGAAATTCCAACAGTTGTCTCGATGTCGTGCTTGCTTGATGAATTAGGCCTGCTCTTCTTGGCACTGCGCGGCGATGTCGGGAAACCCGTAGGGCTGGTCTGGTCTTCCTGCTTCAATTCTTGCTTAAGACTTCCGCTAGACTGGCGCCTCCGCTTCCTACCCGGGGTTCCATTGGCGTCCTTCGCCTTAGCCTTCGCCTCCTTTGAAGTCATGCCCTTCTTTACACCAGAAGGTCGCCCGATATTGCCCACACCCGCCTTTGTTCGGAGGGCTCTCAGCTTGGGATCGTGGTATAGCTCGTGAACCGTCTTCGCCAAACTGAAGTTCTCACCCTGCTCCACGGAGAGCTCGTGCATGCGCTGGCGAACCCATGCCACTGGCGTCACGTCAACTCCGAGTTTAGGAAGCTCTTCAATCACCTGTGCCAGGCGGAAAATCGTGTCGTAGCTGACAAGGCCCTTCGTGATCCACTTCTTGCCAACGAGCTGATAGGGGTGGAAGTCGGTCTTCTGCAGGAAAGTCATAATCGTGTTTCCGCGGTTGACCTGACGGCCGGCCAGGAATCGGTTCTTGTTGAGAGCCAGGCACTCTTCCAACTTCCGCTTCCAGCTGTCCAATTTCTGCTGAGTCACCTGATCCAGTACCTCCCACTTAGGGTCCCAGTAGGGGTGGTCTGGAGTGATGCGCTCGAGCGGCACACCGCGCATGATCTCAGGCTCTGTGAACTCGACGCCGTTGTCCCGCAGGAGGAGAGTCTCTTTAGAAATCTCCGGGCCAGGGTCACTGGGATCCACAACCTCCTCTCCATCTCCGTTGCCCAAGATCGAATCTTCCATGGGCTCCACGTCCTCCTTGCCCGTCATCGCCATGTTAGGAAGGGACTTCCGACCTCCCTTCTTGCTCGGCAGGGACTTGCGCTTGGATGGCACGCTCGAAGGACCGTCGGGGGCGTCTGTCACGGAGGATCTGAACAGGCCACTGTTGACTGGGGTGAATCCGCCGAAGGAGCTTCCCTCGCGAGAAGGCAGCACCGAGTGCTCCCCCAGAGATGGCGAATCGTGTTCTTTCCGGACCGTGTGCAGGTCCTCGTCCCGCGCACGTATCTGGTGATAAGACGACCCTGAGCAGCCCTGTCGGTTCCACTCGCAGTTGGCGCATCGCGGGAAATCCTCGCCGCCAACGATGACGCAGCCGACCCATGTTCCTGCCCGGTTGACACAAGATGTGCAAGGCGAGTCCTGCTCCTCACCGGTCGCTTGAATCATACAACTCAGCCACTTCGCTCCCTTGGCGTCGCTCGGTTCGTAGATGCTATCTATAGTTTCCTGTGTGAATTTGCGGCCAGGACGCACGACGATGTGACGTTGGATGGGAATTTGCATAATTTGGCGAGTGAATTTATTTTCGCGAGTGATACGCTTGACAGGGACGATGCGATTGCCCTCGTGGTCGAAGATCTCGGCGCCTGTCAGGTCCTTGTCGGGCGGCGACACATCTCGTGGCTCCGATAGCGGGGAGCTATCCGGTGAGGCAGGCTGGTCGGCGTGGCCGTTGCTGTTCTCATTGACAGCAGTGAAGGCTCCTCGAGCAGGCGTGTCGCCATTGGCCCTGAAGCTCGCAGTCCTGCTTCCTCGTCTGCCCTTTGTCTTCGGGTGTCCGTTCTGCTGAGGCTGTGGCTGCGCAGTCCGAGACTTGTTATAGTTGAACCAGGCCCGCGCACTCTCATCCTTGCGCTCCCGGTCGTCAGCGGTGATCTGCTTTGCCTCCTCGAATTGCAGAGAAACGCCGTCAAGGTCGGCCTCCACAGCATCGCACTGCCTCTTGATCTCCTGGAGCCGCTTGGTATACTCCTCCCGCTCATCAAACAGCACGGCAAGCCGCCGCCTCATCGGGTCCGTCCTGGCCTCGAATTTGCCAATCATGATCCGGTCCTCTTCTGCTCGGGCCTTGATTGTGTCGGACCAGTAGCTGGCCTCGATCTCGGCCCAGTCCTGGACGTCGTTGTCCGCCATGGCTGATCCCATCTTATTGCGGCTCTAGCCGCAATAAGTATCCCGGGATGGAAAGAGAGGAAAATTGCAAACGCGAGCTCGCTTGCAAGTTGCACATCCGAGACCTGACTGATGCTCGGTCCGGACCAGGTACTCCAGCAGCCAGCCGTATCCACCTCGGTCACAATATGACGTGATCTGATCCTACTTTGCAGGCCGGTGACGGACGTTCATTCCTGGTGTGACCATCAGCACTGTGTGTGAAGGGGAAAAAAGGGGGAAGGCCGAAGGTGTGCAGGTATATAGACGCACGCAGAAACTTACGGCTGAACATGGGATGAAAGTCAGAGACAGTGCACGCGGCTGCGCAAACACCCCGATCGGTCGTCAGGTGGAGAGCAGCAACGCTGTGGTGGGGGTAAAGAAAAAAAAAAGGCAGATGGTGCCGTGCTGGTGGCTGTGGTGATGAGAAGATGGTCGGTGTTACGAGGGAGATACGTCGGTCGCTTAGCTGAGCGGATACGGTTTCATCGGGCGGAAATGAAAGAGCTGCTGTGAGTGTCAGACTAGGTCGCTTTCTGGTAAGAAAATCAAAGTAATGCGTATTTTAAAACATGTCGGGCGGGGCGGAAGGGCAGGCAGAGCTGGGCAGGGCAGGCAAAGCGAGAGAAAGTAAAGCATGTAGTATGGCAGTAATAGTCTCTCGGCCGTTGATACTTGGTATAGGAGGGGCGGTTCCAAATTTTGGGAAGGAAGGGGGGGGAGGGTTGAGGGAGACAGGGGGGCGTTTACCTAGTATGGTTTGATGGAAATCAAAAGGTTGATTAGACGTTCGTGACGGTCGGTGGTCGGCGAGAAGAACGGACGGACAGGGGCGGGTCTGGGAAGCTCCGGGCGTCAGCAATGGGCAGCGAAAGGTGAAAGCAGAGGAATGGGCAACGAGTGCGCTTGGCTTAGCATAGTCGAATATTCATGCGCTGACGCAGCAGGCTGGCTGGGTAATGCAGCGATGTAGCGATGCAGTACTGACCGAGACTGTTGGACCAGCACGCGAGACACGACTCAAGCCGACGTGCCCGTGGACCCCAAATATGTGCTCACAGGAGTGGAAATGGAAATAAATCAGACCAGTCCCGGGCTTTGGGTGTTTGCGGTAGTGCAGCGCGGGCCAGGTAGGGACGGTAGGGCGTCCAGGGTGGTGCAGATGCGATGCGATGCGAGGCAGATGCAGATGGGGACGTAGGTGTGGATGTGGATGTGAATGTGGATGTGGGTGGTATGGGTGTACCGTACTGAGCGTAGGTAGATGCAGGTGGTGGCGCGAGTATCAAAAGGGGGAAAGGCAGTACGAAAACGTTCGTTCGCGCGTACGCAGCAACGCACGATCACTTACCAGTGACGTTTGATGATGGGGGGTTGAGAAGTCGGCGTCGGTGGGTAGGAAGGAGTGGTAGGTAGGTAGGTAGGTGGATAGGTGGGTAGAGAGATATGTTAAGAGATCAGGAGGAAAAGAAGGAGAATGAGAAAGACGGGGAGAGATAGATAGGCAAAAAAGTATTTTAGACGGCGCAAGAATACTTTGGTAGTCAAATAAGTCAGGAGTAGGCAGATAAGTCAGTCGTTCGTTCAGTCAGTCACTTCAGTGAGGTAGTTAAGTTACGCCAGTCACACAGCCTACCAACAGACAACCTATGGCCAAAGTTGGGCAAGTTAAAATCCTCGCAGACAGACAAGTAGGCAGGTAGGCAGGCAGACAGACAGACAGGACGGGAAAAGGGATCAAAACCCAACTCAGGAGGCCGCATCGTTTGGAAGGCACGGGCAACTAGTTTGTCAAGTACTAATTTCACACATCACAAACGCCATCTGCCTCTCTCTCTCTCTCGGCCTCGCACTCGCCCTCGCCCTCGCCGACCATCTCGCCTGAGCCAGCGACTTGGGCTGGACACTGGACCCAGGACGCTGGAATCTGGACGCGGGACTCTGGGCGCTGGGCGCTGCTGGCAGGAAAAGATGAATTTCGGGGCTTAGGGAAGCTAATAATACTGCGACCAACAGATGGACGGATTTCTCAAGATAGCAGCTGGGGACTAGGTGGGTCCTGCGTGCGCCCAGCAGAGCACAAAACGGCAAAGTACGGATACCTTGGCCTACCTAGGGTGCAGTAGAGAGTGGGAGAGAGTGGTGTGTGGTGCCGTTTAGTCAGGAAAATCAGCCGGTCATTTATTACCTGCGCAAAAAGCAGGAAAGGGTACGTGGTGCATGTAGCTATACTTGGGTCCAGGGGTGGGGCCCTCCTGTGGACTATCTTCTCTCACCCCCCAGCAAAAGCTGCACTATCGTCATCCATCGCGAATCCTCTTTTATTTTGCACCCAAGACGAGACAGGCCATGCCATTCATATTTGCCCCCATGGTGGCATCATTACACAAGGCTTAATCTGTCACAAGTGGCAGTCCAGTTCCCAAATTCCCCCCAAATTCCGTCCGATCAGCAAAGACGTGCACACACACACACGCACAGCACAGAGCACACGCAAATTGCACATGCAAATGCACACACACGTAATTGAAGCAAGCCAACGTTGGGATGAAAGGGTTCTGTGACCCGATGGGTCAAACTAGAATACTATGGGTACATGGCACCAGGGTTTGTCTCGGGCCTAAAACCACCCATCAATCCACCTGGACCTTAGTATAGTGGCACTTTAGCTATCACTTACTCACTCAGCATCACCTGCCTCTCAGCATGGCTGGCAGCCTAGGCGCATGCAGCAATAAACCTTGGGAAAGCCTTCATCCCACACCCCCTGTCGGCTGGCATGTCAGTCACTCTCTCTCTCACTCTCCCTACATTAAATCATTCTCTTCATTACCCAACAGTCCGGGCTGCATCCATCCGTTCATCCATCCATCCTTCACCCCATCCTTCCCTCGTCCAACCCAACAGCCTGCGTTGGTGCAGCCAAGAACAGGAAAAGCTGAGAAAAAATACTCATCTACTAGTGAATCATACTAGGGCCACCACCCAGGCTCCATTCGTATCAATAGAGTCGCACTACTCACCCTTAGGCGGTAGCCCTCCGTCTATAGCCTGAAAGGAGAGGGGGAGGGATTGCGAAACGTATTATACTCTACCTTCTGCTTTACGCTTTACCTCCCTCTTTCTCCCGCCTAGGTTTGGATAGGCAGGTTTACGTACTTTTACCCAAAAAAGGCTGTCTAGATATAGGGGGTGTCCCAGCATCAGCTCGGCCCGTCCGCCATCCCTCCCCCTGGCGGAATTTGATGGATAGTGAGACTGGGTTGATTCCCTCTCTCTGTACTTGTACTGTACGGTCCCGTCATTGTTCTCCCGCTCGTATCAAGAAACCTGCCCATTTTCCACCCACATCTACCCGCCCGTCTATCCGGCCGCAGATTAGAAAAAAAGACATCCCCCCTTGCCTAGGTGCCAAAGTGCCAGAAAAAGTGCTCAAGCAACCCAAGCTTCGATCCGCGACGCCAATGCCATCCATCCGGTCCATCCCTCCTTATAGATCGACTCCCCCCACCCCACTCATCTGACAACGAGAGAGCTCGCTCGCTCCTATCTGGCGCGCCGGGGGTCCCCCAAAACACGCCACGTAATCCCAGGGAGAATATGCGCATGGATTGGTGTTTTTGATTTAGGCTCGGAATTATATACGATTAGTCTTTTACTACTAGTACGGGCAGCCTCTTGGACCATCACATCGGAAAGCCACTCCAGGCCAGTCCAGTCCTCTTTGGCTGCTTCCATCCACACCGCCCGCCTCTTCCCTGGTAACCTTGGAACGCCGTGCAACCCTTTTCCAGAATTAGTCGCTGACACAATGGCCGTATTATTCCTTTCCTCCATATTTGCAGCACGAGCTTTTTATTAGTCGTCTTGCCAACGATAACAGAGCTTTCGAGCTGCGTTATCCTATCCTTTTCCACCAATTACGTTTGCCATGCGTTGTCCTCCTCCGTCGCGGCCTCCGTTTCCTGGAAAGCCTTGACTACCTAGTATTTTGACGAGTATCGGTGCCCAGTCGCGTTTGGTGACGGTGAGTAACCGTGATCGTATGTGCTGGACTGAGCATAAGGATCGTCCTGGTATACTGTGCCCCGACGCTCCTCCTCGGGCAGCAGCTCCTTCACCTCCCAGTTGTTCATCCTAGTTCCGACTGAAAATTCGAGGTCTTCCTTGGTGATGGAATCCCAGTACTGCAAGCCGTAGTGTTAGTCGATTCGCAATGACGCGGAACGGCAAGTTGTGCGCGGGGCGTGCGGACGCGGGGAGACATACCTTGTAGACCATCATTATTGCCAGTAGGTTGCAGATTGTGGCAAAGAACAAGCCATCGACATAGTGGCTCACAGCGTCACAGATCTTGTCGCTGAAGGCGTACAAAATAACCTGGCCAAGGACAAAGAAGAAGACACCAAAAGCGATGTCTCCCATCGGCCAGCGGTCCTGCAGCGTCTGGGACACCAATATTATCTGCATCACCAGATATATGAGCAACTGCACCCCGTTCAGCACGTACAGCACCACAAACAGCCCCACTGTGTTTGTAGGCCCCAGGCCGGCCCAGCTCTTGAAGGTCGCTAGAGACACCAGGAAGGATATGGCAAAGGCGGCGAGACAGGACAGCCTCAACATCCATAGTGACAGCGGCGTGCCGTCCTCGTATAGTTGAAAGCCCACGAAGCCGTTGATCATCAGACAGGTGATGAGGGCAGATGAAAGGCCGTTTTGTACCGCAACAAAGTACGGATAGGGGCCTGAGCCTGGAGGGACAACACCAGCATCGACGCACAGGGAGATGAACGTCAGGAGCATGTAGATGTAGAAGCAGTTGATGATTTCCTTGCGGCCTGTGATCCGATCCTGGTCAGTCTTACGGCGACAAATAGGAACATCAACCAGCGGGGGGAAACATACCAACGGCAGTGAACTTGCCGCGCACGTGGAGGATCATAATGACGGTCATGGCCAGGGCGACAATGTGTATGGCGCTCGTGGCCATCTGGAAGATGATGGTGTTGGCCAGCTCGATGTTGCGGGCATAGCAGTTTGTCTCGATGCCGACGCCGTTTGATATGGAGGTGATGGGGCCGACGGCTGCGCACAGGGGCAGCGGTGCCGTCTGGCAAAAGGATGTGAAGTCGCCGAAAGGCATCTTGTCGTTGTCTGGCGCTTGATCGGCCGAGGGCGCCTGGATCGCGGTCGTACTCGATGCTCCGAGGCTCGAGGCCTTAGGAGAGTGTCGGCAGGGCTAAGGGCCGAGTCGAGTCCAGGAAGCCGGAAGTCAATCCGGCTGTAGAGGGAACTCGCAACGGTCAAATCCAGGGCCCCGATCGATCCTGTCTTGACGGCGCGACTTCCCTCAATGATCTTTTCCAGTGCCTTCCCGTAGATACGTCCAGACTGTGTGCCTCGCAAAGCAGTTCAGGGCCAGCGGGCCGTCGTCGTCGAATTGGTCGATTGTTTAGTCTTGTATCGTCGATGAGCGAGCGCAATAGTGGAGTGCCAGTCGTGGAGACCGGAAGTGGGAATGACACGAGCCAGGGGAATACGAGGCCGGCGGCAACAAGGTGCAGAGGCGGGTGCAGGTGCGGGTTTGCGAGATATGAGATGCGAGATGATGGGGAACTAGGCTGGATTGATCGTTGGCAATTTGGGCCGTACTAACGAGTGCAACAGAGACAAAGACTGTAGTTGTGATGACAATAGTGAAGCGAACGAAGGTCGGGACAGAACGAGCGAGCGTGTTTATTCGGCGGCGCAGCTTATGCCTGCTCCCTTGTCCAACTCGACTAGACAACCAACGCCTTGGTCTTGACCTGACGTTGTGATGGGGACATGGGACATGGGCAAGTCGAAAAGAAGCTGGCTGGGCCGGTTTGAGCTGGTTGCTGGTTGCCGTGGAAAAGAGGGCGGACGGTTGGACGGGGACGACGGGGGCTGGACTGGATTGTGACTGTGACTTGGAATTGCGGGCTCTCGCGTCGAGAAATAGCAGCCAAGCACCCAGCAACCACCCAGACCACCTGCACCTGAGGGCTGGGAATGCAGAAGCTGGGGTCTGGCTCCTTTTCCCATCCCTGGAGCCTCAGTCCTATTGGCTGTGCCCTGCCAGTGCCCGCCAGTGCCCACTGCCTCCTCCCTGGGCCTGCTGGGCCTGCTTGGGCCTGCTGGGCTGGGGCTGCAGAATTTAGACTTTCGATGTTCCCTCCGATATGCAGGTCATGCCTGCTTTGTCTCTCGGGTGATCTTCGACTCCACCGCCATCGTCATGCCACAGAAAAAGCAGTATCTCTACTACATGTAGATATCCTACACGAGTAAGTATATTGGCGACCCTTCAATTCGAAACAGCGCAAATATAGGTAGAATAAATGCGCTTGCTTCCGTCATCCAAGCCACCACAGTATTCGGCTTCCGAAGTCAAGGAACAAAGCATCAAGTTGTCGTGGTACGCAGGACGCGGGAACCCAGGCCGTCACGGGAACATGCGCATGATTGAGTTCAATCTGGTGTCTAGAACCTGTTCATCGCATTTCTGCTGCTGGGCCGGTCCGGTCAGAGCGTCCATGCACACTAGACACCGTCACACAAACAAAATAAGCACATTAATACATTGTCTGGTCATCCTCACATTGATGCTATGATCATGAAAGCCGAGGCATCGCAACCTGTCGCCCTCTCACTCGTCATCAGATCCGTCAGCCATGGTGGTATCTGCCCGACCAGCATCCGCTCCTGGTGACGCCTTCTCTGGCGCAGGCGCCTCGTCGTCGTCGGCCTCGTCGTCACTCTCAAGCACACGACCCCTCCTCGCACGCTTCCGTCGCTGCACGCCACCTTCCTCCTCATCGTCGTCCTCGCCTGCAGCGCCTCTCGCCCCACCAGGAGATGCAGTCCTGTCCACGTCCATCCGGCCCGCACCACCCTCGTCGTCCGAGTCTGGCTGCGGCTCCGGCGATGAGATGGCCGACACCGGTGAGTCCTCCTTCTGCGACGGGGCTGGCGAGTCTGCGTCACTATCGTTGATGAATTCCGCCGACTTGTACTTGCTGTTCTCCTTCTTGGTGAGACGCCTCTTCTTCTTAGGCTGCCTCTCGCGCTGCTGCTCCTCTTCCGAAAAGTCGCCCTCGCCATCCTCTCCGCCCTCGTCCTCGTCCCTCCTCTTCTTCGACCGGCGTTTGCGATCACCACCTTCGCCCTTCGACCGCGCCGCTGGCTTGCGCTTCCGCTTCACTCGCTCGCCCGCGCTGTCTTCGGTCATCTCGGCCTCGAGCCTCTCGCGCTCTTCTTGCGCACGGCGCTCAGCAATCGCTCGGTCCCGCGCTGCGATTTCCTCGCGTTCTTTGCGGATCTTCTCCTTCCGTGCGAACTCTGCTTCTTCCGCCTTGCGCCTCTCTTCCTCACGGCGCCGCTGCTCAGCTTGCCGCTGCTCCAGAGCTGCTTGGATCTTCTCCTTGTTCTTCTCCTCGTATTGCTTCTGCTGGTCGATTGCGCGCTGCAGCTGGTTCCTTTGTGTGTTCTGGGCCATGTTCGCACGCTGTTCCAACTCGTGTTTGGGGAAAGGAGTGTCTGGCCGGTTGGCAACCTCGCCTAGCGTCGTGATCGCAGATTCCAACCCTTCCGCAGCCTCTTGAAGTTGCTGCAACGTCCTGTCCGTCTCTGCCATGTCTCTCAACGTCATGGCCAACTGAATCTGGACGTACGCCACGTTGAACTTGAAATGGACTTGCTCCGGGGCAATTTCCAGGGCCTATAGGTTAAGTTAGCTCGGGATTCTTCCTCATGCGACTTGCCTATCACGCCTACCTTCTTTGCAAGCTCCAGCGCCTTGTAGTAGGCATTGATTTCAGGTGGAATCTTTTGGCCGTGTGCAACTGAGATACTGGCTTTTCCTCTGCTCAGCCAGGTTCGGCCCAGACATGAGATGAGCATGGTATCTCTGGATTTTCCCTCCTTGGACAGGGCGATCTCGTAGCTCTCGATTGCCTTGGAGTATTGCTTCAGCTCGTGGTAAGTGTGGCCGAGATTCATGTACACGTTCGCATCCTTGATCGTCTCGCGAACCTGAAGCAGGATCGACAGGGCTGTTCTGTAATCTTTCTTTGCTTCCGCCAGTGCGATGGCCATACCTTGAGCGGCGTACGCGTTGTTGGGGTCCAGTTGCAAGGCTTTGTCGAAGAACTCCACTGATTTGTTGTACTCCTTCTCCCGCCTCTGTTTGTCGGCCTCCGTGTGGAGTCGTGTTTCTCTGGCATGCGAAAGGTGCATGTTGCCCATAGAGACCAAGGCGTATCGATCATGCTTATCAAGTTGCTGCAGGGTCCGCTTGAAAGTGCGGTACTCGTGGTCTTCATTCAGATTCTGTGGCCTCTTCTTGGACGTGACCTTACTGAGATACCAACCATAAAGCGCCCTGACCTCGGCGTCAGATGGCTGCTCGTTGTAGAGTTTCGAAACAGCTTCGGGTCCCTCTTTATTCGGATTCTTTCGCAGCTTGATGTATGCCAAGCGAGTTCGGGCGTCAGTGTAGTCATCGTGGCGCTTAAGAAGACGCTCGTAGATATCAACGGCCTTCTCGACCAAGCCCCTCGACTCATAGCTTCGCCCAAGGTTGAAGCTGATTGTGGTGACGAGGGCATCAGTATCCATGTCCTCGTTGTCACCAGTCTCCTCGATTCTCATGCAAGAGTCTAGAGCAACCTCAAACAACTCGCTCCCAAGCTCGTGTTTCTCCGCCTGGGAGTAGAAGCAGCCAATGTTGTTGAGAAGTTGCGGAGAAAGCAGCCTTCGCTTGGCTGCCTTTTTCGCAATCTCGTCAGTGATATCATCAGGGATGGCAGAATCGGGGATTTGGTCGAGCTCCATTTGTTCCACCTGTTGCAAACATTGCAGGGCCTTGTCCGGGTGTTCGGTCTCGTATAGCCGAGCGAGGTTCAGAAGCACCGAAGCGTCAGGAGCAACATTCCTCTGGGGATCCTTCCACGCAGATCTGACGCCCTCTAGTAGAATCATGGCTTGCTTGGCCTCGTTGGTCTTGTTCTCCTTGACAGTAGCGGCCTCATTGGCGAAAACTTCCTCTGCGTAAATGGTCCCAAGCAGTGTCATGGTTTCGTGATTCCGAACCTGTTTGTTCATTTTCTCGAGATGGTATCTTGCTCCAGGGAGGTCATTCTTCATGACCAAAAGCTGTGCCTGGCCGAACTTGGCCGGCAAGTATCCACGCTGGTCGCCTCCTCGCGCATCATCGGCGCGTTTGTAATAGTCGCTTGCACGATCCGCATCACCGGCATAATGCTCCTTGCGAGCCAGCAGATACCAGCCATCACTGGCGACAGCGTTCACATCGGTGTACTGAATCGCCTTATGTGCCAGGCTGTCCACGTTTGCATAGTTCTTTCTGGACAAGAAGTATCCAGCAAAGGTGGCGCAAGTCAGCGGGAAGTCTTTGTCAAGCTTGAAGGACCGTTGGGTGTATTCCGTCATAGCCTTCTTGTAAAGTCGAATGAAATCAGGGCTGTTGGTGGGAACGTGGCCGCTGCTGTCGAGGTAAAACAGTCCAAGAAGGATGTTTCCGACCTTTGAGTCAGGATTGATCTCCAACGCTCTCTCCCAAGCAGTCTTTGCATCATCTTTGAACCCGAGCTGCCAGAAGCAGCATCCAATGCCAATTCTTGGATCAGGGTCGACCATGTCGGGCATTTTCTGTAATACATCCTGGTATGCCGACAGCGCCTCTGGGTATTTTGCCATGGAGAACAGGGCCCTTGCTTTTCCCATGACAGCTAACATGTTCTTGCCAAATGAGACCCGGATGGCATCCTCGAAGGACTTGAGAGCGGAGCGCAACAGCTCTGCCTTCTCTGGATCGATAGCACCTGTACCGCCTGATTTTGAAGGCGGTTGTAGCGACGCGCGAAGCAGATAGAGGACGCCACGCGCAAGGAATAGTGGTGGAAATGCTGGATTGATTCGTGAAGCCTCGTTGAGGGTCGCGGTTGCTTGTTGTAGGTAGTATTCTTTGGTCTTGGCCTCGGACGCGAGCTGTCCTTCTGGCGCGACTCGAGGTGCGTCACGGCTCTTCCACAGGTACATCCAGCAGAGACAGCTGACCAGACTCAACTTGTCACGCTGGTTGATTGTCTGGAGAGCGTTACCGCGAATCAGTGTCTCAATGGCATAGTCGACTTTCCTCTGTTTAGCATAAGCCAAGGCGACAGCCATCCAATATGTCCGAGCGGCATGCTCAGCCTCGAAGAGATCGCATAGATCGGAGGGATCATCCATCAAATTCGTCAAATCGATCTCGACGGCCTCATCTTCTTGATCTTGTACGGGGATGTCGAGTGTTGCTGGCACATCAGCGAATCGCTTGCTCGCGTACACGCCATCCGAGGCGCCATTGACCCCATTGAGGTGGCCATTCTGATGTACCGACGCCATGACTGTACGGGAAGAATGACCGAGCTAGAGAGTGTCGGAATCGAGTATTGCCTTGTTGGCGACTTTCTGTGCTGTCGGTTTGAAAGTCGCCCAGTTGCGGGAATCGAGGCGGGCGAGGTCGAATCGCAGGATCGCGTTGCGCGCTGCTGCCGAGGTGAGAGGAAAAGCTGTCGTAGAGGTAAGTCCAGTACCTATGATTGGAAGCTCATTCTGTATTCGAATTGACGTCAACGCAAAGCAACGTCAGTAGCTGCGAACTGTGATGGCGTCCGCTTCGAAGGGGAGAGGCACGGAAGCGAATGCTATGTGTGAAGGAGCTTGGTTCTTGAAATTCATCTGGCCAAAAGTATGAGGCTGAATGGCAGCTCGCACGCCCCTGCTAGCAGCCCACCAGGGGCATGGGTCCACGGTTGTATTCATGTGCCCACCTGAGCCAAGTACCTAGGTACCGTTTCCCCTGTGGTTGACTTCAGGGTTGACAACCCTGGCTTCATCGGTTAGGGTGCCCCACCCCCCCCCTTCCAGGAGAACAATTTGACTTCAGTTGAAGCAATTGTTGATGCATACAGCAGCAAATGAATACCTCCTTGCCAATTGGGAATCAAAAGACCTTCTATTATTTGAGAGGGCTGAATTCTACATCAGTAAGTAGCCACACTTGACAGTGACACATATTCCCCTAGATATTGCTTCACTTACAATCAGATACTCCAGGAGGCATTGTTTGTTACAAAGTCACCTTGTACGTTGCGAGCTCTGTGACACATTTGTTTACTTTGTATTCATTAGTCATTAAATATCTATTTATGAGGCAATCTGAACTTCCCAAGATAATACACCAACAAGAGACTACGATGTCACTAAACCTGCTGATATATCTTAAACATTCGGCAACAAGTTCAAGCAGAGCTGGCTGCAGAGTTTCTGGGCATTGAGATGGTTCTAATTACTTACGCAGGCAGTGAAAAAGCACGAACAGCTGTGCTCCTCTCCTCCTTGACTTGTTGATAGCGTACAGACCTGCTGGCCTTACACTCCTCACAAATATGTGCCACAATTTTATGGTCTGGGAGATGATGGTATTTCTCGATGTGTCTGTGGAGTGTAGACCTGGAGAAAAGGCTGACAATTACAGGAACTTGAAGCACCCACAAGACTATGGATGTCTTGGAGACCATTAAACAAAATTGGGCTACAATGGGTGTTGACAACTCGTTAAAGAGGAGTAGACACAGGCATCTACCGTGCTGCCAGATTTCTTGTCTCTCAAGGTCAGTGTGCATTTTCTACTATTCATCCCAGATGCCCATGAATTTAGGTCTGAATCACATCATTGTAGAAAAGGAAATGGATATCTTGGTGGTCTAAGACAGTGATACGTAGGCACAAACATTCCATGATCTCATGGGGATGCTAATCAACCAAAGCTTGTCAATGTGAATGTTTTATGCGAATACGAAAGAACTTCATGAATTTCAAGATTTCTGGGGGAATGAAATGTTGAAATACGATTTATTTCCTCTCATCCTTGATGTGCTGCATAATGCAATTGCAGTCAACCTCTGTCTTCTTTCTGAATATCAACCGTGTCCGAAGCATCGTCCTTCTACAAGATCTCCAGTTGGTGAAATGTTGACTCGTCTTCCATTTCATTTATTCGATGCCTTGGCGATTACACAGAGCAACAAGAAAACATAGCCCTTTGGAAGCCGCTCCTTGTTTCTACAGCTTGGCCAGCCGTACCGTGCTATCTACCGAGCGTCCCTTGCGACTATTTCAAATGAAAGGCAGGCCTCCAAGTCTTCTAGGGTGAATTCGAAGTCGTTGTCAACGGTTATATTCCGCGACGTTTCCTCTGAACAATTCTAGACCGACCTCTCTCACCTCTCACTATCATCCACACTCTTCTATGCCCGTGAGCATCGCCTTTCTCGCAGCCCCGCGCCAGATGTGGTGATCTACGCCTTCGATGGTGCAGACACCGCCCAGCCAGCCACCTGACCGTATCGCGTCATCAAGCATATCACAGGCGGGATACCATCACGGGCTCCGAATCGAAAATCATGTCGCCTCTTACGTCCCGCGTCAACCGAGTCGTCAAGGTCGCCAGTCGCGACGCGGCAAGCGACGACGGCAAGTCGTGCTCCAACAACGCTTGGAGCTGCCTGAACACGGCGGGACAGTTTGGCGTCATTTTCAGCGTCATCATTGCCGTCATAACAATTGCTTGGGTCTATTGGTACACTGTTATTCGACCAAGGCAGGGGAGGATCAGGGGGTCTGGGGAGGATATCGAGCTGGATCTCGGGGATGGCCGTACTGTTGTGGTCTCGTCTGGGCCATACCAGAGGACTGTGGTATTTCGAAGAGCTCGGTCGCCGACTCCGCCCCCGCCGGCCTACAGACCTCCTACGCCTGGTGCTGGAGTGATTATACCCCCAGGATTTGCTACGACGACTGACTCCCTTCCGCCATCTCCACGAGCATCTCACACTCAGATATGGTCACCACAGGCTCCTCCACAACGCCCTCAAACCTCTCAGAACGTCCCACCACAATCGATGAGTACGCCTAATTTCGTCCAGGGATATCCATTTCCTGGCTCCTACTCGCAGCCGATACCCCTCGCAATGTATCCTCCCCAGGTCATGGTGCCCGGTCCGCCTCCACCTCCACCAGCGATGATGTACCCTCGAGCGCAACCGCAGACATACTTGGTCATACCGCCTCCTCCACCTCGTCCGCCCGATATGCCGGCCCAAGGATTGATTCCTCCTCCACCGCCGCCGCCGCCACCACCCCCGAGCCAGCCACCAAACGGCGGTATCTACCAGCAGCCAACAGGAACCGACAGCCAGGTACGGACCAGGCCGCCGTCTCCAGGTCACGCATCCACCATTGAAGACGATGACTCTGATCGAGGCGGCTCATTACCTCCAGCGGACCGCCAAGAACGAAGCCCATCACGGGATCGGAGCCCGCCAGCAGGTGGTTCGCAGTTCACACGTAGCCGCACACCGTCCCCCAGTGAACGAAGACGCCAACATGCTCGCCGCCGTCCAGCCCCGAGCCCCAGCCGCTCCCCGCCACGAGGACGACAGCGTAAACGTACCCAACAGGACGATTCGAAATCTGACAACTCCAAATCAAGCGACACAAGCTACAAGTCATCGACCAGTCTCGACTCTGACATGCGTACCGACTACGACAACCTTTTCGTGGAACATGATGGCCGCAAGCGAGGTGAGGAGGCCAAGCGTCTGCAGAAGCTGGTTGATCGGATCGACAAAGAGGAAGAGGAGGAACGGGAACACCGCAGTGCCTATGGTGAAGCCAGCGGCGTAGACATGTTGCCTCGACTCCCAGGACAGCCCTTGCGGCCTGCTGTCCCTCGAGCCGAGACAGCCAACGCTGTTGCGGAGACGAGCGTCGAACAAGAAGATCCACAACGACGTCAAGAAGGAAACGAGGCGTACGAAATTGATAATGAAGAGAGCCAAACGAACCATCCAAAGCGACACGTCACATTTCAGCAGCCATCTCTTGAGGTCCTGGAGTCACGGATTGGCCGTCCTTCCCGCCGCTCCCAAAGCCCAGCTAGAATCCCAAACCAAGAAGACCTCCATCACGGCGAATCTCGAGTGGGACGCCGTCGGCGCACCCCCAGCCCAGACGAGAGGATAGTCGAGCGACCAGTTGCTCCAGTCCTAAGCAGTGCCGAATCTCGCATCGGTAGGCCTCAACCTCCATCACCGCCTAAAGAGCACTCACTTGTGCACAAACGCAGTCACGGCTTTCCCGGCGCTGGTGAGTCAAGAGTCGGCCACCACCATGGCAGGAAGCGCCGCCTAACACACCCTCCCGAGACGATTTCCCCGGGAGCAGGCTCGGACTACTACAACACACACGATGCAACCCACGGTGGTCATCCCACAATCGACGATGGCTTCCTCCTCAGTATCGCTCGATCAGAGGGCCCCCCTTCGAGCGCCGGCGCGACGTGCGGGACTAGGAGCCACGCTTCGAGTGAGAGCAACGATCGGCGACGGAGGATGGGCCTGACTCCAAGCAGGTTCAATCGTGATCGGGATCAGCGGGCCGACGAGGGCGCAACTCCGTATCTAAGGTCGCCATCACCTGAGGAGTAAGTAATTAAGGAATATTTCGTCGAGTTTGCAATGCTAACCAACAATCAACCACGCAGATCTGATAACGACGAACAAAAGAAGCATAGCCCGAAGCCCAGCTGGGGATCAAGGCTCGCATCCATCCTGCCTACGATTGCGAGGCTCACGACCAACAACCCGGTGGTGCGAGAGGTGGCGGACGATATCGCGGATGAGGTCAGGAATCGAGAGAGAAGAGAAGGAGCTGCGCGAGGATGGCCGGCTAGAGGTACGAGCAGACAGTCCATTAGCCAGGGGCCACAAAACGACCAGCAAGGCCTTCATCACCTTCAGCCGCCTCAGCGCCTTCCAGGACCCCGCCAGCGGCACGACGCTCGTCGACCACGCTCCCAAGGCCGTCGTGATGGGCCATCACGGCTGCCCAGGTGAGGAACCCAACACAAAGGTGTCCGCCCGCCAGGCAAGCTAACCCTTCACTCTCGCAGACCCTCCCGCGACCAATACCGCGGGCACCGACGACGACCGAGCACGATTGCCGAGGAGCCACGCAACAGCTTGCAGCTCACCCTGGAGCACGCCGCGGAGCGCCTCGCAGAAGAGGCTGTCGGGTCGGACATGGACCGAGCCCGTGACCCCGGAGGAGGCTTAGGTGGCCATGCTGATGCAATGCCAGGCCAACATGACCAACGTCGTCGGCGGCCGCGCAGGAGCAGTAGGGCAACGGAGTCCTAGCGATGTGCCGAACGGCTATATCACACACACGTCCCTCGAGGTTCACAAAGGGAAGTGGCGATGACCGGAGACATGTGAACCAACACCCTACCAAACCCATCTCGCCGAAACGGCCAGTGGCTATTCTTGGGCGGACCCATCACGGCCCTGGTCTCAATATCACCAGGCAATTCGATCACCCCCACAGTCCAGGAATGAACAGATACACAGTAAATAGTCTTCGCACACCCAAGGCACGATGATAGCTGCGGGAGACACAGCTGCACCAGCCCCCAAATAGAACTTGATTGGCAATATGCCGGGCGGGGCCAGATACAGCTTTGTATCTCATGTAGCCCCAAAAATAGCATATAAATCACAAAGCATGAGTGAGGCGCGCGCGCACCAACAACAGCTGTGCCCATGACGGCCGCAGCAAGGCCGGTACTACTAACAAGCTGGCGTCCACCAGAAACTCCGGACCCGATACTTATTGCGGAAGCGATGATAAGATAGATTAGGTGTCCCATGTGCAACTCCCCATTCGGCTCCACACCAACAAGAAAATAGGCGCCAGGCGTCTTCCAAGGTCGATTTTGTGCCATGACCATGCAGTGACGCCCCGAAACTTTGGTTTCTTCAGGAGCCAGCCTAGTGATGATGAAGGGCATGCCGAGTTGTTATGACCCGCCCGGGGTGACCACTTGGCTATCAGCCCACATTGGTTTCGACGGACTGGCGGCCGTCCATGCTGTCCCTGAGATGGGAATGGTTAGCAATCGTCTGACTTTGACTTGTGTGTGTATACGTGAGCGAGTGTGTGTGTGTGTGTGTGTGTGTGTGGCTCCATTCGTTACAGTCCCCGCCTCAGGGAGACGCTAGCCTGTTTTCTTTTGCCCTCGCTCTCTGTGCGACGATGAGGATAGACGTTGCTTTTCCATGAGCAGTCAGAAATGCAGATGCCGTGTCAATTGCTGTCACGCCGTCAAAGGATCCCGATGAAGGTACCACGACGTCGCAGGCAAGGGCGATGTCAACCGCATCACAGGGGAGGCAGACAGACGCCTTGCCGACCCGATGTTGGAAAAGCAACACCTCCAGTCTTGTGGGTCCAACATACGTACGTCGTGTTCCTACTTTCTTTGTATTGTACGTAGAGAATCGTAGAGAACGTAGAGTTCCGCGGGGTCACGGCCGTCCCCGTTTCCATGGCCCTTTATTACGGCTGTGGCACTGTGCAGGATGGAACCATGATTGTTGAATTTGCACTAAAGTGGCATCGTGGCGTCGCTGCAAGCAGGAAGTGTGCCCTTTCATTGCAGGTTCCCGCAGGGCCGGGGGGGGGGGTTAGTCGGGAGTGGTGACTGCTAATCTATCTGGCTTCAGTCGGAAGGGGACCACGGCAGGAGACCGAACGGGTCTGGGGGTGGGCGCAACTGAAGCTGCTGATTGTCGCTTGTGGCCCGCTGACGGCCGGGCGTAGTTTGAGGGGAGGGGGGTTTCCGGTATGAGGCTTTTGAAGAGGCTTGGACAACAAAGCCGCCGCTTCCAGGTACAGGGCCACCTGGGCATCCCGGTGGATGGGTGGCTCTAGTCATCCATACCAAGGGAAGTAGGCAGCCCGCGGTGGGCAAAAATGCACTAAAACGAGACAATAATCGCGAATATATGGTTGGTTTCCTGGGCCTGCATTAACCACATCCATCAACGTGGGTTTGGGGCCAGGCAGGCAGTCGTGCACTTTGGCTTACGAGGCGTGGCGTGGCCCGTCGTACTTGGGCTGAGGGGTATCGTCCGAATAAGAGATGGCTTGTGTGTGTATTCCCACCCGCACATTTGTTCACTAGCCTCCGGGGACGTAGCCAATGCGACTGTGGCCAAGAGTGTCACCATGAGGTCCTGGGGTGCAACATTTGGGTCGAGTGAAGCGCCATCTGCGGTCACTTGAACCCAGATCTGGGAGTCGGAACCTCCTCGCCTATCAAGTAGATTAAGTGTCTTTTTGCCCGTACTCGGCGACGAAATGGGGGCTTGTGCTCAGGTGGTCGCCCGCGTGAGATTGTTGTAACCACAGGCATAGGCAGGCCTCTGCGGACCGTGGCAGACGCAGGAAGCCACACACCGAGACATGACGGTCGGAACGGTCTTTTGGTGTCTCCTACGGTATCCACAAAGTGAACAGCAGCCTTAGTGTTCACAGGCAGACTTGCTGCACAAATCAAGGCCGCGGCATGAATAAGTTTCATGTGGCCCTGTCAAGTCGTATATCTCGAGGGCGGGGCGCGCAGACTGGTCATCCGCCCGATGGCATCAGCTCGCGCTTTGCCGAGCGACGGACGGTGAATCCTCCAGAGAAAGAAAGCCCGTAGCCGGACTGCAGGACTCAGTTAGAGCGGGGTCAGCATGGCACTTCGCACGCAAATCATGATGTCCAATATGACAGGGTTCCAGTCTCAAGATTAGACCGAGAGGAGGACTTGAACGTCTCGTGGAGTCCCGCAGAAACCTTCTTTCAGCCTGGGTTGCGACTCGCCGTGACGGGCGAAGCTGGGGGGAGATCGTTGCGATTCGGCAGGGTACCGTGGCTGGAAGGTGGATGACAGTTTCGACGGAGCTTGTCCAAGACCAAGAGTCATTCAGTCACCCCCGAGGACTCGAAGACCGCTGTGACCAAAGTCTGTTAATATCTGTGTTTGATAAGCTGACTTCAAGGAGCGTCGTCGTGTCGTCGTGTCGCATGCGAACTTGCCACCACGCAGGGAGGGCCTGCATTGGTGTGAGGCTCCAGTCGCACCGCCAGACGACTCATGAGCCCTGGTGAGCCAACTTCCGACGATCCTAAAAATTGCAAGTGCGCCAGTCCGTTGCAGGCGAACTTTACGGGTCTGAGCGAAGCGGTCGTCGCCTTGGGCGTCCAGGCGTATTGCCCCATTAGTGCGTAGGCTGCCCGAATCATGGCGGCGATTGCTGCCTCCGCGGTGCTAGGCGATGCTGGGGCTATTCAAGTCTGGGAATGGGTATGGGTATGGGTCCGAGTCGAGTCTGGGTCTGGGTCCGACGAATTTGAGCAACACAAGTCTGGTTGTAAGTCAATAAGATCGCCAGTGAGGCGGTCTCACTTTACGGCGGTCGCCTGTCCAACTGGCCGGGTTGAGCGGCAGTATGAGCGGACGGCAATTTTGGTGATCCTGATGGCCATGATGATATGATGAGTGGATCGTAATTGTCTGGCCTGCCCTGGCCCGTCCTGCCCTTGGGGTACCTTGGGGTCGACCACATTGCAAGCTGAGAAGCCTAGTGTAGGTCACCACAGGTGACAGCTTACTACCTAGGCATGTCTGGGCCTTCGGATCTGCATTAGCCGGCCCTTTTAGATTGACAGTGGTTTCGACATAGGGCTTGGGAAAGTTTGTCTATAATCTGATAGAGGCGGGCAGGCCAGGTTGCCGATGGAGCGGTGCTGCACTGAACATGAGCAATCTCCAGTCCGGGGCACAATCGCAGGCACTGTGCGGTACTGCGTGTGGTCTATGTCATCCCCAGAACCTTGCCCATGAAAGTGGGAGTGTGTGTGTGTGTGTGTGTGTGTGTGTGTGTGTGTGTGTGTGCGTGTGAGTGAGTGTGTCACGGCGCATTTTATACGACCAGGTGTTTGGGAGAGGGGGGTTGCCACAGATGCGGATCTGGATGGGATGGGATGTCCAGTACGGTGAGTGAGATCAGGCTTTTGGTCAATTCTGGTTGCGAGCCGAGGTGGCAGGTGGATGGATGGGATGGATGAGATGGATGCAAGGGGTGGTGATGAAGGGAGCAAGATGGCGGCGACGGGTCATCTCACAGTTTAATCAGGAGGGCGTAAGAGACCAACAATTAATTTCTCAAGGGGGAAGGTGTTGCCCTCGACAACTGGATTGGATTGGATTGGACCATGGACTTGGATTTGCCAGCCAGCCAGCCAGCCAGCCAGCCCAGCAGGTGCACACACAGTACAATGTGTACACACACCCACCCAGGCCACCCAGCACCCTCCTGGTCCCTATAGTACAGTGCGAAACACCAAAGCGGAGCGCCCTCGATGATCTTGGTTTTGGGTTAGCAGCCACGGCACTGGGCAGAGGCGCTTTGCATAGACGACGTGATCAAGTCGATTCATTGCCCGACATGCGATATGCGACATGCTTCGACCAAAAGGCTGTGTAAGAGGTTTCGTCTCCACTCGTTTACCTGCTGTAAGTCTTCTAGGCCTGAACCTAACCTGACCGACATGACAGGCCTTGGAAGTGCCTCGTGTACGGAGTACAGTACAGTACACACAGGCTTACTTGTTTGCGCCTTGAACATCGCTACCGACTGCGTCACCAACCCCGAACGCCCAGCCGCCCGCCCGCTCGATCGTCCTTACAGCAAGTAAGTAAGTCAACTAACTCTTGGTCCCGCTCAGACATGAATCGTCCTCTCCTGGCTCGGGCGGACTCAAGCGGAGCCTCTCGGCGGCGACAGCCACCACCAAGACTGGAGCCACCGTCTAGGCATGGCTGGGAAGGTAGACGAACAAACCTGCACTGCACGGGCCAAGAGTGTGGGCAACGAGAAAGAAAAATCCAATTTACGCGTGAGCGATTCTGTCGCGTCACCCTGCTGCAGGCTCTTAATTAGTCTGAACCTTGCAAGAACATGGGAGCTAGCTCCAATTCCACAATCCTGCCTGGCCCACGTCTCATCCAATCCAACCAGACGAGACCTGTCTCTGCCCACATTGTTCAACAACGAACGGTACCGGTGCTCACCCAACAACTTCGCTCCCACCTACCTGGCCTGGTCAGGGCTGCTGTTGTTGCCTGGTCGGTTCGGGTCAGGTCAGGTTAGGTTCGAGTGGTCTCGGACTTCCAAGGCCGACTAATGAAACCGACATCGACAGCATTGTGATGTGCGGCGCTTCGACCGATGGATGGGCCTCTCTTGTCGCGGCGGATCCCCCGTCATGGAAGTATCTGATGTATGTCATCACGAGATATAGTACAGCTTTCTGCTGTCGGTGACAGGGGTCGGCACGTCGACGTCGTTTGATGGAGCTCCTGTTATCCCGACCGACACTTCCGGCCCTTATGCCCGGCAGCCCGCCCTTTTGCGCATCGAGGCACGGTTGTGACTGGTCTTGCCTGCGTATCAGCTCAGCTCGGTTGCTTCAACACGGTTCGAGACGGCTCGCATCTGCCGTCACCCAAGGGGCAGACCATGCTCGCCTTGCCTTAGTTGAGCATGACTAAATGTACTGCATCGACGCCGATCCTAAAGCACACAGCCTTTCTGGTGTTGCGCGGTCAAAGTCGGGCGACGAGACGGCTGCAACCTGACGCGGGAAAGGAGGAATAAAGGACGACGCACTACAGCCACTCACTCCATGAGCAACTCCTGCTGCAAGCGCTTCGAGCAATCACATCACACCCTTTCGTCTTCGGTCCAAGGCCGACAGGGCAACCGACCTGGCTGGTTCGGGTCTACGCCCCTAATGATAAGTCTTTATCGGCAACACGGATACGTGGGCATGACAAGTCCGCCCGCCGCTGGCTTAGGACAAAAGTATCAGGCTTGCTGACCAGGGTACGATCCCGCCATTGAGAGAGAGGGATAGAGCAAAAAAAACCCGAGCCCCTTACCAGTGAGCCACTTCTGCGAGCGAGTATTGATGCCCTCAACCCTGCATCAGGCTCGCGGGGGACGCATTTCAAATTATTGTTAAACCACTTGCGGTCACGCACCGCTGCATCCAAAAAGAAAAGGGGGTCTCGTCAGATAGGTATCATGCAGACTTCTCGTCGCACCACCACCACTATCAGACACAAGGGAGCGCGATGCCCGATTCCACACACATCCTACAAACGCTGATCCCCGGCCGTTCATTGTCTCTATGCCCCACCCCGCCTGCCGCCCAGGCCGCTTCGAATCTCGCAAACGGCCAGCCAGAAACCCGTCCCGACTTGATGATGCCCGCACCCCTGCTCCGCTTTGGTGGTGTGTCACACGTTTGCACCTTTGCGAAAACGGTTGCTTCGGGGCCTGTCTGAGGGGGGATGGCCGTCGGGATGCAGGAGGCACCAATCAGAGACAAGTTGCACAGTTTGATAGTGTGGTCTTCCGCAAGCCTTGCGCAAGCTCTCACGGAGCGCCCACTCAGCAGGGAATGATGCCTGGTGCAGCATAACGCGGCGTCAAGCCAAATTCCTCTTGCGTCTTGCCTGGTCTGATGTGAGAAGTCTGAGAGCGCCCAGATGAATGCGACCCGGGCCAGCTAGCTAGCTCTAATGTCCAGGTCGGACATCGATCCTGTCACCCAGCAGTCGCCAACCGAGCCAACCAGAATGCTGGGGGCTCGGGCCTGTGACCGGGCCAGACGAGCAGACCAGCTGGAGCTGGAGCCACGATGATTCCACTGCCATTAATAACTCGGCAGCTCAGCAGCACGCAGGTGGCGCGAGCCAATGGCGGGCGCCTTGACAAACCAACCGGCTACCTAGGCATGGCACAAGTGCTTGCGCGTAGCGAAGGCGAAGCAAGAAGGCAAAGCAAAGCAAAGCGAGCTCACAAAGCCGGACCCCCCAGCCGCAACGCAATCAACCCAGATCGCCAATGCCCATGGAGCTGTCGGCGTTGCGTTGCGGGTGCGTTGCGTTGCGTTGTGTTGCGTGGCGACATAGCGTCACAGCCTGTCTCGATTCACGGAGCCCCTTTGGGTCGCATCGGCACAGCAGGCGCGCAGCACTGCGCCGGTTCTTTTCGGTATCTTACGCCGAAAAAGGGCAAGGCTGGCTACCCAGTCTCAAACAAACCTTTTGGTTTTTTGGGGGAGGGGGGGGGATACAGAAACGTGATACGAGAGACCATGTCGTCTGTTTTCTTCAGACTGTCAGAGGTGATCCTGTCGCCTGTGCCCCTTCCTTGAAACCCCAATGGACCAATATGGGGTGCATTCAGCCTCGTCACAGTGGCCTCGATGCGCTATGTTGGGCGCTCCGAAATTTCGTGCCCACTAGCATGTCTCTTTGGGGGGTCAGATGCCTCGGCGGGATTGCCGTTCGAGACGCTCCCCATCCCAAATGTGAACCCTGCAGCATCGTGACTTAACTGCATCTGTTCCCACATTACGGGCCATCAGGAGGGTGCATTTCTCATATGAGTGATGCGTGGATGATGACTGCTGGAACAGGGTCAAAACACAGCACTCTCGGATACGCAATCTAGTAGCAGCACCGTCATTCGATAGCCCTTTCATCTGATCAACACCCCTTGGATCCATTCCCCATTCCACCTCCTCCCAGCTGGGGATTGAAGATATGGATCCGGTCCGCGTAGTGAAGTTGAGCGTTGCTCGATGTGGAACGTAGCAGGATCCAGGCTTTGGCCCGGCAGATATCGCCATCCCTCTTGATCCTTGCTTTGTTGGTCATGTCTCCTTGCCTTGGTCACGTCTCCCTTCAACCCCTGAGCCATGCCGAAACCTACAGATCCGTATTAGATCCCCCCTCATACGAGGCCCAGCCACGTGCCGATTCCGATTAGGTGGGAAAAAGAGGATGCGCCTCTATGAACGAGATGACGAACGTCAGAAGGAGATGGGAGATGTCAGGGCAACGGGCTTAGGTTCCTGGACGACCGTGGCTCCGTCGGCCTACATGTCCAAAGTTGGAATTCCAGCTTGGGATCGGCCAGCAACCAACAATGGGGTCGTTTCCCAACGCCTGCGCAACCCGACCCACACTGCAGGTTTGCTGACCATTTTGCATCCAAGACGGCCTCCAGGAACGGGCACAGCCCGCGCTAATCGAGGCGACAACGGCCGCGGGTCTGCCGACAAAGTTTCACTTGCCCGCGGGTAGACAGCCTGATGAAGCAGGAGGACAGAGACAGCTGAGCTGTGAGGTTGAGCCCCCGGCCTGGAGCAAAAAGACCGCCAACCATCGTTGCGGCAGCCAGGGTAAAATACGGCAAGCCTATTTTTTTTTCTTTGGTCTTCTCTCTCTGTGCCCCTCCCCCCACCGGGTCTTGGCTTTGAACCAAAGTCGGCATTGCACTGTCTTTGCGTTCTCCCTTGTTCTCACATTTTCGATGCTATGCATCCTTGTTCAATACTATGTATATATCCAACGAAACGCAATCGGCACAGTCATCTTGGCTAGGTCCATCCGTGTGGCCTGTAGCGAGCTTGGAGTCTAGGAGTTTGGTTCTGATTGAAATAGGGTTGGTGTGGATGGGGACAGACTTCCTTTCATTACTTTTTGAGTACTGTGGAAGAGAGCAATCGAACAGGTGTACCAAAGTACCCACAGCAAGCTTGACGCTATCCCGCCAGACAGGTACCGCAGTACATGGTAGACAATGACAGGTCAATGTCTGACTGACTTACTGACTTGACAACGATAGTTGCAGTCAAGTCAGTCAGTGTACAGTGCCGGATCAGATGCCCATGTACTACAAAGAAACTTGGGTAGCGTTCGTCAATGCTGACCCTTTCTTCCCATTGCCATGATCATCGTCAATCAATCAGCCTATGGCCGTAGCTATCTGGATCAGACAACCGCCATTGGCCTGAGATCCATGGATCGGCCAGTGGGCACAGTGTCAACCAGCCAAAGCGGACCTCTCCTCGGCTTGCACCGTCGAAAGTCAGCTCGACCCATCGCCTCCTCTCGTCTCGTCTGCCCTCCGCTCACACCTCCAGCTTCCCTCGGCCAAAAGTATGTATGTATGTATGTAAGTGTGTACGTAGCTACGTACTGCATGCATGGGTTTTTTTGCACCTCGTAGACTGGTGTCCTGACCCGAGGTCTAGTCCACTCCGTGATTAGTCTACAACCTACATGTGCAGAATGACGGCTGGGGACTGCCAAGGAGAACAAGAACTACCCACTCCCAGGGCACAAGCACACGGGACCCGTTCTCCCTTGTCCAGGGAAAACTAAATCCGTACCATGGAGAGACGTATCTCTCTCTCGACAGTATATACTGTGCATATGTGTCGAGGCTTGCAACCGGGCCGAGATGGCTGTGAACAGCTGTCCTGCCCTGTCCTGCCCTGTCCTGCCCTGTCCCCTACGGCATCCGGGTAGGTTGAGACCTGGCGGCACATGAAAGCATCAAGGCAAATGAACGAGGCGCCCCCAAGTGGACGGAGTCAAAGTCTCTTGGACGAATGCATGCATGCACGCATGGCCGGGAAGGGGAAGCGATGTCTCTTGCTTGTCTGTTGTGCTTGCCCCCGTTCGTTTCGTAGCTCGTTCTTTCTATCCCTCCATCCCTCCATCCGTCCACTAACTACCACTACTATGTACTCCACTCGCACCCCCCTGGGTCATAGATGCAGGGGAGGGGGGTCGCAAAGGAGAGGGAGAAGGGCCACCGCCCACTACCAACCGATCCCCCGATCACCCAGTCACCACGGCCCAGTCGGAGTGGCAGAGTGCTAAGTAGAGTCAAAGCAACAGGGCATGTGGAGGACCCAGACGACTGCAGGCAGGGCCTGGGCAAGGGCCCCAGAAAAAAAAAAAGGTACTTCAGTACCTCTAGCGCAAGCGTAAGGGACATGTACATACGTACATACGTACTTACACATCCAGCCCAGCCCAATCCAATCCAGGCCGTGCCTCGTTCCTTCCACTTCCACATCCACATTCCCTGTCGAACTGGAACTGGTTCTGGAACTGGCACCACACTTGACAGAGAGTGAAGAATGAAGCAAATATACGGACTAATGTGTACGGTAATGGCTAATCTCTCTTTTAATCTTTCGAGCTGCTTCAATTGTGTCGCTTTCCCTTCGTCTCTTCCTCCTCTGGCGCCCAGACTCCAAAGCTGTTGTCGAGCTAGCCTTGTTTCCACCCCATTCCAGTTCTAACCTTACCGCCGCCCGCCCTCCACCATCCACTCTTGACTTCGTGTTGGAAAGTCGACAGTATCGAGCCCGCCTCCACCGTGCTTCGTGTCTGCCCGTCCAGACGTTTTCCGTTGCTGTCCTCCGAACCCATTGTGGCTCTAGTCGAGCTACAGCAGGGCCTACCCGTCCGTGAAGACCAGGCCTGCGTCCGCCAGCCAGGCCAGACCGACCTCCCGAACCTCTATTCGACCCGAGGCCCCTCGAACCAAGGTGGCTTCTTGTCTGTGAAGCTCGATCGACATTCCGGACCTCTCCCAGCAAGACACCAGCAGACATCGAGGCTCCTGTGAAAGGGACGGCTTCTCTTGGTGGGGCACGAGAGCTAGTGAAGACGGTCACCTGGTCAACCGGGTGCTGCTGGTTCACCCGATACCTACCTAGTTGATCTCGTCACTGTCCTTCAAGGGGCAAATCGTGATCAGTCCGGCGGGAATGTCAGTAGCTGCATCTGACTGGGCATTGACTCAAAAGTGAACAATAGGAAGAGGTGTTGGGAAACTTTGGCCTTCGTCCATTGTGTGAATAGGCGGCGAAACGCTATCGACAATTCCCTCGAATGACCAACCGCGATCGAAGGACAATACGAACGGGCAACCCCACGAATTTTTGACAATGGTCGATCGACTCGGAAACTTTTATACAACTTGAACCACGGTCCCCCCTCAAGCCATCAAGGCACTCTGAAGATCAAACGAACGAATTTCTCTCAATTTGTCGACCTCTTCTTTTTTCCCCACACAATTCCATGTCTTCGACATTGACTTCGACCATTTTAAACAACGGCTTCCGTTCCTCTCCTCCACGATCTTCGAGTTACCAAAAGTGGACGCCACTTTCTTCACAACGATTTGCAGGCAAGGTTGCTCATCGCTCGACGGGCGGCCTTGGTACGCACCCAGGATACAAAATGAGTGCGGTCTACCATGGACCCCAGGCAGTAGCATACGACAGCCGTCTGCCAGCCCATGAGCATCACTCGCTGGCCCAGATCGAGAGATCTCGGCCATACGCACAAGAAGCTCACAACGGCATGGAGAGCTATGATAGGTACCCTGCACAGAACCACTATCAGCAGTATCAACCACAAGCTGCTCCACACGCCCGCCATCTGGTCAATTCGGCCTCACACCCTGGATCGAGACTACCAACCCGCCCCTCGACACCAAATTCCACACACTCCAGTCATCCAGCCTCAGGTACCAACTCTGCAAATGGAGATGCTCAGTCTATGGTCCTCCACAGCTTGCAGGTCCCCGCCTGCATCAGCCCAAAAGGAGGAAACTTGGCCGATTTTGCTGCCCAGGTGAGCTTGACCCAATATTCCCCAACAATGAGACCGATTTGGTAGCTAACCTCCGAGTATAGTTGACTTGTCTCTTCTGGTTCGAGTCTCCAAAGATACTAGAAACCGCTGAGACAATCCGATCTACCTCCAAAGAGACGCCCTTACCATATCTGGCCAAAACTGCCTTCCCGGCTGAGGCTTTCAAGAAATGGGTACAAACAGTCCTGTCCACCACGCAAGTCACACAGAACGTGATCTTGCTGGCTTTGATGTTTGTTTACCGGCTCAAGATGACGAACCCATCTGTGAGAGGGCGGCCTGGGAGTGAATATAGGCTGCTGACTGTGGCTTTGATGTTGGGCAACAAATGTGAGTATCACCAGAAACTGCTACGTCTCAGTTGTGAATTCTCAGTCGCTGACACGGTGGGCAGTCTTGGACGACAACACTTATACCAACAAAACCTGGGCCGAGGTGTCGGGCATCTCTGTGCAGGAAATCCACGTTATGGAGGTCGAATTTTTGAGCAACATGAGATATGCTTTACTTGCATCGAAAGAACAGTGGGAGGAGTGGCTCGACAAGCTGGGTGCATACTTCGAATTCTGGGCACGAGTAACCAAGCCGGCGTCTCCAGCAATGATACCACCATCCCCGACACTGTTCATTCCCTCACCTACGATAGGGAAGGGCTATTCTCCTTTGCCATCCCCGACAAGCTCGCTCCAGGCCACGCAAGCCCTCTTCGCATCGAGGTCTCCCAAGGTGTCGCCTCCTACCCTCTCGTCCAATCACAACACGGGCTATCACCAACCTCTGTTCATGTCAAGCAGCAACGGGACCAACGTTTCGCCATTGGCGAACAGGCCCGACCTTGGCAACAACAGGAAGAGATCTTGGGACGAAGAGGCTGTCGATCCGCCGGCGAAGCGTGCTTACAGGGCACCTCTGCAAGGACCGCTGGTCACGTCTTCGACGCCGAACACGAACCCGCCCCCAGATCCTCGACGGTTGCCTATTCCAAACCTCACACTGAACACCGCACATCACGCACCACCAGTGACTCAGTCGCAGTACCCCTCGGCTGCATACTCGATGCCGCAAGCCGTGACGCTCTCTCTGCCTCCACTGGAGCCAGGAATGCGAGCCATGTCGACCGTCTATGCACCTCCGACGACTTCTTGGGCTCCCGCGAACAGTGGATCGTCACAACCGAACATGCCATCCGCCCCGGCTCTCACTACACCGACCTCGCATTATCCTCCCACATCGAACACGACTTACGCCACTCCCACGAAACGCCTCAGCCCGATCAACACACTTGGCGGCACCACAAACTACAACGGATCTTCGCCCCTTCACGAGCAATTTCCCCACAACGGTTTCGCAACGCCCATCTCTCACTCTCCTTCAGTCTACCTGCAGCAGCGTGACAGTCCTTACAGACCAATCCGGCATGTCCACACTCTTCTCAACCCGCCGCCGTCTACCAGCTTGCAGGGCTATCATCTACCAGCAATTGCTCCGAGCCAAATGCATTACCAGCCAATCGGTCGGCGGGATGACTATCGCACCGGCATTGTGCCCGAATATCGGAACCAGCCCGCCTACGCTGGGAACTCACGGAATCAGGGCATGACACCCGTACCATCCGTGCCTAGCCAGCAGCGATATCCGAATCTGGTCAACTAGAAGTATACCGGATCTCGCGATTCGAGGCAGCTGAACCGTTGGCAACCGTTGGCCCCATGGATATTAATGGACAGCCGACACGCATGGCCGCCTTACTTTGGTCCCGTACCACAGCGAGGTGGCTTGTAATTTTACAAGATCACACGATCAAGACTCATTCGCATCCGCATTCGCATGGATCAGGCGTTTATATGGAAAGGCAACGTGCGCAGCAGAAAAATGTGCATTGGAAGTGCAGCGCGTCGAAGTGAGCGCGCACATGAGTAGCATAGCATTTTGTGAGCTTTGCAAACGATCTTTAACCGAGGACCACGGCTGGATCAGTTCACGATGGCTCAACGAAAGGATGAAAGAAAAGAACCGCCTTGCGTTCTTACACGCAGGCCCTAAGATAGAATCTCAACCAGCCCTCATAGCTGGGCTGGTTTGCAGTCTACATCAAGAAGACTGGACCCAAGTGAATGGGTTAAAATGATATTCGGTTGAACTCAATTGATTGCCTCACGTGCTCTTGTTGTAGAAGTGGTCGTACATACATCACTGTCGAATGGGTCACTGCTAAATGCCGATCACCCACGTCGATTCCTTCAGTCTGCTCTCTTCTTGGTCTCCTCTCACGTATACTTTACTGGTCCGCCTCCTGGCTCCCGATCACTATTACATTCACTCCCGCCCCCTAGTCAAGAGCGCTGGTGCTGGTCAAGGTGCCAGACGAGACAGCTTCACTCAGTTGTTTCTTGAGCGTTTAGTGGGACGGGTTCCCATTCTTGCTTCCCAGTCATACGGGGAGACGACTTGGCCAGTGGCAACGGTTGAGGTTTTGACGAGCATCAGACCCCGAGCAAGACTTCGCATCTGTCACGCTCATGGCCAGCGCCTACTTTGTGTCAGAGTCTTTTGAGACATAAGTGACTTAAGTTGTATGTTCGTCTCTGTTTTCCTGACTTGTTTAGTCTCAGCCCCCCAGATACGATCCTCGCATAATGTATTCGTATTTGACGTACCCTTCACCTCTTTCACTGGGAATGGTTCGATATTCTCATGGGAGGTCAAACTATCATGCTGATCAACATCCAATGTTGGTGTCACCTGCCTGCGGTCTGCCTCTCTTGTCATCTTAAACAGCGGCTCGCTTCATGGCCGACTTTCTTTTTCTCTCGGTGTCAGTGGGACATGCCACCTCAATAAATCGATTATCTGCATTTTCCGTCCTGAGACATCAGGCCTCTGAACTACAACGAGAGGTATCTTTCGATGTTTTCCAATTGCTTTTTTGCCGGCTTCTCTGAGACCTGGCAGCTGTCAAAGGCGCCAGAAGCCATTATTCCGAGTACATTTCGGTCGTTGCAGATGAGTCAGAATGCTGATATCATAACGGTCGGTCTTGGAATATTCGAAGTTCTGCTGACCTGCATTAACGAGACAAAGAAACGAATGGTCTGTGGATGTCTGGGGTCCCTGTCCGAGTGTGGATTGCTTCTTCTCACGCAGGACTTCGAGTCAGTGGCTGACGAACCTGAAGAAGCAAGACTGAAGAAAACAGTGACGTACGAATGGCAGGCGGTCTTGAACTGTGCTTGAACAGTGAGTTAAGGTTGGGGCCGTCCAGTGCTCTAGAGAGGGGTGCAGAGATTGAAAGCAGTGTTTAGGATCCGGTGAACTTCATCCAAATATGTGAATAGTACCCTTGACCTTTTCTCTGTTGCTGAAGCACCCGAAGCCTATGGGATGTCTCCCCGGTCTGGTGTGGTGAAGCAATTCAGATGAGGGCGCCACACACACAGGTGGTAGAACTTGTTCTCCATACAATTGATGATAGAATAATTTGTAGCCTGTGAGTGCCTGCTTAACCTTGAATCCGCATATTCCTTCTGTCAAGTGCATATTTCTTTATTGGTCGATGCTTACGATTTGGCGCGCCGCACGTAGTAGGTATGCGGCTAGGAAGTTCCCAGGTACCTGTGGTTGTGCATCATGCACGCCACGTCCTCGCAGAAATTATCAAGGCTCCGTCATCCCGTGTACGGTGTAACCCTCAGCTGATTATTTTCAAACTCGATCCAACAAGTTTTCTGTCTGTAAACCAGGAGCGGACTTGCTCCGCTCACCTGGGAAGAAAGCCCAGAGTCTGATCCGTTGCGTCGCTGGATCGAGTCGCCGGATCGAGTCGCCGGATGAATATCGCCTCGAAACTGCGGCAAAGCCGGAGTTGCCCCTTTCCACTTTCAAAAGCACACAGGTCGCCTCGATTTAATTCGGAACAAACCGGCGGAATAAAAGAAGCTCTCGAGAGCAACTCAGGTGTCGTCTGGAGCCGTCGTGCAAAAAGAGTCAAAATCCTCCTTGTTTACTCGAATATATCCAAGACTATGTCTATATACACGAATCAAACCATATATCGGAGCCGACGAACCAAGCGGTAGGGCGTTCGCCCCGTGTCCGGGGCGGTTACAGAGAAGATGACTTGTCTAACCGGGGGCTTAGGTACCAACGCCCTGCATCACTGGCTGGAGTTGCCCCCAGCCCAATTCCAAAACGCCATTTACAAAAACAATGAGAAGCTCCTAGCCATTCTTTTCCTTTACACAGCCATTTTCTTGTCTATCCAAACGCCCAGAATGCATATTGCCCTGTGGCCTAACGCAGCTCACATAACTCTTTGGTCAGTGTGTGGGCAGACGAGAAACCTAGCTGGCCTTTTCCCAGCCTTAAACGAGCCTTCGCTGACAAGGACGTCGGTAGCCCGAGCCTCGATGTCTCTCTCTCGCGAGGCCAAACCGCCTTATGACTCCGCTTATTCTCCGAAAGGACGGTTTCTCCTTGAAGGTCCTTCGGAATTGTCGCCATGGCTTAGCTTTCGTTTTCCAGAGCCAGATCTTCGCGACTCGATCGAGCGTCCACCTGAGCTCTCAACTGCCGTTGAGTCCGCATGCCTTCCAGGTTGGAGGTCCCTATAGACGTCCACACAGTTTCGACGTGCATCTGGCCCCTCAAAAAAGAACATGGCGATGCGGGATGGTGGAGGAGGACCGCGAGATGGTAGCGATAGTTGGCGCCTTTCGGTGTCACTGTCGAGTTCGTCAGACGATTGAGTCGGATTATCGTCAGTGCCGTCGACGACCGACGAGTCGGCCGAACTAGTCTCCTCGGCTCCAAGAGCCCTAACTTGTTGCTGGAGAGGAAGGCCATGATCATTTCCGACCAACATGTCGAAATGAAAGCCCGCCTGCGTGGCCTCCGTCTTGTGGACCACTTGGAAGCAAGTTTGCTGCACCCTTTGGTCCTCGTCCCCACGCATGGCCGCGCTCTTCCATCGGAGAGTGACAGTCTTCCCCGTCCAATCGATCTTATTCAGCTCCAGTGTCTCAGCTCGTATGTAGCTCTGGGAACACGAGCTTTTGCTCATGGCCACGGGTACAGAGTCATGGTTCGTCTTCCCAGGCTGGTAAAGAGACGCCGTGTGAGGATCTAACAGTGGCCCCTGGTGTTCACGTTAGCTAAGTGATGACAGCTGGGAGGGGCGTTTTTGTGGTGACTAACGCTTTTGTCAATGAGTTTAACAGCTTCCTCTAGTGTCTCCACGCCGCAGTCCGGACGAACATCTTGGGGTGGAGAGCTGGCGGTGTTCTTAGGCGGTGTTCCCTGTGGAGGTAGCGACTCAGGGCTCAAGGGTTGTTGTTGGTTCTGTTGGGTTTGCGAGCCCTTGCGCCATTGATCAAAGAGTGTGCCAATTTCCGGGCGGTACTGGTCAAACTCTTGTTCGCTGAGGATACCGTCGTCCACCAAATGATTGGAGAATGCACGGAAGTTGTGGGTAGTATTGTTCCTATAGAGCTCCAAGTTGACCTTGTATGTGATGGTATCCAGGTCAGACGCCATGTCAGCCTCGGGGCGTGGGCGCCGACTCTGCGGCAGTAGCCCAACCCGCGTGGCTACTTGGTGGATTCCCAGTCACGAGCCCGGTGAGACTGGGACGCAAAGAAGCCTGAAGTAGAGAGGCAGGTCGCCTGAAAATGCGTTTGCATGGTAGATGAGGCGTGGGGCGTGAGGCGCGAGGCGCGCAGAGGGCGGGACTGGCAGGCGCGTTTCAACTTGTTTGTGGAAGCAGACGTCGTTGGTTGGGGGTGGTGGTGGTGGATGGAGGTGGAAGGCGGGCAGATCGTGCGATGGAAGCAATTTGAAAAGCAACGGACTGACAAAGTGACAAGAGGTGTAAGGGCGAACCTGGCCGGCAGGAGGGTAGCTGCAGACGAGTATAGAATCGAAACCCAGAAAGTAGAACTAGATGCGCACTCAGTGAGAATGCAATTGGCAGTGTGATAGTGGCACGCGTGCGAGCTCGTCGGATTAAGCAGTGCGATGAGAGAGGAATACGTCAGGTACGGTGCTGATATGGGAAATGCGTAGGGCCCAGCAAAGGCGACTGTTCCTGGGCTAATCGCAAACTATGGGCTTGACCATCCGCTGACGGTTCAAGGCGGCTACAAGGGCTACAGCGTGTAGGACCTGGTGTGACCTTCAAAAAGCCGGTACTTTCCTTTTCGCTGCGAGGTCAAGGATCGGATTTGGGCAGTGATGTCGACCATCCGTGCGTGCCATGGTGTCCGTAAAGCAATAATCTAGCAAACCCCATCATGTGTCATCTTTTAGAAAAATGCAGCCACAAGTATCCAGTAAGTCGCGTACCATCGTCATCAGCCGTGAAGCACGGAAAGGGCGAGGCCCCAAATCTGAGGCTAGATGAGTAGTGAGTACAGCGAAAAGGGGGAAATGACAGTTCGACCGCCCTAGGTTACGGACTTGAAGTTTTCAGAAAATCCTAAACGCATTTCCAGATATCATGATCCCTTGCATGGCTGCGCCGAGTGAAAGTTAAGGTTGTTCCAGTGGACTGGTCCCGTTTCCACGTCCGTCGGCTAGGTGCTGCCGAACGGATGGTTTGAGGTCTTTGACTTTCAGTTGAACAAAGTTTGGCGGGGTCATCGCTTATCTCATCAGAGCTCCCGTACAGCTCTTCGATATCGGCGTGTGATGTCATTTCCTGACAATGCCCTTCATCTGAACACAATCCTCATCCCTGAGATGCTGCAGGCCCCATTGGGGTTTCGTAAACTCTAATGGATTGCGGCTTGCCACCTAGCATACGAGCGATAGAGAATGATGTCCTTCCGACGCGCACCGACAGATTCCACGATCCAATATAAGAAGGGAAGAAAATAAGGATGCCAGGAAAGATTATTGTTGCCGTGTACTGTTGTAAAACCGCACAGAGCATCAAGATGCTGTCTACCGTGACACCGCATCATTTGTAATCCCTTTTACACACTGCCAGATCACCAAGTCCAAAGACGCATCTAATTGCCTTGCCTGTCTTTTGGGTGCGATGAATTGTCTTCACCCTTTTGCTGCTTGTCCTTGCTACCCTCGGTTCTTGACGCGTCCCTGTTTCGTGATTGATTGGCTTGATATGCCTCCACATTTGCCGCTTGCTGCTGGCTTTGCTCTTTCATATACGCCTGAGAATGTGTGAGAATGTGCCAATTCCCTAGGAGCGTGTCCTCATCGGGAGACTTACACTCTCTTTCCCCATTTTGGTGGACCAGACTGGATCCCTGGGGTTCTCGGTCAGCAGCAGGTGTTCAGCGTCCCGCAGCAAATGGCGTCCAACAATTGGTTTGTCGATCCGGGGGTCGTTGGGTGGCTCATTGGCAGGAAGGATATAGAAATCCGCCACAATGGGCTTGACCTCTGAGTTTTGGCTCCAGAGGGTCACCTGGGCGTACTCATAACAAACGACGTCCCCATTGACCGTCTCACCGTTAAAGGCCTCCTCGAGAGACTGAACCCGGAATCGGCGGTCGGTGGCCATTCCTTTGGTGAGGAAATTGGCATTGGCGCCCTCGTCAACTTCTACTTCCATGACGCGCCGGGATCCGAAACGACCATCGTAGATGATCACCCATCGCACGTACGTCTTCCGTTCTTCTGCCTTCTTCTCTTCGGCTTCGATTCTCTAGACGGAGATGTTAGCCTTTGCAACCTACAATATGCTGGGTGTTTGGTCGTCATGCGCAATTACCTCCTTGATTTTGAGCGCCTTGACCTCTTCTACTAGTGAGGGCTCGCCGGTGGTCATATTAGCTATACGCTGCAAAGTCCTCATGTTCAAATTCGCCTGCTCCAATCTGTCTGTTGTCGCCTCGTAACTATCCACCGTCAAACCTCCCTCCGCGATAAACCTTTTCTTTGTATCATCATCTAAAGGTTTCGACATGTTGCCGGATTATCTGGGTTTGTTGAAAATGAATTTATCAAGAGCCGGAGCTCATATAAAAGTGTTTTCTAACAATCTTAGAGAACACTCAAGAAATTTTGGATCAGGCTCTCAGGCTGCCGGCAAGGGCGACCTCATATATACTGCCAGGGCTGCCAAACCATTGAGGCTCATGGAGGTCAGGCAGATGCAAATGGCTTCAGGCCATCTGCAGCCACGGGAAAGTGTAGAAACCCCAGACCAATGTGGAGGAGGGTGTGGTTGCACTAAAGGCGCCACCAAGCTCTGCGCCCTGCCACGTCTGGATATTTTGCCTAGAGTATGCAATGTTAAAGCAGGCTCTACCCCTTTATACCCCCCATTACATATAGATGTCTCGCCTTGGAATGTTGCAGCCAGTACATGCAGTCATACACAAGTCTCTGAAGTGACCGGCATCGGGCTGAGCCCCAAAGGGGCGGTCTGAAGACAGACAATTACCTACGCAGTATGTAAGCGTCATCTAGAAGCGCCTTCTGAGACCAATTGAGGCTCTGGATAGCTTTGTGGGAACTTGGGGTCACCTGGGAGATAGGTAACAGGTCCCCGGCATCAACTTCAAATACTCAAGTGTCGACCCCTAGCCTTCTACCTTGAGTTCCAAAGAGACTCCGAGATAAGAACCCCCTCCCCCTCCCCCAGAACTTTCCCAAAAAGATTAGAGAGAAATCATGGAAGGATACGCGAAAGTTGCACGCTTGATGGCCAAGTATGAGGAATTTGCCATCCTGAAACGATTCAAAGCCCTCAACTACCAGAACCTGCTCTACCGTCAAGCTGAAATCACTTATCTTCAAGAGGACCTGGAGAAGCTTGCTGAGAGAAACGCCACTGATTCAGCTCGGCAGTATTATACTAAGGACTGGTGGGCTTTGGCTCACACCGAAACGAAGCAGGAGGGAGGTGAACAGTGGCGCAAGGTGCAGCAGATCAGGGAAAAGCTTGACGATTACAGTATGAGATACGAGAATCCGAAATGCCCTTAAGCCCCCCACAGCTACTGATAGAAGTGATACTAGATGACCAGCTCTTCAAGCTGGCTACCCTTGCCAAACTCGACGGGCCCGCTTCACCTGACCTGAGGTTCCTCAGAGATTGGTTTGAAAGACGAGACATGGGCTTCTTCCCCATCTGGGGTCTGGATAAGAAGTCCTGGGAGGACGAGGAAGATTTGATCGCCATAAAGCCCCGTTTGCTCCAAGATCCGGTCACGCGTTTCTTCGAAGCCCTTATTTCTTTATTTCACCGATTCTTGGGGGAAAAGCTGAAGGTCAGAGGCAATATCTACAGACTGAACCTTTTAGAGCGACATGGAAATACTAATCCTAAGTGTGGATTAGGACCCTGAGAGCCCCGAATTGGGTGACTCGATTTATCACTACAAGAAGTCGCTTCTCTTCGGCGCGGCTGATATCTTCACAACAGTGATCGCATCACTACTCCCAATGTTATCGATCATCGTTCTGTTCTTCATGTCATCCAATGCGCTAAAACTTGTAGTCATTACGGTATTCTCGGCATGTTTCTCCCTTGCACTCGCTCTGACAACGAATGCGCGACGAATCGAGATTTTCGCGGCTACAGCGGCGTAAGTAATGCCATTTCATTATTTCTGACTATCTTGAGTTGATAAAGAGTCGGAGGCTTGGGTCAAAGACGACGCTGCTGACCATCTCAATTATAGATTCGCTGCGGTCAATGTAGTATTTATAACGAGCGACGCAGCCAACTTGTGATCTCAAAATATTTGGACAATGGAACTGCAAAATAAATATTCAAGTGCTGGGTGTCTGGACTTTGTCGCAATCCAGAATCAACTATATGCGTCTTGTCCAAGCTTGGCTGGCTGTCAGCGAAGCTACACCCATCCACACCCGACTGTACCTGAGTACATGCACATGCTATCTGCAGTGGGGCCGTCTTTGAGGAGCACCAGCATGTCTCCGCGCCAGTTCAACTCCCCACAACTGCTTTGCCATTTGCCGAGCGCAAACATCACCAGACTTTCTGACGCATAATCTAATCTCAATCGACTGGTGTCCGTAAAAACAATGACACGCTGTCAGTTCTGCAATGGATTATCCCTTATTGATTTGGTCGCTCGGTATCACCACGGCTCTAATTATTTCACAACCACCTGGTTAGCGCGAGAGGCGCTATACCAACACCACCCATCATTCGAGCGCCTCGAACAGGCGGCAGAAGGGGGATGCGAATTCTGTGGCTTGATATGGGAGTTTTTCAAATCAGTTGATGGTCGGGACACGCACTCCTGGAAATGGCCGAAGGGCGGGCTCGAGCGTCAACGCGGTGGTCCCATCTCCGTGTATCGTCTAGTCAAAGAGCTTCCAGACTTGGCTCACTCGAAAGTGCGTATGTGTATCAATACTAGTCAATTGTACGGCGGAAATATTGAGGAGCCTCATGTGCTCGATATATTGATGGTTCACGTGGGATGCCAGGGGAGGAGCGACAAGGAATTGCCCACGCTCAAGCTGAAGTTGAGGACGTTCCCTGGCCCAGAAGGTATGTCATTCACCTTGATGGCCGCTTGGGTACAGTCTCAGGACTGATCTTGCTTGCAGATCAAAATCTGCAGCTTGGCCGATATCGCGTCGGTAGTTTCCCAGTTGATCCTCACACTGGGTCAAATGGTAACTTCAACCTGGCTCGAAAGTGGTTGGGAGCCTGCAGGCAACAGCATGATAATTGCTTGTCTGCACGTCTGCCCCAGCTCCCAACCAGGGTCATCGATGTTGGCGTCCATCCTGCTTATAAAGATGTCCGCCTGAGAGTTCCGCAGCCAGGGTCGAAAGCCGAGTACGTCGCTCTCAGCCACTGTTGGGGCGGTGAAGTCACCCCTAAGCTTGCCGGGGGAAATCTGGAGGAATTCACCGTCGGCCTGCCGTTTGCAACACTCGCTGCAAACTTCCAAGATGCCATAAAAGTGACGCGGGAGCTCGGAATCCGCTATCTCTGGATCGACTGTTTGTGTATCCTTCAAGGCTCCGACCAAGGCTCCCGGGCAGACTGGGAACGAGAATCGAAGGCGATGACCGCCGTCTATCGCGACTGTACACTCACTATATCAGCCTTGGCATCTAGCAAAAGCACAGATGGCTTCCTAACGTGCGAATCAGATATCTGTAGAAGTGCAGAACGGAGGCTCATTTACATCGATGTCGTGCCAGCCACTACTGGCAAGAGTTGGCCCGCTTGGGTAGAGAAATTTGACCCGAAGAAAGAAGAATCACTCTTTCAGTTGGAGGCAGATGGCCCTTTGGCTCGTCGAGGGTGGACGCTCCAAGAGAATATACTGTCCCCACGACATTTGTTCTATGGTGTAAACTCAATCCACTGGGTATGTCCAGCTGGGTATAAAAGCGCTAATGGAATGCGTGGAATGCACATTCTTGACAAGAAGTACCCAGAGCTCTCACCTGTACTCTTCGATGGGATCCTCAGGCAGAAGAGCCAAGCTCCAAAATGTGACGCGGAAGACATCCTCTTACGTTATTACGACCTCGTTGAACGCTACTCCGGGAGGGCGCTGACCGTTACCTTGGACAAACTGCCGGCGTTCTCAGCCATTGCGCAACGTCTCCAGCCGATACTCGGCGACTACATTGCAGGTCTGTGGCGCCGTGACATCGTTCGCGGCATGTGGTGGGTCACAGGCACGAACGCGGTACGTCCGTTAGAATATAGAGGACCGTCATGGTCCTGGGCTTCGATGGACGGCAACATAGAGTTCACAGATACTTCGTTACTGAGAAAGGAAGGACCTTTAGATTCTCAGGTACTCGATCATAGTATCTGTCTTGTTGACCCCACCAACCCGTTCGGCCAAGTGCGATCAGGCTCTCTTACAGCGCGAGGATTGACGAGGCGACTGATTCGTTCATTGGAATACCGCAGAGATTCAAGTGAGGGATTTGATCTTTTCTATCTTCACTTTGACGAGCCTCCGAAAGACGAAACCTGCCATGAGGGCCTTGGTGAGCAGCAAGAATCCCCCGGCACGCTCAAGTCTAAGAGCGACTTACCAGAGCATGCTCCCAATATCACCGACACAGGCCGCGACCCGAAGATCAAGCTGGGCAGCTACCATGTTATCTCTGGCAAGTATCTAGTATTTCTCCTCCGCGGTCATCAGTCGCACTACTCAGACAAGAACGAGCTGTGGATGAGAGTATGGTGTCTTCTCTTGGAGTGTGTGCCGGGGCTGCGCCACAACGTCTTTAGAAGAGTCGGCACACTTGAGGGGTATACATCACCGGCCGAGATAGAGAAGTGGCAACAACGGACAATTGTCATTGTATGAAAATTCTTGATAAAAACAAGAGCCACAGGGGTTGCTGAATATGACTAGCTAGCGAAATAGTGGCCATTGCAAAATGGTAATCAAGACCATGATTTGCCAGGCTGAACGACAGCCAATGAAGGTGAATGGAAAATAAAGAGGGGGTTAATACTGTATTTTACGAGATCGGCTCTCTTTATCTCCCCCTCCCCCTTCTCTCCCTTTCTTCCCTTTCCATTCAGAAGGGGGTGGGGCGCATAAAAGCCACAAGTACTTTCAAGTTCCACCACAATGAAAAGCCAAAATTATTATGGCCCAGCTTCGACCGAGTGGTCTGCGAGCTCTTCCCTGAATACCGTGGAAGAATACAGGAAGGATCACAGTAAATCTAGCTTAAAGCCGAATCCACTGCTAAAGAAGATGTGAACCCTCTCCGATGCTCTAGATCGTACAAGAAGATAAGAAGTTCTAAAGATAAAGATGGTCTTGTGTGTGAAGCATCGGCCATTGTCTGGTGTCAACGGGAAGCCAATTAGGCTCACCTTCGAGTCGGGATAATGAAATTTCGATTCAACGGTCCTGAACTCCGATGTTGATTCTGAAAGATCTTGTGACAGTACGGCTGCCTGAAGTCTCAACATTTTAGTCGCACAGATCCGCAACTAGCACTTCAGGTTACTGGCCCTGATGGACTTACAGAACTACCTCCCTTGGGATCTTCGCGCGAAACCCTTAGCAGTCCCAAGCTGCAAGCACGAGGACATCGATACGCCAACCTGCTGCTCTTTCGAATCTTCAATTGTGCGCTGGGTCCGGCCGGGAGCTGTCTTTGAACTGTCCGATGACTATCATGGCTTGTCCCATTAATGCCCCAAAGAGCCACGTTCTTTTGAGCCGCGTTTGGCCTGAGGGACAAATGCAAATCCGGCCAGAAGAGGGATGGCAGGCTATCTTCATCATTCATGCTGGATTCATGAGACAGCGTTCTGGCATCATCACATCCTTGCAAGCAGGGAATTATGTCCGATCCCGTTGAATCAATAAGTCCGCTGTGTGGATGAAGATCGATTATGTCCGTGTAGGTTTCCTTCAGCCCTGACTCTCCCCGGCCGCCCCAAGCGGACTCCAAGTTCTCGGGAGACCAATCAAGAGAATCACTCTCGTTCCCCACGGGGTGTTAGTCTCGCCCCATGGGGATGTCTGCTTGGCGCAACGCATGAAGGTTACCAGCCGAGCTTCCTGAATGTTACGGTGTATAAGTAATGCTTCCCACCTCAACTACCCTGACGACTCCCTCGCCTAGTTTCACCCATCCTCGTTACCGGTTATCCTACGAAAAATCAACTTCATTGACTTTTCAAAGCTCTGTGACTCGCTGTCGACATTTGTCATGGCGGACAACAAGAAGGGCAGCCTTACCGACCACCTCGAAGACAGCTTCTCCCATGACCAGTCCACCGCAGTGATCAGCTATGACAACAATGGCATCAGTGGCATCATACGGTTGCCTTATGTATTTGGTGCCGCCCTCTTGGCCTCCTTCGGTGGCTTCTCCTTCGGCTACGATCAGGGCGTTGTCTCTCTTATCCTTACTTTACCACAATTTCGCCAACAATTCCCTGAGATAGCTCCTGATCACCCTCGTTATGGCTTCAACACGGGGTTCATGACCGGCATGCTGGAATTTGGCGCCTTTATCGGCTGCATATTCTTTCCCCTTCTTGCCGACAGGTATTCCAGAAAATATGGCCTCGCCATAGCGACAGTTTTCTTTTGCGTTGGTGCCATTATTCAGACGGCTTCACACAACTACAGCACCCTCGTCGCTGGGCGCACCATTGGCGGGGTCGGCGTAGGAACTCTTGCTATGGGTGCCCCATTGTACATTTCCGAGATTGCTCCCCCTAATCTCAGGGGCTCTCTCCTTGTTCTCGAGGCAATATCCATCGTCGTTGGGGCCATCATTTCTTACTGGATCACGTACGGCAACCGCGAAATTGCAGGCGACTGGTCTTTCAGGTTGCCCTTCCTTTTGCAGATGGCCCCTGCCCTAATGGTCGGCATCGGTATCCAGCTCTTCCCTTTCTCTCCAAGATGGCTGGCCATGCGTCACCGCGACGAGGACAGCCTCCGGTCTCTCGAGACACTCCGGCGCCTTCCTAGAACCGATGAGCGCGTCCAACAGGAGTGGAAGGGCATCCTACGTGAAGTCGAGCTTCAAGAGCTCGTGCTACAGCGGGAACACGGCGCGAACACCAACGTTGTCATGCTTGAGTTCAGACAATGGGGTGATCTCTTCAAGCCCAAGTGCCTACGACGCACAGCTGTTGCACTTGCTATTCCTTTCTTCCAACAGTTCTCAGGTTAGTAGTCAGACTCGACACCTCCACAACAGCAGATACTGATCTATACACAGGCATCAACGCCTTTGTGTACTACGCACCTATCTTCTTCGCCGCTCTTGGACAGAGCTACGAAATGTCTCTCATTCTGAGCGGCATGGTCAACATTTGTCAATTTATCGCCGGAATCCCGACCTTTCTATTTTTGGACAAAATGGGACGCCGGAAGCTTGCCATTTTTGGGGGTATCGCCATGGGCATCCCGCATATTATTATGGCCGGTATTGTTAGTAAATACAACGACAGATGGGAAAGTAACCCGGGTATTGGTTGGTTCGGCGTAGCACTCATCTGTAAGTACTGGCTATTTCCTACTCAATGTGCTCACTGCTAATTAGACAGACATCTACGTGCTTGCATATGCAGCTTCTTATGGACCTTTGGCATGGACTCTTCCGGCCGAGATCTTTCCAAGTTCTAAGCGCGCGAAGGGCGTCGGAGCTGCAACGGCCATGGTCTGGCTGGCAAATTTCATTATCGGCGTGATTGTACCTGAGATGCAGATCAAGCTTGGCTGGGGCACTTACCTTTTCTTTGGTTGCTTTTGCTTTGCCGCCTCCGTGTTCTCGTTCTTTTTCGTTCCGGAGACGGCGGGCAAGAGTCTGGAGCAGATTGCAGGCGTATTTGGGGACGACCTTGGCGATGAAGAACGCGAGCTGGACACACGAGCCGGCGAGATGAGAACGCACTGAAGATCGTGTACCAACAACTCAACATACAACATGAAAGAATGCAATGAGTGATTTCAATTTTGAGGTACTTTAATGCTGCAAATGACCAAGACTATGATCTGTCCACCTCCACTGACAGGCTGCACTAAGCTACACTAACCTCTCCTCCTGTTGATCTCAAGAATGTTTTGCCAGAATTCCTGTACGACAGGAAGCTAGGTACTGTGATTTTTAGAACTTTTACGCACCGAATGAGATATTCATTGCCTACGGAGGACCTAAAGCGAAAGGCTGCAGAAGAATATGCTAGTGACTGATGAAAGTGAGCCACAAGTGCGATATTTAGATAGTCTATATGGGTTGTTCGATTTCTATAGCCAAACGGCATGTTTAATTCCACTTTCCAAGCTCTCGTTTAGACTTGCCACCAAATTCCATACTTCGCCTCTATCCCCACCGATACCGTAGACCTCAACCCCGCCGCCCTCTTGCCCACACACGACGACATAGCTCCCGTCATCACTGAGTCGCATACCGCGGATTGTATCAAGATTGGTTCGCACGTGTCTGGTATCTTGTACTTTCTTTCCGTCATCTGACAGTAGGACGATGGCGATAGCATCCCCCGGCGGCAGCTCCTTAGGGACGTTTTCGAGATGAGGTTCGAGCTCTGCAATGTGTCTTTCCCACCTATTGCTGACATACAATACGTTTGGGATGTTCGGATGGATGCAAATTTCGGCGGAGTCCATCATCAATTGATGGCCCGGATCAACACTTGGCGGGACGACGTTTGGTGCGAACCCGTCAATGGGCTGAATGTCTTCGGCAGGAGAAGTCGACAAGTCAAAGGCAACAACAGTGTGCGAGAGTTCTCCGATGACATACATTAGTTTTTCTGTGGTTATAGTTGGCTGAGTGTTATAGATAGAGCTAGAGAGATCTGAGGGAGACGTACCATCAGGTGTGAGCACGGCATGTCGAGCGCCCGTCCCAGGAGGACATTGAAGCCAGCCACAGACTTCCAGTTTCGTCTTCTCGCGACGGAAGATCCAGACACGGTCCGACCCTAAGTCTGGACAGTATAGCAGACCCCTTCTATCTTCGAGCACCTGGTGTGGGTGGCATTGTCGCTGTCGACCTTTGTTCGGACCATGTCCAAGTACTTTGTAGGGAAACTCCGGCAAAACCTCCGTTCGTGGGTCATTTGTAAATAAGAGTCCGGCATTTTCGGTGATACAAATTGGATAGAGGGCAACGGAACCTCCATAATACTACCAATTGTGAGCATAGATATCCGAAATGTTGGTGCTTCTTCGTTACTCACGGTGCTGAGTGCCAAAGCAGATCTGTCGCGTAAAGTGATGACTGTCCAACGAGTATGAATAACATTGCCCAAGACTATGTCAGAGGACCAGTGTGCTTGCTCACTTACAGTGGGCAGGAGCTCCCGTAGTCGACTTTTCGCTTGTGATATTGCAAATCTTTTGCGCGTGGTCGATTTCGAAAGTGTACAGAAGACCGGAATCGTCGCCCTCGGACAGCCCAACTAGGCGATCAACGTCACCATGCGAAGACGAGGGCTCGACCCAGGAGACATTGAAAGGCCCTGGATAATCAGCGACAATGCTCAAGTCTTTCTTATTGACATCCAGAGCAAGAGTTGTGAAGTTAGCCCGCTTGCCAGATATGAGAAGCGTGCGTTTCATGGCGTACGAAGCGCGCCCTTGGAAGGAGACGACGCTATTCGATGCGAGAGCTGCAGGGGCATTAGTGGTATGTGTGGATGGATGCTGATTAGATTTGGTCTGACAAGCGGCAGCAGCTTGAAACTGCTTGGATGGACGAACGAATGTCCGAGACGCGCCTGGTTGACAACAAATCGGACAGGCCGATTGCACACTCCGGCCGAAAGAGACAACACCCGCCAAAAGAACACCATTGCCCAATTGTGGTGTCGGAGATATTTGCTCATTAATTATAACCGGCCGGTGAGGGAGAACAAGGTCCGGCTAGCGAAGGGGAAAAGTCCGATCGGCTATTCTGCTTGGTCCCCCACACAAGCCCGATGTCACAGTCCTGGATTGAATGGGCCGTACAATTGCTCAAACAACCACGTTGTTGACAAGGGAGACATTGAAATTTATTCTGCTACGATCTTGACTGTCAAATTTCATTTTCTTTACTCGGCTTGCTTTCTTCTGATTTTGTGTCAAAAAGCAAAGGATCGGTTCCTCCCAAGTACGATGGCGCCGTCGACACATTTTACACTCAACACGGGTGCCAAGATTCCCGCTATCGGTCTCGGTAGGTCGTGAATTGTTGAGCTGCTCGATGACGATACAGTAGTGCAGCTCAGTTATTAATTTTGTGCGCGCGCACAGGAACTTGGCAATCCAAGCCTGGCGAGGTTCGAAAGGCAGTGGCTTATGCCCTCAGAGACGGATACCGCCACATTGACGCAGCATTGTAAGGCACGACGCGCGCTGCCTTTGCAATAATAGCCGTTTCGCTGACAAGATTCAGGATATACAGTGGGCTATTTCCCACGAGCGAACGTGAATATTGAGAACTAGCCTAATAACAACTCCAGGTAATGAGAACGAAGTCGGCCAAGGTATCAAAGATAGCGGGGTGCCTCGCGAGGAGATCTTCCTTACCAGCAAACTTTGGAACACTCACCAACCCAATGTGAAAGAAGGTCTACAGAAGACCCTCGACGCTCTGGGTGTAGAGTATCTTGATCTCTACGTAAGACCTTGTTTCTGCCATTGCTGCTGCGCAGCACTTTGACAAAACCTGGGTTAACAATATGCCCATTAATTAGCTTATTCACTGGCCCGTCCGACTGGTACCAGTAAGTGCACCGCTCCCCTTATTTTCAAGTTTTCTGAGATAGTTGTTTCTGATCGCGTCCAAAGAACGAGTCGAGCGAGCTCCTCCCAGTGAATCCAGACGGCACGAGGTCAGTCGATCGATCATGGGACCAGGGCGAGACCTGGCGTCAAATGGAAGAGGTCTACAAATCCGGCAAAGTCAAGGCCATTGGTGTTGCCAACTGGTCCATCCCATATTTGGAGAAGCTTCGTAAATCATGGACGGTTGTTCCAAGCGTGAACCAAGTCGAGCTCCACCCCTTCCTTCCTCAGCACGAGCTGCGAGAATACTGCGACGAGCTCGGCATCCTGCTCGAAGCATACTCACCTCTTGGGTCCACTGGTAAGTTGCTAAATTATTCCACACATCTCATGTCTTGGCTTGTGACGTTGATTGAAGCTAACGTGTTGGGAACTTGACAGGCGCACCCATCATGTCAGATCCAGATATCCAGAAAATTGCCGACATGAACGGTGTCTCGGCCGCCACGATCCTCATCAGCTATCATGTAAACAAGGGCGCTGTGGTCCTACCCAAGTCTGTGACCGAGAAGCGGATCTCCTCGAATAAAGAAGTCATCTCGCTCTCTAAGGAGGACCTGGCTGTGCTCGATAGTCTAGCTGCAAACGGTAAGGCGAAGCGTATAAACACGCCTCTATGGGGCTTCGATCTTGGCTTCGCTGACTGGTACGGGCCCGTCAAATCTTCATAAGTTAAGGTGGCGCTGCGCAAAGCGAAGCTATAGCATATAAATTCAACTGTAGTCCATAGAAAGCGAGCGATTAGCAACATACACTGTGCCTTTAAGAAGACACACTCGTCAGCAAGGTGCTTATATGGAGGGCATGTGAAAATCCGGAGCCCAATCGTTGGTATAGAGATTGCTCCCTCTGGTCGTACCAAATTAGTGAATCACTTACGACCGCATCGATTGCTTTTGACAATATTTCCTTTGATTGTCAATTCGACTCAAGCTCTCAGGCAGACTCTGTACGAAGTAGTAACAGTACTGATGAAGAGCATCCCGTAAACATGTATCAAGGCATACTAACTGAGTAGCAGCCAAGATCAGCGCAGGATCAGGTGCGTATATTTCAGTTTCAAGATGTCTATTATCACTACCACAACGAGTTACGTGATACCTATGTCGTGTAGGGAAGTGAAGCCACACCATCCTGCAAAGCCTTCAGTCGCATAGCGAGCAATTTCGAATGAAAGCGGGTGTAGGGAAGGTAGCCGACCATGAGCCAGAGATTTGGCACTCCGCTCTCGCGATATGCAGTCTTGAACTCGCCCTCTTCGTCAATGCCCCAAATGGACCCACACTGATCGGCTATCTTGTCGCCAAGGGTTGACCGGACAGAGTCAATGGTGTTGGTGAAGCCGGTTGCGAAGACCACGAGGTCAAACTCGCGCTCGCGGCCGCCGTCAAGAATTACTTTGTCCTCGGTGAAGCGCTCGATATACCCCGGCTCAACCTTGATCTTCCCGTTGATTATATGCTCACAGGCACCGGCATCAAAGTAGAAGCCACCATTACGGGTCTGACCCAAGGTTGCGCCCCCAGTGCCGCGCTGGCCACGCCATGTCCGCAGACCGCGAGCATTCAGTCCCTCAAGCAAGGGCCTGTCGAGGTCCTCAAGAACCTTAGCATTGCGCCTAGAGAGTTCCTCGCCGGGACCGGTAGGCGTGGCAAAGAACAGACGGTCCTGCTCCTCGAGGTTAGGGCGATTCAGATTGGCATCAGGGGCGTAGTTGCCAATAATACGGGGAACTGAGTGAGTGAGGGACATGATGTATGTTGGCGATCGCTGAAGAAGCGTCACATCAATGCCACGCCGTGAACAGTCAAAAGCAGTGTCAAAACCGGAGGACGATGTGCCAACCACGCAAACCTTCTTGCCAACAAAGTCGCGTGAGCTGTCATGCGCCGTCGAATGGCGAATGACACCTGCCTGGAAGTCGGTCATCCCAGGAACAGCGGGGACCATAGGGGTGCCGCACAATGAGGTAGCCATAATGACCTGCTTGGGGTGTAGTGTTCTGGTCTCCTTGCCCTCCTTGTCGATGACGACTGTCCAGTTGCCCTGGTTGTCTTGCTCGGCCTTGACAACCGATGACTTGGTCCAAATGTTGAGCTCAAGAGCCGATGCGTACCACTCCATATAGACTCCCTGCTTTTGAGCAGGGGTGTATGTAGGCCAACGCTTAGGGTAGGGAAAGTAGGGCAAGTCGTCCGCCCAATGGGGGAAATGGAGCGAGAGATACTCGTAACGTTTCTTCCAGACATCACCAATCTCTTCGCTACGCTCAATTATGAGATTTCCCATGCCAAGTGCCTTGCACCGGGCAGCCAGCGCCAGTCCACTGCTCCACAGTTAATACCTATAGGTATGTCAAAAGAAGGCTACATTGGGTACTCACTTTTGACCACCACCAATGATCAGAATCTCAGGATCAGCAGCATCTACATCCAACGCTCTCTGCTTCTCCCAGCTAATAGGACCAGTCATGTGCCCATCAGCAGGAGGAAGCTCAGGGAATTGCTTTAAACTCTCGGCCACGGTGTGCATGGTATAGATCTTCCAGCCATTCTTGGTGAGAACCGCATTGATCACAGCCGACGCAACAACGGCATCGGTCTCAAAGGACACGACAAACTGTAGCTGAGAGTAGTCGGGGTAGGGGCGGTCAATCTTGGGGGCTGGTGTGAGGAACTTGAAATTTGTGGCCTTGGTATTAGGGAGTATGTCGGTAGCGGCCTTTAAAATTGCTGGTGTGAAATTGAAGGTTCGGTAGTCCCAGGTGAAGGAGAGCTTGTCTCGCCAGACACCTGTGCGACGAAGTCGGCTGGTCAGCCGTTGGGACCATCTTGGGGGATATACTGAGACAGGAAAACTCACCATATTCAAGAAACAGATCGGCGAATCCCTGCGCGTCCCCTTTGCCTAGGACCTCGGAGAGGCGTGACACAATGCTCCGGGCCTCCTTTTGGGCTTCACAGTCGTCTGGAATCTCGATCTGGAGAACATCGGAAGTGGGAAGCGCATGATTGTACTTAAAGTCGTACATGTAGTCGTCAGCGACTGGAGGCTTCGCCGTAGATTCAAGCCTTATTTGGCTGACGCCGATTTTGCTCTTGACATGGCTCGTGTCGACAGTATCGTCTATAGCAGACTCGTGGGAGTTGATGTAGGGAGCCATGACTGCTTCTGTAAAGTCTATGAATGTGAAGAGTGTGAGACATCTTCCACAGCGGGCGACGAAACCGGCATATATCCATCATATCCATGGCCACTCGACGTTCCATATACTTCAACGTCCGATGGCCGGTACCCTGGGGCGCAACGTCGAATGATGGATCGGGGATAATAAAGGTTAGAGTACAGTACTAATCGACGACGCCAGCGAAAAGGCACTGTGGGGACTATATCGCCGATGCACAGGAGCCGATCCAAGCCAGCCAAAGGTCTTCTCCGCATTACTTGGGCAACTCCATCTCCGATCTCTCCCTCGCTCGTCACCTCACACATAGACCGGTGAAAACCGAGAGGATCGGACAAATTGAGTACGTCGGACAACATGCGTCGCCTCCGCCATGAGAATGCAGCGCATGAGGACGAGGCTGTGGAGAGTTCGAGACCCCGCAAGCAGCGGAAACAACGGCCATGTTACAGCTGCAAAGGTAAGTCGAACAGCGGAACAGGACTGGCAAGGAGAATATGGGGACCGTCAGCGAGCTGATTGAGTATGCTGGCCCAGAATGCCGCAGGCTGAAGATGAAGTGCGACCGGCAAGGTAAGACCAAATTGTGTTGTAAATGTAGTATGAATTGTTTAGTCGCTGAAAAGATATATTGTGTTGCAGTGCCGTGCTCGAACTGTGTCCGGCGAAACCGCGTTGGGTTTTGTGTTGCGGCCGCCACAACTAGCACAGCCCTCTCTCGGTTCGTTCTGTTCCTGTGCCAAATGATAATGCACGCACGGTTGAGCTGATGTTGATATGCTATTCTCCAAGCCCGAATGAGAACTCTAGACATCAGGATGATGCTGCAGGAGCGTCACCCGAACACGATCACAACCCTTCTCCTCAGCCTGTCATGCACCATGGATCCACGCACCAGAGACATCATGAGCTCCATGAAGACCATCAGGGACATCAAGAGGGGCAGCCATCACACCTAGAAGGTACCCAGGCAAGCAACTTTAGGCAACAATCTACGGAACGCACGCAACATATCCCTGTGCAAGCCAATCCAGCCAACCATAACGAGCTCAACACTCTTGCTCTTCTCGCCAATGCGCTCGAACCATACGCAGTCCAGGGCCCTTCCCCACGCACTCCTGCTTCAGTTCCTCCGGGCAGGGTGGCTGAAGCTCTGTTTAACATTCCTACTGGAGCCAGTGGATCCAGCAATCTCGCCCGGCAGGCCGTCGACGACGGTCAGCAGAGCGGCTCCCATGGCACCTTGATGCTAGGTAAAAGAGGCAGGTCCAAGTACCTGGGCCCGACGGCGGGAAGTGAATGGTTGAAAGAGGCAAGTCGACTCTTTGACCTTAAAGATGCGCATCGAACTGACCCAATCCAGTCCGAGACGCAAGATGTACAGGACACTCCATTGATGACTCGTGCCCCTTCTCCAGAACATGGCCAAGACTCGGCGCCCTCTCAACATTTTCTTTCAATTCCCCGCTCCGATTGGGTTTCCTTTGACCGCCTCACCAGCTCACATAAGTACTCGGGAGTTGCTCTCAAGCCTGCCACCAAGAGACGAGGCGTGGGCACTGGTTGAATCATACTATCGATATTGCGCTTGGCAGTAAGTGCTGTAGCCCGTAGACGAAAAGGCTAGGAAGCAGCTGACAAGACTTAGCCACGACGTTGCTCCCAAGGGTCCATTTGAAAGGACATTTGATCGAGTATATAAGCGTGCGGAGGGCTCGTCATCTACTCCCATAAACCCTCAGGAGATTGCTCTCGTTTTTATAATCATGGCCCAAGGAACCATGTTTAATATTGAGATGCCCGATTGTGATTCATCTGCCGAAGATTGGCTGCATCTCTCAGAGCGGGCTTTAGTCAAGGGGAACTTCCTGTCCAACAATATGGTCGCTGGACTGCAAACTCTGGTGAGCTCACTGATATGGCTTCCTACTGGCCAGTCGCTAATTTTGGAGTGTCTCAGCATCTGATGGCGCATCTGCAACTGTGCGTAAAGTAGCCCGGGTCTCAAGATGTCCTTGCGTTGCTGACATGTGATTAGACAGCTCGACAAAGATCGGCGTGGTGATACCGCCTGGCCTTTATGGGGTCTTGTCATGCGTTTGATCCAAGCTGTGAGTGTCGCCGTTGAAGAGCAGACGTAGAGCAGCGCTAATGGGGTCCATAGATGGGTATGCACCGAGACGGTGACTGCTGGAATCTGCCGCAAGATGTTGTCGAGGAACGACGCAAGGTATTCTGGGAATGCAATTCTGCCGATATTTTCCAGGCTCATTGCTTCTCAAGGCCGTATGTACATCCACTCCCTGTACATATGTCTGGGGCAAAGCTGAAGCCAGACAGATCCGCCATTAATCCGGACCATTGCGATACTGCATTTCCCTCCGAGCCGCTCAAGCCTAATGGCGAAAAGAGCTACTCCATTGTCCGGTTTGAGTTATCTCTCATTTCTTCCGAGTGAGGGTGCCTTCAGAGCTAATTCCGATCTGACCTCCTAGCTAATCAATTCTCAGCATTCTCAACATGGCAATGAAGGTACGGAAACCAGCATATTCCGATATTACCGACCTAGACCTCAAGCTGTATGTATCTGCACTGGACACTTTATGTGCAAAAGCTAAGGCGTTGTAGCTGCGAATTTGAACAGAACATTCCTTTTTCTCTCCGTTGTCGAGCAGCGCTCTTAGCCACGCCGTCTCGGTACCCTCAACTCGAAGCGGCCATCGCAGCATCTCCAGAGCCATCCCGGAGGTCACTGGCCATTTCTTTTCAAGAGCCAACTTTTCGTTCTTCTCAGCCTCGGTGGCTTCGAAGCTGACTAGCAACAACCAGCAAACAAATCTAGCGCTGAATATTTCCGAGACGGTCATCAACTTGCACCGACCTTACTACGCGAAAGCGCTCTACGACGTCGACCACGTCGAATCTGTTTATAAATCCTCATTTTATACTGTGATTGAACGTTGCGGAGTAAGGCTACGCTCAGAATATCCTTCATCAACAACGATCTGACCTTTGGCAGATTATCATAGCCATTGTCACCGACATTCACAATCGCTTTCCCGCTGTCAGCACCAGACAGTGGAACTTTTGGGTGAGCACATGCTATTATTAGCCTGAGTCTCATAAAGCTTACTTTTAGTGTCCAGTATCACGTATTCAATTCTGCGCTATGCTTGGGAACCTTAGTATTACGCGATCCAGGCAATGTCATGGCTGGCTTTGTCCTCACTCAGATCGATGCCGCCATCAGCTTGTTCACCTCGTTGCTTCAACATGGTGCTCGAACCCCCCGTTACAAGCGCAATTTGCAGTGGCTTCTGAATTTACGTACTCGAGCGCTATCCAAGACCTCAAAGGTGTCTGCCACCCAAGAGGGCGCCCCGCAGAGGGACGCCGAGTCGGACCGACAAAGCAACAGCGGAGAAGGCGAAGGACATAGAGAACAAGATGAAGACGTGGAGCTGCTCGGTTGGCGGACCAGGCTGATTGAGCGGGCGGACCAGGGCCGCAAGAAAACGATCAGGACTATTCCCCTTGCCGAGACCCCGACCGGCTCTCAAATTACGGACATGGCGATGCCCAGCGCCTCCCTGCCGGCGGTTACCCTCGATTCCACAAACGACATTGTGAGATGAACTGAAGTCCTGTCATTGCTCAGAGCTGACCCATTCATAGCTACGCGACTTTTGGGATCCAATGCTACTACAAGATGTGTTCGGACCTCCCCACGACCATCCAAATGTGAGTGGAGCATTTACCCTCACTTTCCTGAGTCTATGTTCTTTTCTTTCAAAGAGAAACCTTGGCAGCTAACGAATCGTACAGCCCTTTATGGTCAACGGAGCTACGTGGTGGGATCATACGCGGAGTGAGACTCAAGCACGGGTTTAATCAGGGTTGAGTCTCGCTGTGCTCACAACTGAGTTGGCGACGATACTCTCGACTGCTAATCGACAGTATCACTATTTACAGATAACAAAGTGTCTGTAGATGACCCATCCTGAGGAAGAAATTGTCCCACACAAGCCTCTCAACCACCCTTTGCCTTAGGAGTCTCCATGATAGGCAGGCCGTCGTCGTCAAAGTAGACCGGGACGCTATTACGGAATGAGTACTGCAGAGCGGTGGCAATCTTAGCTGCCTCGTAGGCGTCATCTGGAGTACAAGTAAGGGCCTTGTCGTCGAGCACAGCAGCCGCGAACTCAGCCAGGTCGTTGAGGAATGATTTGTCGTAGAGAACAAATGCATCCGGCGTGGTGGCAGTCCGCACACCGTGGGAATCACGAATCTCGACACGGTTGATCGTCGAGTTGCCGTTGACGACAGAATGTGCCTTGGTCCCGCACACACGAGTGCAGCTCTCAAACCCGTTTGTGAGGGTCCGGCCCAGGTGAGATGTGAGTACCTTGCCGTTGGCGAACTCGACCATAGCCCAGCCGTTGTCGCAGTCGCCGTACTTCGCAAGGTCGCCATAAACAGCCTGCTGTCCCATGGCAACAACCCTATTGACTTGCTTCTTGGGGTTTTTCAGGCCCGACGTGACATTCAAGTAGTACCTCCCAATGTCGATCTATGCATTGTGTCACAGTCAGCGAGGCTGTTTCAATTAGAAGTCGGAAATACAGCGAGTGACCTACGTCGTGAACACCCATGTCAACAAAGATACCTCCGGACTGTGCGGAGAAAGTGACGAAGAATCCTACAATGTTGGATTAGCTAGTAGTTATAAAGTAAACAAAAAAGTCCAGAGCAAGGTGTTTACCAGTAGGATCCTGCTGATCAAGGCAGGTGGTCTCGACAGCGTGAATCTCGCCCAGCGAGCCATTCTCGACCATCTCCTTCGCGGCACGGTACGAATCATCATCTAGATACAGGTGAGCTTCAGGTCGTCACAAAAAAAGTAGGAGATTAATATGGATGTCAGTCTACTCACATCGTCGACAGAATGGGACCAGGAACTTGAGGTGAGGCTTAGATTTGGCCTTGGCGAGGACCTCTTCGGTAGTAATGACATCCACTGATATAGGTTTCTCGCACATGACGTGCTAAGAGCCATCAGTTTCAAACGATTCACATTCTTCGAAATTCAAGACCGCTGGCAACACTCACAAGGCCTAGGTCAAGACCCATGCAGATCAGGGGAGCGTGTGTGGCAGTCGCTGTGGAAATGAGGACAGCTTCGGCCCCGCTGTTCTTCATACAATCTTCGGGATCTGCATAGTATTTCACAGAAGGTGGAAGGTTTTCTGCCACCCACTTGTCGCATCCGGGTTTTGTGTCGCAAGCGGCGACGAGCTGGATGCGAGGTTGTTGGAAGGCAAGGATGCGTGCACGAATGGCGCCCAGGCGGCCGAGGCCGATCAGGGCGATTTTGAGACGAGGTTGAGTGGCCATTTTTTCGAACTTGAGATGTATGTATGTATGTACGATGGTGATAATTGCCTGGCTTTGGGATCAGCCCCAAAGGGCTTAATAAACTGCCCCATGTTGAGGTCTTCTAGCAACAAGCAAATCAGCAGGGCAGATCAGAGCCGGAGGATGTCGAGCATGATTCCACGGACGAAATATAACTATGTCCGGCCCGGCAACGTCCGATCCGACTACATACATGAAGTCGTCCGGCTTCGTATGTCCGACCGGCATCAACATGTCCGGTCAACTAAGAAGAGCCTGTCGCTGGAGTTTGCACTTATACCAAGACACCGCTAAAGCAGTGCAACAAGACACCTAGATAATACTGTTATCAACCGAAAGAATCAAACATCAAGCAACCTAATTTTCAGTCAACAAACTTCAAAACAATATTCCCATCAATTCATTCCCCTTTCTCAAATTATATCCAAGGATCTTAATCTGCTCTTCCCTCCACGCCACCTTTTGTGGTTTTGACTCTAAGCATGACTTGTATCTTCTTGGCTACGGATCCAAAGTAACCCAGTTCCACAACCGCTCCTAGACTCAACAATACATTTCTCCAGCGCAAGGCCGAGATTCAAAGCCGCCGTTCAGGCTTCTCCAAATACTGCTACGTCGTCCCGACAAGTATGCTTCTCTAAGCTAGCACCTCTCATATGGCATGCAAGTGAGAAGGGAAACAAGGAGACTTTCAATATGACCTAAGTAGAGGAGACGTATGTGCTACAATATACAAAGCCGCAAGTGTAGTCACAATGTACAATACGATCGGAAGACCTCTGCTGCACGCCTATCCCATAGGATTCTAAACCATCACCCCTCAACTGGCGCATCCGTCTTGCTTTCACACTTCTTCTCCGCTTGCTCCCTGTATCTTCTTTGCAACACATCTCTGATGCCATGGCTGACGGCATGGCAGCCACTGACATAGACTTTCGCGCCGTCATCTCAGACCTGCACAAGCTCGTCTCGGTCCGCCCACATCAGGCCATGGACATAGCCCACATTGTCAGACGACTGCGGCCCGTGTCGTGGATATGCATACCGCGCCTCCTTGGCACCAGAGCCTTGTCAACGCTGCAGCTCAGGGGCGTACGATGCCTGCTCCGGCCCGCGACAGTCGATGTACAGCAGCGCGGAGGCCACCTGACTGGCGAGACCCGGGTCAGAGCTTGTTTACCCAAGCAGATTTGGGCTTACGGCCAACCTCACAACGTTTCACAGCGCGCTCGTTCACAAGTCCCAAGAACACTGCTATTTATTCGTGTGGATCCGACCTGCTTGACAGGATGCAGCAAAGGAGTCGACTGCTGACTGGGTGGGGGCGTGGGAGCAAGTGCTCCGCAACTCCACCGAGGGGACAGTAGACAGGGAAACAAGGTACCTGCTATCTAGCTGGTCCGGCTGGTCATGACTGCAATCAGTGTGAGATAAATTGCATGTGTGACTCCAGAACAGAGCTGGAAATCCTCGAACTCACTAAGTGTGGCTTCTGCCTGGTACGGAACCATAGGAAGCTGCAGTCAGCGAGCACGGTACACACGCGGAATCGCACACAAGATGGCGAAGCTTGTGTGCTTGCCAGCAATTTGTCTTTGAAGGGAGGTGGGTTGTTGGGGGCCAACCGGAAAATAAGGCTCCGCAATTTGATCTGCAACATTGTATTATTGGTTGAGAACTACACTTTTCTCATGCGAGCTTTTCAGCTCTTGAGTGCTGCATTCGCAAAGATCGAACTTGGAAAAGATCTTCGCACCGTTGGCGCTTAGGAATTGTTCCTCGAGGACGGGCTACCGGTATGCTGAGTTTGTGAGGCTATGAATAGGTCTGGCGGGGGACAGACAGCCTATTAACAGCCTTGGCAATGACCTTCGTGCAGCCAACAGTCTTGGCAACGACTCCTGTGCAGCCAACATCTCAAGCCCCTGCACGTGGTATGTGGATTTGTCAATCCTATCCCATTGATTTGGCTCTGGTGCCCGGAGTTGGAAATACCACTCCAACTCCTCCCAGACGATCCTGGCACAGAGCACCTGATTTCATTGCCTCCTTCCTTCGAGCTTGCAATGGCCTCAGCACTGGATTTACCCGCGTGTGCGGTAAGTGGGAGCCATTGGATACGCGACTTTAGACATTGAAGTTGACAAGATCGAAAACAGCTTCAGTGCCTGCAAGCCGCCATAGTGAACTCGACATGCGCTGCCACGGACCAGACATGTATCTGCACCAATGTGGCTCTCAATCAACAGGCCACGGCCTGCAGCAGTCTCGCTTGTACACCAGCTGAGCTCATGAGTACGATCTTCCGGACCACCGTAACTCATATCGTGTGCTGACGAGCTTCTACATGCGGAAAACAGCCACCTTGAAAATCACCAATGGTCTCTGTGGTATTGAACCAAGAGAAGACGACTCCTGGTTCATACCAACCATAGTCCTCCTAGTTCTCATGGTCGTATTCAGTGGCTTGAGGTTTCTAGCACGGTTCATCGGTGGGCAGTCATTCTGTAGGTCTCTTTGGTGCTTCTCTTATTGTCTTTCGTCACCACCCATATTCTCTTTCTCTAGCTTGACAGTCTCAAAAGCTGGCGCGACTAGCATTTTCACACAACATTCAAATCCCAGGAGCGCAATAGAGCATTCAAATCACCTAGCTTGTCTGCATGCGGCTAGCTAACTCATCTGACCACAGGGTGGGATGACTGGTTGAATTTCTTCGCCATGGTCATGAGCGCTCTTGGAAGTGCTTGGACCTTGGGTCCTGGTAAGTGAAGCTATCTGGTCTCCTCTCATCTGGCCTATTCCTGCATTATCTAAACATAGTCACTACTATAGCTAGGAGCAAAGGCTTTGGGATGGATGTCTGGTCAATAGAGCCAGACGAGCTTACCGAATTCCTCAAGGTAAGTGACAGAACTTCTGACCACAGCGTTGGAACACACCAGGTCTTCTTTGATCCAAGCTTTGAAGTCGATTCTCATTCCTGGTGCAGGTACGCTACGTGTATGAGGCACTATACGTTTTGGCAAGAGAAGCCACACGTCTAGCCTTTACACTGTTTTATCTGCGAATATTCACACTGCCTGGATCTCGCCGCGTCATTTTCATTACACTGGGCCTGAACGTGGCTTTGGGAATTGCATTTTTCGTGGCTGTCATGTTTAAGTGTACTCCAGTCAGTTACTACTGGAACCAGTGGGATGGTCAGCATGTACGTGCTCAAGAATCTTTCCCTCCGTCTCGGAGAATCTGCCTCTTCCCACCAACTATTTTTGGAGGACGATTTGCTGACCGTTGCGTCACGATACAGTCCGGATACTGTATCGATATGCAAAAATTTATGTGGATTGGATGGTCGATGCTCATTGTATTCGATTTCTGGATGGTAAGTGTGTCCATTTACATCGATGACGTTTCCTCCAGCACCATTCACCCCAGATTTTTGGGACCGCGACGCGCAACAGGTAGGACGTTGTCAAACACAGCCCGCATGAACGTCGTTGCCTTTTTTACAGCAATTGAAATGTGAAATTACAAGACAGTCGGCTTACCGGAGAGTACCTAGATCGGCTTGCCACTGTTTTGGGTGTTTAAATTGAAGCTTTCTCTTAAGAAGAAATTGATGATTTCATTCATGTTCGCCACGGCTCTCAGGTGTGTTCTATCCTTGTTCACATGAACTGCATACTACACCTATTCCAGGATAAAAGCCTTAATATGTTTTCTGCAGTGTAACCGCGGTAGGGATTGCCAAACTGCCGGCTGTACCTGACACCACACACGCATCTAACCCGACCTGTGAGTTTTGACGCGTTTCCTTCGATACTGATTTTGTCAAGTCACAATCGATATGGTCTTCTGATCCATTTTTCTTGCACAGATAATCTCGTTTCCCTAGCGAAATATTGCCTCATTGAAATTGACCTCGGAGTCATCTGTGCGTGTATGCCCAGTCTTCCAATCCTGTACCGGGCCCTCAGGGACCGTATAAAGGCGAAGAAAGCGTCAAGAGCGGGAGCAATTGGCTCTCAGGGATTAGACGCTCGCCATGGTGCCTTCAGCAGTGAGAAGGTCGGGAGCTTCTCGGCAGTCTCGAATGTCCCTTCTGCTCAGTCCCAGAGCGGTCACCGCATGGAAAATTCGGGGGCCGAGCACATACAGATGACGACGACTATTGATCAGACCTACTGGAAGGAGCCATCGGGTGATCAAATTCCGATGCAGGACGGGCGTTTCTATGCTGGCCAATATGATAACCAACCCAACAACCAATACAACAACCAGTACAACACCCAATACAACAACCAATACAACGACCAATACAACAATCAATACTACAACCAATACAACGACCAATACAACAATCAATACCACAACCAAGACAACAACCAATTCAACAACCAAGACAACAATCAATACCAGAACCAATACAACAATCAATACAACAATCAATACAACAATCAATACAACAACCAATACAATAATGCTCAAGTGAGAGCGGATGCATGGGCCGGCGGGCACCACATAGCTTAGCTACATTGAGAGGCGATGAGTCCAAAGTGGTGGACGGTGAGCTGAATCATTGTATGCTTGTGTTGTAGAAATGCATGCGTGTGGAATTCAGAGGAAACAAATAGAACACATGAGCTTTTTGATATCAAACGCACAGCCCAGCGGGGTATGTGGGTTTGTTTCGCTACATGCTAAGCAAAAGAGAGAAAGGACAGCATACCGTTCTCGCAAGACTACTTCTAATAACTCAAGACACATATACAGTCTTCTCCAAACTCCAATCCCATGGGACCACGTCCTGTCCTTGATGATGCACCCCTCCAGCGCCAGCAGCACATCCTGAACCAACAGTCTCACCGTTCTCGCTGCATCATATGTTAGCGTTGCAACATTATGAGCTGGAGACTACAAGAGAGGGCGCAAGTACCCTGTCCTGCTCATACAAACGCAGCGACAAGTGCACACCATCCTGACCCACCCACTGCCATTCTTAACTCCGACCCTGCGTCCAACCACAATGGTTTGCCAGCCTGATAAACTCACTATGTGCTCGATGTCGTGCATGAGCCGGTTATTTTCTAGCCGGTAGCTTGAGGAAGGTCCCGCTTAGAATTTTCTACCTATGGATTGCCCCCTACACTGTGTGATGCATTCTGTTAGTAACAAGAATGGTGCCCTGGCCTTTTATGTTAGTTCCGTGTCACCACTGTATAGTCGTAGTTTCAAGCGCATACAGTCGCTGTAAAAGTCTATATGCTCTCGATATACACTAACATACACAACCGATGATTGTTCATACGCACAACATGCAGTCTACACTTTCTTCCTCGCCGACGGCGCTCGTGAGCTTGGCACAGCCGTACTACATGCTGTGGGAAGAAAGACCTAGATCCTCGTCCAGATTGCCCTTGGTGCCGATGAAGATAAAAGTTCTTGTGTGAAATGCTAGAAAGGAGAAAAGAGCCTTACGTCTCCTTTCTAGTAGCCTATGAGGCATACGATACGGCCCATGGCTTGTGTTGTGGAACATTGTCCAGTGACGTGCTTGCTTATGTCTTCCCGTCCCTGACCCGCAGCCGACTACCGAACGCCGCAAAAGTGGACTAGATCTTACCGGGTGGCGGGAAACGCTTGGTAGAGTGCAGGATAGCGCACGAAAAATGACATACAGAGGAAGGGACTGAAGTAGAGACCCACCAACAAGCAACGGATGGGTTACCGAAACCTCAGGTCCTCCAGTACCGGGCTGGTCCTGGTACCTGGACGACGGCAGTCGGTGCCGATCTCCCTCAGGTACTTGGCTCGGCCCGGTTACACAGACAGTTGCGGTTCGGCGGCCTATTCCTACAACTATCCAGGCTGTCGGCCATGTCAGATACAAGGAGGTAGCTTGGGAATCCCCAAAAAGGCTTTAAGCTCGTGCCTCCCAGGCGCAGTGGCATGATTCGCCTCGGTCAACTTGTTGTCCTAGCGAGAATGTGCAGGAAGGAGTCGAGAGGCGATGTTGAGATGGAGGTGCCCAAGTCGGGACTCGGCTCAGGTACTCCACAGCTGACACCGGCTGGCCGTACTGGCTGGCGCGTCCTGTACGAGGTGGAATGTGCGCGATACGGGGCCATCTCTTACTTCCCGTACGATACGCAGACGCCTGAGTGAGGAGGCAGACCACGATCAAAGAGCCATCGATTACACGAATTAGTGAGAGACAGAGCCCAGAGTCCTGTCATAGAGCGGGCAACCACAATGCTCTCCTACGTTGTGGCCGTTTTGGCCTTTGTTCTGCTCTACAACCCAATCACAGAGCTGCTCTCCTCTGCGCCGCCGCAGATCCGCAGGACCCCACGGCCCAGAGTCAACGAGACCCTGCTGGCGTTGGAAGATAGTCTGAACCAGACGCTGCAGTGCCCTGGGGATGAGTACTCGGTGCATATCTTCTCTAAGGAGCCGCTAGTCATTTACATTGAGAACTTCCTGTCGGCCGGAGAGAGGTCGCACCTGCTCGACATCAGGTGAGCTGCATCAAATGCTATTGGAAGTACCTGCTGACAGGGGTGCAGCGAACTCATCTTTGAGCCATCTACCATCACTCACGACGGCGGTGCAGAGACTCATCGCGATCAGACTATTCGTGACTCTGAGGTCGCTATTATTCCTCGCTCGGATGAAGTGAGGTGCATAGAGGCACGCGCGAGAGCATTCCAGGGCTGGCGAGACGAAATTTGGGTGGAGCGCCTGCGCACCCAACGGTACCGACCAAATGGCCATTACAGTCACCACTTCGATTGGAGCTCGTCCTGGGGAGGATGGGGCAGGGTAAGTAGCTTTATGGTCTGGGTTGACGCATCCACCGACGGCGACACTGGGCTTGTGGGTGGCGGCACGGAATTTCCCTTGATAAAACGCCCGAAGCTCGATGAGAGATGGTGTCGCTTCGTGGAATGCGACAACATTGTCACTGGTGACGGCAGTCATGCTGAAGGTGCTGCTGCCACGGCTTCCGAGCAAGATGTCAGCCAAGGTGTTGTCTTCAAGCCTGTCGCTGGCAATGCGGTCTACTGGGAGAACTTCAGGCCAGACGGTACAGGACGAGGCTGGGAAGAGACGTGGCATGCGGGCCTACCTGTTACCCGCGGCACCAAGGTGGGCCTGAATATTTGGTCCTGGGGCAGAATTGACTAGAGCAGAGGGCCACAAAGCTGTCTACCGGAAAATTTCATATGTTTTCATGGCGCCCTGGCGCCAGTCGAATCTCACGGTGGCTTCGGGTTGGCGAGGCCTATATTATGCAGCTTACACCACCAGGAAGCACATGTCTCGGACCTGGTGACACTTGTTGGTGTTGACCATCAGTAGGCATCTCTGCAAGCGGGACTAGCTGCTACTAGACTCCCACCTCCCACTTACTCGGACCTGGACAATAAACGGTGGCGTGATAACTCATCCTCAACCCAGCTGACAGTCGGAAAAGTGTTAGACTCGGCAGACTCATTACAGTGTACCTGTTCATCTATTCCGAGAAATCTCGCGAATGCGATAGATGCGAAAAAATTTAACAGATAGGGCAGCAGCTCCCTTCAGAAGCGCATTTCACAGCGCATATACGAACAAACCAGGGTGCCGCAGACAAATCACTTATTACAAGCTTACTATCCCTCATCCCGACTTCACATTACGATACAGCTCAAGCGACCACCCTTATTCGATACTATTTACGACGAGATCCTCAACGGTGCTCATCACGTTAATGCAATGTGTGGCACAGGCCCAGCATCGGCCAGCCAATGGAGCGACCGCCTGTTCTCAATCGAATGATAAATGCACGACGAGAAAGCGAGCCAAGGCGTTGGCCCTTGGTGAGGGTGTGAGGCCCCAATGAAGGATGGCTTCCCCACCTGCTGCATGGTGATTCCAGCTTCCTGCCGGCGTAGGTCGAAGCCTGTGGTGAATCTCCATCCAGCTCCCTGGCTGGGGCGCATGCCCCGAGGACGGAGTACAGCTCTAGCGCAGTTCCACCGCGCGCAACGATCCACCAACGCGGGTTTGGAGAGGGAAAGATTCTTCTGCCGAACCTCCTTCATTCGCACTTCACCAGGACGAAATGTCGAAAGCATTGGCAGCAACGAGCTGGCCTCAATACCTCGTCAGTCAGCCTTGTCACTTACAAGCAACGAGCGCATAGAGCGCATAGTCTAGTCATAATAGTTGCATTCGCATATGCGACACAGCGATACTAGGTGGTTTCGAGCACATAAGTCTGTGTGGTACGTCGGGTGAGGGACGTCGACACAATGACACCCAGGCTAGTGGCTGGCCTGTGAAAACAATGGTGTCAAGAATGCAACTCTCATGTGCCTCCCTGATGCCCGATCCTATCATATGGAAGGGATATTTAGGTAATTGCGTGAGCATAGAACAGAATCTCCCGTGGAATATGGTCTTGACCCTCAAATCATGAGCAGACCATTCAAGAGGAGGGGCAGCATTCGATCTGGAACTTGGCTCGGGAGTAAGACCCCCACACTGGATGCTCCGCGGTGCGAGTATAGCAAGGTTTGGTATCCTGCTCCTTTCGACCTGCTGCATACGATGTTCAACTACATATATACACAAACTTTACATCTAAATGAGCTGTACCTGCGGCGGGTTAAGGGACACTATCGACTGCCGGACAAAATAAAGGAAACAGATGATTTCAGCAATTATTCACCTAGACTGTCATCATCCAGCCTCGGCTGTCTTTCTTGTGGTCATGGCGGGTAAAATGCTGTTAAAAACTCGGACGCCTCCCTGCCGACCTGTAGACCCACAAGTCAACATAGCATCTAGGGCTACCTGGGTACCAAATAATACATAGCATCCACCGGGCGGCCCTCGGTCAACTTTCGGGTGCATCCAACAAGTTCAGACTGATCCTTGCAGGTCTGTGTCCTAGTTTTGCGTTGGTGTCGTCTAATAGGCGTGCCACGGGGTGGAATCCTGGGCTACTGTTAGACAAAGATGGAGCGAGCATTTAGGAGGGTCGTTGTGATAGATCATAGGGGGTTGGTGCTGGGCTCCAGTATCGATAGTACATAGTGCATTGCTAGGTACCACAGTAGCCCGGTACGTATCACCTGAAATCCTTGAATCGCTCTGACGGGTGTCGGTGCCGTTTTGCCATGGCAGATCCAAAAGGCAGTGACATATTTCTGCCCTGGCATGCGAAGAGGCTATTCCCGCGGGTTGGACAGGGGCCCCATGGCCCACCCACGACGTCTGGGCGACGGGTCTGGGCGGCCCACCTGGGCGGGCGACCCCATTCTCAGGCCCACGATTCCCATCAAGATGCTCCACGGCCGAGGGATGGGCGATGAGGGGGGGCAAGGGTCCTCATGTCGATGGGTCGGGAAAATATGGTCAAGATGACCAGTCCATGATGTATAACGAGGGCTCAGCAGGGCAGCTTCGCCCACCACATCTGTCGACACGGAGGCTTTTGTCGAGGGGGGCAGCTGGACAATGACGTCCTTAGCCTCGCCCACGGCCCGCCGACAGTCGAGAGACCCCCATGCCACTTGCAGAAACTAGCAGAAGACCTTGCCTACACACTTTGCCTTCCTTGCCAGCCTGCCCACCCAGGCCCCAGGTACCCTCTTTCCGACATCTGGGATACAGGATCAGTGTACAGCAAGCTGGACACGGTTGGGAGGGGAATGCGACAGCCCGGTGTCTCGGCGGCAACTCAGATACGGGCAGCGGCCGGGTGGGATAGGACGGCTTCTCCCATCCCCCTTTCCCATCCAGAATGTCCATGCCATGTCCCATCTGTCCCATCCCATACCTTGTCCAACCCGGAGAAAGGCCTCTGCGGCTGCGGGTGCCATGTACCTTCGTCGGGGCCCATTGACTCGCCCCTCTGCCATGTATCTGCTTTGTATCTCTGCGCCTGGGCCGGGTGGGAGCGAGGAAGCCATAACATAACAGCGACGGCCGTGTCCGCTAGTTGGGATAAGTCAGCTCGCCCGGTATAAATAATAGTAGCCATACTGCTTCTCATCGTGTCGCTGCGGGCCAGAATCTTTGTTGTTTTCATTCTTCATCTCATCTAGTCCCTCTCGTCGTCTCTCTCAGAGCGTCCCAAGCCTGCCTGCTCACCAAGATATCCAAGTACCACCACAACAACATACTCGTGTGAAGATATAAATATAAACAAGCCGATCACCATGTCTAATCGTCCTATATTTATGGCAACGCACCCACGTGCGTGCTCAACTGCCTTTGAAAGGGTACGTGCATATCCACAGCCCTGCTGGGCCCGTCGTCCAGGGTCCTGGGGGCTCATTCCGCGATGACAATACCTGCCCTGAAATGGCGTGCTCGCCAGTTAGTGTACCCTGAGCTTCTAGCTGACCTCGAGCCTCCACCCCTCACGCAGGTCTTTATGACACGCCGAGACATTCTTCAGACTGCTCACGAGCCGTTTGGGGATGCCTTTTACTACGGCCCTGAGCGCCTCAGCGTGCGCTTCGCCGACGATGAGGAGGCCAGGGTTAAGAGCGGCTTTTCCCAGTCGACCTACAAGACCATCATGGACCGGCTCGAGAACGACGGCAAAGAGGTTCGATCCAACCCTCCCCAGCTTTTTGCTGTCTGAACCTCCACCTTCTTTCCCCTCGGCCTAGAGAGACCGTCCGGATATATGCCTTGTTTCCCCCATCATTGTGGCTGACCAAGCTGGGCCGCGTTTCGATCCTCTGGCCCCCTCTGTACTTCCCACTGACGCAAGTGCGCTCATTTCGAATCAGAGGGAGGCCATGATGCAGGCGAGACTTGCGCCAGTCTTGGTGGGCGAAATCTGCTTTAAGGCCATCGGATAGCCAATCCTTGCCCTATTTGTTGGACCATAAATCTGGTCGTAGCTGCTGCTCCTCGCGCTTCGTCGTGCGGTCCCAAAACGGCGCCCCTCAGGAGACTCCCCTCTTTCGAAGCGACACGAAGCGAAGCGAAGCAGGCAATTGCCTCAGCGACCACTTCCAGAGATATCATGCTATGTGATATGCTCCAATACTTACCATCAGCAGGGTAAACGAGTCTTCATCAAGGACATCGCACATTATTTGCTCCCACCGAACGGCACGCCTGCAAACGTGGCTCCCACCCTCGTCGGTGGTCACAACCTCACAAACGGCTCCGACGTCGACAGCAATGACGGCCACTCCACCAACGGCGTAGAACACACAAACGGCTTCGTCAATGGCCCAACAAACGGTGACGCCAACACTAACGGCAACGCTGCCGCTCCCACCCACACAAACGGCTTCGTCAACGGCCCCACAAACGGCAACGGCGAGGAGGACAACCCGACCGTGATGCCCACCGAGATGCTGCGCGGCTTCCACTGGACGTTCCTGATCCGGCACCCGCGGCGGTCGATCCCGTCGTACTTCCGGTGCACGATCCCGCCGCTGAGCGAGCTGACGGGTTTCCACGAGTTCATGCCGTCCGAGGCCGGGTACGACGAGCTGCGGCGGCTGTTCGACTACCTGCTGGACCAGGGCATCATCGGGCCGGCCAAGGCGGGCGACGAGGCGCCGCTGGACGAGGCGCTCAACGACGCGAGCAGCGACCGCGAGCGCGCCGGCCAGTGCTCCATCACCGTCATCGACGCCGACGACCTGCTCAACAACCCCGAGGCCATCCTCAAGACCTACTGCAAGGAGGTCGGCATCGACTACAGCCCCGCCATGCTGCAGTGGGGCGACGACGACAACCAGCGCTACGCCGCCGAGGCCTTCGAGAAGTGGTACGGCTTCCACCACGACGCCATCGACAGCACGTGCCTCAGGCCGAGAGCGGGTCATCATGTGAGTTCTGTTTTATCCGCCCCACTTCGGCGGCCAGCGGAATCATATCCGCTGCGCCGTCCGTTACCTAGAAGATAAGTATCAACGGCTGACATGGAATTCTCTTTTCCCCCTGCTGCAGAAGGTCCCCACCGTTGAGGCTGAGAACGAGGAATGGCGCAAGAAGTACGGCGACGATGCTGCTCGTGTAATCAGGCAGACCGTCGACGCCAACGTTGCCGATTATGAGTACCTTAAGTCTTTTGCCATTAAGGTCTGAAGGCATTATTTCTGGGATTCTTATTTGCTTTTTTCGCTGGTCTGATAAGTAATGAGCGTATGGGGAAAACAAGGACTGATTGTGCTATGACTATTACAATGGCACGGGTCTTGATGATATTTAAGACAGTTGTTTTTACAAGTCGCCAAGTCGACTCAGTGAATACAGCCCTTGCCCTTGGCTGTCTAAAGTAGCGTTCTCCACATGTCGCTTAACATGAGGATTTTATACGATACAATGAATATTTGCCGTCCTTACGGACAAACATCAACATGCTGCTGGTATTCTGCTTGCGCACGTGATCAATTCCCTCCCTGTGAACTACACTCTGGTCTCCTGCGAAGAGTTTCCACTCTTTCCTCCCAGCCATCCGAACCAACCCTTCTTGCCCTGGGGCTTCTCCTCTTGCCCGGCCCCCGTTGCTGGCTCCACGGCAGACCCTTGGACGTGGCGAGACTCTGCAACACCAGGCTCCTCCACGGGCTCTTCCAATAAGTACTTCGTCTTGAACCGTGGGTTCGTAATGTGCTTGGGCAGGCCAGTAGAATGTGTCACGTTCTCGGACCATTCGCTAGCCCAGTAGCGGTCCGCATCGTTGGACCAGTAGATTTTAGCCTCGACGAGCGTTTTCTCAGCCGGAGCCGCTGCCGCCTTTGCCTTTCTCCTGGGTTTTGACTTTGCCGGTGATCCATGCGTTCCATCTGCTGCGGCCGCTGTCTCGTCGATATTCTCCGGCGCTGCTGCGCCCTCAGGTTGGGACTTGACCTCCGCCTCCTCAGAAGCCTCAGCCGCAGCCTCGGCGTCCTCCGCCAGTGGCTTGGGCCTCCACATCTTGTTGCCCCTGCCCGCGCCGGCCAGCACAGCAGCTATGTCGGCGATGGCGTTTGACCTTTGGTTGTGGATCATCTCGCCACGCTCCCTCCTGCTCTTGGCCGCCAGCTCCTCGGCCTGCCACCCCCACTCGAGTTCGTGCCGGTGCCGGAACTCGCGCAGCTTCTGCATAACGTTGCGGCCGACGACGCCGAGGCCCTTGGGCACCTCGATCATACACAACGGGGCCCAGTAGTCCATCCTCAGCTGTGCTGGCTTCTGCTTCTTGACCGTGTAAGGAATCTGGGAGAGGCCCTTGTGGGAAGTGCGCTGCGAGAAGGGAAGGCGGGTTAGCACAAGTACAAGTCCAGCCCGGCCAGTCAGGGAGGGCCAATGCTCATCGGGGTTCGAGCATGCAGCAAGGTGCTAACATACTGGTAGTTGGGGCTCATGTGTGTAAATGATCATGCCCTGGGCGATGTGGTGGTGCACCCAGATGCGCTCGCCGAGGCCTGGCTTGAAGCCGGTCAGCTCAGGGCGCGGCTGCTTGCGCCTTGGAGTCGTGTGGCCATGCCGTATGCTGACCCTGGAGACGCCGGTGGATAGTCGGTCGAGTATGCCGACCACAGATGCCGGCGAGGACTTCATGGCGACTGGTTGTGTGGAGGTCGCAGGGCCCAGGTCTCAGGTATGTCGCCCTCTGGCCGTCAACGCGCTGAGCAGAATTTCCAGAAGCTCATGTCCCTTAGCTAAGCAGGTCGTCCAGGGACTAACAGGTCTTATCGCTTATCGAGTCTTGCTTGGCGTGCTTGGGTCCAAGTTTGATCTGGTTGGGGGGTTAGGGCATGGCAGGGGGTGCTTGCCTCCATGTTGGGCCGTTCCAGGCCTGCCACGCATCCATGGCATCCCAGGCCGTTGGAGATACTTGGCGGGGGAGCTGGGCCGTGGCTTCCCGTGGCTTCCCGCTGTTTCCAGATGCTTCCAGGCGCTGCCTGCCAATGACGTCGAGCAGGCTCTAGCAAGCTCTGGCAGGCCCTGGCATCATCCCACCTCCCACCAGCTTCTGCCAGCCTCTGCCAGCTTCAGGTGGAAGGTCATAGTCGGGGCACATCGAATCCTGAATTCTCGTCCAGGTCATTCTGAACAAGTCCACGACTCCACTGCGAAATCAGGATAAATCTATCGTGCCTGAGATATTCTCACACTTCTCTCTTGTCTCACCAACAAACACTTACATCTTCACTTCGCAAAGTGACAGACCAAAACATAAACAACATTCCGCACGGCTGTCTATATTCACTCTCACTGATTTCCATTGTCTGTTTTACTCAACGTTCGACTTGACGATTGCTGATTGATACCCATACGGTCCGCAAGGACGCACGTATATTTCTCTTTGCTTCCCCACATTACATCAACCACAGCCTAATTCATCATGAATTCCAAAATGGAGTTCACGGATCGAGCCAAGAAGGCCTTGGAGGACGCCATGGCTCTGGCAGAACAATACGCACACAGTCAACTCCTACCAGTCCACCTGGCTGTGTCTCTCCTTGAGCCTCCTCCAGACCAGTCCAAAGACCAGCAGAATGGCCCTACATCCATCAGCAGCACTCTCATGCGCCAGGTCATCGAGCGAGCACATGGTGACCCACAGCTCTTCGATCGGTCCCTCAAGAAGACGCTCGTCCGCCTGCCTAGTCAAGACCCACCCCCGGAGAATGTCTCCATGGCCCCAACATTCAACACAGTCCTCCGCAAGGCCACCGAGCTGCAGAAGGTCCAAAAAGACAGTTACATCGCCGTCGATCACCTCATCACAGCACTTGCAGAGGACTCGACCATAGCTAATTGCCTGAAGGAGGCAAATATCCCCAAGGCAAAGCTCGTCCAAGATGCAGTTCAGGCAATTCGTGGCACAAAGCGGGTCGATTCCAAGACAGCTGACACGGAGGAGGAGTCTGAGAACCTCGCCAAGTTCACCATCGACATGACCGCCATGGCACGGGAAGGTAAAATCGACCCTGTCATCGGTCGTGAGGAGGAGATTAGAAGGGTCGTCCGAATCCTGTCCCGCCGAACCAAGAACAACCCCGTTCTCATCGGTGAACCGGGTGTCGGTAAGACAACCGTCGTCGAAGGTCTAGCACAACGGATCGTCAATGCCGATGTGCCCGACAACCTGGCTCAGTGCAAACTGCTCTCGCTCGACGTCGGTGCCTTGGTTGCTGGCAGCAAGTACCGGGGTGAGTTTGAGGAGAGGATGAAGGGCGTCTTGAAGGAGATCCAGGAGTCCAAGGACATGATTGTACTCTTCGTGGACGAGATTCACTTGCTCATGGGCGCCGGATCTTCAGGGGAGGGAGGCATGGACGCAGCCAACCTGCTGAAGCCCATGCTGGCCCGCGGTCAGTTGCACTGTATCGGTGCCACCACTCTGGCCGAGTACCGCAAGTACATCGAGAAGGATGCTGCCTTCGAACGACGTTTCCAACAAGTCATCGTCAAGGAGCCGTCCATCCCGGAGACGGTCTCTATCCTGCGAGGACTGAAGGAGAAGTACGAAGTCCACCACGGTGTCAACATCGCCGACGCCGCCATTGTTTCTGCCGCCAACCTTGCGGCTCGGTACCTTACTTCTCGCCGTCTGCCCGATTCCGCCGTCGATCTCATTGACGAGGCAGCAGCAGCTGTGCGGGTGGCGAGGGAGTCTCAGCCAGAAATTATCGACAGTCTTGAGCGACGACTGCGACAGCTGAAGATTGAGATTCATGCCCTCACACGCGAGAAGGACGACGCGTCTAAGGCCCGTCTAGCGCAGGCCAAGCAGGATGCTGCCAACGTTGAGGATGAGCTGCGCCCTCTGCGCGAGAAATACGAGAGCGAGAGGAAGCGTGGCAAGGACATCCAAGAGGCCAAGATGAAGCTTGACCAACTCAAGGTCAAGATGGAGGAAGCTAGCCGAATGGGTGATCATGCTCGCGCCGCCGACCTGCAGTACTATGCCATCCCCGAGCAGGAAACCATGATCAAGCAGCTCGAGAAAGATAAGGCCGCCGCAGATGCTGCGTTGCACGCCAATCCAATGGATGGTGGCGGCTCAATGATCACCGATATCGTCGGACCCGACCAGATCAATGAGATTGTTTCCCGTTGGACCGGCATCCCAGTCACCCGACTCAAGACCACTGAGAAAGACAAACTGCTCAAGATGGAGGGTGCTCTTGGCAAGATCGTTGTCGGCCAAAAGGAGGCTGTACAGGCTGTCTCCAATGCTATTCGTCTCCAGCGCTCGGGTCTCAGCAACCCCAACCAACCACCGAGTTTCCTATTCTGTGGTCCATCCGGAACAGGCAAGACGCTACTTACCAAAGCCCTTGCTGAGTTCCTATTCGACGATCCAAAGGCCATGATCCGGTTCGATATGTCAGAGTACCAAGAGCGACACGCACTCAGCCGTATGATCGGTGCTCCACCAGGGTACGTCGGGCACGACGCAGGTGGCCAACTGACAGAAGCCCTTCGTCGCAAGCCATTCTCCATTTTGCTCTTCGATGAGGTCGAGAAGGCGGCGAAGGAGATCCTTACCGTCCTCCTGCAACTCATGGATGACGGCCGCATCACCGATGGCCAAGGACGTGTTGTCGATGCCCGAAACTGCATCGTCGTCATGACTTCTAACCTCGGTGCCGAGTATCTGGCTCGTCCCAACGCTAAGGACGGAAAGATCGACCCGACTACTCGAGAGCTTGTCATGAATGCCCTGCGCAACTACTTCCTACCTGAGTTTCTCAACCGTATCAACTCGATAGTCATCTTCAACCGCCTCACCAGGAGGGAGATCCGCAAAATTGTCGACTTGCGCATCAGCGAGATCCAGAAGCGTCTCAACGACAACGACCGAAACGTGCACATCTCAGTGTCCGACGAAGCCAAGGACTACCTCGGCAACGCCGGGTACTCACCTGCTTATGGTGCCCGGCCGCTATCTCGTCTCATTGAGAAAGAGGTGCTCAACCGGCTCGCCGTGCTCATTCTGAAGGGCAACATACAAAACGGCGAGTCTGCTCGTGTTGAGCTGATTGACAACAAGATTACTGTCCTTCCAAACCACGGCGACAGCTCAGACTCAGAAGAGATGTCCGTGGATGAAGAAGAGGATGCAGTGGATGAGATTGTCGGTGATGACATGGATGAGGACATCTATGACTAAGTTGATTGCTTTCAAGAGCAAGAAGTGGTGGATGGGAATGGCAAGCAAAAGCGGATGCTTTGGGATTGTTTATGAGCATGATGAGCAATGATGAATGGCGGATCCTGCAGCCAGTCTTATGGGAATGGAAGGGGCTGATAAAAATGTTACGGCGTCAGGAGCTCTGTTTATTGTACTTAGAACTTGTCTGGGATAATTAATGTAGTAGCGCTTACTTAATACTTGGACCACAATCTTCAGTGACTGAGAGATTGTTCGGCTCAATCTTCTAGCACAGATTGAGTCTTTGACTGCATCACACAATGCTCCAACTTCAAATATGCTGACCCAGGTCGCCTACGGAAATTTCTCCGAAAGTAACACTCCGCAAGATAGTCTTCTAGTAGAGAGGATAATCATCTCGCCAGATCTACTTCCACGGGATCAAGTCTCGTAGTGTGCTATCGTGTGTGCCTGGCTCTGCTCAACTGTTGCACCTGGAGCGCAAGCAGCCTTTGCACTGTAACAAGTTCCTTCAACGTTGAGATACAGCCTTTTGGACTTGGGATTGAATCTCGTCAGTCCCCTGGGCTGGTATTTCAAATGTACTCGCAGATTCCAGCTATGCCTAGGGACATCTTTCACAGGTTAGCATCGGATAAACGGGAGAAACAAATTGAAAGGATATGCAGGCATTACTGGTGTGAGTCCCATGCTAAGTCTAGCATTTGGCACTCTCGTCCTCAGAAGCAAAGCATACACAACACAGTAGTGAAAATCCTTTGTTATCACAGCGCATAAATACATTGGATAGCCATGAAGCTAATTCTTCATTCAATCGCGGCAATACCCGCGTCACGAAGCTGATCATCGCGGTTCTGCTATGCCTTTAAGAGGCCCTACAGTCTGGCGGCAGCCCTTTCCCCCTGGACCGGCTGCCTCAGATAAAGTGTGCCTTCTCCGACAGACTCTGCCTCGTTTCGATCATCTATGTTGAATCCTTGAAACATCTCGAATGCGAGGCACTGGACCTCGTCGGACAGGGACAGACATGCCATGTCCTCGACTAGAGATCTCCCGACACTCAAGATGAGATGAAATGGCTGAGCTCGTTAGGGGGAAACAACGTGTTGGCCAAGGACCTTCACAAGGGTGACCCCACATTGTGCTACCGCCTCTGAAGGGAGTCTAGTGACCTCGCCATACAGACACTCAGGCTTTGTGGGTGAGTCCGGCTCGAGTGACTCTGCCTCTTCAGTTATGCTGTCCATAGTCACAAACCAGACATGGTGTCGTCAGGTGGATGATCACTTGAAGATCATCGGTGGCCAACTTCTAGCCCCACCTGCTCTCCTCCCTCTCAGCCTCGCTCTTCTTCAGCCTGGCCTCGTCATCCTCATCCACGACCTGGCCGCCTCTGCGGAGCCGGCTCCTCTTCGAGTCGGACCCGCCGCCGGCGTCCTCGGCGCTGCGTCGCTTCAGCCCCGTAAACTGCGCAAGCCGTTGGGTCTCCTTCAGCAAGCGCTCGCGGTTGCGCCGCTCGCGCTCTGCTGCGTGGGGGTCGAGCCCGGACGGTTTGGACGTCGACGCCGACGAGGACCGCCGGCTGTCCCTTCCCTTGTCCCTGTCCCTGTCCCTGTCCCTGTCCCTGTCCCTGTCTGCGGCGGGGCCGGAGGGAGGCTGCTTGGTGGTGGACGAGGATGTGCTGCTCGAGTTCTTGGCAGAGGCGCCCCTGATCTCGAAGCCTTTCGGCGCGTTGAAGATGGAGAAGTTCTTGGATATGCTGCCTCTGGGGCCGGTAGGGGGGTTGAATGGCTTCACGTCCTCTGCAGGCTCTGTCGGGGTTGGTGGCTCGGCGGTGGACCGCTTGCTGTGCCGCTTCTCGCGCTCCTTGTCGCGGTCGCGGTCGCGGTCGCGCCTTCGCTCCCTGTCTTTATCCTTCTCCCGGTCTCTGTCCCGATCAGATCGGTCAGACCGGTCGTGGTCGCGGTCCCTCTCTCTGTCTCTGTCTCGGTGTGATGAGCGGTGGTTGGACCTTCGCTTGTGATCCCGGTCATCATCGGTGAAATCCCGCTCGCGGTCTCGGTCCTTCTCACGGTCCCTGTCCCGATCCCGTCGTTTCTCGGAGTCTCGCTCTTTGCGACTGCTGCGGTGACTTGCCTTGCGCGATCCAGTAGGTGAGGCAGATCTCGACCGGTCACCGTATTTCTCGTCCCTGGAAGATCGTGACTTTCGTTCCTCATCTTCATCCAGATGTCTCTTACTGCTGCGGTGGCGATGGCGTCGCTCCCTGTCGTAGTCTCGCTCGCCATCTGAGGCGGAATGGTCCCGTCGACTCTTACGCTTGCGGTCCCGGCGCTCACCACTGCGGCTGCGCTCGGGAGCTGCTGACTCCGAGCGATCGCGGTCTTTACCATGACGGTCCCGGTGACGACTTCTGTCCCGCTCCTGGTCACGGCTGGCCTTGCTTCTGCTAGTGCTTCGCTCACGCTGGTGCTCTGAATCTCCCTTTCGCGGAGAACTACTCCGCGACCTATGATGCTCACGTTCATCGTCAACTGGAGTACCAGTGCCATTCGCTGGGGTACTCGGGCTTTGGACCCTGTTGAAGGTCTCGTCACCAGGAATTTGGTATCCTCTGGCACGTAAGTTAAGCAGGCTGGTGTTTGGCAGACCCTGGCGCATAGCTTTTGGTCCCTTGGGTGCATTCAGAGGTACGTCAGGCACAGGGGCAGCTGGAGGTGGCATTACCCCAAAGCTTCCACCGCGAGGATGATTGACGCCAAAGGGCGGTCCTGAACCTGGTCTTATACTTAGGTCTGCAGGTACAAAATTACCACCAGCACTTCCACCTGAAGCTGCTTGATCTGCGTTGTAGGTCTGACCAGACCCGGCCGCATTGTCTGGTCCTGCACCTGGAGCTTCTGACTTAGCGTTGCCGTCTCCATTCTCGTTCACCGACCCGGTCTTGTCGGCATCTTGCACATCATCCTGATTCGATTCGGGACGGATGGTACGGCCAAACTCGTCGACACTCTTGTCTCCCTCGCCTTCACCAGATGATACGTTGGGAAGCGGCTGAGGACCATTTGGGTCCTTGTCCATCATGTTTGAGCCATCTTGCTGATTCATGTAGTTCTGGCCCTGGTAATTTCCTTGTTGCCCATAACCAAAGCCACCACGGCCAAAGTTATTGAAGTTTCCGCGGCCACGGAATCCACGACCGCCTCGATAAAAGCCTCTCCCGCGATAGGCATTGAATTGGTTGTGAGGGCCAAAATTACCTTGATTGTATCCTGTTTGGTAGCCAGAGTTAAAGTCTCCATAATCACCGTTACCCATGCCAGAAGCATTTGGATGATTGTAATTATTCTGGCCGTTATTCCACGTTTGCGGTCCGTTCCAGTTACCATCGGCGCCCATGCTACCATTGAACCCTCCCATGCTGCCGTTCATCATGCTCATGTCCATGCCTGGTCCGAAGCCATTGCTCATCTGGTACATGTTCATCATCGAGGGGTCCATGCCCATGCCTGGCATTCCTTGATGACTTGTCAGCTTAGGCCTCTGTTGATACAGGAATGATATCACTTACCCATCATAGGGAACCCGCCGAAGTTGGGCGCCATTCCATTCTGCATGGCCATCATCATCTGCATTTGATTGAAGTCACCGCCGAAGTTCATGTTGGGGAACGATCCGTTCATGCCACCACCAAAGCCGAGGCCATTGGGGAAGTTCTGTTGGTTGTTGTCTTTATTATTCTCATCGCCATCTGCATCTTCTGGGGCTGCCTCGGCATCTCCCTGGTCCTCATTTGATTCGTTCTGCTCTTCCGTTTTGTTATCTTCCGGATTTTCAGCCTCCCCCGACACTTGCTCGCCTGATGGCTCATTCTGTAGCGAAGTTAGTACAAAACAGGTGTGTAACAAGCAGAATTTATGCGAACCTCAATTTCAGCAGTAGACACATGGTCCGCGTTCGTACCCGTGGCTTCGAGAGCGGCATTCTGCTCGGTCACAGGGCCATCCGCTTGAGCCTGCTGTTCGCCTTCTTGCTGTGTCTCCTGGGTGACGGGTGCAGTCGTTACATCCGCACTGCTGTCTTCAACTGATGGCTTATCATCAGATACGGTCGGTGTCGGTGCAGGCTTGGGATCGACGGGCGTCATCGGCGTAGACTCCTTGGCCTGAGAGCTGTCTCGTTTCTTCTCGGCAGTTTTCAGAAAGGCCTTGGTCGTCATTCGGAGGGCTTTGTTGGGCTTGCAGTCGTCGGCCGACATTGGGGTATGCTCGCAGACGGGACATGTCGATCGAAGGGCCAATTTGCCTGTTCTTGTCAGCGGGCTTTAAACCTCATCCTGAAAACTTCGGGGTGCTTACAGTTCTCGCAAATCATCTGCTCACAGCAGGGGGTCCTGAAGGCATTCACAGCCAGTTTGCTGCAGATAGCGCAGCGTAACTTGATTGGGACTTCATCCTGAGGCAACGAGCTGGAGTAATTGATTGTCAGCTTCTGCTTCGGGCGAGGTGCCTAAAGAACATGAACATACCTGATAAGCTCAGCCAGAGCAGGCGTCACCGTCACGTAGGCTGCCGCCATGATTCGCGACTAGAAGGACCAAGGTGGTAGATTTGCTCGCATGCGCAAAGCGAGCTGACGGCGCGGTGACAAGACGCCGACTGGTGGTTATATCGTTGCACAGGAGTGCTCCATCTGCGAATGATTGTGGCTTCGTCGCCGTATCAATTGAGCAGGTGACGATGGCACGTAGTCTGTGGGGTATTGAGTAGAGATAAAGCGTGCCCTGTCGAATACCGCGGTAGCGATGCATCGCGCGCGTCTCGAAAAATTGAAGAGGTCGCAAAGTGGACACCTGGGAGAGCTGGTCTGTGCGCAGGGCCATTCCGCTTCCCCCACCTATCGTTATCGCCTCCAACAAGCTCGGGAGACCGTTTGCCATCCGCCCAAGGCCCCTGGCCGCCCTCTCACGATCGGGACGGGGTCCAGTCGATTGCATCAAGACATATGTGGTCGGTATTGGTATCCATGAGCATCAGCAGCTGAGAAGGATTCATTAGAGGAAAAGCAGTAGTTACATTCGCTACTTGACTGCATTGACGGGAATGTGCTAAACGCAAGACGTATTACGCCCAAGTGACCTGCCCTCGAGACTTGATCTATCACCCCAAATACCAGACATCCTTTGAAAGGAAGAAAATGCAATGCTTGATTGAGAATCTTCACCTTGATAGCCACCCTAAACCTCCCTCAGCCTCAGCACGCGCAACCCTCCTTGCCCGCCTGGTCACGTGGACCAGTCAAGTTGACTCGCTGCTCCTCACCTCCCCTACCAGCCGCCTGAGATGCACCCTGGCCTCTGGCGCTCTTCAGTGACGTCTCCGGAATGGCATTTGCGATGGCCGTAAACACCTCCGTGACGTTCGTGCCGGTCTTAGCACTGGTCTCGAAAAACAACAGCCCCTCCTCCTCCGCATACGCCTTGGCCTCCTCAGTCGAGACCTTCCGAGCATCACCGGAATCGTCGGCATCATCGCCACCCGACGCTGCCTCGCCACCAGCGCCGCTCTCGCCGGAGGCATCATTTGTGAGATCCAGCTTGTTGCCCACCAGCGCAATCACGATGCCGGGGGACGCCTGTCGCTGCAGTTCTGCTACCCAGTGCTTGGCCTTGATGAGGGATGTGGGCTTGGTGAGATCGTAGACGACGAGAGCGGCTTGGGCGTTACGGTAGTACATGGGCGCCAGGGACGCGAACCTCTCCTGGCCGGCTGTGTCCCAGATCTCAAACTTGATGGTTCTCGTGGGCAGGTTGCATTTTTGGGTAAGGAAGGCGGCGCCGATCGTGGGCTCCTTGTTTTCTTGGAAGTCGTTGTTCACAAAACGAAGGACGAGCGATGACTTTCCGACAGCCTGAGGGTTGAAGAATGTGTCAGTTGGATATCCTCATCATGGTTGGGCTGTACAGGGCGGTGTCTTCTCACAGCTTCGCCTAGAAGCACCAGCTTGACGCTGCTAGAGGGCTTCGGCGCATTGGAGTCCGCCATCGCGAATCAATCGGACGTTGCTGGGTTATCTTCTTGAGTTCCAGAACAATTTGGAAGCGAAACGTGTAAGGTCAAGAGCGAGATTTAGATGAGGTTGATCGGCGTCGGTGTCGGTGTCGGTGAATGGGTTTGGTCGTTCGAAGGCAACCCGACAAACAACCCACATGCGTCAAAGAGGTGCCTGTTCAACGGTTGGCGAGAGTGACCAGGCGAGTGAGTGAGTGACGTTAGCGGGTGCTTGGGGCAGTGCAAGTGCGGCCCTGGCAGCAGGGATTCTTGGTTGTCTCAGCCCCCACCTAGCTTACCGTAGCAAGGTCGACTGACCCAGCGGCTTATCTTATCACGGATCCTTGCCAAAAAGTTCAGTCGCTATTCTGCTTTTTTACCTGCCTTTTCCCGTTTGCACACTTGAGGCATTGAAGTGAGTTGGCGCCACGAATCGCAATTGGCGACTCAGAGGTCGACAACGAGCCAATATAGAAGTATTCCAAGACGACCAGTTGTCCACTTCTGGAGACTTCAGTCAGCATGGCAAGAAAGAACCTCTTCGATGAGGCCGACTCGGGGAGTGAGGGCGTCCCGGACAACGCAGGCGGCGAAGGCCTGAAGATCAATGAGGAGTACGCGCAACGATTTGAGCATAACAAGAAGCGAGAGGAGAGACAAAGACGTAAGTAACATGCCACCAAAATTGCCTGCCAGACACCGCAAATGATCGACGTCGCGCGCAACCAGCCCCCTTTTCAAGATTGGGATACCAACGTTGTGGTTCTATTCTCTCTGCGCTCACTCTTGTCTCCTCCAGACTCTCTGTGAGGCAGACGCTATATGCGTGGTACATACGCCAACTGCTAACGACAAAAAGTTGAGGAAAAGTCTAAGACTCGAGCGGCAAATGGCGAAGACGACGACTCCGATTCAGACTCCTCAGACGATGAGACAGAAGACGAGGACGGCTTTCTGGCGACCGAACAGCTCGATGCTGAGATTTCCGCCACCTTGCAAGCTATCAAGAATAAAGATCCTAGGATTTACGACCAAAACGTCAAATTCATTACGGCATTGGATGACGATGGCGCAGCTCCAAAAGAAAAGAAGGAGAAGCCGATGTATCTTCGCGACTACCACCGAGAGCGCTACATGGCTGGAGACACCGGAGCAGACGAGGAGGAGACCGATCAACCAAGAACTTTCGCGCAGGAGCAGGCGGATCTGAAAAAAGACATTCTGGCAGAGATCAATGCAGCGGATGGGGACGACTCGGATGATGGCGAGGACTTCATCAAGGCAAAGCCTAGCGAGACCGCTGCTACAGAGAACGGTATTCACCCCTCAAGGAAGGAGAAGGTAAAACCTGCCGAGGTTGATGTCTCTCTTGCCGACAAGGACCCAGAGCTGTTTTTGTCAAATTTCATGGCCTCAAGAGCATGGATTCCTGGAAGCAGCTCGAAGTGGGAAGCATTCGAGTCAGACGATGGAGAGGGTAACGACGATGCAGACGAGTGGGAGGCGGCTTACAACCTCCGATTCGAAGACCCTGCGAAGAGCAACGAGGTCCTGCAGTCATACTCGCGAAAAGTCGTGGAGGCGCGATCTGTGCGCCGAGACGAGCTTAAGGGACGGAAGAAGCAACGAGAGCTCGAGAAGGCGCGCAAGGAAGAGGAAAAGCGCATACGGCACGAGGAGCGTGCCCGGCTAAAGCGCCTCAAAATCGAGGAGGCAGAGAACAAATTGAAGAAGATCAAGAAAGCCGCTGGCCTGAGTGGCAAGGATCTAGGTGAAGAGGAGCTTATGAAGCTCCTGGACGGTTCTTGGGATAATGACAAGTGGGAGGAAGAGATGAACAAGCGGTTTGGCGAACAGTACTACGCAGAGGCAGAGGAGGTGGTGTCAGAGTCAGAAGCAGAGGGCTTCGGGAATTCGAAGAAGAAGCCGAAGAAGCCCAAGTGGGATGACGATATAGACATCAAGGACATCATTCCAGACTTCGAGGACGATGAGGCCAAACCAGACATTAGCCTCGATGACGATCTGGCTGGAGGTGAGGCAGCTGACGATGGCGAAGACCTGTCCGATGACGACGGGCACCCCTCAAAGAAACGCAAAACGACCAAAGAGCACAAAGCGGAACGCCAGGCCAGCAAGCAAGCCGCCCGGAAAGAGCGCTCCAAGATCGAAGCCCTGGTCGAGCACAAGATGGAGCTCGACGACCCGACCGTGCTGGCTCTCTCCAAGAAGAACAAAAAGACGGACGGCGCGGAGACCGCAAGCTTCCGGTATCGTGAGACCAGCCCCCAGTCTTTCGGCCTCACTGCGCGAGACATCCTCCTCGCGCCGTCGGACGCGGCGCTCAACGAATTCGCCGGCCTCAAGAAGCTGGCAACGTGGCGGAACCCGGAGAAGAAAAAGAAGGACCGCAAGAACCTGGGCAAGAAGGCCAGGCTCAGGGAGTGGAGGAGGGAGGTGTTTGGCCGTGAGTATGAGCACACCGGCCCTACATTTGGATTCGGCGACACCAATGATGACCAGGCGGATGCCGCGGTGAATGAGAAGGCCAAGGACTTCGACAGCAGCGCTGCCGCCGGGTCCAAGAAGAAGAGGAAGAGGTCCAAGGGCAAGAAGAAGGACTCCGTCGCCGCGTAGGCGCCTGGTGCAATTTCTGTAATACACCTTCCGACTCCTCTGCATACTCGGTAGAAAGTTGTAGCCTTCAATTTCATGGATACCTTTAAATCTCGGCTCAACGAGGCGCCCCAATTCAGTTCATGTATTGTGGATGGATATGCGTAATGAGCCGCCTGGTCCCTTCACCCGCTCGAAATAAGCCCTCAATCCCCCATCAAGTGCCTGGAAGTCCTGCCACCTGAGCCAAGCTACCGGGTAAGCGGCAAGAATACTTTCTTCCAGCATCCGTCTCGTTTGAAATTCATTTCCAAGTTATTACCAACAGGGCAATACAACACTCCGTAGCAGTTGACGTCAATTCAATAGAAGACCCGCCAGAACTGATATCGCAAAGATAACAGCAGTATCAAAGTTTGGTGCGACTAAATGGATTTCAGTCAACCCAGGCGACCAACAGCTCACACAAGGGCCCACGAGATTGGTTTATCGCACGGTTGTCTATTAGCCTGTACAATCTTCCCAAGTACAGTGTAATGATGCTGCACATTGACGGGTCTGGCGTGTGCCCATCTACGTCCCCCATCCTCCCTGTTCCCTCGGCCCTTCTTGGTATACTACTGAGCGAGTGATTTCCAGGCGCCTTAGCCCGCTCCAAGTTTCCAAACACCGTAACCCCATATACATTAAGTTTGTCTCCCAAAAGCCCGACGCCGTAGATGCTACAACCGTGTTCAACCAGGTCGTCTAACGATCATCCCCGTGCCACGGACATCTCCTCCGCCTTTCTCACCATGACCAATCATTATCCTGGCATCTAGACGGTCATATCCCGCCAGTTCATGGATTGTCAATGGCCCCCGCCCATCCCGGAGCCGTGCCCTCCGGCGCCTGAGCCAAACATGCTCCCGAACCCGTCGATCGCAGACGCCAGGCCGACATCGCCCACCTCGGTCGAGTTGAACGGCATGAACCAGGCTGCCGACCCGCCGTCGTGCCCGTGCCCGAAGACGGTGTGGTGCGGGTTGTTGTGCGGGCCGTCCGCCGAACCGCGGGATGCCTCCCTGCCGCCACCGTTGTTGTTGTCGGCACCGTCCCAGCCGGGCAACCCGTCCATCATGGCCGCCGTCGCTGTGGGGTCCAGCCCCGCAGAGACATACGACGGCCCCAGCATCGAGTGCGGGAGCATGCCGTTCTGCGCGAGCTGCAGCGAGAGCATGTCGTGGCCGTACATCCCGTGGTGACCGCCGCCGCCGCCAAACTGCCCGTGGCCGACCGTGACCGGGCTGATGGGCGAGATGGTGCCGTGGTACGCGGCCGAGTGTGGCGCGGCGCTGAGGGCGGAGAAGCTCGCCGCACGACTCGTCTGGCCGCCCAGGGCGGCGCCCGGGTAGCGACCCTGCTGCTGCAGGCGATGCAGCTGGTCCGCGTTCATGTCCGTCATCAGCGGTTCCAGGCCGTGGGCTGTTCCGTGGGGGTCGCTGCGAGCAGAGCTTATGCTGTGCCTCTTCGCCGCAAGGGCCTTTGCCTTTTTCATGGACATCGAGTTTGAACGTGCTCCCGCTTCCTTGGTCTGCGGTGACAAGGTCGTGAAGAACTCCTCCACAGTGTGCAGCTCGGGCTTCTGCTCCAGGACGGCGTCCTCGCCCTTCTCTTTCTTCTTGTAGATGGCCGGGTCGACGAAATCGGACTGTGATACGCCGTGTGGGTATCGATCAAACCAGTCTCCGTACTGGAAGATGGGAGATGACGATGCGTCGCCTGGCAGGGTGCCGCGCCGTGCCGCGTCGGCACAGTTGCGGTATTGATCCCTCAGGTTCTCTGTCATGAAGTGGAACATCCCCCAGAAGCGCTTCATCTTCGAAAGTGATTTGATGTTGATTGCCAAGTTCCTCTTTGAGGTCGCTTCGATGGTGGGATTGCCGGAGAATATGCCGAATATGTGTACTGTGCTGGACAGGAATGCGCAGTAGCCCACGAAAGGTGCAGTGATGAAGCAGGACTCGGAGTCCTTGAGGAGCTCGGAGATGCGATTCGCTGCGCAAAAGGCCTTCGCACCGGCCTTGGTGACGAAGGATTTGGGTATGTCCTGGAGAGAATTCGCGTTTGGTGAAGAAACCGCAAACCGACTGAGGAATAGTATATTTTGCTGGATGGCAATGTGGAGGAAGAGGAATTGGTTCGCCATGCCTTCTGTGTCATGTAAGTGGAGATTATCAGGATTGTATACCAGCGACTCGGGCAATGACGTTGCCATGTCCTCCGCTTGCTTGATGAGCTTCATGTACTCGGAATCGGGATCCCACATGGGCTTGTCATCCAGGTCCTTCCCGCCCTGGTTGAGATAGTTTATCACACGGCCCCAGATTGCTACCGCCTTGATCATGTACGCGGCTACGCCCATGTTGTTCTTGGCGTCTTCTTTCTCCATGCCTTCCAAAGCGGCACTGTTAGGAACCTCGCCTTGCAGGTTCTCTGTCAAACCTGGCATGTCTTCGAACTGGAAGTTCTTCTCCTTGATTGGTAGCGGAATCCTCAATGTTTCCTCTTTGATAAAAGTCGGCCGGTCAGTCCCGGATGAATTGAACCTGTCCATGAGGAAGCACGCCCACATGGTCCTCCTGCGAATCTCGCGATCTGTGAAGCTAAGCCGGGTACCGGGTCTCAAAGGATCATATTCGAGATCCTTGTGTAATTGAAGAGCAAATGCCATTCTTATTGCTTGCCCCGCGAGGGCCCAACTGCGCCCTCCGTGGCATGTAGCAAATTCATGCAATCCCAATATAAGAAGGCACGTGAGGATGGTTATATTGGGCCACTCGTATCTTTTTGTGACGATGTCTCGAGCAGCGGCAGCCCACTCCTCGCCTCGCAAGAAGGCTGGCGAAGTGTTCAATTTAGGATGGTTCGAGAATCGAGCGGACATGGCGCATACGGAGAGGATGAGAACAGGCGGTAAGGTGCCAGCCCTAGAAGACTGTCAGCGTGTTCCGATAGCTTTGAATATGATGGGGAGCAACACCTACCTCAACTTCCTCATGTAGCTTGGTTTGTGAAGTATGTGATATGCTTGCCCATAGACACTCTCAAAGAACACGTCTGCGAGATGCTCTTGGATCTCCCTGGATGGCAAAGACTGTACTCCCTCCTGCAACAGCTTCGTCTCCTCAGATTCGTGCACCATCATCAAAGAAGTTGGCCTTGGCGGGCTTTCGAGGCTCGGTTTCGTGGGTACTTTGGCCCAATTGTCCAAGTCCTGCCCGAAAGCCTCCTCGGCACCACGTTTTCTGGAATTTCCCTTGCCTGAAGATAGAGTGCCGGGAATTGCAGGTTTTACTACTGCGCGCGGGACAGCGGACGAGATGCCGTCCTGCTCGTTCTTTGGGACAATCTTGATGATGCGCTCCTCCATTCTCTTCAGTCGCTTGTCGAGCATGGCCATATAATCAGTCCGAGGCGCGGCCTTCCGGGCTGTAACCTTGTACACACACGGTATCCGAGAGCGGAGACAGTGTTTGCAGGCGGGCTTCTCACCCGAGCAGCGTATCTTTTTCCTCCTGCAAGCGATGCATGCTAGAGGCAACCTCTTGCGCTCCTTGCCAGCTTTGGTTTTTAACTCACTCCACGCCGGAGCGGTGTCAGATTTGTCGTCCTTATGTTTGGCGCCCAAGTCAGTCCCATCACCCGGTCCTAGCGAAGTCAAGCCGAACTCATCCGACACTGGGTCCTCCAATGAGTGACCATTGTGGTTGGCATCTGGGCTCCCATCATCAGATCCGTCCACGCTTGATCTTCCTCGATTGGAATCAGCGGTCCCGAAGTAGGGAGCGTGGGCTGTGATTGACGGCGCTGTCACTTGAGTGTCTGCCATGGTTGAGGAGATGGACTGGCGCTGTCGATTGGCAAACAAGCCGGGGGCATGTTCCTCTGAGACAGCAGAACTAATGGATGAGCGTTCTCTTAGGCCCTGGTAGGTAGAAAAAGCGAAGTCTTGGGTGAAAAGGGCAGTGTCCGCGAAGCCTTGTTGGTGGGACGTCGCGTGAACAGAGTTGTCGTAATGAGAACGGTTTAGAGAGTAGGCGTGTAAGTTTGAGTCGGGTTCGGGTCCAATACCTCTATGGAAAAGGTCGGGACGCAAATCAGCAGGGAGGGCCTTGATATTGAAGTGGGATTGAGCCGCTGACATGGCTATTGCTAATGCAGAGAGCTTGGGTCAAAAGCAGCAAGTGATCATCGACGGCGCCTTTTGGTAGTTCTGGTCTAGAAGCAAACAGGCACAGGGTGCTGAGGGGCAGGGCGGGCAGGGCGGGCAGGGTCAGGCTCGAGTCGGGAACTCCTCGGAGTCCAATTTTGAATTCAGATCTTGGGGCGGGTTGGCGATGAAGGTCAGGATCAAGGCGTCTCCAACAGCGAGCTTTCTTTAAGTTTTAGAGCGGGACGGGGCCACTCTTCTCCAACTGATGGTCCGACAATTAGCCTTGCCTTCTTGGTTATCCGTCAGTTTGTGTGGTGTATTCTGCAGCTGGTGTTGGAGAGAACGATGACGACGGCGATATTGCAGGTGAGGGGGAGCAAAGCAGACAGTTCACCAGAGCACAAGGGCCATGATATGCCTGTCTGCCAGGGTTGCTGAAAAACCACAGGGGTATTTGGTATTTCGGAGCCCAGCTTGATTGATATATGTCAGCCTCCTCACTATATGTGCCCTCCAGCGACCCCAGAGGGGCAGGCGACAATAGCTCGGGCTCGAGATCTGGGTCCGGGGCAGAAGGGTAATAAACAAGGGGATTCAGGCTGTCGGGAGCTCGTCTTGTTTGACTGGCCCGGGCTGGATGGAGTGGGCTGGCTGGTGGTTTTGGCCGGACGGGTTGGCCGTGGGTTTTGAAGAAGAGCGAGCAGAGCTCAGAGAGGAGAGAGAGGCAGCAACAAGACGGGCGGGTGAAATGGGCTGGATCTGGTTGGATCTCTGGCGGAAAAGGTGGGCGCTCCTCCACCTGCACCAGAGGAAGAAGTGTGGATACACCTCGCACACACAGTAGTCAGGGTACGGAAATAGTGTACATACCTCCTGGCGAGGACCAAGATGATTGATTATTATTGAACTCTCTGAAGCTGGGGTTCTCCACTAAACCCGGCTCACAGTATGCAGGCGGACCCGCTCTTCTGCAGTAGCAGCGGAGGCGGCAGGGTGAGAGGCACTAAGTGGAAAGGGTACTACTCTGGCTGTCTGGCTGTATGTGGAACAAGCAGCACTGCGTGGCGCACTGCACGGCGCTGCACTGCACGACAGGGGCCAGGGGTCAGGGGCCAGAGAGTCGTGCGCCTGCGACTTTGTTGGGATGTCGATGCGTGCTAGACCTTGTTCTCCTCCCGTGGTGGAGGACGGAAGAGGGTGTTTTCGGCGGTCAGAGACTGTGGGGTAAATGGAGTCCAACGGTCGTGTGCGCTCCCGTAGCGTGGGCTTGGGAAGACCTCCACTTTAGTCCGAGGATGGATGGGTGGATAAGTGTATGGGTGGATGGACGGGTGGATGGCTGTCTGTATGGTTGGTTGTATGCTTGTGTAATAATGGTCGCGCCGTGGAATGGCGTATGAGCTTTCGAATCACCTCGAATAGATTGCTGGTTGCTGGCTGAGCCCGGATGTGTGTGTGCGTGCCTGTCTGTTTGTCGATGTGTATCACGCATGTGACTCGTTCAAGGTAGGCAGGTTGACTCTGATAAATCGTTGAGGTTCAGACTTGTTTGGCGGGAGCAACGGGATAAAAGAAACTCAGAGAGAGCAGGCAAACAGCTCGGTCGATCACAGCGGTGGGAGGTTCGTCTTTATGGTCCAAGTGCCCCAGATATCTCGAACAGCGTGCCGGTTGTTAGACTAAGGCACCTGTAGGGAACGCGTGCAAGGGACACCGTAAAGGCACATCCAAGCAGCTTTCCAGCTGGCGATAGGCAGGTGAAGCGAAGCGAGGTAAATCTGTTCAAGGTGCAAGGGTGTACGGCTGATATAGTACATAGTACACAATCGATGGTCGAGGATCAGGCCGTGCGTCCACTTGGCTGGGTGCTGGGGAGAGGACCGTCTCCATCCGTATCCATTCATACAGCAATGACACAGGTTCCTCACCAGCCAGGTTGTCGGATGCGAGCCACTAGCCGCGGGAGCGATGCGTGTTTGGCAGGGAGATATTGCCTGTGATAGTTCCCATGGCCAACATGTGCGTACTGCACGCGCGGAGAGGCGGAGTTGTCAAATCAGTGCGCGACTACTGTGGTAGGTCTTAACGACGATGCTAATGCGTGGATGGATCTGATGTTGGGGTTTGGACGCATGCTGAGCTTTAGCACCGCCACCAATCAAGACAAGCAGGGTGCGCAGAGGTGGGGGCGCCCTCATAAGTCAAACCGCTCTGCGTAGGTAGGTATACTTTGTACGTATAGTCAGAACACCCTTTTTTCCTTGCACAGAACTCCCTACCTCCCTCCGTCACTCTGTGTGTCTGTCCGTCCGTCCGTCTGTCTCTGCATGCGTATTCGTGTGTGTAGTGATGTGTAAGTCTTGATCAGCAGAGTCAGCTCCTGTACCGATTCGCCCCGCAGCAATGCGTGCATATGTGTGTGTGTGTGTATGTGTGAAACCGCGGACAAAGTTCTTGTCGCTGCCTCGGCTCGCATCGAATCGACGCGAAATGTTTAGTCTACATATTCGATGCCTTGTTAATTCCATCTCGGGACGAATCTCGAGCCTCATGCTGAGTTGTAGAACTTTAAAATCTTTGCTTGAGCACGAGCCAGGGCGCCGTCCCCGGTAATGAGCCTTGTCAACTCTGGTCGTGATAAGCCAGGATGTGGGCCCGTTGCGCATCGGAAACCAAACCGTTGCGAACCATGGGGCCGGGGGACTGTGCCGGATGCTTTCGCCACCAGGGTCTGCAGTGGCTAGCACGGGGTAGAAGTCAACGGGCCGGAAAAGCCCAACGAGCTGGGGCTCTCGAGAGAAACGTTTCTCATGATCCCAGTGCCAGGATCCGGGCTGGCGGGGCAATCCGATCATCAACCCTCGCAATGACCTGTCTATTGACTGTGTTACACGCAGGTATTTTGGCACAGGCCAAATGCCGGGTTCAGGTCAACGGCGCAGACCTCAGAAAAGAATGACCCGTCGGCTGCTGGGAAACAGCCGGCACCCTCTGCGAAATCGTAGGGCTGGTAGAGACCACAAGTTTCGACAGAACAGATGGCTCTTGTGCACGGTGCCCACCCGATTCCGCAACACAGCCGAACAAACGCCGGTCAGGGCCCTGTCGATGGAGATCACATCCCTCCACGACACCTTACGCAGCGAGCAGCGAGCAAGGCTTGTGAATGTGTTTTGATTGCTGGCAGGAACCTCCACCATCGTGAGTGCGACCAAGATCCTGGGGCCCGAGCAAGGCGGCCAAGGCCGTGAGGTTGCCTGCAGAAATAGCACGAAGTCAAAGTGGTTCGGTTGTGGCCCATAGTTACAAGCTTCCAGGCTTAGCTGTCCTGTCAAGAGGCAGTAGGTGAAGCAACGAGCCGGGGCCAGGGGCCAGAAGCCAGGGACAGGGCCAGGGACAGGGTCTAGCAAGCAGCCTGTCATGCCAGATCACACCAAGATCTCGACAGGAAGCCGAAATGTTAAATGTGATGGGCTGCTGGCTCGCATGGATGGCATGGCATGGCACGCGGCGACAGCCTGGCTGCGCTACCAGGCGGGTAATTACAGTGGGTAGGTTTGGCTCCCACAGCAGCCCGTTGCCCGAACGAGGCAAGTCAACGTCTGTGTGTGCGTGTTGACTTTTTAAGGTTTGTTTGATGGGCTTGTCAAGACCGGGCCTGGCACGACATGCCATTGCTCCTGCCGGGTGCAGAAATGAGATGAGGCGCATTGCTGAGACTGGAGCGAGGAAGAGGGCCGATTGATGACTTGCTTTGATGCCCATGTCGATCATCATGATCGACCATGTCCCAGAGTGTCTCGCGTTCCACGTGGTGCACGGCACGGCGGGCGAGGCTGTGATATGCGGAGAGAGAGAAAGAGACAAAGAGAGTTAGAATTCATTGTGGCGTGGCACCGTGGGTATGTGTGTGTATGTGTGTGTGCGCGCGTGATGTCACAGGGTCCTATGGACCTGCTTGGCCCTCTTGGGGGCGACATCTTCAGTATGCTTGCTCCCTGTCTGGCTGGTGTCTCACAACTCACATCTCACATTCTGACGTGCGATCCATATCGACCTGTCAATCTTGTTGAGCACGTCAGGCTCGGGTGTCAGTAGCTTGAGGGTAGGACTTTGTTGATGACAAAAGACGGGGGGATGAATCAAGCGGGCACTAGAGACGAAAGGTCGTGTCAGATAACGGGCAGGGGACGGGTGTGGCAGAGGACTCTACCGCAGGGTACAAGTCTCTCGCAGCTCGGAGTAATAGTAGATGGGGCGTTGAAAGCTTGCCTACTCTGGATCGTCTGCACGTGCCCACTGGGGGCCAGGCGAGCGTTCAGCAATGGATCTGACCATCTGTTCATCCACAACCCCCCAAGACAGCTCCAGCCTCAGGGCGACCCGTCCCGACTCACCGTCACATCCATCGGGGAACTGACGGGCGTCAGGCGCCGACACGGCTCGCGAGAGGTGTGCGGAGCACAGATAGGGTTTGCGTGATTTGCATTATTCCACCTTGCCGTGCTGCCTCGCTGCGCAGCGGGTGTGCTTCACCTGAACTCCCCCAAAGCGTGTATGGTCGTGGTATGTCATGGCCGAGCTTCGTCATGTTAGCATCAGTAAGCAACCGGGCGTCGAACACTTTGCGAGGTTCTAGAAGCAATGGGCTCCCGTCGATCCTGCAAGAGACAGACTCAGATAGACAGATAGACAGACAATCAAAAACAAGCAAGTCGTCATGATCAGCAGCACTACGAGTCTGCGACGTGCACCGATTTGCTCGTCGAAGGTCTGGCTCAGCCTTCAGCCTGCAGCCAGAGGGCACTTTTCCTCAAAGGGCCCCCTGCACCTGCACCTGCTGCACTTACACCTGCACTTGCATCGTCTGCACCTGCCCGCACCTGCCTGCACCTGTCTCTGACTGCAGCCACAGGGGAGGCAGGAGTGGCAGGGAGGCAGGGAGGCAGGGAGGCAGGGAGGCCAGGTGCAGACAGGGGAGGAAGCTGCAGCTTGCAGATGGGAAACTGCAACTTTGTTGGCCGTTCCCGCTTTTTAAGCTTTCGGCCGGACCAACTCCCCCAAGCACCTCCCAATCCAGTCATGCGTCCCATCGCAGTTGCACTTGACAAATTGCTTCGTCAGCGTCCCCGACCATCATCGACCATCACTCCCCAGCACCCTCGGGGGGAATTGGATGCTGGCTCATGGGAATCTTCACCGACGTGACCGACGTGACCGACGACGTGACAGCCATCCTGGCCTCACCTTGGCACGGATGACGTCCCATCCATCCTGCCCCTGCCGCCGACACCATCGCTGCAGCGTCACAATTCCAGCATTCACTTACAAGCTCATCCTTGACTCCCAATTGGGAGCCTTGTTTCAGCCCTTTTCTCTTCCGCAACCACACCCACGCATATACAGTACACGCATACACACACCACACACACGCAGATCTCCCCGCTTGCTTGCTTGCTTGCTTGCCTGTCTGCCTGCTTGTCTCCTGCTGCTCATCTGGTCTACAAGCAACAGTCATGCAAGTCCGTTGCGTCGCGTGGCATTGCGTGAGCCAGACAGCCGCTAGCCATCATCCGTTGCAGCGCTCATCCATGGCATTGGCTGCTGGGGCGTGCTGGGATGTTGGGAAACTAACCTGTCCTCCCGGCTTGCTCCCAGGTTCGCAAGGCTTGACCTCATTCGGCCACCACCCTCCAATTCCAAGCCGCCCTACGTTTGTCGCCAACACTAGCTGCCACTCCCGGGCCAGCCTCGTGGGCTCAGGGTTCAGGCCCGCGTCGTCTTCAGGAGACACCAGGCCGGACCTGGGCCTAAGACTCTGATCTGCAATCTCCTGTCTGTATCAAGGCTCCTTGCTTGCTGCGGCGGAAAGCCACTTTGTTATTGCCTACGCCGAGACAAGACACGACACGACACGACACGACACGACACGATACTGTCTTCGCTTGACTCTCATGCTGTGTCCCTTACACATGACACAGCCTGGACTCCCGGGTGCATCTCATGCGGTCCGGACAGCATGGCATAACAAGCTTGGGAACCTCTCCCGAACGCCCCCAATCTGATGAACAGGAGGCTCTTGCACTCGGGCCATCGGCCAAACGGACTTTCTGACAAGTCCTTATGAACCTGGTTGCCGGGTATCCTTACCCCTGCTTCACCGCTCACTGTGCTGTACGAGATTAGCTGATCAGGTGAGTGAGCATCTGGCAGGATCCCAACATGGCCGAGATCACACAAGGTGCTCCGACCAGCCGATGGGCAGTCCAAAAGTCTGTCAACACACCAACCACCATGTGCTGTACCCCTGTTGGTCGTGCCAAGCTCAGAACACACCAACCTTCGGCGTTACTGTACGATGAGACTTCATCTGATACTTCTTACCTGAGCCGCAGGATGCTACGCTTGCTGCTGTCAGCCGCCCCAGTACAAGGTTCGGATGGGACAGTTCGCATTACAATGCTGACTCCTGCCAGGAAGCGGCGGCTCGGTCCAGGCAAGCGATGAGCCACGTAGCAACTGGGAGCCAGCGCGCGCGCGCGCGTCTCTCGTCCAGAACTTCAGGTGTTTTTTTCTGTCACACCGCAGCTGCAGCGCTCAAAGTGCAAACTGCAGAGGGCTCAGCCTTTCCAAGCGAGAGCAGAAGGCGAGCTGCGTCGCATCATTTGCGCTCAGCATCACACAGCATGATCCTAGTCAGCATCAGATTCAACATCAGAACCCGCAGAAGGACGCAATACCCGAGACCAGGACTGAGACCAGGCCGAATGACTGGCAGAAAGGCTTTCGAACATGTAGGATCCTTCTGGCGCACGACATGTCCGCCACACAACACTTGACGGTCGATCACCTGCAAGCCACTGATCATGCTACACAAGGAGGAACCAACCGAGCCAGTCACGTCAGACCTCTAGGTGATATTGTGAGCGAAAATCTGTTATGAGAAATACATGACCAGGCCACGACCCGGGCCGCAGTCACTGCCTCATAAGACGCCTTGTATAACTTGATTATTTGCGAAGCAGGGTGATACATTTCAGGGTCGAACTCTTGCTCACATTGGAGCTGAAGACGTCCGTTGAGATGCAAGGCCATCCGTAAACGCCGGGCATGCGGACGATCTTCAACTGTGACCGGTTACACGGGAACGAGTGTTTCCGAATATGCAGGACTCATTAACCTCATAGCTCTCAGGGGAGCCCAGCCTCTTTGCTCACGTACAGGGACAAGAAAGATTGGAACTTACTCACCTAAATTCAGAACGGTAAAACCACGCGAACAGTGGCAAGATTCACAATGATCCGCGGCATCGTCAGCAAATCAGTGTGAGATTGCTGCCCCATGCCCCTCAAACCGGCAAGATCTGTTCCAAATAAACTTTGGCATCCCTGATGATGCATCTCCGGCCTGGACCATCGTCCCAACTCCCACTTCACCGTGCTCACATTTAAGCACTACACATCCAGCACGGACGGGGGCTCCACCACAGCATCGAGACGTAGGGGAACGCATGCCATCTAATGAATCTGGGCGCAACGAAACCGTTGCGTCTTGGCAAGCCGCGAAGCTCCCGGGCACAGCGCACACTTGCAGGGCCCCCAATCTGCTCTGTCGTCCAATCTTTCATGATTCCCTAATATGACCTGCAGGTTTTGCATTGATAAGCCCCTAACCTCGAGGGCCACGAGATTCGCCTTTGTGAGCAATACGGGCGATCAGACCCCAAGACGAACACCCCTTGATCGCCCTCAATGTGGATCGACCTCGCAATTCCCAAAGATACGACTGGTTCTTCAGCTACCCGACGCCAGCAACGGGTGGCTGTAACGTTCCAAGGTGGTACGGAATACTTCAATGGCTAATTGTCGTAATTCTGGTGACCTTGTTCCCCCACATGTGTGGCCCCTCCACTCGTTGAAGCTCTATGGTCCTTGTCTTGCTATCCATCCGTCCGTTGTCTGGCAGTCTCGCTACCGGGTTACGTATCGCGCCGCCAACCATTGACCCGCTCGATGCGACCTGGCGTGTGATTCTTTATTACGCCCTCACTCATGTGCCCTGCCTCAGAAAGTCGTACTAGTGTACAATAAGCATCTAGCTTCACTTTAGGTGGGGGCTCACCGCAAACAGAGAGCAGGACTTCGTGAAGGGAACGAAGACTGGATCTCGACGCCCACGTATCTCAAAAGCTATACCGCAGGGCAGGTCAAACTAGAGTAAACCGGTTCATTCTTTAGACGTACAGCACACCCATCATTTGTCATTTCTTCTCGTCTTCAACCGGGGCTGGGAATCGAATAACATGTTCTGGTATGGACTAGGATGTATTATTCCGTAGGGGAAATTGAATTGCCAAGTAGACTGAACTGGCACTAGTTCCCTCCCCAAAGCGGTAATATGGCGACAAATCCCGCTACGGGCCCTTCCTGGCTTGCAAGTATATCACAGGTACATACATAGCAACTTGTGGTAACAATAATAAGAGCAAGAACAAGAAGAGAGGCAAGCGTTTTTGATGCCCAAGTGGGTCGATCTCCAAAGCTCGTCGTCCCTAATCCAGAAGAGCCTTGCTCTAATCTCTCACCGAGGGAAGACAGCTGCATCACCCCAAACAACCAAGCATTTGTTTCTACGGATGGACAAGGCAGATCCTGAACAGCCTCCCGGGAGGTTATTACCCACGCAGGCTGGGAACCGGGGTGGGAAACAACAAATAACAACGCACCCAAGGGTCTGGTCTGTCTCATTGGGGCGCGGCCCGGGGAAGAGGGGAGGGGGTTGCGCTTCTTGGGCCCTGCCTCTGCGCTTGAGAGCCCCAGCTCAACAGGGGATCGACATGGCCATGCCCGCGCTCGCTTGCAGGAGGCAACCAGATGCGGCCACCGTGCTCCTCCTCCCTGGCCTTGCTCGTCCCCCTGCTCGGGCGAGGGTCAGGGAGGGAGCAGAGCGCTGAGATCCGCCGCGCTCAACAACTAAACATGGCTTACCTGGAAAGGAAACTCCGCCTCGCTCAGGGGGGCTGGGTTATGGGTTCGTGTAGGTGAGAGGAGGGGGGCAGAGGCGGACGGACGGAGATCTGTCTTAGAAGGCACCGGCCGATCGTGAACGCACGCGATGGCCAAACGAAACAAGCGACGTTTCCTCTGCAACGGGTACGGTAGATCGCCAAGGGCAGGGCGTGGCAGTGGCAGGGAGGAGGAGCGCCGACACGACACGACACGAACCAACGGCGGGGCCCACGTTGGATTTGTCTCAGATCTCCTTTGAACGCCAATATCGCGGCCGCAGTTAAGAAACTTTGCTGATCGCAGCGCCACGGCTGTCGTGTTTGACATATCTGAGTTGTGTTCATGGCTCGGCTCGACCATCCGACGGACCGATTGCTGTGGGCTGTTGCACGTCTGAATTTCCCATTGAGGGTGATGACTCGAATCCTCATGTCAGAGAAACGTCAGGTCGAGGGAGCTCACTCAGTACAACGGCTGTCTTGTGGGAATTCTGTCCATTCAGTCTAAACACACGCTGCCAACGCCAATGCTTCTCCTTCTCATGCTCGCCCGGGAAGGCAGACACGCTATGCTATCCACCCATGGTGCTATGCTCGTGAGAGCCATGACGGCAGTAGTGACACGAAATCACCAGAACGCCTTGCTGCCCTCCAATTAATTTCTTGTAAAACCACACCCCGTACTTAAAAAACTCGCAGTGGGGAGGCAACTACTATCCAACAAAATTCAACCACAGTCTAGGACCCCATCATGCAGCCGTCATCGCTCCCCGGGCCGGGAGTCGATGTGCTCATGCCTAACGATGATGGCCGCCGCTGCGATCGACGTACACCGGTATGCCGTAGACACAGACCGCCGCTGCGTTCAGGTACTTGAACTTGCAGACGCCAGAGTTCCTCGCGCGGGAGACAGCCTCCGGCAGGGACGCGTCGCCGTATTCGCAAGCTGTGCCACCGCCAGCGCCCGCGGCGACACCAGCATCGTCGCTGTCCACCGCCTCCGCTGCGGCCCTTTTCCGCGAGCCAGACCGCCCAGGCTTCTTGGTATCACGTCCCGCGGCGTCATCAGCAGCGACACCATTAGTAGCCTTGCCCTTTTGCCTGGCGTCCTCCCTCCCAGGGAACGTGCCACTCGCGACCAGTCCCCACTCCTCAAAGACCCTCCCCGTGTACAGGTCGATGTCCCTATCCGTCACGTCCCACAGCGTCCCTACCACGGCCGGGCAGCCAGCCAGCATGTAGCTCCAGACCAGGCCGTAGCACTCGAAGTCGCCCACGTCAGTCAGGCTCGCCGAGCTGCAGCCCATGAGCAGAGCGGTCGCGCGACACTTGTCGAGCCTGCGGATCGTACGGTTGCGTATGTACTGCGCGCCGCCGCCGTGGCCCATGTAGAGGAGGATGTCGGAGGATGAGAGGGCGCTCTCGAACTCAGATTCGGTGGGTGCCTTTTTGACAATGCACTTCCAAGAGTCTCCGAGCGTCGAAAGTGGCTCTTCGAAGGTGGCTTGGGTAGTCTTGAGGTCGCCGCTAGTATTGAGCATGTATGTCCCGGATGTAATCGAGACGTGGTGTCCGGCCGGATGCTCTGGGCCGTCCGTCTCAGAGGCTGTGCGTGGCTTTTGTTCCAAAATTAACCTGCGGAGGCATGCCAGTGAAGGCACCCGAGAGACTGCCAGCCCTTGCAGGCACGGCAGTGACTCCCAGGGAAATGTGTGCAGAGCCTTATCCAGAACCAGAATCGTGTGGCTCCTTGTCTCTGCGCCATCCTGACTCTTGGCTTCCGCATGATATGAGTGGAGTGCGTCCAGAGTCTCGACCACCATGGAATCGAAGTCGATCTCGTCGTAGGCATTTCGTTCGCCATGAAACTGCAGAATGTCGACGACGAAGTATAGTAGATCGTTGAGCATCTCGTCAAAGTCGGCGTCTTCACTCGTCGCGTCTCCGAATCCGACGAAGAGTTCGAGTATTCTCATGTCGAGCGTGACCTTTGCCGCTGGAGCCTTGGATTTCTTTCCGCGGACTTGACGACGTGACGGCAAGTGCTTGTCAAGGATGTTTGTGAAGCTCTTATGGAACTTTGCGAGTAGCTTTGGGTGCCGCTTATGCTGCGAGAAGATACCCTTGAATCCACCAAGCCACACTTGTTCGATCCTTTCAAGCAGCTCTCCAAGACGTACGTCTAGGGCTTGCCGTTCAACCCACCAGGCTGTCTTTGCGCCCTTGACTGAAAAGTCTCGCTTGGTGTGGCAAGTCTCATTAGCCCGCTTGATAATGTCAAGTAGTTCCGTTCGACCTTGCTGGAAATCGAAAACATCACTGTCGGCATCCCGGGAACTTGCTCGCTCCAGAGGAAGTCTAATGACGAACGGATTTTGGCCAGCTTGTAGCTTCGAGATACACAGGTCGTGCTTGTTGTCGCTAAGTGAGATGGAGACCACACTCCATTCCTGAGGAATGATGTCGATATACTCGCGTTGGAACTTGCATATATCAACCACTCGACTCAGACTCGCTCGTCTTGTTTCTGAAGATCGAATGTCCTCAGGCCACTCCAATCCATTCCTTCCCGAGTGCTTCTCCGTCAGGAGGGCGTTGTACTCTCTGCGCCAGGTCAAATTCCGCGCCATTTCCACCGCACAAGTGGCGTATCCTGGATGTCCAAGAATACCGGTCTTTTTGGCTGAAGGTGATGCCGCTGAGAGAAGAATCACAACGGTCTGTAGCATGCCCAAGGTTCTGCGTACTTCCCTGCCATCACCCATGACAGAAGCCATTGTGTGGGCTTCCAAGAGCATTTCACGTGCCTCCCGCAGATTTTCCAAATATCCTTGAGGATCGTATGCTGTCGCCTTCTCTTGAAAAACGGGAGCGACCGATGTCTTCGGAGGAGGAGAGGTCTTCATCAGCGAGAATCGATCCGACTGCGGGATACTGCTGACGGAAGGGAACGACAACGTCGATTCTTGGATGACAGAATAGACAGCGTCCTCAGACATCTGCTGCATACTCTGCCCGAGAAGTGACCTTGCCGTTGTGAGTAATTCGGACAAGACGTGTGAAGCAACCTTGGACGACTGGCGGACCTCCTGTAAGAGTTGCCAGGCTCCAGACCAATCTTTCTGGTGAATCATTGACGATGCTTTCTCGACCATGACTGACGCCTTGAGAGATATTAGATATGCATCCTCTTGTTCGACGGCTGCCAAGCTAGTCGGTTCTGGTTTCCTCGCTGCTGACTTTTTCGGGGCTGTCTTCGCCGCTGGTGCCTTCACCGTGCGTGTCGTCGCAGCGGTGGCAATTGTTCGCTTGTTCCTGATGGGTATCTTTGTCTTCGTCTCGTTTGGCGCAATGCTTTGTTCTTTTACCACAGTGTCCTTGCTCTCAGAAGTGTCTGCCATGCGATTCACCATCGCTTCTGCCGCCTCAATCATGCCCTTCTCCGACTCGAAATCCCTAGTCTCGCGGTAAATATTGCTGAGTCGGCAGCAAAGACTGACGAGCCTGCTGGAGTAGTCGCCACCATCAAGCCTGGATCGGACTTGACCCACGACCTTCAAGGCGTCCTCGAGCTTGCCGGCTCTGGCTGAGATGAAAGACATCCAAGCGTCGCACTCAGCCAGGTATGCTTCGGAACCAGCAGCCTGCGCCACCTTCTGGGCCTGTTCGGCATAGTACACTGTCTCCTGGTACATACCCAGGTGAGCATAGATGTTCGACAGGAAAAGAAGGCCGCTGAGAACTGAATGTGCCAGCTTCCAAAATTCCGGTCCCGAGATTGTCGGAGCTGAGTCTTTGCTCTTCTCCACTAACGTACTCAGGGAGGCATCCAACTGCGACGAAGACTCATCGGCAGACTTCTCTGGCTGCGCGCACGTCACAGCCTTCGCCTTTTGCTCCATTTTCGCCCATTCCTGAAATAGCACACGTGCAGCATTCCTGGCATAGTTGAGAGCGTTCGGGCCGTCTCCTCGACCAAGGGCAACAGCAGAATACACCAAGGAGGCCTGGGCCAATATCAATTTGCGGTTCCTCGACCTACCAGGCAAGTTGTTCACTGAAACGATGCTCTTTATCTCCGATAGGACCTCGTCTGCCTTTTCGATGCTCCCAATCTCGAGATAGTATTCCGCGTGCGAGAGAAGGAAGCCGATAATTTCTTCACGGTACTTTGTTTCTCCTGCGCTGAATGACTGTCGGGCCTGCTCCAGAACTGTGGATGCTTTCGAGGATTGGCCAACATTTGTCAGCTGTAGGGCGAGTGCTGCTGAGATCTGCAAGTGGGAGGCTGTGTCCAAGTTGGCGGATTTTTGTCTCAGGTCAGAGGCAAGTTGCAAGGCATCCAATAGGAGGGCATTACGGTTCGACAGTCGGGCATAATCTGCAATGGACTGCAAGTGCTCCAACAATCCGGGCAAGTCGTCGATTTGTTGGTCAATGCTGGTTGAGCTGTCGAGGATGGAGCGCCAGGCAGAAATGGACTGCTCAATCAGGTCGTGTTTAGGCGGTTGACAGGCTAGTGCAGCCATGGACTGCGTGAGAGCTTTCATATGTGAAAGGCAGCTCTTCAGGCCATTGTCCTCGCCCAAGACTGCCTCGCCATTGACAGATGCTGCCTCTTCTAAATGAGCCTGGATTGACTCAAGGTACTTCGAGTCTCCTACGTTGGCGGCCATGAGCCGTGTCAAAATCCTCAGCCTTCTCACTGGATATTTGTCGATGGAGCACAGCTGAAGAAGTACTTCGATGCAACAATCTGGAGACCCAGCACTGCCGGTATTAGATCCGTTTCTCAAGATGATAAATTCAAGCCGATGCTCAAGAGCAGCAAGCCGTTCTGGCTCATCCAAATGGAGAGTCCAATCAACCCAACCCTGTTCCAATCGGCTGATAGACCGTAATGACGACGAAAGCAATTCTGCGTCCTTGCTGATTGTCCAAGCTTGTCGAGGAGGAAGTTCTTGAGAGGCATCGGCAACTGCTCGAAGAACGCCATCTTCGATCAATATATTTCTGAGACTCTGCAACGATGCCAGCGCATCGTTAGACCTGCCGGTGTCCCTATACAGCTCGCTCATACGTTCAAGCTTGAAGAGGATCTGGGCTCTTGTGCGCTCATTGCTTGAGCGGTGCTTGACGCAGTCAATTGAGCGACGCATTGCCCTCAATGCAAAGCCCATATTTTCCTTGGCGTTGGCTTTTGACCCTTTGCTTGCCTCCATGAAAATTGTGTGTTGAATGTAATAGAGATGTGAGATTTTCGCATAGTAGTACATCGAAGGATCAACAGACGCAAGGTCTCCCAGACTGTCGAGAAGCCCGAGACAATCGTGTAGGAGCGAGTCTAACTTGTCCCAAGCTACACGTTTCTCGTCGAGGCTGGTCTTCGCGAGCATCAGTGCCGAATCCAGAACCTGCGGTGCCGATTTGACCATAATAGTCCGCCTCTGTTCATATCGCAGAAAGCCTTTGGTGTCGTCTTGAGATGATGGTCGTTTCCCAAGCCATCGAAAGCAGAATCGTGGCAGCTGCTGAATAAGATGTTCCAAGAGCCCAGAGAAATCCGCTGAAGGTCGATATTTGTTCCCCTCCGCGTCACTCAAATCCCCGTATAAAACATGCATGGCCGACTTAAGGGCCACGATAAGACCATCCAAAAGATCATCCAATTCGCTGCTGTCGCCTCGAAGCTGCCCCTGAAGTCCTTCCAGCACTGCCTGGAGCAACTGGTCCTGCGACGGGTATTTCCACGGTATTTTGAGGCGGTAGGCTAAAAGTAATGCTGAAGTCGCGCAACACTTCGCTGCTGAATCCTGGCTCGGATCGATCATTTGGCTCATTTTCTCTGTCCATGAGACCGCGTCGCTGTAGTGACCCCCTTCCCGGGCCAGTTTGGCCAATGCCTGGTAGATAGCAGCTAGTGGTGACTTGGACGATTGTGCTGGCTCGAGACTCTGAGACAACATCTGATTCTGAATTTCGTTGACGGCGGCGAGGCAGCTCTTGTAGTTGGACGTAGCCGTCTTCCCCGTTCGTCGAACATACGCAAGCATGCATCTTGAGAACGGTGCAAGGATATCCTTATCCACATCGCCCTTGTGACCGGCCAGTTTCCACCAGATTAATCGTGACTGGAGGGCGATGGCCTGGAGCTCAAGGGCGGCCAGCGGACTGATGCTGAGTTTTGATTCCAACGCCACATCGTCCTCACTACTTGAGATGCTCGGTGCTAGAGCCAGAATGAGCTGTGACAGGCTTTCGAGCTGGCGAGCGGCTTTATCTTTCTCTGCCTTAGTTGATCCGGCGGACAGGAGGAGGAGGCTAGTCGGGGAAAATTCGTTGGTTTGCTGGAGATATCCGCGAGCCTTCTCGATGTCGACCGGTCTCTTCATCTTTCCCATAATTCTGAGAACTTGCATCTGTGTGCTAATTACCAAGTTCAAGACCTGGCCAGAGGGCCTAGCCCCGCGGAACTCCAGTAACTCGAAAAGGCCGAGGGATGAAGAGGTAGATTCGGCCTTGCGTGGCTTCTTGTCGCCCAAAACCAGGTCGTCTAATATCTTCTTGAGGAGGCGCAGTTCTTTCACAGCATGCTCGATCAGCCCCAAGCCAATGAGTTTTGCAACCAAAGACGACATGCCGGCCTCTAGTTGGAGCTCTGGAAGGTTGATCTTGCCGGCAACCCGGAGGTGGCGGAGCGCTGACAATGCGACTCGGGCGCATTCGACCGTGCACAGGCAGCCCGTCGAGGCGTTCAACTTGGAAGGTGACCGTGCCGGCTTCCTCTCGATTTCGGGGGAGGTTGAAACCCGGTTGAGGGACCGGGGCTGCATTGGCGTCATGGGTGCCGAGTTGGACCGTCGAACGCGCCTCCTAGGAGCAGTCTTTCCGTGATCCTCGGCTCCAGCAGCTGGCCCCTTAGGCGTAGCTGGTGGAGGAGCCTTGACGGCATCTCCGAGAGACTTCAGTGTTGCGTTGATGATGTGTGTTGCCAGTATTGCCTTCTCTTTTGCTGACAGCTCTCCCTTGTCCTCCACTGTTGCCTTCTTGGCGCCCGTTGTTTTTGACGCTGCGCCATTGCGCTTCGCCGTGGTTGTTCGAGCTGTCTTGGTCGTTTTCGTTGTGGCAGCAGGGGGGTCATTGTTGTCTCTTGGAAGGAGGAGCTCTTTGAGGAGAACAGTTGTCGCAGGAGTGCATGTTGCTATTGATGCAGCTGCTGTCTTGACCTGCTCTGCCTGCTCTTGTATTGACGCCATGTAAAACTCTTTGAAAGTTGAGGGTGACTGCTAATCATATCATGACCAAGACTGCAGAGAATACTTGAAGAAAACGCCTTAGGTAATGAGAGCAAAAGAGCAACAAGCAATCGCAAATGCAAATGCAGATATCCAGTGTAGTGAAGGCCCGTGAAATTCATGTGTGAACAAGCTAAGTAGGAGTCAATCAAAGCTCATCCTCGCCCACCTTGGGCAGAAGATGGTTGGCACAGCAACCAGCCCACCCCATGTGCTAAATGCAGGGGTCCAACTTATTGGTCTAGCTAGTTCTATCTTGTCGACAAGTCTTGAATTTCTACCACTTGATCATTGTATAATAGCCTCGTCTTCAAGTTTCTCTCCCAATTCTCGAAAACAACATATAGCACGAGAGCTGCTTGCGAATTGCTGGGAGTCCTCTCGTATGCTTTTCTCGTCCTCCCACAACCTTTTGCGCCTGCCAATATCCGGGATTTCAAAGAGCTCATAGCAATCGCAAGCTTCTTCTGATTGGGAGAGCCACCCCCGAACAGCTCAACACCAGTTCCCGAACAAGCACCACTGAGTAGCCATGGACCGACTCGCGATACGAAGGATAGCACGATCGTCCCCTCTCGCCGGGCCTACGGCGGCACGGCACATGATCCTCCAGACCCCTCGACATAACGCGCGCCTCATCAGCATGCAGCCCCGCGTCGCCGAGGCGTCCTTCTGGAAGTCGCTGGTCCCGAAGCCGCTGCGCCGGGAGAACAGGACGGGCGGCGAACCGGGCGCGCCGACGAAGGTCAAGTCGAAGGAGTGGAACCCGGCGACGTTCTTCATCGTCATCTTCCTGCTGATCGGCTCCATGTCGATCCAGATGATCTCGCTGCGCAAGAACTTCGACGCCTTCATGCGCCGCTCCGACGTGCGCATCGGGCTGCTGCGGGAGGTCGTCGAGAGAATCCAGAACGGCGAGACGGTCGACGTCGAAAAGGTTCTCGGGACCGGCGACCCGGAGAAGGAGTCCGAGTGGGAAGAAGGTACGTGAGGCATGGCTGGGCTACGAGAGAAAGAGACGCGTGGACATACTCTGACGTGCGCGCAGTTTTGAACGAGATCGAGAAGGATAGCGTGTCGCGAAGCCAGAAGAAACAAGAAAAGGTCAAGGCCCCTGCAACATCCTCACCAGTCGCAAAGGCTGTCACGGTGGCGGAACCCAGGGCAGAATCTGCTCCTGTACAGGAGCCAGCAAAGGGACGCACGGCATACTTCTTCTGAGATCTATTCTTGCTATGCAGGGCAGGATTTTGCTATAAATGCGAGAGGTTCTATCATGACAGCATGTCTTTGAACACGCCGGCGCCCCTGTTCTCCAGCGGCGCCGAATCGTTGGGCACAGATTCCTCCGGGGACGACCGCCGCAAGGCACTGACCAAATCCGGCAGTAATTGTTCTGTGGTCATATTTATCCTCACTCCCTCAGCTCCGCTCTGGCCGGCATGCAGGTCGGTGACGAAGGTCTCCTCTCCTCTCACCCCGCCCATATTTATGATAGCAATGGGCATCCCCCGGTCCTTGGCCCGTTTGGCCAGCCTCCAAGCCGAGTACGTGGCAAGCGAGGTGGCCAACACGAGCATCCTGCCGGACCCGTCCACAGCCTGCTCCGCCGCCACTTTTACAGCGCTTGGTATGCTCTCACCGAACATGATGACCGCAGGCTTGAGGATGCCCGCGGTGCTGGGCGACGCCCAGGCACCATCCTGGTCAACCTCAACCTTGTGCCGAGTGCCATCGGGCGCAGGCGGCGGAGTGCTTAGACAGTGCTGGCAGGCCGGGTAGCGGAAGGTGTTGTAGGGCGCGTCCGGGAGGTCCACATCTCCGTCCGGGTTCGTGCGCATCCCGCGGGCCCTCCTCTCGTCCGGGTTCTCTGTGTCCAGCGCGCCCGAGGCGAGAGCCTCTTGTAGGAAAGCAGCCCAGGCCGGGTTCAGCCGGGCCAGATCTTCCTGGAAGACATCTCGCGGGAACTCGTTGTGGCAGGACGTACACACTAGTGACCTTAGATAGCCGTGAAGCTCCAAGGTTGGAATATTTGGGTGAGCCTTGGGATGGAATGAATCCACGTTTTGAGTTATGACGTTTCGCACATTGCCGTGGCGGCCGAGATCTCTAACAGCGTAGTGACCTGCATTTGGTTGTGCCTTATTCAGAGTGGTCCAGCCCAGGAATGAACGGGCCCAGTACCGTTTCCTGGCCTCATGTGAACTTAGGAACTCATGATAGTAGATGGGGCGATATGTCTTATTCAAACGGTAAGTCCCGTTTGTTCCCCGATAGTCTGCCAGTCCAGATGCCACAGATAGACCGGCGCCCGATAGGACGACAGTGTGGTCAGAAAATCCCCTTTGCCGCGGGACAGGAGATGTGAGGAACTCGCCCAGCGCGGTGACGGCCCCCTGGAGGGTGTTCGCCGAGGCCGGGATCACAGGAGGCGGAGCGAACTCAGCAGTATAAGGGATGCGCAGAAGAGATTTCTTCATTGCTCGCTCGACTGTAGGCTCTGGCCAGGTTTTCTTCTCCTTCCCTTTTCTATTTGCAGTCCCGGAGCTAGACAGGAAAGGTACGTAAGCCTTCCACGTACGCGGTCCTGCGGCCAAGACTTTGCTGTGGGAGGGAATGGGATAGGGAGAAGATGTTCAGGGGTTGGCTGGCTGGCTGGCTGTGGAAACGAAAGAACGGATCTGGCTGCAGAGATGCCCCGGTCCGGATGTGCAGAGATCAATGCAACATGGGGCGGAGCGAAAAGAACTGCGGAGAGTGTTGTGTTTTGCTATATGGCAGGTCTGCAGGTCTGGGTATGTTTCGGGACTGAGGTGGGAGTGCTCCGGCTGAGCACGCTGAGATGTTACCGCATACTCCCAGTTTGGGCAGGTCGTCGTCGTCATGATGCCCCATAGGCCACAGGGCATAGCGGCCCTTCGCCTCCTTGCCAACCTGGTATGCTGGCTCGGCAGGGCCACGCCAGAAAAAGTAAGCCAACGGCGCCCACGCCGCTCCGCAATGAGGCGACGCAACCCTGGGACGCCTCATACCGAGGGTCCCCATTTCCCGAAGGACCCCACCATCACCAATGCCTGCTAGTTACTGTCACTGCCCGTAGTAGACAAATCGATTCAAAATCCCCCGATGCTCACTGGACGGGGCCAGTATTCATCCAACCCCTACTGCATTGGGCTTAAGGTGGCATTCAGTGGGTGGTGCGACGGAACGGCTGGCAGGCGGCGGGCAGATTGTCAGGAACAAGGTTTCGAACGGTGCTGTCAATTGATGCTTATTATGCTTGTAGACTATAGACTATACGTGTGTGCATGCATGCATACAATGCCTGGGTGATGTATTATATATAGGAACTTGGCATCGTTGCCCTGCTTGTTGATCTGTACCTGGACATGACTGTGGTGACAAGAGTGAGAGTGACCGTGACAGTGACAGCGAGGAAGGATGAATGACTGAGCTGATGGCGATGTAATCTGGCAGCAGCAGCATGATCCGACGGCGGGACAGATGCAAGTTGCCCGTTATCTGTTGTGATGACTGATTGAGGAGGGTGACTGACTCTGCAGTTTTCTGCAGGACAGCAGAATTTCCCATCATCCCTCGACGAATCCTGCTTGCAGTCAAGTCCACTGAGTGACTATTCTCCTGGCCGTGCCAGATGGATGTGCGCAACTTGCGACAGGACTCCATCCCGACCGTGTTTCCAACTTTGGTTCGTGCTTTACGCGCCTAAGCCTCTTTTCCCACGCACATCCACAGCACCCCCAAATCTGCCGCACCGCACCGCACCGCACAGCACCGTACATACGCACATTACATTACATTTCCCTACATTAAGTACTCTCTACTTTTACATTGAGGCGCATTGTCCACACACCCACTTGCGCGTCGCCTCGTCCTGTCTGTCTCTCCTTCCCACTACCCGACCCCCAGTCTGAAGGTTGTTTCGGCGTGGCCTCGATTGATGCCTCCCTCCAGCCCCTCCTCCTCCTTGTGCCTGAGAATCCCGTCTGGGTACAAGTATGCAGGGCCCCAGCTCAGGCTCAGGCTTAGGATCTCCAAGTCCCAGTCCGCACCTGCTTCCATCCCGAGGTGTGCTTCGATCTGCGCCCGCCTCCAGACCACCACATCAAACTACTTGAGGCCACCTCAACCTCATCAGCAGCAGACCCGTGTCTACCAAACCTCTCCCTCGTCCTGTCCCACCCCTTCTGCTTCTTTCGCTCCTTCACAAACTTCTTCAACAAGACCATTGCCATATACATATACACAGTCGCAATTCACCCAGCCACCCGTCTACCACCACAACAACCGCTTGCGACCGACTTGGCTGTCTGGCATCATGGCGACGGCAACCCAGACCCGGGCGCACGCCGGCCACTCGCACTCGCATCATGACAATGTCTACCTGACCTCACAAAACAAGAACGATGCCGGCGTGCGAATCACTCGAATCGGCCTCTACTCTAACCTCGGAATGGCCATCGCAAAGTTCATCGGCGGCTACCTGTTCAACTCCCAGGCCATGATCGCAGACGCCTGGCACAGCATGACCGACCTTGCCTCCGATATCCTGACCCTCGCGACCGTCTCCTTTAGCCTGCGACCGCCGACTGATATGTACCCGACGGGCTTCGGCAAGGTCGAGAGTCTGGGCTCCCTCGGCGTGTCCGGCATGTTGCTCGCAGGGGGGGTGTTCATGGGCATGAGCAGCTTGGAATCGCTATACGGACACTTCTTCATGGACCCCGCCGCGGCGCAAGCGTTGCTGCACCACGGCCACGGACACAGCCATGGCGTGGGGCCAAGCCTACACGCCGCCTGGCTGGCCCTGGGGACGGTGCTGATCAAGGAGTGGCTATACCATGCGAGTAAGTCTTGAAACAGCCAATCTTTGCTAAGGAGGATATCGAGACCCGTTGCTGACTCTTGTGCGCCCTTCTACAGCTATGAAAGTCGCAAAAGAGCGCAAGTCTGCCGTCCTGGCCTCCAACGCCATCCACCACCGTGTCGACAGTTGGACCGGCATCGTCACCCTGCTTGTAATCCTCGGCGCAAACTTCCTGCAAGACGCGACGTGGCTGGATCCCGTCGGAGGACTCCTGATCTCGTTCCTGGTCATAAAGGGTGGCTGGGGCAACACTCTCTCCTCGCTCTACGAGCTGGCGGACCGGACCATCGATGATGAGGTCAAGAAATCAGTCAGGAAGCAGGTGACGAAGAGCTTGGAAGGCGTCACGGAAGGCCACGAGGTTGAGCTCCGTGATGTGTCGGGCATCAAGTCCGGCCAGAACTACCTGATCGATCTGGAGCTGTCGGTACCCAGCACCTGGACCATCGAGGATGTCCGTGATGTCGAGAATGCGGTGCGGACATACGTCGGAGGCCACGTCCGTGGGGTCAGGAAGGTCCGGGTACGATTTGTGCCCAAGACTGCAGATGGCGAGATTTCCAAGTTCGACGAGTTCATCCCCGGAAGTGTCAGCCCACAATCGAGCCCGGAGCCGGAGGAGCACAACCATAGCCACGAGAATGGCAATGGCAATGGCAACGGACACCACAAGCAAAATTGAGAGCACCCGATCTATTCTGGGTACGATCCGGATGGAGCGCAGGAAGAGCACTGTATCAGTTCCAATGCTTGGCTTGAATTGTACATACATACCATCTCAGGAGCGAAAGATATACATCGAAGCCGGATGGCATTTGGGCGGCGTTCAGGAGATACGGAAGAAAGGGTCACTTGACTGGCATGTCACGACATGACCAGGAGATGCATCGCATTTCGATTCATTTGTCAGTTTGAAATACTATCGTCACACGGCAGTTATTGCCCACCACCTGATATCTTGCCTCGGACAGCTCGGTCGAGAATAAGTGAAAAGAGCACATGGTAAGCCCTCAACCTACAGTAGCACCCATGTCAGTGACTGCATCAGTGACTGCAGGCCGGATGGGAATCAACCCAGGTCAAACGAGGTCCGGGACCAGGAGACAGAGGACACTGTCAGGTACCGGGTCTCGGTGATTGGTGCGGCAACATGTCAGGGCTTTCTTCTAGTGCCGCGGCGGCATTGGATCCCTTGGCCCAGCAGCCCAGCAGCCCAGTCGCAAGAATGATCTCAGGCTAAAGTCAGTGGTGGCTCGTTCGCTCACGAGAAGTACAAGGCTGATTGTCGACCTGCTCTCACCGTAATAACCGTAAACGTGTAATGTCATGCCCCGCGATGCCCCACGTCTGTTCACGACGAAAGGTATATGTGGACTCGCCTTCGCCACCAACCAGCTGCTTGCCGACTTTCACATGTGTCGCGTGTTCCTGTCAATCTGAAGTGAACTAATCAACCTCTGCATCGTTTGGACCTGTCTGAAATTATCTTCAAGACTCTGAACCAATAACAAATAGTAGAAAATGAGTGAAGGACCCTTATACCTGGGTTTCGACCTCTCGACCCAGCAGCTCAAAGGTGTGCCTCCCTCGTGCCCATTCTCGTCCTCGCTCACACTCTTGGTCTCACTCTCATCCGTCATGCCCATTACATCATTCCACCCCAAGTACACACAGCTCACACTGCACAACAGCCATCGTGATCCAATCAGACCTGCACGTCCTCGCCGAGGCAAAAGTCGACTTTGACGCAGACTTTGGCAAGCAATATGGCCTTAAGAAGGGCGTCCTAGTCAATGACGACGAGGGCGAGGTGTTCGCGCCCGTGGCCATGTGGCTCGAGGCCATCGACCTGGTGCTCAGCCGGCTGAGGGACAACAAGGCGCCGCTGCACCGCATCAGGGGCGTCAGCGGCGCTTGCCAGCAGCACGGCAGCGTCTACTGGAACCACGACGCCGAGAAGCTGCTGGGCGCCATGGACGGCCGCGGCGCCGAGTCCCTCAAGGACCTCCTCGCCGGCTCCCTGAGCCACCCCTTCGCGCCCAACTGGCAGGACCACAGCACCCAGGCGCAGTGCGACGAGTTCGATGCCGCCCTGGGCGAGAAGACGAGGCTGGCTGACGTCACCGGGAGCTCAGCGCATCATGTGAGTCTTACGATACGGCAATGCCAAATATTACTTATTACGAAGCACACGGGGAGCTAACGGACCCTCGCAGCGATTCACAGGCCCCCAGATCATGCGGCTGCGCAAGAAGCTGCCCGAAATGTACGCCAACACGGCGCGCATCTCGCTCGTCTCGTCGTGGCTCGCATCCATCATGCTGGGCGCCATCGCACCGCTGGACATCGGCGACGTGGGCGGCATGAACCTGTGGGACATCCGGGCCAGCAAGTGGGACGAGAAGCTGCTGCTGCTGACGGCGGGCGAGCAGGCCGGGGTGGAGGCGCTGCGGTCCAAGCTGGGCGAGCCGCAGCAGGACGGCGGCGGGAGCATGGGGCCCGTGTCGGCCTACTTTGTGCACAAGTACGGCTTCAGCCCGGAGTGCCAGGTCGTGCCCTTCACGGGCGACAACCAGGGCACCATCCTCGCGCTGCCGCTGCGCCCGCTCGACGCCATCGTCAGCCTGGGCACCTCCAGCACCTTCCTCATGATCACCCCCAAGTACAAGCCCGACCCGTCGTACCACTTCATGAGCCACCCCTGCACGCCCGACCAGTACATGTTCATGCTGTGCTACAAGAACGGCGGGCTCGCGCGCGAGCGCGTGCGCGACTCCCTGCCGCCCGTCGCCGCGGGCGAGGCCGACAAGTGGGCCAACTTCAACAAGACGGTCCTGTCGACGCCGCCCCTGGACGTGCGCGACGCGGCCGCCGACCGCGCCAAGCTGGGCCTGTACTTCTACCTGCCGGAGATCGTGCCCAACATCAAGGCCGGCACGTGGCGGTACACGTGCAGCGCCGCGGACGGCAGCGACCTTCGCGAGGCGGCCGAGGGCGCGGGCGGCGGCGGCGGCGGCAAGTGGGCCGCGGACAAGGACGCGCGGGCGATCGTCGAGTCGCAGGCGCTGTCGATGCGGCTGCGGTCGCAGAACCTGGTGCACGCGCCGGACCCGGCCCGGCACCCGGAGCTCCCCGCGCAGCCGCGCCGCATCTACCTGGTGGGCGGCGGCAGCCTGAACCCGGCGATCGCGCGCGTGATGGGCGACGTGCTGGGGTCCGCCGAGGGCGTGTACAAGCTGGACGTCGGCGGCAACGCGTGCGCGCTCGGCGGCGCGTACAAGGCGCTGTGGGCGCTCGAGAGGGCCGGCGGCGAGACGTTTGACGAGCTCATCGGGAAGCGGTGGAAGGAGGAGGGCGCCGTCGAGAAGGTCGGCGACGGCTACAGGAAGGGCGTGTTTGAGCAGTACGGCAGCGTGCTGGGGGCCTTTGATGAGATGGAAAAGAAGATTCTGCAGGTTGCTCATAACTAGACTTGATATTTGGGAGTTTATATATAGATTTCAATAAATTGGTCACGCATGGAATACTCAAAAGTTTGACGGCATTGATCTCACGGTTGTTGCAAAGTGCACCTGCTCATCCCGATATAAGACCCTCAACAGGGCCAATATTTCCGGCCGGTGCTATATCTCAACTCACTTCGTATTCACAAGGATACAATGATATGTTTCATGCAAAGGCTGATATTGAAACATTGATTTAATTGCATCAAGGCACCAGCAGTTGGACCCAATATATCCCGGTGCCGAAGTAGAGTGTCAGACAGTTTCTCTAGGCATGGGCACTAACAAACAAAGTGCCAAAGCACCCTTAGCGAGCGCTCAAACATACGACGTCACCACCTCTTCTTCCCTCCCTCATCCACCCGATCTCACATGCAAACAATACAACGTGCGCACTCACTCGTTCATTCGTTGAGAGAACAAACATACCAATTGTATCCCCTGCGATATTAGAATACATATACACGATACGATTTCCATCTGGTCGAATACACACTCGGCCCTCCTCCATCAATTGAAGGACCCCTTTCCATCTAATGAATACAGGAGTATATCACACCACTTAGGGAGACGAACGGTTTGGCCGGGAGTACAAAACGTGCAATTGATCAATCTATCAATAAACAGCCGCAGAAAAATGATCCTAGGACCCGTGTCATATCTCGACTGCATTGTATTCTGCATCTTCCTCGCGCCGCAGCTTATACTCAACGTCGGCCTGTTCGAAACAGTACTGACAGTGCTACAAACACTGCCGTTCTTAGGTACGAACAAGCAGATGAACAAAGCCATTGTTGGCCCAGGACCAGCTGACGCGTGAAAAAATCAAAACCAGTCTTCAAGTTACCTACGACCTTCATCTACGAGCGCTACTTCTTGAGAAAGGACGAGCAACCGGCCTTCGTCCAGCAGGCCTCCGCCTTTGAGGACTTCGTCATCCGGTGCGTGCGATATGCCTTCGCCAACATCCCTCCCAAGGTGGGCCGTGTCTTCTTCGGGAAGAAGGTAGCCCTGCCCTGGCTGAGGTGGCGGCTGCTCCGTCATGGCTACCTCACGTCACCTGTCTACTGGCGAGAGTACCAGGACAAGCACTTCCGAGGGGTGTGGGCCATCTGCGACCCTGCGCAGAGGCCAGACTTGATTATATACTATGCTCATGGTGAGTAGGCCCGCATTCTTGGTGAGAGTAGATCTGTCGCTGAAGACGCTCAAGGCGGGGGGTTTAGCATGGGCTCGCCGTATTTCTATCTGGAGTTTCTTCTCAGTTGGGTCTCCCTCTTGAAGCGAGCAGGTTACAAGAACCCGGCAGTCTTCGGCTTAGACTACACGCTCGTGCCCGACAGCAGCTTCCCAACCCAACTCAACGAGATGGTCAGTGGATACGAGCATGTCCTCGGCATGGCGGGCGATGATCCGTCCATTGTCTGTGTTGCAGGCGACTCGGCGGGAGGAACGTTGGTCTTGAGCTTGCTGCTACACCTGGCCCGTCCCATGCCGGCAAGGAAAGACAGGCGTTTACCGGGGGCTACGCGCCATCTCGAGAAGCCCGGGATGGCCGTACTCATCTCGCCGTGGCCGACTCTCCAGTCGGCGCTTTACCAAAACAACCGCAGCGACTTCCTTGATGTGCCGGCACTGCACCTTTATGCCGCCCAATACGCGGGCAGAGTGGATCTGGTCGATGACTCTATTGCGTCACCCGGAAACTGTAAAGACATGGTGTGGCTGAAAGAAGCAAGCCCAGCGAAAGGGTTACACGTGGTGTATGGGAAGGAAGAAGTGTTTGCGCCTGAGATCGAGGAGTTCGTGCAGAAGCTAGACGAGGCTGGGGCGCTTGTCACCAGTCAGGGTGAGACAGGCGGGATACATGCTTGGCCCGTCGCATCACTGTTTCTCAGCGACACGGAGGACCAGAGGCTCAAAGGTCTGAGGAGCATTGTGAAGGAAATGAGGAATCGCGTGCCCCCATCCAAGAATCGTAAGTAGAATGGTTGAATCCCGAGTGAGGACGCCATGTCAGATTAGATCAAGTAATTTATTGCCATCACTGGCGCAGCTAGCCACGAGGGAACCATAGCTCTGGAGCTCGGCTTCTTCCTGACTGCTGTGGAAACCGCCTCCGGGAAACGGATTGCTCTTCCTGTATCATCATCCATGACTGCGCTGCGGAAAGTGAATATCAATGATGCCAAGGCTTTGGATGGCCAGCCCCACTAGCCGGGGCCGACCTCTCGCTGGTACTGCACAGTCTAAGGCATCGGCTCCAAAATGCAGACAGCTTGACTGATGAGGGGAATTCCCGAAAGTAAACCTTACCTACCTTGCTTGCTTACCTTGACAGCGTCGGCTTTTCATCTGTCGAGATGCCTCACGACGGGAGGCGGGGATTGAAGATAAACATTGATGATAGGCAATGGTCGAAAAGCTCGTCTCTGTGCACAAAGCTGGTCGCGAGTGAGCCAGGGAAGAGAGAGAAAAAAAAGCTTGGTGCCGATCCCCAGACGGAGGGAGTTGGGCATGAAAGACGGGAAGGCTGATGGGATGTTGCCATGCCTCTTGAGGACAAGCGCGTACCCGAGGTGACCTGGCCTCTCGCAGAGGCTGCTTCTGCGGGCTGGAGGCTGGAGGCTAGCAGAGGTTGGGCGGGGACGACGTGCATATAAAAATGGGCAGCATGTCCCACGAAAGGAACTCGTGCCGTGCCCCTCATCGAAGAAGGCCCTAGCTCCGAGAGTCCACCCTCCCTTTTTTTAGCATTTGTTTACTGCGCGCAGTGCAGTGCGCAGTTTCGCTGTCCGTCCGGTAAGCCTGCTGCATACCGTACCCAACAGTACCAGTACCGGTACCTTGAAACCTCGACGGGCTTGACTGCCGAGACTCGAGAGAGCATACCATCAGTACCGACGGCCTGGATATCCACATCCATAATCGTATCCAGTTTCGAGATCGGCCATCCAAATACTGCCCATCCAGACCCTGCATTGTGCAGACCAATCCGATTCGACAAACGATCAGGCGGGCAGGCTTGGACTTGATTGCCGTCTCTTGGGAGCTTTGGTTCCGGGAGTTCGTCACCACCAGGCTGCAGCTTGGTTTGTCTCTGCCTGCAAGAGCTGAAGGGTGATTGCGCACCCTCAGCCGTAGTCTTGTCGTCGCCAGCAGCCGTCTTCTTTTCTGTAAGACTGGGTTCGAGTCGGCACCCGTGGTTCTGGTTCATTAGCAGGAGCGCGTCTGACCGGCCACAGGCTGAGACTGAGACGGAGGAGGTGTGCAGCTCCACCTCGGGTCTGAGGATCGATCCCTGCAGCGCATATTGCCTGCATCACCAAGACTGCAGCTGCTCTTGATTCAGAACTTGAGGGCTGAGACGAAGACAGCTGCGAGAGCGCGAAAGTTGTTCAATTGATAGAGGGCTGCAGCGAAGTCGTCAAAGAGAGAGACAGAGAGAGGGAGAGAGGCGCGATAGTCCAGGCACGAACTTTGGAAGCTTTGGAGAAAAGGCCTCCGTTTCCAAGCCTACCCAGTCCGTGTTCTGCATTAGCCCCCCACCCTCCCTGTTACCCTGTCACCTTGCCCCTCCATCATCGCAGCTGCCCCCCAAGGCCCCAAGGCCAAGGTGCGAGGTGCGAGCTGCAAGCTGCAAGCTGCGAGACGCAAGACGCAAGACGCAAGACGCAAGGTGCTCTCCTGCCCGAGCTTTTGTCTCTGTCCTTGCAGCCGTTGAGAGAACAAGGTTCCAAGGTTCTTTTTTCTGCCCACCCCTCGGACCTGCTCTCTGCCCAGGCACTTGCCAGGTGCGCTGGAATCCAACGGTCCCACAAAAAAAGTATAAGACCCGTTACGTTCCTGGTCTGGGCCGCCCTCATTGTACTGTACCGTCAGCCAGTACTGTACACAACACCCCTGTTACGTTATTTGTCCTGAGAGGTCCCCAGTTTCCAGTTCCAGTTCCGGCACCGTTTTTTTTTGTTACCCGCAGCAGAGCAGAGAGCGAGAGAGAGAGTTTGTGTGAGAGAAAGAGAGTCAGAGAGAGACAGGGGGAAAAAAGACCAGACATGTCTGAAGAAGGCACATATGCACCTAAAAGCCCCGACCTCGCGTCGTTCTTTCAATCTCAACCTGAAGACCAACACCAACTCCATCAGCACCAGCAACAGCACCAGCAACAGCAACAGCAGCACCAGCAGCAGCACCACCATCAGCAACCCCCACCTGTCAGCCCCTCGCCCCAGAACATTAACTGGTACCACGCCCCAGGCGGCGACCAAAGTCACTCCCGATCTTATTCATATTCTGCCCTGTCTGCCTCTGCCCAGAGCCCGACTGGCCCTGCTTTCTCCAGCTACTCTTCCTACCAACCTCTGAGCGCAACAACGCCCTCATATACACATTCACCGCGTTTTTCGCCCCACCAACAACACCAGCAGCTGCAATCACATCCCCAGTCACTACCACAGTCTCAACCACAACCGCAACCCCATTCACAGCCCCAGCAGCCTTCTTTTTACTTCCCGCCCAACGCTGCCGTTCCACACCAACAACACGCACCCGCTCACCAACAACCCACCTATCAACAACCACCGTACCCACAACACCAGGCCTACCAGCAGCAAGGGTATCCTCAGCCACAAATTCAACACGACGTGCAGCCTTACCTCAAAACCGAGGATCCCTTTCACCACCAGCAAATCAAACCGGACTTCCCGTCCGACACCATCAAATCAGAGGACAATCCAGAAGACTCAAGCATGCCACCACGACGCTCTGCTGCTGCTGCCGCAGCGGCCGCCGAGGCCGAGGCTGCAGGCATGATGGAGTCACCAGTCAAGACCAAGTTTCCGACCGCCCGCATCAAGCGCATCATGCAGGCCGACGAGGAGGTCGGCAAGGTGGCCCAGCAGACGCCCATCGCCGTCGGCAAGGCGCTCGAGCTGTTTATGGTGCAGCTGGTGACCAAGAGCGCCGAGGTCGCGCGCGAGAAGAACTCGAAGCGCGTCACCGCCGCCATGCTCAAGACCGTCGTCGAGGCCGACGACCAGTGGGACTTCCTGCGGGACATCGTGAGCAAGGTCGAGCACGACAAGGACGGCTCAAGGGCCAAGGCCGCCAAGAACGAGAGCAGCGACACCGAGGAGGAGGCCGAGCCCAAGAAAAGAAGGGGCGGCCGCAAGAAGAAGGCCGCCTAGGAGAGGAGCGATTGAGCCTCGAGGGGGGGGAAACATTTAAATCCACAGCCATTATTTGGAAGGAAGTCGAGGGCGAGGTCATGTAGAGTGTTGAGGAGGAAGCGCGTCGCGTTGCTACCTATCGCTGCAGGGGAGCGAGGCAGATGGACTCGCAGAGGCCGGGATGGCTCTCGGTTCCGGTATCTCAAGGGCAGTCTGTCGCGGGCATCCGGAGCTGCAGCGTGGGTTTAAGTCGCGACACACGTCGACCAGATGAATGACCTGGATTTCATTTTCATTCACGGTATATGATGTGTCGCCGTTGTGTTATTGGCTGTGGAACTGGCGCGACGAAGGCGAGTCGCGAGGAGAAGGAGGAGCAGGAGGAGGGGCGAGACGAGGCGCGACCCGTGCGAGCGTCAATCCTGGCGGTACGCGCCTTATAACATTTTGTCAAGCTTTAGCGAGGCGAAGCGTCGGGACGAGATGTACAGTACCACTCAGGTCAATTCCACGTCGCGAGGTTGCGGGGCATGAACAACAAGAAGACATGATGAAGGCTAGCCTGCTTGAGGCTGCTGAATGCGGACACGAAAGTTCAAGAACTACACATATCACGATAGTACTCAATACCCAATTGTTTTTGAGTCCTATCAAGCGGACAACATACCCAAAAATGTTGCTATTTCTCTTTTAGTATTCCCCGTCGCAGGCCAGGCATCTATCCGCAGAAGCACACTCGACAGGAACCTCTGGGGCCCTGAGCTCTGGGCAGACGAGCGAACCTGAGGCCCAGCCGGACAAAAGTTATTCATCGGCAAACCAGAAAGCGTGAGCAGATCAGATCAAGTCAGACACAAGAAGAGAACAAGTTATTGACATGCGTCAAGTTGGTTCAAAGGAAAGTACTTTTTCTTCACGATACACAAAAACCAGGCAAAACGTGACAAACGTATGTATTCGGTACGGATGAGACATTATGATGTCTCAGCCTGCCCCTGCGAGCGTGGCAGACAGATATACGGAGTACAGTATACATTAGGCCGGTCCAGCCCTATCGTTCGTGATCTCCTGGTCAGAGTAAAGAACGAATCGTGGGTCAGCGTAAGCGACTCAGTTCTCTCTCCCCCTCTCTTTTCTCGCTCATCGTTTTTGTCGAGAGCCGACGACATAACCAGAACCGAATGTCCGATAGTCCCAACGCCGTTTCAGATGCTGTTGATGGTGGTGCTGTTGTTGGTGACGGTGATGATCAATCATGCAAGTCCATATTGTCATGGCTCAATTTTTTTGGTCTTCTATACTCGTGCGGTCGATGCTCGTTGACGCCGGCTTTGCTCTAATATATACCCTGTGTTCGATATTGGAATGTGTCGTATCTGCAGACCCCGTCAGTATGGCTGAGCTCCCAAGATATCCTGTCAAGCTTGTCTCGCAACTTACAGTCGAGTGTAGTAGCTGCCAATGGACTTATTGATCAGGTCCGTCTCGACGAACTGCTCTGCATCATCAGCGCTCAGCTGCAGCTGGAAACGCTGTCGCAGATTCGTTGTCACGGTCACAACACCGGCAGCAAAGCAAGGCATTTTGGAATCCCGGCCCATCATGGCGACGAGGTCGACAATGTTGTCGGCCGATCGTCGAAGTGCTGCAGCATTGTCAGTTGTGGGCCCAAAATTTATCTGCCTATGCGGTCCGTACCTTGGAAAGCCTGCTTGCACAGTCGTTTGAAGTCGTTCCACTCCGGAGACCCTATACCACCCAGAACTTCCACGTACTCGTGGGTTAGCTTGAAGGGTGCGGCCTCGAATCCAACAGACCCCGGGGAGTTTGAAAGCATGAAGCCAAAGTCGATATGCACAATGTGGCCCTCATTGTCGATCAGGACGTTCCCGTTGTGCCTGTCCTTCAGCTGCAACACGTATGAAATGACACTGTAGGCGGCAAGCGATCTCTTGAATGCATCGACGCCAGCTTTGTATGGCTCACTGTCGGGCGCGCCAAACGCTTTTGCGAAATGGTCTTTCAGTGTCGCAATCCGCCTCTTCGGGTTCGTGCCGGCCTCAGCCTGTGCCAACGTCAAACTTCGTTTGATGGAGTGAAGTGAGACGCCATTTGTGATTGTCTCAATGAGACCCGAGGACTCGCCCGTCACCAGAATTCGCATGACCTTTACCCAGACCCCAATCTTGGCATCGGTCCATATCTTGTCACAAACATCAATGAGCTGGCAAGCGAAGGCTTCTTGCCTCAAGTCAGCACCAGTCTTCACAATGACGCTCATCAAATCCCAGTTCTTCATCCAGCCGTAGGGTGAGGATCGTCGTATGCGCTCTTTCTTCATTTGCCAAGCTTCGCCGAAGACCGCCGCACTTGGATCGTCCCGGTCCCCTTTTTTCTGAAGACCACCGGTCTTGAAGTCATTTTCCATTCGCTCCACGCCAGCACTCGCATTCAACGCCGGGTCAAGGTTCGTATCTTCGTCGACTTCTTCGGAATTGGCTACTGCGTTCTGGACCGTGGTCTTGGCCATGATCTGATCAAATGTCGGCCCATGTCCATCATCTGTGTCGAAGTTCTGTTCCTCCAAACTCTGCATGCTTGCAATAATCTTTGCACGGATCGCCGCTACCTCGTGCTTCGGTCGTTTGCCACTGGTGGCGTCCAACTGGGCCAGCATTTGGGAGGCAGTTCGCATATGTGTTGCCAACGCAGAAAAGTCTGGCTGGTCCACAGACGCGTTTCGTGGGTTTGTGTTGATGGTCATTCTCCTCAAAGAGCGGCTGCTAGGACTGCTGGATCGACTGGTTGAAGCGGCTGAACTCCTAGGCGTCACCAACTCGGAACTCGTCGACACTGTTGGCGTTAGACTAGGTAGTTGCTGAGGGGCTGGTTTCCTGGTTTTTATGGCCTTGCTGTCGATGGGCTTCAGCACGGGTGACGTACCGAGGTCTCCAGAGGAAGGCTCAAAAACGCTGTCAGCAGATTCCGTAGAGGTCTCTGTGTTCTTTGACGTGGATATCTTTGGTCTCTCGGATAGGTCAAATATACGTCGCCTCGATCCTTGCTCCGCCACTAGTGTTGCCAGTAACCTCTGGTTGTCTTGAGAATCGGGGTCAAAAGTAAAATCGTCGCGTAGAATCTCGATCATCAGAAGGTAGGGCACCTTTTCTGCGCTATTAAGAACAGTTGCCTCTGCTGGGTTGATCCTTACGATCCTGTGGTGTTTGCTCCTTGACGGAGACCCATCTGTCAAAGTCGGTGGGCAGATTACGGGAATGTCCACCTCAGCCCTATTCGATATTTGAGTTAGTAAATTCGGCAAGAAACTGGCTCGAGCTGTGTGACGTGACAGGGGAGCAGGTCCTAGGAGTAGACCTTTCGGAGTCTTTACAATCCTAGGTCGCGGTAACAAAGCAGGATGCACATGTGATCACACAATCGCCAGCCAACTAAACATCGACTATTTGATCACTTGTGATCATCACACGGCAGGTTATCACCAGCCCAAACATCCGACATCAGAGGTGTTTGAGCTGACAAGCCCCACTTTGGGGCATTCCAAGGTATTGTTACCACCTGGCTCCTCGACCACGTCCCACAATTCGAGGAACAGGCTTGAGGACAATCTAGGGTGCGGAAAGTACTAACGGCAAGTCCTGCGCAATCAAGGCCAATTCCGCTCGCAGAGCGCTCAGACGAGCTGCCTTCGGGACAACAACCAGTCTGTTCGAAATATCCTCCAATGCCGTCAGGAACTGTGTCTGACATCGGAAATAATTTTGTCTCAGAAGCCTTGCTCTCTGAATCTTCGACATGTCGCTCTTGTTCAACACGCCTTTGGCGCGCTCGGAATGCCGACGGGTCAACAACGGGTTCTCAGACGGCGGTAGACCTGCGGTTACTGGAGTTGGAGGCCGGGGCGGAAGGGGCGATTTCACTTCGGGCAGAGGGAGGGAGGCTGTACTGAGCCGTGCATCTATAGCCTTCATGTCCAGATGGCTAGTTGGCCGCTTCGTGGGTTGTGCAGGAGTCGGTACGTTCGAGCCAGAAGACGAAGTCGGTCGCGAAGGCGGAAGGTTTTGTTTCCGTGGGGTGCCAGGTGAGTCCCTAGGTGGTGAGCCCCTGGGATCTGGCGCACTTGTGACACGGCCGCCATCTCTCGTCGTGCGTCTTGCCCTGTTTGCCTGAGCGGCCGAGACGGTTTGTGCCCTGGTTATCTTCGGTTGCGTCGGTTCCAATACCACGTCGTCGATGGGCTGTGGTTTCTTGGCTTGCGCGACGGCAAGTGGCCCTGCCCAGTGAGGCAAGCCTGGAACAGCCACACTAGACAAAATCAAGCTCGCCAGGACGGTGACTGGCAGCGCGTTCTCCTTGATCTTCTCGTGCCTGGCCGCGTCACCCAGCCCGAAAACTATGTGCTGGACCTTGTTGTAAACCCTTCGACATGTTCTGAAAGCCTCGGAGTGCGGATTGGAGGATAGATCGGTCAAATAGCTCTGGAACAGCCAAAAGGCCTGGGTATGGATTAGCAGGAGAGGCCGCGGCTCGCGTCCGGGGAAAGAGACTGACTAGTAGAGCTCCAGAGACGGATTCCTCGCAGAGGTCCAGCAGGAATTCCTCAAGTGCCATAGACTCATTGTTGACGCTGATGATGAGGTGGCACAGCTCGGGAAGGAAGAACTCGACGTCCTCGTAGGGGAATTGGCGGAGCTTATTGCAGAGGACATAGTGGATTCCAACATGGTCAGCGTATCGACTGCGCATGGGAATTGTTAGCTCGGGCGAGTGCTGAATACTGCACGGCAGCTGGCGCAGGCCAGAAGGGGGTCGGAGGGGCTCGGGAGGACGTACGTCAGGTAGGAGACGGAGAGGAAGGGGTTCTGGTTGAAGACGTCGCTGTCAAAGAACCTCTGCAGGAGGTCCCACGACATTGGATCCGCAGGTGGTCGAGAAGTAGACTATTTGGAGTTCTTGAATCGGAGCTGGATGAGAGGGACGGGGAGGGCGGGCGAGAGGCACGAATACGAGGCAGTTTATCGAGGCTGGGCGGGCGCGATGAAGGAGTGACGAGAATACAAGCCGCGAGCGCGGATTGCTTCATATAGATTCGACATTAAATTGTTGTAGCGAGTAATGAACTTTCATGGCCGACAGCTCAGCAAGGCATGGGTGTAGGAGAACAGGTTGTCGGCGTCGTCCAGCGGAAGAGGGAAGGGTTGAGGTGGTGTCGTGGTGTTATAGTGCAGTGTAGTGTAGTCGGTGCAGAGCCGAGCAGGACAGGTAGTAGGTAGTAGCAAGGGCCCAATGAATGCCAATTGGAGGCAGCCAGGCTGTATACAAACCGACCAACTGTACAGCAAGGTACTGTACGCTACACTACCACAATGGTCCGCTCCGGGGCGGGAAGGGTCTTGTTTGGGTGTAGTTTGACCCCTCGGCGGGAAGCTCCCCGAGGGCATCCGGCACTCTGGCGGCACTCTGGGGGTCCTGGCACCTGGCTCTCGGGCACTCTGGTACTGCAGCCCATTTGTCAACATGCGCTTGGAGGAGGGAGCTCCCAGTCGACCCCACCTGCAAGCACCTGCACTCATTTGTCAGGTCATGTCAGGTACCTAACTTAGTACCTAGGTTGGTTTGACTACCTTGGGTTTGTAGGTATTATTATCTCTTGCGATACTGTATATGTGTCGCCTATTCACCGAAGCCGCATTGGGCTGTCACATGTTCTGAGATTGTCTTTCTTCAAATATCACGCTACGGTCTCTTGAAGGGCCTGTTCAGCAATCACGTCACCAACCCTTGAACGGTACAACGCCTTCTCGATCATCTGACGCATCTTGGCAGGAGTCGAATTAAGCTCACATACTTTGGTCGAGTCTAAAACTGCCCGGCTGTGTGGTTCCCAAGGCCTTGTAAACATACCTATGCAGGATATGAGCCTGTTGCATGGGGCCAAGTCTCGATATTTCAGCAACGTGCCCAGCGGTACCAGCAATTACTCGAAGCTCGATTATTCCGACACACACAGGATCATGATCGCCATCAATAGTTTTTTCCGACGCACCCCCACCCCTATACCCCAGCCCATGCGATAGCAGATGCTGGCTACAATATGCCCTCCTTTGCCAAGCTTGGCACGCTTAAAATTATCTCCAGTTTTAACCCCTTTTCTTGACATCATTCGTGAAATTCTTGCTTGCTTTTACTGCGCTCACAAAAAAAATCCTAGCAATGGTTGGCCGTCGTAACCTGCCTCACTTGGGTATCTCATATTTCCAGCTGCTCAGGGCCACCGGCGTCCCCTTTGGGACCAACCTGGGGTCCTCCAGTGGGTCTTCTCCGGCTGTGGATGCCGGCTAGATTCAAATCACCCGAGGGGGCATGACGTGGACAATCCATGAGAACGGCATTCTTGAGACGGTACTCATCTACCGGAAAGTCCCAGCAGAAGATGTACGAGTCAAGAGACAATTGTCTCTGAGAATCCCCGCTCAGAGTGACTATGAGAAGTTGTGAGTATGGACAGCCTGTGGCAGATTCTTTGGGATATGTGTTCTTCCGAGGCAGATCGAGACTTTCCTCAGTCCAGACACTCGAAGCTTCTGCTTTTCTGAAGGTTGGAGAGACAAGCTCTTCCACTTTCGGCCTGACGCCGAGAGGTAAGTACAGGCTTTGCCAAGTCTTTGAGCGATTAAACGAATACACCGAAAGGAGAGTTAAGCAACTGGCTTATGGCTGTCAAAGTCTCGCCTAAGCTGTATGTAAATTGGGGCTTGTTATTAATAGTCAAAGCGTGCAGTCTCGCTTCCTCCCTTCGCTTATCCTTTCACTACTTTGCCTTACCCAGAGCCCAAAATTCCAGTAACAATTCGGTTTACCAGGCAAAATTGAATTACATTTTTTTCAGCCGGCTCTGTAAATGCAGTGACCTGTGGGATTCTACACTTCTTTTCATACATAGACAATCAAGACACAGAATCGAGAAAGGCAAAGAAACCCATTTAAATACTGAGTCTCGGGGACAATTTTTCTAGAAAGGCAATTCCAAATGGAATCATTAGTTATGAACAGCTTCTTGAAATAGGTTGTTTTGTCGTGAAGCCTTAGAATACTACTCTACACAGCAAAAGGAACGTCATATCTAGATATACAACTTCGCATGGCGATAGCTGGCGTAGATGATGCTGACTGACATACGAGGATCTGAGCAGTTCATGTTCATTTAAAACACGTTCGGCGAATCCATTGAGTCCAGCATGGAGATGACAAGTGTCAGAGTAAGAGCAATTACCTTAGATCCAGCTTTAGGAAGAGAGCTACCCGACCACTTTTGGGCTAGCACATATTTCCTTTGGATGTCTTCGCAATTTAGTATCTACAATAGAATTACGATGTCAGTGCCGTGATCACACTTGGGCTGCTGCTTCAAATGCAGACTTGATTCAGTCGAGTGAAGCTGATGCAAGCCCGCGATTCTCATCGTCAGAGCCAACGGCTGTGTTGAGGCCTTGATTTTCCAGCGACCAGGTCATCGCAATGCAAGTGAACCGACTGGAGGCAAGTCCACGCCGTGAGTGTTGCTTGGACGAATCGTTCATCCTTCAAGACAATAGCAGGAGAATTACTCCACTGCATGGTATTGTTCATCAAACAGGGGACGCACAGCAAAGCAAACGTACTCTCGTTCGTCACGAAAAGCAGATCGAGACTCTCGGTGTTGGCCTCGTAATCGTCCTATGCCCTCCATTCTTACAAGTTTGGGAGCTGGCTGAGGAAAAAGCCATCTGAACTTGACACTGGGGTTGGCCGACCAGGTCTTTTGCGCCTTCTTCGATTTGGACTTATTCCTTCCGTTTTCTTGTCGACAAGTCGCCCTCGACGATTGCCGCGACTTCGTCTTTTCAACCTCAACAGAATTTTATCTCTTCTTCAACTGTCGACACCCAAATTGGATTTTATCTTCACCTTTCTCACCTCGACCAACAAAGAACTTACCTTTCATAGCGAAGACTGTCCAACATGTCTGAGGCAGTCTACTCCCCATCTTACGACTCGCCCGAGCCTGAGGCGCCCCGTACGTCCTACCACAAATGGAACCACTTCGAGGTACGCACTTTGGTCTGCCTCATCATCAAGGGCGAGCACAAGGTGTCCAAGGATCCCATGGACATGACCGACAAGCTCAACCGAGCCCTCAACCCTGGCTCCTCGGGCAGTAAGCCAGCCTACACTCGCGACATCCCCCACGAGGAGGTACAAACGATGCTGAGGCGCATCCTCTCCAAGAAGCTGCACGCGGTGGACCTGGCCGAGCGCAACTACCAGACCCCGGTCACCCGCGCAAAGGTGAACGCCTTCATGCGAAACCTGGGCTTCGACGGCAGCGAGGAGGAGTGGAAGCTGGGCAGGAAGGAGGAGGTCAGGGTGGAGAATGAACAGAAGTTGTTGCGCTTCATGATCAGAAAGGAAGGGGGCCGACCCAGCCCTCGGTCGCGGGACGAGAGAGACAGACGCAGGATGCTGCTCCGCGAGCCAAGGGCGAAGCGCCTCCTACGTGGTTGGAGCATCGGTGCCAGTTTCTGGGAGGGTATGTACTTCTGTAACGCATCTCCTCCTAAGACTTCAACTGACTTTTCTTCAGGACCCAATGGCGAGAACCGCTCCAGAGGCAGAGAGAAGGGTAGAGGCTCCACTGCGTCGTCTGCAACCGTCGTTGACCCTGCCAACATTCCCTACATTACTGACAAGGCTCCTTCTCAGCCTGCTCAGTACTTCACTCCCAACACCCCCAACACAGCAGTGGCCATGTGGGGCGGAGGGTTTGGTCATTTTGCGGCAGCGACCCCAAAGACAAGTGCCATCGTGCCTCCGTCCATGTCATTAGCTCCTGTGCTCGATTACGAAAGCTACGGAAACACATATCAGCTCTGAGGTGCAAGTGACGCACAAGCAAGTGCCCAGATCGGGCCCGAGATGGGGAAGGATTCTGAACTTAGAGCAGTCAAAGGGGCATACTGAAGGGAGATCAAGTTGAAGATGCTACACAGAATGGATTGAATGGTGACAATAGTAGCCGCAAAAGGGCTTAAAAGGAGAAATGAAAGAACTCGTCTACGAATTGAAATGCCAATTTGCCTTACTAAGACCCCTGGACATTACCATAATCCCATCACAGCCACCAACACAACATCTGGCCAAAAAGGGTTCAACCGGTCCCAGAACTCAAGAAAGCGTGAAAAAGGACCCAGCCGGCCCAACACTAGTCACCACAACATCAAACAGAGGCAACTCACCACCCGCGCCGCCGACATGGCCGCCGATGACGCTGGCACACAGGCGGCTGAGGTCGTCCTCGCCGTACGTGGTGAGGTCATAGCTCTCGCCGCCGGCGAACGCGACGCGCGTGACGTTGGCGCGCAGGTGCCTGTCCGCTGAGGGCGCACCGTCCGGCCCCGCCGCCGCCTTGCCGAACGCCGAAAAGAGATGCTTGAACAGTATTGGGTTGTACTCGACGTAGCGCAGCGCGGCAGCCCGCACGTGTGGCCGCGTCGGCGGCGTGCGCACCACGATGCGCTGCTCGCTGGCGTCGCCCGTGCCGGGGACGCGCGACTTGATGCACAGCCGGTAGTCGATGGCGGCAGGGAACTGGGGCTGCTGCTGCAGGAGCGGTGGCGGAGGGGGCTTGTTGGGGCTGGCCACGTGAGTGGGCGTGGAAGAGGTCGATGATGAAGATGATGATGGGGCGGACGGGGGTGGCGCCTGGGTGGCTGGGTGGGCGTCTTGGCCAAGGGATATCGGGCTTGTGGACTTGCGGGGTGCCGCGATGTTGTTGTTGCTTATGAGGCTGATGTTGCTGACGGCGGACTTCACCTGGGGCTGTGGCGGTAGATTGTTGGGCGGTGGAGGTGGTATCAGTCTCCCAGGCATTGGGCCTTGGAGGCGGAACGGCTGTGATGGATGGGCCCGCAAGCCTTCCATTGGGATATGCTCGGGGTATAGTGGATGACCTGGATGTCCGACCATGACCGGTGGTGGGATGGGAGCTCCAGGACCGGCCCTCCATCCCCCGGGTTGCAATGGGCCCATCGCAGCCGGTGGCCCTGTCGCGCCAGGAGGGACATGACGAGCGATGGGGCCACCAGCATTGGGGCTGAATGCCCCTATAGGACTCGAACGCCGACGGTGGATGGGGAAATTATGCTGAGGCGCATGGTGGTGTCCTCGCAGCTGGTGTCCTTCGTGCGGGAAGTCCGGGTCATCCCGCCTCGGTGAGCGAGAAGAGCGCCTCACCCACTTGGGATACATGTGGGCGTTGCGCGAGGGGTGGGTGCCTCTCGCCCTGGCATAGCGAGCGCCGCCCTCGTCTTCTGTCAGGCTCTCGTAGGCTGACTCGGCATCGAAAGACAAGGCCGAGTCACCTAGGTCCTTATCCAAATCACCTTCGATGACATCGGACGCCGAGGAGACGGAAGAGACTCCGTCGTCCTCGTCATCGATCACATCAACAACCCTCTTGGCGCAGGGGACAAATTCGAAGCCATTGGTGGTGATGTAGTTCTGAACCGCGTCCGCAGACTTGACCAGAAGCAACTCGTACGCTTTCTGGACCGTATCGGCACTCTCGGAGGACAGCAGTGCCTCCCTTCGACCGTCGTGCTCAGCCCGTATGACGACTGCCTTGAAGTTTCCCAGAGGCTCACGAGTGAGGATGACGCCTATGTGGGCATCACGAGCAGAGAAGAAAGAGCAGTTCTCTGCCAAAAAGCACACGTGAGTATAAGATTTGAGAAAAAGCAAGACGGAGCACAAATGTGGGACTACATGTGCGAGCATAGCAAGAATGATAACATATGGAAGGTTGGCCTACCAACTATCTGCGCGCGGTATCCGCCCATGGTCTGTCTCCAAGTGCCACCGGCTGCCATTATGGTCCCAAGGGATGCCGTTGGCTTGATCGAGGTCGCCGGATAGTGAGAGATGCGGTGGAGAGGGCGGAGGGTCATGGGGCGTAGGAAGCACAGACAATTGCGCCTCTGGGGAGAAGGGAACGAATGATTCGATTGAGGCTCCCGCATCGCAGGAGATGAAAAATGAGCACATTGTCTCTTTATATATCAGGTGAAAGCCGAGCGAGTATGGTTTCACGACAGAGCTTGTTCCATGCGCCACAAGGACGGCTGCGTCTCTGTCCGCCTCGTTTACCTGATAGGCTCAAAAGCTTGCAAGCCCGGACATGTAGCATACCGAAGACGAAACCAGCACGGCGCCCTCTAACGGATACGGACATGGATGTGACAAGGTGCTCCTGAAATCCTCGGACTCCCGCACGTGGTCATGGCTGCGAGACGTAGAAAGATTTGCTTCCAAGAAGCATACAAGCCGGTGTGAGCTGAGAGGAGGCTTGGAGGCTTGGGCACTGCACTGCAGCACACCCCCAATGCAACCTCATTCCGCCTTGGGACACGACCGTTTGTGATACAGAGAAGAATTCGCCCTGCTCGCCTGCCTCTTTCCCCCGGTCCGGAGCTGTGCTCCGCTAAGCCACCGAGCTGTCCAAGCGATGACGCGGAATGAATAGGGCGGCTGCATTCTGGACGACTTTCGATCCGCACCAACGCAGTCTCGGCCCAATTTGACTGTCTCGTCAACCCGTCTCACGAAGACCTGGGCGGTCGAGCGTTGTGCTGTCATCGCTACGTGTAGCATCCAAGCCTGGTTCGCGTCACTCCTGTGGCAGAGGCAATGGTGCTCTTGTGTCGCCCGAGCCAAGCACGATCGCGCGGCTGCTACCCAAATACTCAACGGAATTCCGGAGCACTTGAGGACCCTGTCCCCAGCCCTTTGAAAACTTGCAAACATGGTGATATCTGATTATGAGTAGGACGTCCGTCGCGCGCATTAGATTCTCGCTGTGTGGATGTGTAATGTGTGAGGTGGGCAATCCTGGGCGACCGATTTCTGAGTGGTCAGTTTGTATTACGAGCAAGGCAGTGCCCAGTAGAAAAGCCAGGCAAGGCGGAGTTGAGTTATCGAGCCGCCTCATTAACTCGCGAGGCTGCAAGATCTGCTGGATGGTGACGGTGGCAAACAATTCCGTGATCGACAATTAGGATTATGTCGTATTGGCTTAGTTGTTTTGACTTTGCTTTTTCCTCCGATCGCTCGGTTGCTGATCCTGCCGCATGGCACCTTGCAGCCCTGCCATCCTGAGGAGCTCAACCAACCGACAACCTCTCCAGCCTATCTTGCAAGGCATCCACAAGAGCTGTCTCCCTGTCCAAGAGATTTCTGACCTGGGATATCTTGGCCTTCCTCAGCTCGGAGGGTATCCTGAGGCTCACTATAGACGAGCCAGGGCTACCCTCTGAGTTCCCCTCACCGGATTTATCCTTGCCCTCGAAGCCTGCTACCTGTCCCGCCAACTCTTCCTTGAGGCTCCTGATCTCTCGGATGCGCTCCAGGGGTTGTTGTGATTTGGTCGCACCTGCGACCACTATTGCCCCCTTGTCGCCCTCGCCAGGTTCAGATAAGTTCTGCTCGACTGTCTTGACTTCCTCTACCCACGCCCTTTCTTTGTCGCTGAGTTCGCGACTCGTGTGCTGCTGGACCTTCCTCCTCAAGTTCTCAAATCTCTGCATCAATTCTTCATGCTTCTTTCGTCGCGCAAACACGGCTCGGGTGAGGCGTGTATCGTCCGACTCGGTTTCGTCGTCTCTGCCTGTAACCCTATCAATCCTGCCCTTCAGATCATTGGCCTTGACGATCTGCTCCTTCAGCTCCATCCGCAAGGCATCACACCGTCGAAAAAGTTCCGAGACTGCCTCATTAAGACGCCCGGATTCTGTGCTGATGATTTGGTGCGCGTTGGAAAACACCTTTAGTGTGGCTGGTGACAGGCGGATCTGCTGTTGCATCAGTGCAACGTGCCGACTTGTCATCAGCATTTGCTGAAGCTTATGCAAGTTCGATGATTGATCAAAGACTGCGGAAGGCTGGTATGCGGGTCGTGGCGTGAACATCTCCATGGGGACTTTTTGTTCTGGTGTGGGCTCGTAGAACGGCGTCGGGGAAGATGACGATTTAATGGGTGGAAGCTCATCCTCGGGCGTTTCGAGCACTAGAGCCAGCGGATCCGAGGGCTTGGCTGAGAGAACGAAGTAGCCAAGGTCAGGGTCACGGATCGCGACACACGCAGCCAGGGAATTGCCCGGTGGCGGCTCAACGTAGATTCGGTCAAATGCCGACTTTCCACTTGCGATCAATCCGATCCTGAAATCTGACCCTGCCTCTGCCTCCCCACTCAACTCGCTTTCGAGTCGGAACACCCACGGAGACAAAGACACACTTGTGATTCCGGAATTGTGCGTAACGAAGAAGGAGTATCGGGATGTCGCATCGTCGCTGAAGACAGGCCAGCAGTCAGGCGTCACCTCGGACAACGCGAGGACGTCCAGTGTCTCATAGGTCAGCAGAGAGGGCAAGTCCTCGCCGTCAGTGAAGACACTGGGCTTAGACTTGACGCGGGGCGGCAGCCACTTTGCCTCGACGCCATTCAAATCCAGACATATCCTGACTTGTCCACTTGTCGAAAGAAGACAAATCACAGTCAAGGACAGGCCTTCCTGTTCATTCTCATCGAGCTCTAAAACCTCATCCTCTCCGAGCATGAGATCGTCTGTCTCCATTTTCTGACCAATGACGTAGATGTCTGAGAGCTCCATGTCAAGGTCATCCTGTTCGTCCTCGTTTGGTTCCATGTCGAAATCGAAAGGTCCTTGGAGCCTAGGTATCAATCCTGGGTGTGTTGGACGCCGGTATACCTCGATGGGTGGTTCTCCCAAGGTATCTTGAATGATCTTGGGCTCCTGGTTATCCAGATCAGACATCCATTCGAGCTGCTGCTGCGAAAGGAGCTTGTCTTGTGGGGAAACGTCGGGGTCGTCTTCGATGGCTGCCAGTTTGGCCACGATAGAGACTGAAAGTGACGGGACAAGGGTAGGGGGCGGGGCCCAGAGTTCTGGGAGGAGTGGGCACAAGGCGTAGACGTCGCCTCCTCTCATGGCAATGTACAGAGTCATTGAGGACCAGAGGCCGGATCCCCTCGCAGCGAAAGATGCAGCCGCCACCTCCATGTCAAACATATCTGGCGAGAAAGAGGTATTTGTCGCTGTCGTGGATGCTGTGAAGTCCTGATCTAGAGTGACGCCATTGGCTAATTTCTTCAGGTCAACAGACAGCGTTGGAGCGTCAAACGACCATCTGTCGGCGGGAGAGACCTCCCACACCCGAACCACGGCATCTTCAGTAACTGTGACAAGTGACGTGCCTTTGACACCGAGAGGATGCCAGAGCGCGGACATGACCGCAGACTTCGATGTGACATGAGTCGTCGGGCCCAGCGTGAAGAACTTCGGTTTGAGAGGTGTGCTGTCCGGCGCGGTGAGATGCGAGGAGTCGGGGAGGACGCAGACATGTACGGTATGGGCGGTCAAAACTGCGAGGTAGTTCGAAGTTGGTGAGACGACGATTTGCCTGATCTCATCGGCCACAGGAGTTTTGATGATCTGCAAGCAGTGTGAGCGCGAGATGTCACATGCCCAGTTTATTGCTTGCTTCAACTTACCCTGTATCCCTCAGCAGGTTGCCCGTCGGCGCCTTCGGTGCCAATTCGTGTCTCGTCGTAGATTGAGAAAGAGCCGTTAGAATCCTCCCTCTTGATGCGAGTACTGGCTCCCTTCTCTGCCCAGGACTCTTTCAGGTACACCAAGTCACCCCATCGTATCTCTCGATTGACCGCGACAAAGACCTCGGTACCGCGGCGCGCGATAGTCCGTCGTGGACCAGGTCTTGCCTTCTTAGTGGACGCATAAGGGGAGAATACGGATGTGTTGAGATCTTCTGGTGTGGCCTGGAACAGAGCGTGTCCTGGAGCTGGCTTGCTGAGCCAGCTCGGTGTGTATGATTTGACCTTGATGTTAGACATGTTTTGCGACCCAGGTCACTGCTCCTCCAGGCAGGTAGCAATGCTAGCAAAATGCAATGTCGCTCGCCGTGATTTGATTCATACGGTATGTCGTCGCAAGGGCTGAAAGATCGGTCAAGATTGGACTAGGAATGGTGTGTGAGGTTGAAGGTGGAAAACATAGAAGCCCAAACCCAACGAAAGTGCAGCAAGAAAGGTGGCAGGGGGGAGCTTCACTTGACATTTTTAGCGCGTTCCTTTGAGCTTCCCGCGCTTGGTGACCCACACTGGTAACTGCAGCTGCAGCCGTCTTCAACTTACACCAATAAAGCGACTGCAATCCCGTCCATTGACTCCCTTCCTTCCCGCACACCACATTCACGACAAGATGAGACCACACGTCCGGAGCACAGTCGATCGGCTCGACCGGCCAAGCGCCTACTACACCAGTCGGGCAAGTCTTCCTCTGCCACCGAAATCCATGAATGCGCGAGCTAACCGTGAGCATCCGGGCAACAGTTCAACAAGCGCAACCGTCGCAACGATCGCGGCGACGAGCACAACGGCGACGCCGAGCCCGAGCAACCCCCAGAGGACCCCCTCGCAAATGCCACCACCCTCTACGTGGGTAACCTGTCATTCTACACAACCGAGGAGCAGGTGTATGAGCTGTTCTCCAAGTGCGGCGAGATCAAGCGGCTGGTCATGGGCCTGGATCGGTTCAACAAGACGCCTTGCGGTTTCTGCTTCGTCGAGTACTACACGCACCAGGACGCCTTGGACTGCATGAAGTACATCGGCGGCACGAAGCTGGACGAGCGCATCATCCGTACTGACCTGGACCCGGGATTCGAGGAGGGCAGGCAGTACGGCCGTGGCAAGTCTGGCGGACAGGTACGTGGCTCTGCGGCATCCCCCTTGCCTATTGTCCCGCTGACCAAATCACGACAGGTGAGAGACGAATACAGAGAAGAGTTCGATGAGGGCAGAGGCGGCTTGGGCAGGGCTCTACAAGGAAGAGACCGCGATCTGGAGAGTGATGAATACGGCCGCTTTTGAGAGGTTGTAGCATGACCTAGGGAGAAAGGCACTGAAAGCATGCGAAAATTTCAGCTTCATCCTCAAGAAGCGAGCTTAGGTGAGGGAATCACTGGTCCTCAAAAGCAATGGCACGCGAGCTCTAGGGGGTCGCAAGATCATCGCAAGACCACGAAGTCGATAATCTTTCTCATCGGCTGATCGCATTCCGCACGAATGCATCTCACGGGAGACTAAGGAACCAACCAAGGACGTGGATCACATCGATATAGGAACGGTCAGGCGCAAGGCGCAATATTGGACCACAAAGCACTGCCTTTCATCATGAAGCTGGGCTGTCTGCTATTGGTAGACGTATCTACAAAGTTCTAATTCCTCCACCTACAAAGATGTTGGTACAAATCTTTATCATGCCTCTTCGTGATTCTTGCCAGGTTCAGCGCTCCGCTTGCCGCGCATGTATTCATCGAGTAACCTCGGATCTCCTGCGCATTTCAGAGGTCTGTCATGGTCCACCTCCTCACACCTCGCATCGGCGCGTCTGCGTTGAGTGTTGTTTTCGATTCGCTATCGTATGTTTCGTGGCCAACCCGAGCCTGGCGCCATGATCGCCTATATGCAATGCAGCGACTCAATTGTACACCACGTTGACCGTCAACACTCCAAAGAAACCACCACGTCGTTGTACATAATCGTCTAGTATCCAGGAGGATTGAGCCGTTGAGACACTCTCGTCCACTTGGGCAACTCTGTAAACACACCTCAAGTTAGCAAAAGAAGCTCCATGCCCAACACTTACCACCTCATATCCGCTGTTTCCTCGGCACAACGTACTGTGTATTCCCTTGCGGTACCTCTTCTCCTTGCGGTCGAAGATGGTGTACTTGTCCTTGGCTCGCATCTCCTCCTCCTTGGGCATCTCAGCCTTCCACCGCTCGACGGACTTGGTCGTCTCGCCCTTCTTCGCCAGCGCGCCGTCGATAGTCGCCACGACCGAGTCGACCGCCCGGAGGCGGAATCGCTGCCGTCGCTTCTGGAACTTGGACAGCCGCCATGGCGTCTTCCACAGCAGGCCGCTACTTAATGGGTTCGTGAATCTGAAGGGACCGAACATGGCTGCTGGTTCGGGAGGGGGGTAGAGGTGGGCGATCGTATGTATGTGTGTTGGTGTCGACGCTGGAAGCTGGGAAATAGGAAATTTAATGATTGCTCGCGCGCCGGCCGAGATGTGATGCGATGCTCGAAAAGAATGGAGCTAGCCTAGCCCCCTGTAGTTTGGGGTGGGCCCAATCGGTAGATACCGTTACTGTGGGGGTTCTGCGGCCGCTGGCCCACCTCAACAGTCGCAGGCGCTGGGAGGACCTCAGGTTAGGATCGCAAAGGCATCCCGTCCCTTGGTCCAGCCAAGTGTGTTCTCCCAGGAACACGGCAGGAGAACAGGAGAGCAGTCTCGCCAGATGATCGACCGATAACAGAAAGATGTCCTACTACTTTGCCATCATTGGCACCCAAGACAACCCCCTCTTCGAGCACGAGTTCGGCACCTCCAAGCAGGGCGGTGATGGGCAGTCGCGCTTCACGGACCAGGCCCGCCACCTGAACCAGTTCATCCTGCACAGCTCGCTGGACGTCGTCGAGGAGGTGCAGTGGAATAACGGACAGCTGTATGTACAGTCAGACCCAAAGACAACAAACCATCACAATGCACCTCATCGCACGATCCACTTCACACCTGCCCCATCCCAAACCAAGTGAGCCCAGACTGACCATACGCTCCCTCCTTGTCCCCGCCGAGCAGGTACCTCAAAGTGATCGACAAGTTCTTCAACAACTATATCTCGTGCTTCGTGACGGGCGCCAACGTCAAGTTCCTGCTGCTGCACCAGCCCTTCGGCGGCTCGTCCTCGTCCGGCTCCTCGCGCTCCTCCACCTCCATCGCCGCGAACCCCACCAGCGCCGCCACCGAGGAGGCCATCAAGAGCTTCTTCCTCGAGGTCTACGAGAACTGGGTCAAGGCCGTCATGAACCCCTTCTACAAGGTCAACCAGGAGGTCAAGAGCCCGATCTTCAGGCAGCGGGTGTTCGCCGCGGGGAGGAAGTACTTGTAGGCTCATGGTCTCGGAGATATTGAGTATCAGCACTACAGGCGTGTTTGTTGGCTGAATAGGGTTTTGAGAGGCGTACAATATACGGTGGGTGTCAACACGAGGGTTGACTTGGGCTGCGATTAGAGCGGGAACCAACCATGATATAGATGTGCTGTCCAGAGCCCGAGATTAAACACCCACCGTCCGATACACGTCACGATGGGGTCTTATAGACATCGATCCATACATCACAGAACATGATAGTCACAGCACGAGAGGAAAACAAGCAGTTCAGTATGTTCATCAAGTGTATTTGCGGCGCACTTGTCTGTCGACCAAAGGGAGGCCGTCGCCTAATTCCGACGCCCTGTCATACCGGTTGATCCGTGATACCCCAACGCCCAAAATCAACAAATGTCGCAGTAGCCTCCGCCCAGCTTTGCTGCCGTATGATCATCAAACAAGTTCACTAAGCCCCAGCGGTCCCCGACCTCTAGTTGCCTTGCCCCATGCTGTATCGCGAAGGTGCCGAAAGAGCCCAAGTGCAAAAACAACAGAATGCATCCATCCTCCACACGCTTCCCCAGCCATCCGGTGTCAAGCAAAGCAGAGGGTTGCTTAACCACCGAAACCGTACAGGGTACGGCCCTGGCGCTTGAGGGCGTAGACGACGTCGAGAGAGGTGACGGTCTTGCGCTTGGCGTGCTCAGTGTAGGTGACGGCGTCACGGATGACACCCTCGAGGAAGGACTTGAGGACAGAGCGAGTCTCCTCGTAGATCACTGTCGAATAGGTTAGCGAGCTGTCACTAGTAGACGCGTTGGCATTGGTATCATGTATGACTTACTGGCAGAGATACGCTTGACACCACCACGACGAGCGAGACGTCGGATAGCGGGCTTTGTAATACCCTGGATGTTGTCACGAAGAATCTTTCGGTGACGCTTGGCACCGCCCTTGCCGAGACCCTTGCCGCCCTTGCCGCCTGTAGAAGATGCACGTCAGTAAGAGATAATCATAGTGAGACAGACATTTGTGTAATTGTGGGAGGGTTGGTGAGACTTGACGCGGTTGCATGTGGTGTTGATGCAAGACGCGTCGAGGTGCAGTGGTGTCTCGCCCCACCACCACCAACACGGACCAAAGAGGCGGTGATGGTGACGGAATACAGCAGGTGCAACGGGGTCAAAGACGACGCGTTTGAGGACAGCGACAGGGTAAATCACGGGTATACTTACGTCCAGTCATTTTGAATGAAGTTGATGAAGAAAAATGTAATGTTTAGTTGATGAAACCGATGTCGCGGTGGACAAATCGATGGGTTGTTGATGGGGATTGTGGTTGTTGATTGATGGACGGTGAGAGGGGGAGATAAGAGAGGGAGAGAGGGAGAGGCGAGATACGAGGGAAATGGTTGTTAAATAAGGGGGCGCGGGCAGTTGACTGATCTGGAGGGTGATCTGGGTTGTGGTAACTCGCAGGCGCTAGTCAGTTTTGGGGTCTGCTCTTTCCAACGCTTTAAAAAACGAATTTGCAGCTGCAAAAGCGAGCCAAAATCCATGCTGGCTTAGGCGTGCAAAACCGGTCCTTTCTCTGTTGTTTCGCCGTCGGCTGGCCCGTGCACACCGCTCCTGGCCCCTCGGCCTGCAGGGATCCTCACTAGCGTCCGCATTCTGCTAAGGTGACCTCCGCCCGATCGCTCACCTTGGGCGCTTCGAGGCAATCATTATATTCATTCAGCACCGTCCGCCCCTCAGGCCGCCGTGCCTAGGCTTCTCTGCCAACCTCTTCTATGCATTCTCTCTATACCACAGTACCATCTCAGGTCGGCTGCAGCCTGCTGTCACCAGAGCTTGGCCTTCTGCATGGCGACATGCTGCTCCGCGACAACACTCAGAAGACCCCGTGAATGTAGCACATGGTGCTATTTTGACTACAATTCACCAGGTCTAGGAAAATAAGCATGCACGGCAAATCAACATCCCTGTCCTAGTGGTGGCCCTGACAGGCGTGTGTTATTCCCGAAGCGCTGAGGCAACACCAAACGCGACCTCGTTACCGTTCTCTGCGCCAGCACAGCTTTGACGGGTTCCATTCTTTGTCTGTGCTTGGGAGCGTATGTGGCTATCTGTTCAAAGAACCAGGCCATTCATTCAAACTATTCGACACATTATTGGAGGCTGCGAGCCTAATTCAGCACAAGGCGGGACATTCAATCGCGCCCACTCACACACAGAGACGCGTACAAAGTGCGCCCGCATGCCTACCACAATACCGGCCTCGGTGATAAACGACGCTGCAACGAAGGCCAAGTCCTATCGATCTGGCAATGTATATCTCACTCATCGAATGCCCTGTCGTATGCCGCCGTGCTGTACCAAAATGTACACTTGGAGCGAGATACTACTCCGACACCGACCCAACGCAGATCGCCACGTTATAACATACGGTATCGAGCAGTACCGGCACACAGCGATACGACCATTACGAATATTACTATCCCTCAGGGCGTACAACTACTCTAATAGCTCAGCCTGACTCCACACACGTAGATGGTATCATCGTGTCTTGTTGAGCACAATCCAAAGTGAGAGGCTGCACACTATACTACTACTGGGTGGCTGTTCCCCGGCCTACCCTGTCCTACTGTACATCCTGATGCCGTGCCTGAGTATTCATACACAAAAATACGACAAGCAAGAGGCCCGGTTCAGCTTTCTCGCCTTACAGCGGATTGAAAGGCTCCCATCCAGATCCAAAGGTTCATGACGATGATATGAATCAGGCTGGTTGATCCGTTGCAAAAAGAGAAATAGCCAAGAATACGCCTGCCTGCCTGCTGCCGCCCCTTTGCCCCGCTGAAACCCCCAATACTTGAACGCCTGTGCCATGCCCTAAACCTTGCCATGCTCCTTGTCATGCTGCTTCATTCCCCTCGCCGTGCTCACTGCGCCTTCCGCGCCTAGGCAGTATTGCTTATTTCCAGGAGGATACTGGAAACGAGGCTAAAACGAACCCTGCCACGAACAAGCCCAGTCGCGCCAGGCGGACAGAAAACCCACCTCATCACTGAATCATAGAGTCGTCGAGACCGTCGTCCTCCTCAAGACTCTCTATCGCCTCCTTGATCTGCTGGCTTGCCTAGAACAGGGTCAGTCAGGCTGCAGGCACGCTGTAACTTGGCGGAACCAAACTCACCTTGGGGTCCAGGCTCAGCGCCTGGGTGAAGTGACGCACGGCCTGGCTCTTGTCGTTCTGCGCCTTATACAGCTTCCCCAGGAGGAAGTGCACGCGCGCGTCGTCCGGCGCGAGGTCCTTCAACACCAGGAGCTCCTTGTGCGCTGCCGCCAGGTTCCCCACGGCTAGCAGCGCGCGGGCTTTTCTGAACCGCGCCTGGGCGGCCCTGGGCGCTAGCTCGGTCGCCTTGTTGAAGAACTGCAGCGCCTGCAGGACGTGCTTCTGCTTCTCGAGCACCGTGCCAATGCAGCAGATGAGGACTGCGTTTGTGGGGTGTATCACGTGCGCCGAGTGGAAGTGGGTGTAGGCCTTGTCGTAGTTACCGAGCTTCTCGTATACCATGCCGATGCCGTAGTAGGCATTGTAATGGCGCCGGTCCGCCGAGATCGACTGCCTGAATGCTGTTAGGGCCTTGTCATACTCTTCGTTGGCCATGTGCTCGTGGCCTTGGAGTGTGTAGGCATAAGCAAATTTCGGGTCGAGCTGGGTCGCTCGTTTGAAGCACTTCAACGCCTGTTCATGGTCCTTTGCTAGTGACCACGCATTGCCGAGGGCACACCACGACTCTGGGGCCAGCCACGCTGAGTCTACCAGCTCGTGCGCGAGGAACGACAAATCCGTTTCTCGTTTCAGGTGCCAGAGAATCGTCGAGTAAACCTCCATGTCTTGAAGACGAGTTGGGGATATTATCCTCAGACGTCTGAAAAGCCTCTCAGCTTCAGGATAAGCTGCTTGTTCGTACTGAGCTCGCCCCATGTGTGCCAGTACCCATGCGGTATCCTGGTGGGCACGAGGAAGCGAGGCAAACGACTGTAGCGATTCCTGGCAGTTGAACTGCGAGAGCTGCTGGTAGCCATAAGCGAACCTCCTCAGAAGATCCAAGATGAACTTCAGCGCCTCTTCAGATCTAGGTTCTGGGTCCAAGGGCTTCTGGGCAAGGCGTTGCGCTGCCAGAGGCTCCTTCGGCGCCGGGCCTTCCGCATGATCAACATCCATGTTCGTGTCCTCAGTTCCACGTCTGTTCCCACTAACCACACGACCGACTGCTGGATTTGGATTTGGTCTAACGAGGCGCGAAATGGGTGCTCTAGCCCTCTTCAGCTCTCGACCATTGGATGGACCAATTGTAGATGCACCGGAATTGGCTTTTGAACCTGACTGCTTGAACATATTCAATCTCGCACTACGTCGCTGAGGAGCTTCCTCCCCATGCATGGGCCTTGAATGTACCGGCTGTCCAGACACGGTCCGCTTTCTATCCGCATTGATTGTCGGTTTGAGTAGTGATGCTGCAGCGTCGGAGGATGGTTCCGTCTCCTGGGCCCTGTCTCTCCTCTTGGACATCAGCTTGTAGCCACCGCGTGGCGGTGCTTCCGGTCCCGTGTCCCCGGCGTGCGCCCTGTTTCTTCGGAGTGGCGCCTGGGGCGGCTCCAGATTCGTCGGTACCCGTGCTTGATGTGTATCAACATTGGACCTGTGATTGGTCGGCGTTTCCATATCGCCATGGTTTATCGAAGGGGCGGCCCCAGGCCCCAGCCGCGACCTTGCCGCAACAATCTTGGACATGAATTCATTAGCATCTGTGTCGGGGGCCTGAAGATTGCTGAATGATGGAATGTCCTGGAACGCTGTTGAGCGCTGTGGCTCAAAGGGGTCCGCAGCGTCATGCGTGACTACGCGTGACGACTTCTTCGGAACGTGGAGAGGTTCAAGTGTATTCGACGGAGGCTCCTTCACGTCGGCCCCTGGACCATTTGGCACCTGGTCGAAATTCTTGACAAGGGTGTCGTTGAGCTTGAAGATGTTGGGAACCCGGACTGTCACGCCCATGTCGCATAATGAGGTAAAAGCATCCCACATCAGAGGGTTCGCCTTCAGGGCATCCTCAAAGCAAGCTATTGCCCTGTCCTTGTCGTCATAACCTCGATGGAGCTTCCCCAAGAGACAGCTGCAGGCTGCAGCATCAGGATGCGGTGCTCTCAGTCCAGCGGCATGCTTCCCTATATTATTTTTCGAAGCCCATAAAACCCTGGACCTTTCCAGCGCTGTGATGCCTTCTTTCCACAGCTCCATCCGCAAGCATGCCTGTGCAAATACAAAGGAGCAGCCCAAATGGGTGCCTCTATATCCTGAAGCCTTGCTGACCTCATACGCGGAGCGGTCATCTCCGAGCCGTAGATGGCAGAGTGCGTGGAGAAAGGTAGCCTCTGTTTGCTTCTCCTTGTCCTGGGCGCATAGCCTCTCAGCGAAGAAGAGAGCATTATTAGGTGAGATGTTGTCGAGGTGGTAGTAAACAGCCTGCCTTAAGATCTCGTTGGTGACAGCTGGGGAGGGCGCCATGTTTGAAAGAGATTGGACTCCAGCCGAGCCCTTATAGCAGTGAGATAGGTACTGTCACCGGCCCCTTCGATCCATGGGAGAGTGTCTTGGGAATTCGTTCGAGAGGAGTCGGTGGAGGTAGCAGGGGTCTCTTTCGCTTGCGGGAGGGTCGAACAGTATGCTTCGAGCGTCGAGAGGGTTCGATGCCGAGCACTGGAGGCGAGGCAATTCGTCGCCGCTTTCGTATGGATGATTGATGAGCGGGGTGGTCGATGCTGAAATGGTCCCTGTAGCGCCAGGATAAAATGCAATTATCAAAAGAGAGCAGAGCAGAACAGAACAGCACGGTAGGAGCGCGTGCTTCTAGCAGTATTAGAAGCAAGTGCAGAGCGATGGGAAGTCGGGGGAGTCGTAGTCGGTCGTGAAGTCAAAGTCCAGGCGCCGGAGCGACTCAGCAACCGCGCCGTCCAAGCACAGATGCTGCTCCGTTGTTTGGCCCTCGTTGGCTTCAGATGGCTTTGTCGCGCCTTCCAAGGTTCGAGGGCACCACGCGCGTCGTGACAAATGCTGATTCCGGTGGGACGAGGTAGGTCATGTTTTGGCCCCCGTCGCGAATTGAGGAGTAGAAGGCACAAGGACGATCCGATCCAAAACAATCGGGTCAGTCTGCAGCCGCGGAATTGTCAACTGCAGGAGGCTTCCCAGGGGACCGAGAGGGGAGAAGCAACTCCGTGAAGCAATTAAGATCCCAGAGAGTGAAAAAAAAGTGGCAAGTCGTGAAGTTCAAGGTCCCGGATGCAGAACCGCTCTGCAATGCACGCTGATGTTGACGTTGGGCGGCTCCCACTCTGTCTATCGAGGCAGCTGCCGCCACTGATTGGCTGGCAGCTCTGGCCGCTCAGCAACCACCTTTTCGCGGCCCCACGGATCCCCCAGCCCACCTAGGAGCCTAGCAGTGCCTAGGTACTGTAAGTAGATACATGCGCAAGGATGGATCCTCGACCTATTTTCAGCCTCCCGGCACCGAACTGAACAGCGTGGGATCATTATCCATATCGACATCATCTTGAGTCTGCGCCAAGCTCATCCGTCACCACGAACACCACGAGACAGCCACCAACACTTCAAGTCTCAAATAATCTGCTGAGCTGCGGAAGGGATTCTCTCCCTTCACACACTTTCACAGTCGACATCACGCGACCAGATCACCAGAATCCCATCTCCCTCATCTACAACTCACATATCCTTAACTGGTCTACACCATGGCTCAAAAGGCAAAGAAGGACCGGGCAAAGTCCAACGCCGAATCGCTGAAAAGCCTCCATATCGGTGCTGCCATCGTCAACGGCCTCTTCCTGCTATGGACCTTCTTCATCAGGTCACGGTCGCTGTGGGCGTACGTGCTGTTGTCCCTGCCCAGCTTTGCCTGCCAGTTCGCACTCGAGAAGGCCGGGCGGCCATCATTTGACCGCTCTACCGGTGCCCTCAGGTCCGCGGGTGAGGATCTTTCCGCGCCGGGCCTGACGGAGTACATGTGGGATGTCGTTTGGGTCACGTGGGCGTGCCAGGTTCTCGTCATGCTCTTTGGAAACTGGCTCTGGCTCACCTGGGCCGTCGTTCCCGCCTATGGTGCCTACAAGGGCTACGGGTTGCTCGGCGCGGCGAGGGGCATGGCTGGGATGGGCGCGCAGCCGGGACAGCAGGAAGCACCCGTTGCTTCGAACCGGAAGCAGCGACGTGCTGCGGCTTGATGCAGCATTGAGCCGCTGGGTGGGGAGATGGCTGTCTGTCTAGTATAGTGCTCTATGGTTCTACAGCCCACCGTCTGTCCTGTACGCTACTATACAAGCCGCGCGTGCTACTTGGTCCACTCAGCAATCACCGCCGGATCCGCATTCTTGACAAGCACATGGATGTGCTCCAGTGCGCGGACGCTCTGAAGGGCGACCCAGTTCTTGAACCACATCACACGCTTTTCACCACCGGGGCCCAGCTTGTCGGAAAAGTGCGTCTTGACAAAGTCAACAATGAGTCTCCTGCTCTCGGGAGTCACGTCTCCAGTCGCGGGGTCTGTCGGGACGATGGTACGGGTCCAGACGACTATGTGGGTGATGTCGGGCGTGAGGCCGTAGGGCCAGTCGTTGACAAGGACCGTATAATCGGACGGGTCTTTGAAGGGGATCTCAGAGGCGGGCGTGAAAGGTATGGGGCCCCAGGACTTCGGCAGGCGATGTTGGAGCAGGAAATTGGTCATGGATCCATAGGCAGCTTTCGTCTCAGCTGTCCACTTCATGTACCGGCGGAGGTCTGAAGGCTTCCGCTTCAACACAGAAAGGTTGTTGGTATCTGTCAGGAATAGTCAGGAGACCAGGTTCAGAACAGCTCACTCATAGTGCCACACGAAACCTGTTGCTGAGGAAAGGGGTCCCACGCACCAATGATCTCCCTCAGCTCTTCCCAATCATGATACTTGAACTCTTCATCCGTCTGCGAAAGTACCCACCTGTCCACATCTGTCAAAGGGAAGGGGGCGTCCTCGACCTTGTCACCCATCTTTAGTAGCTGCAAAGACAAAGTTAAGTTCTAATTGATTTAGGTGAGGGATCCCAGCACTCTCAAGGTGAGCTCACCGATGACGGTTTTAACGGGTATTGAATGGGTTTCGAGTGCTGTGCTGAACTCTCGTCACACAGCTCCCAACCTTCACCAACTCTGAACGAAATACAGGACAGTTGCCAAAATTGACTCTTCAAGTTCTATGAATGTACAAGCTGGATGTCTTCTAACAAGGTCAACCAAGTTCGCGATTGGTGAGCGCGATCCAGTCACACCGACTGCTGACAGGTTGAATGTACCCAGCACACCCCGCCTGTGCTGAGAGTGTGGGGCAGGGCAGGCGTAGCGCGTAGCTCGGGTGCTTTGGCTTGCCGGCCAACCGGTGATTCTGCTGCCCGGCATATCTCAGGTTTACTCACTTTATCCAAGCTCACCAACTCTTATTCTCCCGCCTTGGCCATCTGTTCCGGCATTGCAAATCCCACACAGCCCCAGTGATTGATTCAGAAGTACTATCAGGGATCTCGCATGTCCTATGTCCTATTGACCAGATCCAACGTCCTTGCCTGCACCCTTCAGTCTGTCCACGCTACAGTGATCGTAAAGCACAAGAATCTTATGACATGTTTGCGGTCAACAAGTATGTTGTTTACCAAAATGATTCTGATGGTAGGAACCAGAGTTTCAGAAGACCATGTTCTTGTCTGTGTCTGTCACATTTTGCCTCGGATCGCCGTGTCTGCGCCTCACCTGACAAGCCTTTGAACATTTTGTCTCACGCCCATCTTGTATTCTCTGACATGGCTCAATCCCGCAGACTTCACTTCGAAACAAGACTCACTACTGTTGTTGCATACCCTCTGGATTCAGACAGTGCCGCTGAAATATTTTGATGTATGCTCAGACGTAGACCTTTCTGGCTTTCCCCTCCAGCAACTCTTTCAGATAGCTCTCAAAGGAGGTGAACTCCACATCTGGATAAAGCTCCTTGCCTAAGAGGTATCCCAGGTACTTGGCATTTTCCGGCGTGTTGTCCCCACGAATTCCCCATGAGTACTGATATTCGACACCCCAAAGCCGCATTAGGAGCATCGTGTCTGCTGGTTCAACTTGATCTGGGCCTAAGAGCTTAGCAGCCTGGGCCTGCAGCTCCTCCCCGGACAACTTCAGAAACATACATTAGCAAAGAGGCCGAGCAAATGGCATCACGATGGGTGGAGCCGGGGAGTATGGCATACGTAGTTGCGCTCAAGCTTTTCTCCGCTCAGCTCTTCGACCTTGTCAAAGATCTGCCGCTGCGTCCAGAGCTCGTTATGGACGTATACCATGTTGTTCAGAGTGCGTGGATCAGCAATAATCCTGGCCACATATTTGCCAATATCTTTTGTATAAGTCAGCCCGGACGGCGCGGATCCGTCCCCGAACAGGTGTGTCACGGCCATCATGAGACCATAGTCGATACGTCCGGAGGGAACCCTAGGTGGGCTAATCTCGTACCACCATCCTACATCGATGATCGTGTAAGGTAGGTAAATCTTTTTGATGTGGTTGAGAACTTTTTCTTTCTGCTGCGTCATCAGCTACTGGTATTTCAATGCAAGAACACGATTTCTGCTGACCGTCTCGCGCAGCTTCATCACACCCATCGGAGGACAAGCCGTTGCAAAGGTGCAAGGGATGAAGCGGCCAACGCCAGCCTTTTTCGCGGCGTCCACCAGGGGAATTTGATCCAACAAGACTGTTGCATTAATGCTTGAGATAACAACATCGGCGCCTTTAAGAAGCCCGACGAGGTCATCTGCGGGACCTTTCAAGTCTGCAGCCACGACCTGGACGCCCAGCTTCTTCAGCTCATCATTGTTCTTGCTGTTGAGAGACGTCTTCCGGGACACGGCGGTAATGTCCTAGCAATGTGATTGATGAGTTAGTCCATGTCTTGAATTTACTTAGCAAAGAGCAAAAACATACAAATTGCGTAGCAGACTCGAGCAGGCCCTTCACGATTGAACGACCGGTCTCTCCGGACGCGCCAAAGATAATGACCTTCATTCTGGCGATGTAGGAGATGTCGTACGCGACAACGTTGAATAAAACAGCATATGAGGTCCGGCGTTAGATGCGGGGCTCGATGATTTGTGTCTACAGAATATTGGGGAAGCGTTGAAGAGGGTGTTGGATAGAGTACTTTATTTATGTCCCGCCCGCCAAAAGCTGATTAACAACATGTGGAGTCTTGAGACTATCGGACGCACTCGGCCGAATGGCGGACGATCGAGACAAACGAACATTTCCATAATGGAAAAAGACTCTACCGGAGCCCTGATGCGCATCGTTGCATTCGACTTGGGCCTATGCCTTGGCAAAATTGAACTATATTCAGGGCGGCCACTAGGAGAATGAGTCCCGGACCAGTCGGCAGCATCGGGGTGCATCAACTCAAGAGCTTGCAGACGACATGAGCAGATCAAACCCACTTCTAGGCCACTTGCCACTTTTTGTGGATCTCTTGTTTTACTTGATAGTAAAGACTCCCCAGACCTTGGCTGGGTCTCAAGTCCCAGCATGGTCGATTCTTCAGACCCTGTCCCTAGTTGCGCGCCCACGGGACAATCGATACAAAAGCGACAAGGTATCTCTTTGTCACATTGTGTGCTTTAATTTTTTTTTCATGGCAGGTCCTTTTTTCAAGTCCGATATCTCGAATTTCAACGCACAGTATATCAACGAGAGTCGTTGCAGCTTGTCAAGGGTAATTCCGAGAAAAGCTTGTGTTCATGAATTATTAGCAAAGTAAGAAGAAAGATTCTGGAATACTTCAGGTCGTGGGCAAGCTTAACAGTACACATCAACCAAGACAAAGTTCGAGAACTGTGCAGTAGATTCATAGTTCTGGCTAGGACACTGCACTGTATTATTTGCATGCACTCACACCAGGTTAACAGTTGCAGATACCATAAGATACGTGATCCAAAGCAAACGTTTGTTTCTCCGGAATGGGGTTCAATCTGCCCAGCATCTGCTCACTAAGCCCGTGAAACCCAGGAGCATCAACAGGCAGCTAGTCCCGGTCCAGAACAGAGCTCCAGTCCTCCCATTGCATGTACTCTTCAATAGATGTCAGAAGGTGTTCTGCGCCAATCTGTTCAATGTAAGGTCAGCTCCGGTAACTCATAACTCCAATGTGGGAAGGCAAAGCATAAACCTGCAAGGGTGTATTTTTCAAATGTTTGCAAAGACATCGTCGGAGGACTCACGTCTTTAGGATGAAGCACGTCATCGCCATCGTAGCCGAACTCCTCGCCACTTTTCCAAGTCTCCAAGATATGTTCTTTTTGATCTTCGTCACCCCCCACTTTCTTGACATACTCCTCCGCCGATATCTGCTTGATACCCTCGTCACCCGCTAGCTTCTTACCAACAGTTCGGGCCCAAATGTTGAGATATTCCCTGTGAGAGGCAATCTGGCTGACTCCTAGCAGCGTTATGCCGGGCTTCACGTCTTCCACGAGCTTCTTCACAAGCGGCCCAGTGTCTCGACGGGCCCAGATGAAGGGCACCTTGTCTCGACCATCGCTCATCTGAACGCGATAGTATCCGTCTGACTCGGGGTCTTTCACGATCTCCAAAGGTGATCGGCGCCAGTTGTCGGTATATATGCCAACGTGAATGAAACTGGATTTTCCGCTGAGCCCGGCAGACACCATTTCAGGGTCATCATGAACAAATTCCTCAACTGCGGCCTTGCTATCGAAATGCCAGGCCTTCGTGTACTTACCGCCGGACAGCTTTGTGAAACTTGCAAGGCCACTGTAAATGAAACGCTCCAGCGTTCTCTGGACCCCCGGCGCGGCCGCCGCAATGGCCATGTTCTTGCCTCGCTGCGTTTCCAACTCGGCACATATTTGCGAGGCACCAATGCCCCGCGCTGCTGCTGCTGCCCTCACGGAAGGGTCAAGTATTGGGGCCCAGTAATCGGTCATCGCGAAGATGGCCTGGGCACCTGTGAAGGCCCTCTTCAAGGACTCGACATCATCCAGGTCGGCGGCCACCAGTTCGACCCCACGGGCTGCCCATTCCTGGGCGGCGGGCTTGGAGGGGTCTCGGGTAATGCCTCGAACACGCCAGTTGGTGTCGGCAAGGAAAGAGTCTGTAACACTACCACCTTGGACACCGGTAATGCCAATAACAACCACGAGCTTCGACATGGTGACTGCCGAAGTAGCTGTTTGAATTGTTTTGTCAAGAAGTGACGTGAGAGAGCGAAAAGAATTAGATGTGGATGGGCTAGGTACAAGTTCGCGTTGTCAGCGGGATTTAATGGGTGATCACTCTTCACCAGTTCCATGTAACACGGTTGGTTTAGTACTCAAAGTCTTCTCCTAGAGACGGAATCCTCATCACACCGAAGACCATGCTTGTGTGTGTAAGTATCCGAGCTGCGGAAGAAGACCTCCCGGCGGCCGCAATAATTAAAACGAACCTGTTGCCATCATTCGAGAATATCGTGTGGAGTGCGAAACTCGGCCGAACAGACTATCCGTCCTAAACTTGGCTATGTATGATGTTTACCTGCTGACAAATTCTACTAAGGAGGCTGCATGCCATCCTTCACAATCAATAAGACAGTGTTGGAGAATTCATTCCATATGGGGCATGGTGCGATCCTGCCGGATTCATATGCACCAACTATGAAAACTGATATAGCTCTCTAAGTTGAACTCTTGGAATTGGTACAACAGACAATTGTGGCCACCGTCTGCGTAGCATCGAGAATTTTGAATGAGTTGCAAATACAGTTCTCGAGTAGTCTGGGCTTCCGTAGTCTCATCATGGACGATCTTCCCTGAGAGTTGTGGCTAGTCATCCGGTATCGTAGAGCGCTTGCCATCCAGAGAAAATTCTAGTGCAATCAATTTCTCATCTGTCCAAAGTTGAATCAGGACGACATCAGATTACTTGACCAAACTACTTGTGTCCGTAGGTCTACTTGTGTGCCAATGCGACGATTATAATAGGCCAACTCGAAGCGGCCAACGGCGAAGAGAGTCAAGTAATCAAAGACACGGATATTGGTAGTTGGCCAGCTGGCACTTCAAATACTATTAGTTGATTTGTGTCTTGGAGGATCTTTTTTCTATCCGTGTGGTTTACTCTATCACATCAGGAAGAGAGTGTCCACCAAACACGCTAACAAAAACCAGGCCACTAGATACAATGCTAAGAGGCATTAAGGTGTTCACTTTGTACGAGATGCTACAGACAACAGATATTCTATTTTTAAATTTGATTGAACATTGGCCACGATAGTATTTCATTACATGCCAGCTCAGTTTTTCGATATCTTAAAATCTCGCCTTGGGAAACTTCATTTTCACAATAGAAAGCTACCATCAACCCGATTATTTCTTTCTCTTCCATCTCTCATCCAGCTCCGAAGCCAAATACATCGCTGGCTTTCAAACTACTTTCAGGTATATCAGTTGCTCGCGACCGGTCAGTGAAACCTTTGAAAACCTTCCCCCCTGTCCAAGAGAAGTTTCTGAGAGAATCCTCGCGCAGTAATGGAGCCCCAAATTCGCCGTGAGAACCTCGCATCCGTCTTCCATCCCGGTGATGTCGTCATTTGCAAGCACAACAAGTCGCAACCGCTGTCCCGGCTACTAGAGGGTGACGAACAACACTACCTAACGCATGGTCTCTGGGACCGAGCCCGCCGCTTCGCTGCATACTACTACTTCAAGCACGTTTCCGCGCTCGATTACGCCCCATGGTGCCGTGATCCGCAGAATCTTCTGCGTGGCGCCTCGCGAATGGTCCTGTTCGATGACGACAGCTGGCTGGTGACGCGCCTGACGCCCCAGCCGGCCCTCCTCGATCACCCGTGGCTTGCCGGTGCTGTGATAAACAAGATCTACTCGGCATATATGGACAAGCAGAGGCAGGATATTGCTTTATCAGCTTATTTTCACGCTGCTACCCCCGACAGAAAGCCTCCACGCAGCAGGGTCCGTCCCCCACCGGCCGATCATCATGTCGTTTCTGTGTTTGAGAACAAGGAACAAACTATTTTTGTGATCATGGAGATGGACAATGAAGGAGAAGTGATGTTCTACCACGACTGTTTGCGTTGCAAAACTCTGGCGTGTGATCAGTGTATGGAGGTTCTAGAGAACGTGGCGGTTTTCGGCCGGAAATACACACGTGTCGAGTGATCTCTTCTGCGAGGGGGATCAGGGTGTGAAGCGAATCCCGGACTTTGTGCCTAATTGCACGCTTGATAACAATAAGAGATTTTAGCACGCGCGAGATTCATCGATAGTTGAGCCAGTCAAAACTCTTTAGGTGATCGATTCATGGGACAATTGGCGAAAGTAATGAACTCACAGACCGGTAATCCTGGTTCTCAGTTGGCCTCCCTTCCAAAACCTGTATATACATCAAATGTCGAGTACATTAAAGATTTCGCTTTTAATCCTGCCCTGGATGCTCTTTCCAGATGCCTGGAGCATCGATGTCTACTTGGAATCGCTATAAGCGGAAAGTTTGTAAGACTACCTGAAAATTGTTAGGGATTTTCCTTTCCTCTTCAATCCAGTCTCAATGGCCAGACGTCATTGTCTTGGTCTGTTCGAAGAATACAAATTCCCATGACTGAACAGTGTCCTCCATGACGGCCAGCGAGGCAGTGCAGAGCTGCACAGTGCAAAGCCACTGAAAGGAATCATGCATAGCGGCCCGAATAGTCAGCTTGGTTCTTCAAGTATTATTATATTTCATGTGTGTTACCTGCAAAGCCAATTGGGACTGCAGGCCGACAGCCACCAGAGCTGAGCATATAGTGCCTCATATGGTTAGTGGCTTTGCGAAGTGCCCAGCGCCCAAGTCTGGCCACTTACTTTCAGTGTTTGGGACGGGTACTACCTGCGTATGTAGGTAGTAAGCATTCGCAGCTCACGCGATCCTTTCCATTTGAACGTTGTCTTATTTCAAGACACCTTTTCGTCGACGCTCGGATTCTCCCTTTATCTCTATTCATCTAATACTTGAAAAGTGGATATTCTGGTTGATTGGATTTACTGAAATGCTTTTATTCTCTATGTAAGGCGTCGCCCGCCTTAGGCACCCGCATTGTTATCGATGAACAGATTGCAAGTCGGTAAGGCTCTGAGACCTGAATGCGCCGACCGATCGCTTCCGGAAACTCAACGTGCAGGCTGGGAAATCTATAAGAAACACCATCTCGAATACAGACAGCATGGACCCGCTTTCTATCACGACCGCGGTTGCCAGTCTCATCACCGTATGTGGCCGGCTATGTTGGGATCTAAAGCAGCTTCATGATGCGTCACAGTTGGCAGACAAGAAATTGAAGAGCCTTCTGTCAGAGGTGGAATGTTTCAAGCTGCTTCTTGAACAGATGGCAATCACAATGAAAGATATCAACGTGGACGCTGGCGTGCAGGAGACAGGTCACTTGGGCAACCACTTGAGGAGTATATCGGTATGTATAACCGATGGAATCGCGCTGTTGGAGCAAATGCACCAGACAGTGCGATCGGTCGGCAAGACCAGCAGACTGCTTGATGGCGTTCGAAAACATTTCCGACTACAGTCTGCGTCCGACGAGATATCCATGTATCACGATCAGATCCGCTCGTATCGTGATACGATCCAACTCTCGATGCAGACTATGATCCTGTAAGCGCGTTGATCATGGTGGCCGTCCCTGAACTGAAGCTAAAATTGTCCAGCTGGAATCAATTATCTCTGCAGCCTTCTACCGAGAACATACCTTCAAGTCTCGAAGGTCTTTGTAGAGCTATTAAAGAATCCGTCCGGCGGATGAACCACAGAATCTCTTTCATGGAGACCAATGCCATCTCAACAGGCAGGGGTGCAGATGAGCTCAGACATTTGCATAATCGACGAGACTGCATGAGAGCTGCGGCAGAGGTCGTTTCCTCGGCGTCGACTGTCTTTGGTTTGGACGATAGAATCTCCACAAGCGCACCATCAGACTTCAACGAAGTTTTTCCTCCAAATCCTAGCGAGCCGATGCTTAGGTGGTTCGGCGAGGTCGAGCCCAGCGAATATGAGGAACCCGATGTCGCCTTAGAGCCTGCTCGTTGGGGGACCCTGAATGTTCTCACTGCACCTGGACTCGCTCATGGTTTTGACGCCTCCAGTGTCGTCCTCTCGACACACAATGTGGAAGACTCGGATTCAGATGGAGAGATGGAGGCTGAAATTGTCCAACTTCAATTGGAAAAGGGAAGGCTGGAGCTGCAATCGGGAAACTTCGAGGGAGCCGAGAAGATGCTCAGAAATGGCCTGATAAGGTTGAACCGCTATAGATCACGTCATTTCAGCCCCGAGCTGAAGTTATCGGTATCACATGCGCTCCTTAATACTTATTCGCAGCAAGGGAACTGGGAGAAAGCCAAAGAAGTCACCACGGAGCGGCTGGCCATTTTGTCCGGGCACAATTTTGAAAATTCTGACCAATACCTCGATGAAATCCTGAGTTTGGCTGACATCCTCCTTAGGATGGGAGATTCCGTCCAAGCTCGCGTCTATACCAGAAAATGCTTGAAGGCGTACCGCGAACAAGGTGATAGAGGTCGGGAAGGCCTGGAACAATCGTTATGCCTGATGATTGCCATTTGTCAATCTGAGAACAACCCTGAGGATGAGGAGGCGTTCAAACTGTTGCTCACACACAGCATGGCACAAAACTCGAGACCCGAGAACCGGACCGTCGTGTTACCTACGCTGAACGACGACGGAGAATTGTCTTTCCAGCCCGTTGACACGAGCCCGCAGGTCAACATTCCCCGCGATAGTCTGGACCAACAAGCCTTTGCGGACCCCTATGCCTTGGATGATTTGCTATGTCAGCCGGACCATCACAATTCGAGTAATGCGGGCCATACCGCGGACACGTTGGGGCCTGGCGCGGAATTAAGCACCCCATCTCTGGGGACGAATGATTCTCGAATTGAGCTAGGCTCATCGGCTTTGCAAACACTTCCTGATACGCAAGGAAGGCCTCCATTTTTGCCAAATGCCATTTCAGTCACGCAAGAAGCACAAACGAAATCTACAGAGTTCACGTACAGCCCCAGAGTTTGCGAACAAGGGGAAGATGCAACGATCGAGTGCGATCTCACAGTGCCTACAGTGAGTGACGAGGATAAGGAGAGCCATTTGGCAGCGGAAAATGATCGATCAGATGGCAGCAACCAGTCTCCTTGTCCAGAGAGGAGTACCTCAACCTTAGAAAGCTTTTCAAACGCCTGGCAGAACGACTTTGAGCAACACAGCACTTGCTCTTCTGAGGCTGAAGAGGATGTAATATGTGTTGGACCATTGTGGCAGAGGCAGTTGCCTTCGGGCTTCGAATCTCCACAACGAAACACAGTCAGCCCAGCTGATGCGCACGCAGAGACATTGCCAGTAGATTTCGAAATCTATGTATCTTCAGACATGTCTCATACAGTATCTGGAGCACAAAGTCACGCGGACAGTCCATCTCAAGATACTGCTACAACGACCCAGCGCGAATTGGAGTCCTATCAGACGCAGCGTGTCGACATGCCTAATGATCCACCCGATATTATCGTTTTCTCAGACATGAACCAGGCAGAAATCACACGATCATCGTGCTCTGATTCAGTCAAATCGACGAGGCTCTCTTCAGCCTCTGATTCGCGAGAAATCGAATCATCAGCTAATTCTACAGCAGATGATCACTGGTCCCAGGGACGATCTGATTGTGACTTGCCACGCGCCGACTCCCCATCGACGTCTATGACGACTCTCAACTCAGCGACATACTCAAATTTACGGGAAAGAATCACTGTGCTAGTTGTCGGAGAGTCGTGCTGTGGGAAGACATCCCTCATTTGGTGAGTCCCGCGAGAACTTCATCGTGAGACAAAAGGGTAGTTGTGATGCTGACGCGAGCGCCATCTCCAGGAAATTCATTCAAAAGACTGGAAGTTCTACTAAGGTGAGACCAAAAACATAATGCTTCAGCGGAAATTTCTTTTACTAACGAAGGCAGCCTCAAATCACGTCCTTTACTGTCCCCTACCCTGCGAGTGTCGACGTCGCCTCGAATGGAGAGGAACAATTAGAGCTCATTATCTGGGATACTCCAGGATTGGAAGCGAAACAGTCATTTGAAAGCATTGCAACTGTCCAGAATGTACAATGTGTTCTCCTCTGCTATTCAGTAGGCGATCCGGATCTTGCTGCAAACATAGAGGATATTGTAAGCCGAAGCCCTCATATCCTTCTCTACACGGACCAGCATTGACTTGATTCTCCGAAGTGGATACATAAGCTCAAAAAGTGCCTCCCAGGCACGCCAATCATCTTGGTCGCACTCCAGACGGATTTGCGAGACGACGCGAGGGTTCTGAAAGAGCTTGGGGGCAGGAAAGACCATCCATGTAGTTTTGCCGAAGTATGTCCCACGCACATCAATGAAAAACGGGCCAGGCTGTATCAATTCACTAACCATGATCAGGGAGAACGCTTCAAAGATCGCTTGGGTGTCGCGAAGTATCGAGAGTGCTCGGCGTGGACAGCAGAAGGTGTGGATGAAGTCTTCCGTCAGGCAGCGATTGAGGGCTTGAGACATAAGGTCTCGAAACAAAAGGGAAGAACAAGCAAGATCTCCGGAGCTTTCGGGAAGTTTCTAAGATAGCGGACGAGATGTCTGGGTTCACTTCGTATGAATTGGATATATTGGCCCTCCGCAAGCTCTGGTGGGAGTCCTCACATGTCCTCGATACTGAGAACTAACGCAAGACCATAATGATTTAATTGCTATGCCCCTAGACCAGGGAAATCACCAAAATTGGTCTCATCGAATCAGCAATGATCCATGAATGCTTATATATATAACTCTTTGGAAAGAAGTGTTCGAAAATAAAGACATGGAATGCTTCCTCATCTACGGAGGCAGTCCTGGGTCGCGACCACCAGCTGGCGGTGGCTAGCGGGCAGCTGGACTAGCTACAGCCCGCCCGAAGTGGAACCCCGAGGTGTGCTGGAGCTAGCTGCGAACCCAGTTGTCTGGGTCGAGTCTGGGTCGGACTGCCATCGGCGGCAATTGCCCTTCTAAGGAGGCTCGAGCTCTTATTGTAAGCCCGTCCCCCGCCAAAAAAGGTGCCCCAGGACCCTTGCATCAATGCCCGGGTGGGCCGATTCGGGCTCCGCCGGACTCGAAGCTTCTCAACCGCGCGTGTTCCTTTTTCCCAACAGAGAATCCGACACTTGACCGACTTCTCCCCGAGTTGAAAGACAGACCATTCCCCTCCTCCAACGCGGGGCTCCGACTCTTTTCTCCAATTCGAGTGGGCTTTTTGTACCGACGAGCTCACAGCAGCCCAGTCTTCTCTCACAATGGCCACCAAGGAACCTCTGAGCTCCAAGAAGTATGTCGACGGCATCTACATCCCCGCCGGCCTGCTCGTCGTCGGCTGTGCCATTGTTAAGAAAGAATGGCTCCCCTACGCGCTCTTGGTCGCTGTCGCACTGAGCGGCATCAAGTTCTGGAGGACCCGTGAGTAGTTTCCCAATTCCCACTGCCTCAATGGTGAAGCACATTCGGACACCGAGCAGGCCAGCTGACAACACCTCGTCGCAGAACCCCAGAAGGCCCTCAAGCCTGACATTTTCCAGGAGTTCGAGCTCAAGGAGAAGACGATCCTCTCGCACAACACTGCCATGTACGTCTGCGCCATCGCTAGCTACCAATGCTATTGCTCTGCTCTGCTCTCCTCTGCTCTGACCTACGACTGACCCGGCCGCAGCTACCGCTTCGCCCTCCAGAGCCCGGCCCACATCCTCGGCCTCCCGATCGGCCAGCACATCTCCATCGGCGCGGTGCTCCCCCAGCCCGACGGCACGTCCAAGGAGATCGTGCGGTCCTACACGCCCATCAGCGGCGACGAGCAGGCCGGCCACTTCGACCTGCTGATCAAGTCGTACCCGACGGGCAACATCAGCAAGCACCTGGCCTCGGTCAACGTCGGCCAGACGATCCGCGTGCGCGGGCCCAAGGGCGCCTTCACCTACACCCCGAACATGGTGCGCCACTTCGGCATGGTCGCCGGCGGCACGGGGATCACCCCGATGCTGCAGGTCGTCAAGGCCATCGTGCGCGGCCGCAAGGCCGGCGACCGCACCGAGGTTGACCTCATCTTCGCCAACGTCACCAAGCAGGACATCCTGCTCAAGGAGGACCTCGACGCCCTCGCCGCCGAGGACAAGGGCTTCAGGGTCCACTACGTCCTGGACAAGCCGCCCGAGGGCTGGACCGGCGGCGTCGGTTACGTCACCGCCGACATGGTCACGGTATGCGCCCTCCCCCACCCCTCTGTGTCACTCTGCGGCTATTTGTTCTAAGCTAACCTTCGCACGCAGAAATGGCTGCCCAAGCCCGCCGACGATGTCAAGATCCTGCTCTGCGGCCCTCCCCCGATGGTCAGCGGCCTGAAGAAGACCGCCGAGGCCCTCGGCTACAAGAAGGCCAGGCCCGTGAGCAAGCTCGAGGACCAGGTCTTCGCGTTTTAAGGCTACCTAGTGCACGAATAGGAATTGCGAAGGGGCTGCAGAGGCAGAGTAACCTGCGCTCCTGCTGGCAATGGCTCGTGGGGTTATAGATACTCCGAGCACGCCCGAAACCCCGGTCCTTCTAAGTGGACTCGGAAGCCTCGGCTGCCGAGTCAAGTATATGTTTTCTTTGGAAGTGTACACTGCCCAGAAACGTATTTACAAGCTTTGCGAACGTAACTCGGGCAAGGGCGCAAGGGGCGTATAAAATGGTTCATGGGGATTATGACGAGCAAGATAGGATCTCATCAGAGGTAGAGAGAGGTATACTAGAAGAAGACATATGATCCGTAATAACACCACCGCCTGAAAACCATGCAAGAGTAGTCCCGTGCTCCATCCAAAATCCTTACTGCTCCTTCTTCTCCAGCGCCTTCATCTGCTCCTGAGGCCCATACCCCGTCCTCAGGTAGACCGCGAGAAGCTTCCAGGCGATCCAGCCGAACCCGAGCAGGACCACGGCCGCCGTGCCGGCGCTGACCCAGCCAGACCGGTCCACGTCCAACACCGGCACGCGGACCTCGCTGAACAGCGACCCGCCCGCCTCGCCCGGCGCCGGATCGACGTGCCAGAAGACGGTCCGCGGGCCGAACAGCCCGTCGTAGCCCAGGTTGACGCGCTCGAACGGGCTCGCTGGGAACTTGGTGCCCTCCTCGGTGGTGCAGGCCCAGAACACGGCCGGGTGCGGCACCCGCGCCGTGCGGTACCCGCCGGGCGCGGGGCTGAGGTAGCGGAGGTGCAGCGGCACCTCTGCCGTCCAGGACGACTCCGGCTCCGATGGCGGCGCCAGCTCCAGCAGCGCGGCCGAGCCCCACAGCTTGACTGCGTAGTCGGGCGCCTCGAGGTCGACGGGCTGCGAGATGTAGCGCAGGGCGGTCAGGTTCTTGGAGCCGAGGAACAGCGGGTCGGACAGCTGGTACTTGTCGGCGAAGACGGCACGCGGCAGGGTCAGGTGGGCGAGCAGCGAGCAGGCGGAGCCGTCGTCCTGGCCCAGGTTCGGCGGCGTGACGGCGGCGGCGCCGTGGAGCCGCAGCCGTAGCGTGGGGTGCAGGCCGGCGGGCTCCTGGAAGGCGGCGGAGAAGGAGGCGCCATCGACGTGGCGGTGGCGGGCGGGGAACTTGAAGATGGTGGCTGCGGGCTTCTTGTCCTGGCCGAGGACGGTCAGCGAGCCCGAGAGGCCCAGCTCGTGCGGCTCTATGCCGTGTGGCTTGTCCGTGGCGAGGATTCCGACCTCGATGCGGTGGTTGCTGGCCTCAGGGGTTACCACGCGCAGGGGTTGTTCCTGGAAACCCCATGTCCCGGTCACCCTGAGGGCGTGAGAGATGGTGTCCCAGGATATGTCAAGATAGCTGGCGGTGGATAGCAGCTCAGCACGGGATTCGCATGGTGACCTCTCGGTGGTTGAAGACGCCGATGCTGGTAAGGGGCAGAGATCCTTGCTGACATATTTGGTGAAAGTCGACAGGTCTTCTAGGGGCTGGTAGTACTGGAAAGCGGTGGAGTGAGAGAAACGGTCATTTGGGAGTGAGGTGAATGAGGCCTATTCTGACGTTAACGAGAGCGGCCTGGGAGTGAATATTCACAGTCCAAGCAAAGCGTATATGTACCTTTGGTGTGTCACAGTCCAAGTTGCCAAATGCTGTCTGGAGTGCCGCACACAGCTGGCCATCGCTATGTTTATATTAGCATGTGTATATTTAGTTGCATATAAGTCCTTGGAAGGGGCAATTTACTCCTGGAAAGTCGAGTCTGCCCGCGGGGTGAAGAAGACGTGAAGACCAGGCGACAGGCGGGAACAGAGCGGGCTGATGGTCTCGTAGGGATGGGAGCTGATCCACCTGATGTGAAGCTCGTGGCAGCTCTGCAGGACCTGGCGCAGCTCCTCGGGCAGCTCCTCCAGGGCAAGGGTGATACGGTCCTCGCGAGCAGCATGCAAGGCTGGGCCTGTCAGGCTGGAGGCTGTGACGGCCAAGGAAGCCGGGTCGAGGGCATCCTCTGGCCTGTGCAGGAAGGTGATTCTTTGCCTCATGTTGGCGTTTCGTGGGGTCTGGACCGGTGCGTACTCGCACTCGCACTCCCACTGCCCCCTCCCTCAGCCAAGTTTGAGAACCACAGTGGTTCGGATGGAGCGAAGATGGTGTCTGCCGGGATGCTGCGCTGAGCGGTGCTGAGTAGCGCTGTGAAATATACCAAATAGGAGATAAGGCTGTATGATGTGTGTGAGAGACTCGTGACGAGGAGCTGTCAAGCGAGGGAAGCTACTGTACCTAGGCTGTGCTACCTAGGCATGGCAGGTGGACCCCCTGTTAACCGATAGCTCGATTGCCTCACCGAGCTGTCAAGCATCGACAGGGATTGGGAAGCTATCTGCACAGCTCAGGGGTGGTGAAAAAGCTGAAAGTTCACGGGGCTTCCCAGGTAACGAGCCGTGAGGAAACACATCTCTCTCTCTCTCTATCGCAGTGTGCCCACCTCGTGCAGATAAGAGGTGCCGGGTTCCGTCGGCCGCTAAGCCGAATTAGATCACCGACGACGGTCCTCCAGCTGCTTCAGCGACGACACATCATCCCAACCATCTACCGGTTGGCATCAATGCATTCGCTGTCTGCCAGAGCACTTCTCCTTCAAGTCATGCTTGACCATATTGTATATCTTGAGAAATGGAGAATGCCGTGTCAGCCAAACCACTGATCGCCCACAGCGTCGTCGTCCTCTGCTTCAACAATTCTCCGTAATCTGCAACATCCATCCATTCATCCACCCATCCATCACATCACGTCTCCTTTCTTGTCCATCTCTCCTCGTTGATACCCCCTGCTTGCAGAGCCTGTCTTGTCTTGTCCTGTCTTGTCTTGTCTTGTCTTGTCTTGTCTTGTCTTGTCGTGTCTTGTACTTTCTTGTCCTGTATTTACCCGTCCTGCCGGTCTACCTTTCCAGTCTCCGCATTCATTGACACGTTACCTTGCTTGCTACCTGTGCAGCGCGCATGTCCGTCCCTACTTCGGTGAATCGATCCAGATTAGAAAAAAGTCTGGCCCGAGTCCGGAAGTCATGGCCAACTCACAGCAGCCCCAGCCATATATTGCTATAAGGACGAGGAGGCCGGACGGAGGAAGTTCCACGAGTAGTGTTGACTCCACTGTATGTCCGTCTCCGGCTCGTTGCTGTGCTTCGTCTCCCTTCTCCCCTTACCACCTATCCCGTATCCTGTCCGTGACACCATGCGTCCCGAGGAGGCTCCGGTTCTCAACTCACCATTCCCTTCTATACAGTATGGCTCAGGCATCGGTGACGCCCCTTCTGCCACACACGACACAAGTCGCGTAAGCTACCATGTGAAACACTTGGATACGTTTGCTCAGACTCTTCAAGAGGTGAGGTCTTCCATCCTCATGTGAATCATGAATACAGATCAACTTACATGGCCGCCTTGGGTGGAAGCAGTCTGCCGCTAGAGCCTTTCCAAACAAAGGCCGGTCTTCGCAGCGGTACAAGAACGTCCAAGTGCTTCTCCTACACTGGAAAACGGACGACCTATTCGTGCTGCCCGAGCTCGAAGACCTGGCAACATTCTTCAGCGGAGATTTCGGCTTCAACACGGACATCTTCGCAATACCGTCCGACAACCCCCACTTAGATCTAATGTTAAAGGTCGGTTCCCTCATCAAGGAGCACGAGTCTGAAGATACCCTTTTTATTGTCTACTACGGCGGCCATGCCAAGATCGACGAGTCCAGGCAAAGCACTTGGTGCGCAACTCGACACTCGGGTTCCCCGTCACTGCAATGGTCTGCTATCCAGACACTGCTGGAGCGTTCCGTGTCGGATGTCTTGATACTATTGGACTGCTGCGCCGGGGCAGCTTCAGCGACATTTCCCAATGGCAAGAGTATCACCGAGACAATATCAGCTTCAAGCTGGGATGCCATCGCGCCTGATCCTGGGAGATACTCTTTCACGAATGCGCTCATAGAGGTTCTGGGAGAGTGGAGACTAAAGACATTCTCGGCAGCCATGCTACATGCCGAAGTTCTGGCACGCTTAAAGCATCCTCGACCCATCCGCATCAATGGCAAACGATTCGAGGCGCGGTCGACTCCTGTGCATTTCATGATGACATCGGATCACAAGGCGCCAAGCATTGAGATGAGCCGGATAGCTCCCGACGACCCACAACCTCCATCACCACCGCAGCCGTCCAGCTCCTTAGATGGGAGGCTCCTAGGTCGAGGCTCGGTAGAGGATGGCTGCTTTACGCAGCCAAACGAAGACAAGCCTCATGTCATGATTTCTTTAGCACTCGAAGACGACCAGAGGCTGGATCTGAATGCTTGGGAGCAGTGGCTGGCCAGCTTCCCAGCCCTGGCCAAATATGTGACGGTACAAGGCGTCTTCAAGAGCCACTCCACCCTGCTCCTTCTTTCCATGCCAGTCACAATATGGGACCTTTTGCCTGAGGACCAGGCTTGCTCCTTCGTGGCGTTTATTCGATCCAACAATCTTATCAAAGCGCCTCAGGAGCCTGAGCCACCTGTGGAAAACGTGGCTGATCTATACTCGAGCGACAGGGCATCTGTCTTCTCAGGAACAACATACAGAGACAGCATCGTTGCACCTACATTCCCAGTGCACTCGCTCAGCCCTATAGCGCAACAGAACACCTCTCTGAACGAGGTTGCGGGACCCCATAGGGGTGGAAACAGGTCAGGGAACTGGCGAACCCAGACCAGTATGTCACTGTACCCGGAACAAATGCCTCCTCAATCACTCACGCGAGTGCCCTCGGGCAATTCAGAAAGACCGTCGCTGAAATCTTCACTCTCAATGGCGTCATTTCGGACGGCTCCTTTGTCCGCTGTAATGGGACTGGGAGAGGCAGCACTGGAGGGAGGAATTATACGCAAACCTCTGGTTAACCAGTCGCGGAATTCCAAGAGAACGGTATTCGACAATGATTACGACGTACCCGAGGGCCCACCCCTAGCTGCTCATGTCGTCAACCGATTAGAAGACTACTATCAAAAAGATCCGCATCCGAGCGACGGGACGACAGAGTACTATGCTTCTCACCTCGGTATCGAAGCATCGGATGTCAAGGTAAATACTTTACGCGTCTTGATCGACTTGAACTGTCATATACTAAACCCCTTTAGATCTGGTTCCATCATCGACGGCAAAGAGAGAAAGCAGCAACCAATCTGGAAAAGTTGAGGACGGCGGACAACAGGCCTGACAGTCAGCCCCCTCAGCCCGGGCCGCAGACTATTCTCGCCGGCCATTTGAACGACTTGCTTGGTATCTTCACGCCAGCTCAGGTTCTCTTTATTGACCTCAGGTCTCCATCAGAGTTCCAGAAGTCTCACATCCACGGTGCAATCAACCTCCGTGTACCTCTGAAGTTCCTCAGGACGGCCAGCCTAGACATACTTGCCCGCACATTCACTGACGAACAAAGTCGAAGAGCCTTTTCCAGATGGAGCAGGACCAAGTGTATGGTTGTCTACGATCGGAACATCGAGGCGCCATGGGAATGCCCCGTTGCGCAGGAACTGCTCGAGAAATTCAGAAGCGAGGGAGGCTGGTCTGGGAGGTGTTTCCTATTGAAAGGGCCATTCCGCGAATTCTCCCTATCATACGATAAATATATCACAGGCGACAGAATGACAAAGGCCGCCAAGAGATACGAGGACGGGCTCAGGTCCGCTACACCACCAACCGTGGACACGCTCAGGGAGAAGCTGGCGCGATTTGAAGAGTGGTTGCGCCGGGTAGAGCGTGAAGAGCCTACAAAAGTGAACGACCTTACCCCTACGGTGGTCAGTGAGCGGGCCATGGTTGTGGATGAGCACCAGAAGGAACTCGAGGCAGAGTTCAAGGCACGGTTCCCAGACCTCTACAAAAAGATGGAGAACCCACCACCCTCGCGAGCGCCACCCGCGCCGCCCAGACAGGACAGGGAGGCTGGGGTTCACGACGAGGATTATTTCGACAGCATGAAGGCACCTCTTGTGGGCTACCTAGCCACGGGTCTCGACAAGATGCGCGAGGCCAACAACGGTAGCTCACAAGCAGGCTATTCCTTCCCTGACGAGAGGGTCCCGGACAAGCTTGGCGAGCTCTCGCCCCTGGATTACGACGATTTTGATGAAATCGACCCCAGAGAGGCCTCGCCGTCGCCATTCTATGCGCCAGGAGGCGGCCGGTCTGCGGCCGGGGCGGACGTCGGCAGCATGATCAGTCATTCAAGCAGCCGCTCGAGCGCCACTGGGAAGAAGAACGCTCGTGAAGCACAACAGCAGCAGCAGCAGCAGCAGCAGAGACAGGGGCTCTGGAAGCGATTACGAAGCAACGGTGGGAAATGAAGGCGAGGGCTGTATCACCGACCGCTATGACGGCCTTCTTCGGCGATCATGTGAATCAATGTACATACAGGCCTAGGCATGACTGAGATAGATGTGATCATCCGTTTACCCACCACCGATCTTCGCTCACAAATGTTCCTTTGCACTACCCTGATACTCTCTCTTACCACGACAGCACGGCCGTGCAGCTGTGCCTGGAGGTCTGCAAGGGGGAGCTGAAAACACGAAGATGTCTTGCAACCTCACGTCCCCCCTCTTGGAGTAGAAAGGCTACATTGGCACAGATCTCCATCGTTTCACAAATCAAGAAACCCCCCCGCTGAATGGAAGGCTCAAAAAGTTCCAGCTGAGATCAACGCCCTGGGCCATCGGCCGTGGTGCTAGGCTATTTGGGGAAGCGTGACGGTCGCCGCAGTCGTCGGCCTGGGAATACCCAGTCAGCGAAGGGGGGAGCTGGGAAGGTGAGAGGGAGAAGAATACCACCATGTTGGAGGCAGAGTAGCACCCAGCCGTTTTAGCAAGGTAACCCACAGCCATCCATCCACCCCCCGATCCGGCTGTCTGTTCGTCAACATCTGAGCCCAAGCTTCCCGCCCCCATGTCGAGTCGGCCCTTAAATCTCACGATTTCGGTTCGGTCTAGGTTCGCCGTCGCAACCGTAAATGGCCATGGTGTTGGGAATGTAGCCGTCATCAACATCATTCACCGTCAAGGTCGCCCGGAAGAACTACCGCCACACCAAGGACGATCCAGGTTTTGAGATCTACAATTCTTCCGTCCGCTCCAGCCTTGTCGAGCCCCATTTCATCCGGTGTATCACCTCGTTAGTTTAGGGCCCAGATATCTCCTTCTTGGCTCTGCCCATGTTACCCTCCAGAGGAGAGCCCTAGCGTTGTCTAAACTCCGGATAGCTCACCCGATCCCCAACACACGATGTGAATGAATCACGGCGTAGACATTTGTCTTGTCCAAGAAGCAACAAACACACCGCTGAAGCCTCCAAGCGAGATAACCCATCACGCCCTCCTGATCCATCGCGTGCTAGTTGTAGCCCCCGTCAGCCCGCATGGCCGCGCATGCCATGAAACCACCCCGACCATAGAGGTTGTTTTTTCCTTGCTTCTGGGCGTGAAGGAAGCCCGCCCTTGGAAGCCGACGGGTCGGCACTAGGCGCGGTGTGCAACCGAGCCACCCAACAAGGAGAAGCAATGAGAGCGAAGGCCGAGCCTGCACAGTGCCGCCCCAGTGGAGGAGGATGATGAAGAAAATGATGGTGATGAAGCCCGGCATGAGGCTAGCACTTCCCCCTGCCCTTTCCAAGCGGCGGCACTTGGGCTTCGATCTACAGGGCCAAGATCGAAGCACAATGGAAAAAGGAAAAGAGCAAACAAAAAACACACGAGGCTGGCGCACACCCAATCGCAGAGCTCCCTCTAATGCCCGGGGACGCGCGATTGGTTCCCAAGCCACAAGCCCGCACGATCTCCACATGCGACTCTGGCGGTTCATACATAGGGCTGCGTTTGGGTGGCGCCGCCTTTGCTGCTGCGGCTGCGAACGCCGTCTGTGGTGCGCCCGGATCCCTGGGCACAGAGGCAAAAGGAAAAGGGGGGGGGGGGTTGGATTAAGGTTCAGTCAAGGTCGCAGGTTAACAGCTACACACGTCCACATGAGGCTTCAGCTGAATGGGCCAGCGGCACGGGACAGGTACAGGTGTGCACACACATGGGCCAGGATTCCGCACAAGAGACGAGAAGAAGAAAAAAGTTGGGACCAATTCCTGCGTGTATGCGTGCAAGCGTGAGTGAGCATGTATGAGGATGGGATCGTGTGTATGCGAATTCGCAGCATCGCCCAATTTGGGAAAATGATATCCCTCCAAAACATAGTCGGGCGTCTGGGCGGGCATGACAAAAAAAAAAGGAAACCGTCTGCCCGTCCATCCGCCCGCCCGCGCCGTGACATTGCCGGTCCTCATGTCCAAAACCAAGGGCCGGCCGCAAGAAACTCAGGTGGGTAGTGTGTTCAGGCTAGTTGTTTCTTTTCCGCCACAAAGCCTCAGCTCGCCAGTTGCGATAGGGCGTGTGTTCGCCCCAGAATGTTTTAGCCCGTTTCTCATCGCTGTCGAAGGGCTGCTCTCCTGTCCTGTCACAGGATGTTGGTGCCGGGACCGGGAACGCGGGTTTCGAAACTCGGGACAGAACAAGCGGATGACAGTTGGTAGTTTGCCACGACTCGTCATTGCATCCTTCCGCGCACAGTCAAAGAGCCCGATGCCAACCAGAAAACCTGTCAGCGTATGCACGTCACAGCCCTTTCCCCTTCCTTTCGTCTGGCGTGGACTTTGGTTGAAAGCATGGCACGTCGGAGATTTTTGTTCGATGCGGCGAGTGCGATTCGCTGTCGCACCCCAAGTTTGAGACGTCAAAAGAGATGGGATGACTGCGCCACACTCGCCTCCTCCCCGTCACCTGCCTGTCAATCGTCTGACCGGCTGCGCGCCCTGGCGACGATGTTCGTATCAATTCTCGTCGCCCTACCGCAGTCCAATGTCTGTGGCGTGCGGGCCTCTTCGCGACTGGTCAAAGTGAAATTCCTGCAGGATGACCTCTCGGCAAGATCCAGCAGGGCCCTGCCGACAATGTCTAATAAGGCTGGGCATCTGAAGAAACATCGCACCTTCTGCCTCATCAGCTTCTTACAGTGCGACCTCCCGCCTGGATGGTGCGAGCTACCAGGTCAATTCCACAGCCCAGATGCAATAGGCAGCAGGATTCTTGCTGCAACTCAGGCCCGGTTTTGCGGGAAATCCGGGCATCCCTACCCTCAATATGGGGTCCAAGCTTTGCAAATGGGCCCCTTCTGACGGCAAGCAGCTCGGACTCGTGTCGAGCAGAGCCCCGTATAAACCCTGGCATTCCCAGAACCCAGGATTTTAAATCCGTTCCCTTGCGGTGGGATGGCGGGTGAGGACGGAGACGGAGATTTCCATGGCCTGATCTCTGGTACCAAACACTGGGGATGTCCTTGCGCTTGCCGTGGAGCTTGTCACTTTAATCGCGACGGCGGCGGGGGGCCAGGGCCTTTGTGACGGGGCCGATCTCTGTCGACAGGACCCCCCTCCCAGCAATCGAGGCAAGGGTACCCGCGATCAGAGCTCTCCTGAAGTCAAGGGTGAACCCTACTTGAGGCCCCTGAAATGTGTCGCTCCTTCAGACGACCCAATTGTGGTCGCCCGCAGCACTGCGATTCGCTTACGCTCCCCTGTCAGGCCGGTGATGACAGCTCGTCGCCCCACCCCTGAATGCATTAGCTAGATGGAAGCCAGTGCCATCCCAGTCGGAAGGATTTCGAAGCCATCGATGACAGCCGGCACGGACTCCTCTTGTCGCGGCTGGCGCCGCTGTGGGCTGGTCACTGGTCCTGGACTGTCTTTTGGGAAGGATCAATTTTCACACACACAAGCAGATATTGTTGTATTGCGCGTAATATTGCCTGGCTTTCCCCGTGAGAGTCGCGGATGATGGTCCAAGCGAGCTCCTCGGATCCACATCAGTCAACCAGCGGGTGACGCCGCTGACTCGATATTGAAAATATCCCGGGGCGTTGGGTGGGGGACGTAGGAGAATTTAACCCGCCAGAGGCCGTGCCGATTTCAAGGCAACGGGCCCGAATGAACGTATCGAGAAGTTACAGTGGCCCCCGGGTAGGATATTGAATGTTGGTTAACGTCTTTCCAATCAATAATAATACCTGGACGGAAATTAAAATCGCAGCAGGAGTGTCTCAACAAAGTTATTCCGACCGTCCTGACTCGGGTCCACTCCGTCAGCGAGCGCGGCCACTGCAGGAGCAAGAGGTAATTTTTGGGACCACGATCTCGACCCAGTGCTGCACAAAAAAGACGGTCCGCAGAAGAGCATGCCGAGTACGTGTACGAGAACGGGCCCCCAAAAGTGCTCTTTGCGTGCTCCATAGTACGCGGTCGGAAGTCGACCCTGCTCCCCAGCCGTCGCGGCTTGTGGAGTTGGGTCGTGGCGATCCTTCCTGAGGACCGGCATGGGGGTTGGGTGGGTTTTGACACCACTCGACGTGGGCTTGATGGAGGCTTCTCCGCCTTCCACGCTCGGAGCAGACTTATTGTGTCTTCAGTCGCGAGTCCCCACATGGGTCCCGCCGACGCTGGCAAGCATTCTGGAGGCACATGGGTGCAAGTCAGCGAATCATCAGTCTCGCAGGTACCCCTTTTGGGAGCTGTCAAACCTGTCATTGACCGGTAATACCAATCCACGATCGTCCGATACCCAGTCATTATTATGATCTGTCATATGCCGAAATGTATGTTTGTAGCCGAGCCAACTCGAACTTATAGGGGAAAACTGACCGATTAATAGTGCACCAATCCCCTACAGCCGTCGTGTCGTTGGCTGCACCTTGCTGTCGATGCATCCGTCACATGACCTCGACTGGCCTGTCCTTAAGAGGACAATATTGCCAAGCAATCCCCAACCTCCATTCCGTTCGCAACGCCTCCACCCGTTTGTGTCCGTGTCTCGCTGCCATTGTCCAGCCCGCACTCTCGGAGCTAAAGTAGATGCCGGCTCGAGACACGTGGCTTCATTTTGCGGGAGCGTGGGTCTCAGAAAGGCCACAAAGTATGGTAGACGCCGCTCGTGATGTGACCTTGTTTTCAGGTTCGCATAGAATCCTCTGACGGCCTGAGAGCCTGAAGGCGAGCACGCACGCACTGTCCCACAGTACTGACTGACTGATGATCAGGAGCGCGGACTGGAGCGCTGCTTGGCTGTGATGACGCGTTTCCTGCTCGCGGTGGGTATTGGTACAAATCTCCGCGTTTGCACATTAGCTTGGCCAGGGGCAGTTGCCGCGATCTAAATCCCGAATAATTGGTCCCACAAACCAGGGTCTAGTCCCAATCTGTCACCGTGTCGAAGCACAGCCAGTCGGTAGGGCGAGATTAAATATCGATATAATGATTC